CCTCTTCTCGGCCCACTCAGTAAGAATTGGTGAAAATCTGAGACCGAGCCATCAAGTTAGACATGTGGATGCTTTATCCAATCCTCTCATTCAATCTTAGAAGTGTCTTGCTCTTTTTATGACGGATAGCGCGTGAGGTATTACCATGTGTGGTCCGTTGATCTATAGTGAATAAGGCATCATTAACAGTATTCCTGGCCTTACTAGACTCGTTCTCTGATTTGATAGGACCAGTCGAAATAAAATAAAAAAAATCAACGAGTCTATTACATCCTTCTGAGAAGGTTCTCGAGGGCGACATCCTAACATTTTATGGGCCTTCAGTTGCTTCGAAGGGGGATGAAAATAGGCAGCAAACGTCTTGGATTGTTTGACGTTGACAGCAACTTACCCTCCAATGAACCTTCAATTACAAAACGTCCGCTGCAAGATTATCTGCATGTTTTTGGGGCTGCTTTATTGCTAGAACTTCCGTCTCAGGCTCTTCCTTGACAGCCGCAGATACAAGACCCCAGTCAATGATATCAAGTGGCTGGATCACCAGGATACAGGTTTACTCAGACAGCGAAGATTCTCATGTGGGGATTAATCATTCTTATCAACGATGACTTAATCCTTCGTTTGTTCTCTCAGTAGGGGACACATAACTGCAGTTGGCTTTCTCTGTTGAAAAGAAGCTACGAGCTAACAGCTAGAGGCTTACCCTATAACCTACCTTATACAGAGCATTGCAGCCAATAGTAACGCTTTATGTTATGAAGGAGAGATACATATTTCAGGGCTGGAGATCAATTAGATTGTATAAGATTGTAGGATCGAAACCAATAAACTCTACGCAGTATGCTGAATTAAGTATTGATGCGACATCTTTTGTGGCTTGATATTTTCTCTCTTCCGTTCATGTGAAATATCAAACCCACCTTGTCGACTACATGACGACAATGCGTCGATATGATTATTAAATCCTAAATTGATCTTAGATTCTTAGGGGCGAATAAGAAATAGAAGTGGACATCCCGAATCTGATATCGGAGGTCGAGGCTCCGTTAAATCTAGAACACGGAGCTTAAGCGGCGCGGTAACGGCCCCGTTGAGACCGAGGACCAGGTTGACCAGTTTGGGAATGGATGCACGTGTGAGAAACTTTTGGGTGGTAGTTTAAACGCAATTAAGTTGCGGAGCACAGCCAAACAAACTAATCCTGATTCTAACAAACACATGTGAATACTCAGAGCCGAGGGGAAGTAAATGGAAAGGGTCGGTTTCGCATCTAGGTACTGAACAGTACCGCGTAGCTTCGAGTTAATTATCCGGAACTTAACTCATTATCAGATGCAGTATCAAGGTAGTAGAACCCAGGGATGTGCCCACTGAGTTATTCATTGATAGCTACATTATTCTAAAGCCAAAAACACGCATTATATGAGCATATACCAGTAAATAGGTATGTACTCACAGTCAATGTCAATCCGCCACGAGTTCATTGATGAGCCTTAAACTTGCAGGAATGCAACGGGAAGACCCTGCGATGATGCTAAAGTTAGCACCAGGGGTATACGCTAGACTCCATAAAGCCCCTGACGTTACCTCATCTTGGCCAACCAATGCCACTGAAATGTGGTTTCTCCTGGCCTCGCCAAGACAGATGGTCAGGCCGGTGGAGGGCGGGCTCCTTCCTCTACTAGCTCTCACTCTGGGACTGTCCTTTCTTGTCTTTGTTCCCCGACACCCTAACGTTCGCTATCTTGTTTGTCTTCTCCATCTGCATCTCTTTTGCGTCGCTTTCTTGTCGGAGTTTGACTTATTTGTTTTCTTCTTTTGGCTAACCTGACACAAAGAAGGAAGCACAAGAAAGCCAATTCAAGTTGGTCTGGTACCAGACGGAATGCTGCGCTCAGTACCATAGGCGACATCAGAGTCTTTGACGACATAGATCAAGCGACCCCTCTAGCGAAACCTCGCGTCGCTTTATAGCAGGGCGCAGTCCGAATTGAATCTTCTATCTAAGCCTTAATCGCCCCCCCCCAAAAGCCTCGCCTCGGCGAGCAACGACCCGTCGCAATGCTTCCACTTCGTCGGCGTGGACGATTTTATGCCATAGTCGCTGTGGTCATGGTCTTCCTGCTGTATCGATTCATGCAAAATTCATGGTCACAGTCTCCTCACTTCGAAACGGTGAAGCAACCGAGCCAGCCAGCTTCTGACCCAGTGCAGGGCTCGAAAGAAGCCTTTGAACCGCCTGTCGTACCGCCACCCGTCCAGCTTCCCAATTCCGAGCCGGATTCCAACGCTGCCAATAAACCCAAACCAGCTGTACCTCAAGACGGGCCAACTTTGCCAGAGAAGGTTGCAGAGAAAGTCGATACACCTGCAGAAGAGAAGCCTGTCGTCGATAAACCTATCTCTGTTGGGGACGCTGCGCTGCCAGATGACAAGAAGGAAGAGCACAAGAAGCCAGCCGAGCAAAGTGCACCACAGATTCCCGATGTTCACTTTAAGGACCCTCCTAAGCAGGCCGACAACCCTGATATTCCCGATGTCAACGTTGATGGATCCAAAGTTCACTGGACCAAGCCCAAGGAGAACTTCCCTATCCCCCCTGAGTCAATCAGGCCAGTCCCAACAGGCACAGCTCCCAGTATCAACAGAATCCAGTTCGACTTCCAACCTGAGGACGTACAGACAAGCACCACTCGGTTGGATCGACTGAAACGTGTCAAGGCAGAGATTGAACGTGCCTGGACTGGTTATCGTAAATTCGCATTCCCACATGATGAACTCAAGCCTGCTTCTATGAAGTATCGCGACACTTTTTGTGGCTGGGGTGCGACACTCATCGATTCGCTTGATACTCTTTGGATCGCTGGTATGAAAGAGGAGTTTGATGAAGCCGCCAAGGCCGTCGCCAATGTCGACTTCACTTATTCTGAACGTAACGACATTCCCGTTTTTGAAACTACCATTCGTTACTTGGGTGGCCTTATCGCTGCGTACGATGTTAGTGGTGGACCCTCTGGCCAGTATAAGATTCTGCTGGATAAGGCCGTCGAACTTGCGGAGGTCCTCATGGGCGTCTTTGATACGCCTAACCGCATGCCCCTATTATATTATCGATGGCATGAGCCTTATGCTTCACAACCCCACCGAGCGAGCACTGTTGGAATCGCTGAGCTTGGAACTCTGTCTATGGAGTTCACTCGCCTCGCTCAATTGACGGGTACCAACAAATACTATGATGCTGTTGATCGTATCACCGACGCCTTGATTGAGATGCAAGCAGCGGGTACTGATATTCCAGGACTTTTCCCCGAACGCATCGATGCCTCTGGATGTAACAGGACCGCTGCCACTCGGACTGAAAGCCTCAGCCAGGAGGCCCGGGAGCAAGTCAATTCTGCCGACCTGACTAAGGAACCTGAAGGATTTGATCCCACGAAACTGGGCGGAGATGTAGCCTCTCCCGCACAGCTCCCTCAGGCTGATAGTCGTTGGGAGGACAAGCTCCAACGCCGCGATGTTCCTGTAGATACTGATGAGGCAACCAACGCGGGTGATCAGACACCAGCTCGACCTGGGGCTCAACAGGCGCCCCCTCTTACTGCAGATGGATCTTCGGCAGACTGGGATTGCAAGCCTCAGGGTCTCGTTTCCAGTAGCCCTAACTACGGACATTTCCACATGGGAGGTGCCCAAGATTCAGCCTACGAGTATTTCCCCAAGGTATGTTGCTCCGTCATCATTCTTCGTAATAATTTTGTCTGACGTAACTTAGCAATATTTGCTCTTGAATGGTCTGGAACCCAAGTATCGCCCGCTCTACGAGAACACTATCGACGCGATTAATGAATGGTTGCTTTATCGACCTATGATCAAAGACGACGGCTGGGATGTGTTTTTCACAGGAAAGTTGACGACTTCTAGCCGGGGTGACTCAGAATGGACCAAGACCTACGATATGGCTCATCTTGCATGCTTCGTTGGAGGCATGTATGGACTAGGCGGTAAGATCTTTGGCCGTGATGGGGATATCGACAAGGCCAAAAAGCTCACTGATGGTTGCGTGTGGGCATATCAGTCAACGGCTACCGGTATAATGCCTGAATATGCTCATCTGGTCGCTTGCCCTGCCCTGGAAAAGTGTGCTTTCAGTGAAGAGAGTTGGTATGAGGATCTCGACCCTAACAGAGAATGGCGCGATAGTGAGTTCCGGAAATGGTCAGACGGCGAGGCCCAGAGGAAACTCGCAGAAGGAGCTGCTCCCGCCGCTGCCCAACAAAACAAGCCCGATAATTCAAACAAGGGACCGGAGCCTGTCGTTAATCCCCCAAAGGTGGTCAAGCGGGCAGGTATACCGATGCCTGAGCTGGATAGGAGTATGGAAGAGGACGACTCGGAGTTTGGATCAACGCTCCCCGATTCACTCAAGCAGAAAATTGGGCTGAATAAGGACGGGTCTGAAAAGACCGAAGCAGAAAAGGCAGATTTGGGCAAGACTGATTCGGAGAAAGCCAAGCCTGCTCAAGTCGAGCTAGAAAACAAGCCCGCTGCTGTCCAAGATACAACGGAAAAGACCATCGCGCCGAAGCCTGTCACTGTAGACAGCTTTGATGCCGTCAGAAACGCAGAACAAGTTGCTGCTTCTGACGATGTACCCCTGGAAAGGCCCGTGACGCACGAGGAGTACGTCAAGTCGAGGATTCAAAGAGAAAGACTACCTCCAGGCTACACCGATATAATGAACCGGAATTACATCCTTCGGTAAGTTTGCATTTGTAATGTGTTTATTGCCTCTACTAACATAAAGATACAGACCTGAGGCGATTGAATCTGTTTGGTACATGTATCGCATTACTGGCGATACTACCTGGATGGATAAGGGTTGGAAGATGTTCCAGGCCACAATTGCTGCAACTCGCACCGAATTCGCCAACAGCGCCATCGAAGACGTGACGGCCACAGAGAACAATCTGAAGGACGAGATGGAGAGTTTCTGGATTTCCGAGACTCTCAAGTACTATTATCTACTCTTTTCAGAGCCTAACGTCATTAGCCTTGACGAATGGGTTCTCAACACTGAAGCGCATCCTTTCAAGAGGTCAACATGAACGGCATTTCAGCGCGTGTTTACAAGTCATTGTAATGAGAATTTGCTCAAAGAGTGTTGAAGTTTTGAAAAGGAGGAAGGAAGGGTGGCAATGCTGTTTCATTATGGGGCAAGTCGAAATCACGACAAAGGCGTTTTTTTGGAGAATGGTCAGGATAGTGTATGATTATAAGGCGCTGATCATCTGAGGATATATCAATGTACATACGTATTTCATCTGCAGCCGGGGTATCTCCTCAGCGTTTCGTGGTTTAGAGTGAAGCTACTCACTTTGTTCCATCTTCGTCACCTATTCTCTCAACCTTTAGCTGCATCCCATTGGACCGAGATAGGCTGGTGATTGCCAGAGAACTTCGTCCCCCCAAACCAGAGCTCAAATCTCAGGTCTGCTGGAGCTACAATAACTCGAATATCGAACCTACAAATGTAGAACTTGTGTCCACGCCGGAAACAAGTTCCTCGCTTTTCTTTGAGGACGAGCTGGCGTTGTTCGATGCCAGCGAGGTTGCTCTTTACAGAACAAAGTCTCATAACGCCGGCTTGTTTAAGGCTTCGAGGGAGCCATTCGGCCTCGTTGCTGGACACCACAATTTCTGCGTCCCAAGCTCGTGTAGTGTCTCCATCTTTCAGCCTGATTTCGAATCGTTTGACCAACGGAGAGTCTGGGTTGATGGTATCTCCCTGTGATCTTTTGTCAACCCAGTCTGTGAGCGAAAAGAAAGGCCTTAAGCATACCTTTTTGATCAACCATTGGATCTGATTAGTCGCCCACTTCACACTTGGGTCCCACGGATCTTGTCGAATTTCTTCATCGAAGTGCTGTGCAGGCATATAGACCTCCTGAACGATTACGCCGTAGCTCGCTCGAGCAATCCAAGTGCTGAGCACGGATTTATTCCCCGACTCCATCCTTTGTCGCTTGTTCTCGAGAACTCCACGAGCGACAACAAGTTGTGGGTCTTGGGAGGGTATAACAAGGAGATTTCGAGCATTTGGATGTTGCAGCTTGGTCAAGTGTTCTTGGAGAACCTCACGGACGTAGGCTGAACTACCCAGCCCACCGGAAAGAATCACATACTCCTGTATACGCAATGAGCTTTGGTCGAGCTTCAAACCGGAGCGCCTTACCACTTGTTTTGAAAGGCCTTTTTCGGCCAACCAGTCAAGTCGCTTGTGAATTCGGGCCATGATTGCTTCGATATGGACATCGAAGAGGGCTTGAATGTCTCGCCTGCAACGGATCAATCATACTTGGTAAGTCGACATGGAGAATACGTTTTTAGTAGTGGGACAGTAACTGACCTGGTAAAAAGCATGCGTCCATCTTGAACTCCGAGGCCTTCGTGGCTCACATCGTATCCTACACCCTCCATCATAATTTTGTATACTGGTTGCATGTATACTTTTTCGCCAAACTTGTGCTTGACGCTCTTAAATCCTTGGCTTCGAGCCATGCGTGCTGCAAAATCAGCCGGAAGCTTGAAGTCGGGATTCGCGGCCATTCTTTGCGAGACAAGTCTTGCGAATGCGCGATCAATAAGTGATGAGCCAACACCTACACCGCTGACGGCAGCGACTTGAGAAAGCTGTGGAAAGCTTGAGTTTGTGGAAGTGACTCGCATCAGAGCGAGGTCTGTTGTGCCACCACCCGCATCGACGGTCAGAAATACGCTGTTTTCCTTGAGGCTTATAGCTCCAGTTTTGAGAGTTGCCACGGCTGCGGCCTCGGACTCTGTGAGATCAACCAATGCTGAGTGTTTTGGGCCTCCAGTTCCGAATCCAGCATCGTGAATTGCGCCTTTGAAGGTGTTGATGATAGCCATACTCGTCCACGTCGTGGGCGCACTGAAGAGGAACAGCACAGCCATACGGTCCCATCCACCGACGTGTTTTATACCCATGCGCATTTCTATGCTATCTTTGACATGCGCATATATCTGCTTCAGATAATCTGTCACGAATTGGCGAGCCTGGGTAGTGCTTTGCGGGACGTTGCTTAGACCCTGGTGCTGTGCTGCGTCGAGGGTCTCTGGATCTAGAAAGATCTTGAAGAAGTCCCGACGTGTCTTGCTCGTATCGTGGTCATCGTCAGCACACATGAATCCCCAAGATGAGATGCTTCCATCCGCGTTGTATACGATTGTCGTGGGGACTTTTCGATCGCCTCTATCGTCGCTTCCCGGCCAGTCGTTGACGACCTGGATTGGGATTCCATGCCTCATCCAGGCGACACCTAGCACAGATTAGCTTATATTTGGTATTGGCGAGACCGCTACTCGCCCGTGAACGTCGTGCCAAGGTCCACAGAGACAGTCAAGTCTGGTTGCTCCTCCATTTGTTGGTCTGCTCAATTTCTCTCGAGAAGCAATTGAGGAAGAGTCAAAAGATAGTCTGAGAGCCTTATTGCCAGCAATGTGACAAGTCTCGGAAGAGACCCATGCTATAGACCTGTTTTCAGCCACCAGAGCTGGACTTCGTGATAATGGTTTGTTGGACGCACCTCTAAGGGTGTGCGGTGCGGGTCAATTATCAGCAGGTCGGCTGGGAAAAGACAGAGTAGGCCTTCGGCCTCAGCCTGATACTGAAACACGCATCTCGATGCTCCCCTGTGTTGAGTGGCTTGACAAGGGATGCTGCTAGCTGGACCTCGATGGAGAGCAACTTGGTGGTGGCAATCATACGGCAGTAGGGCTGGAATACTGAGGCTTTGTTGGTGGTCAAAAGCAACGCCTGCCCTGGAAGCCTTTGAGTCTTTGGTATCCTCATTCTTTCTCTTGTTATCTCCCCAAAAACCTTCAGCAAGGATCGCCCCGTCTCCTGAATTTCTTGCCTTTCAAGACTTTTTTATCTCTGACCTGCGACGATGGATTCCACGGAGGCAACCCCAGCAAGCCAAGAAGAAACCTCATCCAGCGAGCCATCGGAAAGATCGCCAGATGGACTCAAAGGCGGTCCCGTTGCTGGAGTTGCCATTGGCTGCCTCATTGCTGGTCTTGCTCTGGGATTCATAGCAGCTTTTTTACTTCTCCGGAGACGGCGGAGAGTCAAACCAGCAAACGAAGGATTCGTTTTAGCAGACCAAAAATACACGGAACCAAAGGATGGGACACAGGTCATAGTTTCATCGTCGAGACACGATGCTGAACTCAGTCAATTTCTTCTCGAGGCAACCCCGGACAAGGACCTCCAAGCAGAGTTACGCTCACTCTCCGAACTCATTTACCAGCATGTCGAGAACTATTACCGTAGACCCCAAGTCCAGGCCGACGCCGCTGAGGTGGCTCAGAGCCTTACCAATATTGGCTACTCACCAGAAGCGTCAGGACTACAGGCAGACACAGTTGCTGCCATTTGCCTCAGCCCCAAGACCTCTCAAATTGGACTTCGTCATGTCCTCTCGCATGTCATCTTTCGGAGCCTCGATTTCAGTTCCGGCAGCAGCTTGTCCATGCTTCCACTAGCGGTAGCAACAATGGCGCAAAGAAGCCACTCAGCTGAAGATGCAAACAATCCTGGTAAGACACTCCCACATTACCTCAGAGCAGGATTAGAAATATAGCTAATTAAACTTTTAGCAATTACCTTGGCACGCTCAAGGTGGCGCACTCTCTCTGCTCTGCTTCTCCATCCTAACCCGGAGGAGAGAACACCACTCCCGGTGTCAGTAACAGAAGCTTCCCCTATGGCTCTATCTCTTGCGAACGAGTTGAACCAGTTCTTGGAGATGTTTGTTACACAAGACCCTGCTAGCCAACAGGATCAGATGAATCATCTGCAGGCTGTCATTCTTGAGTGTACCAAACTGGGCTATGTCGTTCTATCGCAGCCGAGTGACTGGGGGTTTGTTTTTAGCAACAGTACATCCATTACAAAAAGCCGTAGGATCGTGGTGTGTCCTGGCCTGGAGAGGCTCAGCCATAATGACGGAACGAGGTATAGATCGCCCAAGGAGGTGGTGGCACCAGAGACTCTGAGTTCGTGAGGGAGAGGAAGCACCTTCACTGCAACCTTCTGGCCATGGGATTTCATTGATTGGAGGATTGGAGGATTGGACTTGATGAGCTGCAAAAGGCTCGATATATAGTCCTTTGTTGCATGACTTATTATAGCCACGTCCAGTATTGAGTGTGTTTATGATGGAGTGTACTTACAATAGACTTACAGTTCCCGTCCATGAACAAACAACACGTATTGTTTTATATGTCACGACCCAAGTGATCAAACTCACTTGGTTATTACGTGAATGCGCACTGTCCTCTTCCCTAAACCTGTCGGTGGTTGTCAGCATGCGCTTGAACCAAATTCGGAACCAACACCACAACATTGTGATTCATGTGATATACGCCCACCCAATACATATCCAATTAACTGTTCAGCTGGAGGATTGAATCCCACTATTGACCTGTCTTGCTTGCTTGGGCTTGAGTGGCTGAGAGCTGAGTCTTGTCTCAGGGCCTGCTTCTGGATATGCAAGCCACATGCCTCAATATCACCTTTGGCCTCAGCTCTGAACATGGGTCTTAGCAATATGATAGTGGATGGATATTGTGCAAATCAGAAACAGACTTGCATCACAGCCTGATTTTGTTCTCTCTTCTCTTGTCTAACCGGGGAAGACTAATGCGAGGATTGTCGTCTAGCATCGTCACCTGCAGCTTAACAAGGATTAATCAATACCTCGACGATCACTCACATATTGCTCTTCTCGCCAAAAGCATCAGAACACTCCATTGTATGAGACTGTTCGCTTCGAAGAACGCAGTATTTTGTCCTAATTCATCATGCCTAACCCCCTCAAGGCAATACATGCAAGTTTCAACCTCCTGACCTGGGCGCTGGACCACGACCAAGTCCCAAATGATATCCGTCGCAGTCTCGAGCTCGTTCGAACATGCGACTCAGATCTTCAATATCTCATAGAACTACGTCACGAATGCCTCCATCTTCTTCAGCGCCGCCCAAAGGTTCTTGCCCGCGTACACAACATTATCGAATCAGCTCAAAGAGGACTTCAAGAAGTCTGCGAGATTGTCGAGAGGTGTCGCCCGGAGGCCGACAGAGGTGGAAAGACCACCTTTTCGAAACGCATGGCATGGGTGCTTGTAGATGCGAGTGAGTTCAAGAGCCAGGAGCCTATTGTTAGTCGACATCATGCCGCTGTGCTTGCTGAGTTGAACTTTTTGAGACAGATAGCTCTTTTGGCTCCTGTTCCTGAACCCGTGAAAGTTAAGGAGAAGTGTGGTGTAAGAGATGAAGCCACAGTGTTTGATAATGTCGCGCTGCTAGGGGATCTTCTTGGTGATGTAACGGGCAAGTTGAAGATTCCCATCATATATATTCATCGATACAATGATCTAATAGTATGTGTCACTCTAGCTCCAGCCAGGAAACCACCAATTGCTCAATCTATTGATCCTCCAACTCCAACCATAGTTTTCAAAACAAACGCAGAATCGGCAACACCAACGACTCCATCCTCGCTCCAAGTACCCCAGCCTCTTCATAGATCAACGAGTTCGCAGACGATGCATATAGAACATGCGCCTGAATCACTACCAGAACTTGTTCCAGTCAACATGAGCAGCACAGCTCTACCTAAATCTTTCACTTCAAGTGCCACTTACGATAGTGAGTCCCTCGCAGGATTGAGTCTACTTCTAGGAGACCCCTTAGACTGGAAACACTCACCGCCTCTGGCGCCATCCAACAATGGTCCATTGAATCGACCAGTGACGGCTCCATCTCAAAGACTGCCTGCACAGTCCACTCATAATGGTTCTGATCAACATCTTCCACTTCATAGCCCTCATGATAGTGTCTCTGATCTGAGCCAAACTAGTCAGCGAGCAAGCTTCAACTGCACTCCTTCACGTCTATCATCAAACATCTCAAGCCCTTATCATCAGCAACATTCACTTCCAATACCCCCAGCAGCTACACGATCAGCATCTCAGCTCCACCATATGTCGTCCGGTCACTATCCGGGGCAGCTCACGTGGTCAAATTCGTCTTCTACAACAATATCTTCCATCTCGTCCGGTTTAACAAGGCATGAATACAGCTGGGTACCGCCAATTGCTGAGCTTGATAGTTCTCCACACCATGTGGTTCCAATTGTTGGTGCATTGAACCATCTAAATCGAAACAGCGAGGTGTCAGTGGACCAGAAACTCGCTATCCAAATCAACACAACACCTGTCGAGCTTCCAGCAGAGGATAGGCTACCCACGAACATAAACCCATACTGTCAACTTTCCGTCCGGGGTCTAACAGAAGGGGGCGAGCCATCAGTCAACCAACATCAACATCATATCAGCAAATAACCCGGAAACCAACTCTCAACCAGGGAAAGGAAGTGACGAAGGATCATAACGATGTGACGAAAGACTGTGCAACATGGTAGTCGAGTTTCTGGGTATAAGCGTGCAACGATATCAAGGGTAGACGACCAAGGGTTATTGACAGGAGGTTTCAACAGATAGGCTACTATGATAGGTGATTTTGAAACAACCAAGGAAATAACTGTTCAAGTATTAGCAAAATTCGAAGCATTTCACCCCAGAGATGTGTGAACGCCGAGATACAGACCGATTGCTAAGTGCTATACCTGAGTTTATAAGTGATTCAGAGAGGCTGTAGGTTTAGGTAGCCAAATGAGATTACATGCAAAATGTCACCCTGGCTCACGGGAGTGTTCGATAACAAGCAAGATATTCGCAACTTGATTTATTGTTTCGATGATCTTCGGTAAAGAAGGAGCTCATCACTACCTATTAGAAGCACAGCTATTTCCCCTTATTTTCACCCATCAAATCCTGCCCGTTCAAGGTGTCGAAACCCTCGACATTCTCTCACGCACACACACACACACACTCGCAAGTTCAATCTATAAATAAGAAGCATAGAAAGTGATCAGCAATGCAAACAAAGATCAAATTCAGACCCAAATCCTCAATTTCGCAAACGCGTGACAATAAATTGCCTTGATAATACATGTCGATAAACAATTCCCATTCCTCCTCACACGTCAAGACATATATCCCATATTCCCGTACCACATCCCATTCGTGGTCTCAAAAATCATATCTTGTAGCGCATCCATTCCACGCGGTCTCTCATCTTGAGAGATCGGTTTTCTGTGTGGTCCCTCAGTCTATATGCAAAAAAGATGTGCGTTCCTCGTTTCGCTTCATCGTTCCAGCTCATGGTCATGCCGAGTTTCGGCCGAGGAGCCTCTGTTTTCAGTGGCCATCGTATCGATTATCCGATATCTCATCATGTCATGAGTCAGGCTATATCGTGAATAGAATAAAGCGTTGCGGTACGGTGTCACTGTGCCGTCCCATGTCAAGGCTGAAAGACCGAAATTATAACCGATCGCTCAACGTTTTTAAATAAACAAAATCATTTCCGTAACTCCGATGCTGATGCCCTCCTTTACCATCTTTGATCTTACCATCCTCGTGTCGAAGATTATAGTCGACATATGTACATTTATTCGACAACTTAGTCCGCAATAGTCCGCGATGACTCAGGTGAATTCGAGGTATTCTATACCATCGAACTGAGAACGCTTATACTGAGGATCATAATGAGTAGACCGATAGTGACGACTATCAGTAGGGCGAATGAGAACCAACCCAATACCATGGCGCTGGTACCCACACCACTCTTGACAGCTCCGTTTCCGAAATCCTGGGCTATAACCGAGGCGGCTACGGACGCTGTATGTTGCCATAGCACAGATACGAGGACGAAGATAGCTGAGATGAAGATCAGGGCAAGGGCAATTTGGGAGACGGGACGAGACGGGAAAGGCTTGACTTCGCGGTCAGAGCCTTCTGAATCGGTCTCCTCGTGCCATCCAGGGAAGGTCGCGAGAAGGAGAAGGCAGACGAAAGCAAAGATGATGGCGATGATACTGAGAATCAGGTTAGTGTGCTTCGATTTCGGCGCACGCGGAGTGAGAACTCACATGAGATATGGGAATACAATCATATCTTTGAACTGAGCAGCCAGCCAGATGAGGTTGAGAGGATCTTGGTCCACATCAACCTCCTTAGCCAGTGCAGTTGCATTGTTGCTGCACAGCCAGGAACCACCGTCGGGGTTGATACAGATACCGAAATAACCAACGCGAGCTTGCAATGAAGCGTCACCTGCGATGTTCTCGATAGCTGAATGGAGGTTGTAGTCGACCTGGGCTGTATCGGGCACTGCTGTGTAGCTCTTGTAGTAGATAGATAGTAGGAAGATATCAGGGATAAGTGGCGAGGACGATGAACAGCCAGCGAGAAGCAGTGCTGGTTTTGGTTAGAAAATTATCTCATTGAGGGGTAAAATAGCTCACATAATAGAATAATGGCGATGGCGATAAGGATCATCAATACATGGTGATAACCGAGGAATGGAACGAAGCCTAGTGAAATTAGATGTTAGCGATGCGGACGATATCAGCTGAGACATTTCATCGATGTCCCGAGACTAGACAATCACTTACGATACCAGCCGACCTGGACTTTTTGCCTTCTAGAGGACGAGCTGCTGCTGCTGCTCGTCCCGGAACCCATCGTGAATGATGTTGATCCTGCACTCCTTCAAGGTGTTGTCGGTTGAAGTAGTGGTGGGAAACAACTGAGTCGTCTGCGCTCGTCCCCCAGTTAGGGAGTGACGAACACGAGTTTCTCAAGACTGCTATCACTTGGTTTCCTTGCTCTTTCTGTTACCGCTTGGTCGCGTAACACTCTGGAAGCGATCCTTTGATCGACCCCGAACTTCCTCCACTGGATCAGTCAATCTGTCTCGGGAACAACTGGTTCTTGTCGAGGTGAAGGAGCGGTGGAATGCGGACGGGAGAAATCGATGTCTCGGTAGACAATCGACACTGGAATGTATGTGGGCTAAAGACGACGGTTGGTGACAACGAGCGAAAGCCGGGCCCTGTAATAGTGAGATCTTGTTAAAGGAGGTTAAGTTAAGTCAAGTTGAGAGTTGGCCACAATAAATCAAGAGCCTTGAGGATCAGTTCACACGTTCTGCTAACGAGGGTGAAGACTTATTGGTTTTGTTAGAGAATCTCCTCAGAAAAGGAGAGAAGGAAAGGAGAGAAGCGGTCAGTCAGTCAATTAGTCGGAGCAGTTTCGTATACCAATACCAGACAATTGGGCGGATATTCGATGGCTGGGAAAGATTTGGGATAACTACCAACCTCTGGACTTTTCGGTGGGTGATGCAGAGGTGTAGTGCCCAGCCACCTATTTACTCGCGTTGGCCTGGCGACGGTGACGTTTTACATGTGGAGCCACAGTTGCCAGCTGGGGCTCCTTTCAGCACCGGGCAACCCGCTAACCGGCGCCGCAGAGGGAAGGAGAAGCCTAGACGCGATCGGGCGCTAAACCTTTAGCGGCAAGGTGTTATTGGACCTGCAGCAGTGCAGATGAGCAACCTCCTGGGCTTGATCCCTGAACCCTAGGATCTACGATCTTACGTAGCGCTTCGCCGCAAAGTCGACGCGTTTCTATACGACCAGCTGCGACCTTGATTTGGGCTCGACCCCGGCAGCTCGTCAGCGCCCAGATTTGCCAAGGGTGCCAAGGATAGAAGCTATAGCGGGACCTCTCTCAGCTTAATGCAGTTGTCATGACGATTTGGCGCCGTTTCGAATGGGATATGGGTAATCGACTGGACTCATCCGTACTTTGTCGAGCTATCGACCTATTCAAATTATACCAATTGTATTATAGGTTTTTTTTTATTTGTTCCTCCGCCTGGACTGGCTATGCTGACGTACGTCGAGACATACACTACGCGAATATTCGTGCTCATTTGGCGCCTTGATCTATCATGCTCAGGCATATTCTGTAGCTGAGATCCATCTCCTCGGTTATCCTATTCGTAACCTGGTCTCAATTAATTTGCCCCATTTACCCCGAGTAAGCGAGAACTGGCTTGAAACTCCCCGACTTTTGGTCATGGAGTCTTTTCTCCCCAGCTCGACCTAAGAAGTCGTATTATTATCCACTCTGTCGGAGCTAACGACGCTATCCCGCGGCCAAACCGTGCTCGGTGTGGACAGAAACTCGGGATCACTGAATGACGGCGAAAACCACTACGCAAGTTATCAAAGTTCGGTCTGTATCAAGACAGCACCACCTTGAGGTAATATATGTTTTCATTACATAGAATTGAAGTTCTGTTTTCTTCCATTATAACACATGCTGCTGTTCTCTTCGTAGTTATCCAATATTTACTTAGACTGCGCGGTTCAATAGGAATTCACATGAACTGCAAACTGTTTACTTCAGTGTCTGACGACGACTCCTCTCTTAGTAGCACAAGATCAACATGATATGTGAACTCTTTCCGTCGTAACCGTGAGCTTATTCTCCCGAGAGAGCCGCGAAATCCATCATGACAACCCTCATGAGAACCCAGCCACCCGACTAACTCTCCAGGCTTGGCGTTCAGCCACCCGCGAATTTCAGATTCTTTCACTTACCGCAATTGACTTCAATTATGACTCTCTTTGACTGAAGTCGGTGTCGGACGTTTCAAACTCTTCTTTCTCCGCTCGGAATTTTCTTTGCACTCCGTGCTTATCATGAGTTCATCTGAGCTTCCAGAAACACTTGTATCTAGAAGAAGTATGTAGCTATCGGATTTAGTGGGGCATGCTCCCCACGTCATGTAGAGTAGCTACGTTGCGCTATGAGATTCACGAACACCAACGCATAACCATCATTTACAACATGGCAGCCGTAGCCGCCAACAACCAAGGAACATCACTCGATATTCGAGTTGAGGACTTCCTGGACGATAAGCTTCAGTCTACCTCCGACCTCGAAGATCTCGACACACTTATCGCAAATGTTGAACTTCAAAGAAACCAGCTGCAATCACAGCTAGATACAGCTGTGAGAGAGCTCGAAGAGACCCGGCGCACTGCCGATGATCGCCAAGGGTCACTTGCTGCTCGCATAGAAGAGTTTCAAAAGCTTCAAGAGAGCATTGATCTTCGTGCTCAGATCTACGCTGCCTCGGATGCCCCAGATCAGGCCATCGAACGCCTCAAGTCGCCTATGAACAAGATCAAGGCCGTTGAGCGTGCCCAGAGCTACCTTTTTCTCTTGCAAGACGTTGAAAAATTTCGAGTAGAAGCGAGATCATTCCTGCCTCAGAACCCCAAGGCTTCATTAGAGCCTTACATCAAGTTGAAACAGCATGTTCAAAAGTTACAAGGCCTACCTGGCCAAGAGGGCCTTCACCTCGTCGCATATGCCGAAGGTGTGACCGCTTCACTTTGGGATGAGATCAAATCTACTATGTCTGGGGAACTTGAGGCAGTCCTGAAGCAGAGGAAGTGGCCCAAGATTGACACCCATTTGCAGATGGATGAGGAATGGATCAATTGCATCGAAAAGCTCATCGATCTTCAAAAGCCGGAAATAGCACACACTGACAAGCTTGTTACGTTGCTTCCATTCGAAATCATGGCCTCCATCTTTGTCTCCGAGTTTCGTTTCCATTTTCTCAGCGACAAGCCAACAAGCGGTGCTCAGGCATTTGGAACTCATTGTCTCCCGTGGTTTATCGCACTGGTTGAGAAATGGGAAGATTTCTTCCGGGATAATCTGGGCTATTTGCTAGCAGAGAAGTTCCAGGACACTGCTGTAGCGACCAACCTGGCTTATATCGATCCTGTTTCTGCCTTTATTACCTCACTACTACCAGTGCTGAAGGAGAAAACCTCATTAGTCGCACTCGAAGCTATTAAGAGCCCCTCATTCCTGAGTAGTTTTATGTCACAACTGATGGCATTTGACGAGAATGTTCGCTACAAGTTCAACTATGACGGCGGCGATGTTGAAAACGGATGGTCTGGCTTAACCGCACATATACTGGATGACCACTTTGATACGTGGTTCAAGGCCGAGAAGGACTTTGCTCTTGAAAGATATAATACTATCATGGAGTCACAAGATGCCCGCAATATCGATTACGATTATGCGCTCCAGGGCAAGATGAAGCCAACATATGCTGCTGTGCGCGTCACTGATCTTCTGCGATCTGTGACAAGTCAGTACGAGAGGGTGCGTACCTTCAAGCACAAAATTCGCTTCTTGATTGGCATTCAACTTGAAATCTTGGATGCTTATCACGATCGCCTTCGAGACTCACTTCAGGCTTATCAGAGCATGTCTACGACCTTTGGTCGCACTTTGGCCGCGAATAAGGAGGACCTTGCTGTTCTTGAGGGTACAGGTGGTTTTGAGGTGCTCTGCAAAGTAATTGGTAGTGCTGATCACATTGTCAATACTCTGAAAGACTGGAGCAATGAGGAGGTATGCAAACTGCCTGAAAGTCATCTTATCAAGCTAACATCCTAGTTCTTTGTCTCTTTGTGGGATGAACTTCAGACTCGAGCTTTGCATAGATCTAGCCAGGGCAACAACATTACCAGTACCATGAGCTACGATGATGTGAAGGATCGCACGTCTACAGCAGTGGGAGAGAAACATGAAGATGGGGCTCTCTTTGATGAGACAGCGAGTGCCTATAACATGCGACGCAAGGCTGCTCAAGAACTTCTTGTTGGCGCTTTGGTCGAGTCGCACAATAAAGCTTTCCGAGCATACACCACCCGTGTTCAATGGACAACTGTTGGTGAAACTGCTATCCTCGGTAAGTTCGCATGCCGTACTGTTCCCAACATATCAGCTAACACGGTAGCAGATGAGCTTGCTATTACGCCAGAACTTGATGAGCCACTTCGCATCCTCCAACGCAACTTTGACTTTCTCATCAAAGCTCTTTCAACTGCAGTGTTCCGCCGCGTCTGCCGTGAAGCCCTTGTCAAGCTTCAAGATTATCTATGGCAAAGTGTCCTTATGCGTCAGTCGTTCACCACTTATGGTGCCACCCAGTTCCGTCGCGATGGCGCTGCCTTGGTTTCTACTATCGAACGCTACATCCCTAATGGTTCATCTGTCCTTGATAACTTGACTGAGGGTATGCAGCTCCTGAGTCTTCCGGTTGAAGCGGGTGAGGCGAGTGGCTTGACACTCAAGGAAGCCAGCGATCGAGTCTTCACCGACAACGAAGAGGCACGCAAGGTACTCGAGGAACTCCATCTTGAAGGGTTATCACCGCAAGGCGCAAGAAACATTCTGCAGCGTCGTGTAGAGAACAACGAGAACGTAGGGTGGTAAAACGAAATAGATTAAGATTGGGTATATTATCACGCATTCGATGCCTTTCTCCAAGGTCTATCGCTCGTGCCTCACGTGTTGAATCTCTCCGTGACCTTCTAAAAATATCATTTCCCTTTTTGTTCTAACCATTGAACCCCCCAATACGTTTTATTGCATCAAAAGATCAACCAGATTCTGTTTTCCGCACTGTTCGCTTTTGTTTAGCTGTTAAGAGCTCGCATGGTCATCTCGACAACAATGAAAGTTCCCGCGCTGACAGGCATAGCTCGCGCCAGGGTAGGTCCGATACCCTTCCAGAAGCCAGCCGCCCCCTCGGCTCGCCAAGTCTTTGCGAAGCAATCTCGCATAGTGGCGTATTTTTGGTTGGCACCGAAGCCGTCGGTCTGCATCTTGCTCTTGATGACATCGAAGGGATAGCTGGAAAGCCAGAGAACTTCGCCAGCAAGACCACCGTAAAGAGCAATCTTGTAAGCAGGGATATCCTTGCGGTCGATCTTATTGCGAGCAGCGTCCGAGTTCATCATATACTCAAAGGCAGTGAACCAGGAACCGTAGGCGAAAGCCTCTCGCCAGATGGTGACAGCCTGACCGCGGTAGATGCCACTCAGAACACCATTGTGAGCTCCGAGTTTACGAATACAGTCACCAGGACCATCGTATAGACGACCGGCGCCATGAGGCTGGCTCTGAAGGCGGATACGGATATGCTCGATGGGACCTGAGAGGACCGAGTTGGAGACGCCAGCAAACGCACCCGCGGCACCGTATTGAGGATAAGACAGTTCGGCTCCGTTGTTGCGAGTTTGGAACCAGCGCTTCGCGGCGTTGAAGGCACCGAATTGAACGGAAACACAGGCTCCGATACCGATGAGTGGTGTAAGCGTTCCCTTGTAAAAGGCGAGGGCACCCTCGTTCTTGTAGATTGTGGTGGCGGCGTTGATGGCAGAGGAGTATTGCGTTGTAGTTTGGAGTCGGACCTTGACAATGTCAAAGGGCTGACCTGAGATTAGAGTGTTAGCAATTGGGTTGAATTCATACTGTTGCACAACTATGCTGGTGACGACTTCATGGTGGAGGGTAAGCTTATCTTGAGCCAGGTCTCTCATCTTTATTCCCCGGCTCAGGGAAATCTTCTCTTCCCTTTGCGCTGCCTGACTCCCCAAGAGCTGAACGAAAGAAACATCGAGACATACCAATCAAGACCTGTGCAATTCCTCCAACAGCACCAGAGAAAAGATCCTTGGCCGTCTCAATTGTAGGGCTCTGCTTGGCCGTCTCCAGCTCAAGAGCGTCCATCTCTTCAATTTGGCGGGGTGATCACAAACACCTTTGTCCTTCCTTTCTCTTCGGGTAGCAATGAACCTTTCAACAGCAAAAAGGCAAGAAAAAAGTAGGTGAAGCTCGCCAGAGATAAGACAACAAAGGGGGAGAAAAAGATAAGAGAACCAGACTTAGGGCGCGCGAATCGATATCGCAATCCGGGGTTGATTTATCGCGGAGGGCGTTCGGCAAATGACGTGCTAGCATTACAAAGCCGGTAACGGAGCCCGGACTGTCGGTGTTGAGATACCACAGTACAAGTAAAGTTCGGGGAAGAGCCCGTCAGATACTGATGGAAATCGTGGGGAATCATACCGTCTCTGTACTATAATTTCCCGACACTCTTATCGGCATCTTCTCCGGGGGCCGTTCCTAAGATGTACCTGTCTAACAATTTCATAATGAAAATGCCCATTGAAAAGGTGGCACCGACTTCGGGCTAATGAAATCCGGAACTCGGGATCTACGCTCTAGAACCGCGAGAAACCGACATATTTAGGTACCTAGGTATGTACGATTGTATGTGCATATGAAATTGGTCATTATTCCAAGATCGTCAGTCTGGATCTTTATATCAGGCAATACTCGCTTCTATTGTCACACCCAATTTCCTTCTCTTCAGTATCGTCTTACTCCTTGCTTCTCATCTTTCGCATCATTCTGCGCCTGCGCATGCTGCTCAATAGCCTCCTTCAGTTTTCCAACCACTTCAGGCTGGTTGCTGAACGCAGTCATGAGTAAGCTTTCTAGTTCAGCTTCCACCTTCGCGATTGGCTTCACTCCAGGCTTTCTATTCTGCGAGTCGTTCATCAGAGTACCCCAGCGATGTGTGAAGTTGTAGATAGACTGTCGCAGTAACTCATCAAGCTGCTCGTTCATATCCTCAACAGTCAAGGTTTTAGCTGTCACGGAGGGTGTGCCTCTAGACCATAGACCGCCACCGATGATGTTGGAAAAGAAACCGACCCAATTCTGGGGGCTCAGGGTATCCCAGATGTGAACAAAGTGCTGCATAGAAGCACCATGGTTTCGAATGTCACCGATCTCCAACGAAACCAGCTCATTCTTTATGATGAGTAAGTTTTTCACCATAAACAGATCAGGATCTGTGCCAGCCTTTAATGACTGTATCCTTGCTTCTGCGCGTTGGAGCACCTGAATGGTTTCTCGAACAATATTGAACACGACTGAACTATTTTTTGACTACGAAGCCGTTAGCCAAATCCAGTGCTAGAGGACAATTCACTTACAGATCTTTCTTTAGGCATGCAATTCTCATACATGCTCAGAAGTTTAATGGCTTGTTTGACTAAGGGATGGGCGTTCGATGACGCTACGCCACCGACAACAGGTCCGATCTTCAGAGAAGCGTCTTGAACAGGCGCCTTTGTGATCGTTTTTGTGACTTCCGCCTCAAAAACTGTATCTGTCAAGGGCCACAGATGATGGGCAAGAAGTTGTGAGGTGTATTGCTTGCATTTGATGAAATATGGCGACTCCATATCATCTAAATCGGCACCAAAATATTCGTTGGCTAACAAGCCCACCACGTTGCACGTCGTCTCCAATGGTGCAGTCTGTAGGACAGTCTGGAGGTTAGTCACCAATGGCGTCAAGTTGCCAGGATGAGCAATGGTGGTGTTGATGGGTTTGATCGCCTGAAACACTGAGTCTGCTGCCTGTGTCCATATGGGTTCCACATCAAAGAGTTTCACGAACAGATTCTCCTCGTTGTACATGCGTTCGAAGCATTGCTTGATAAAATTTCGCGATGCTGTCTCAGCCGAAAGGCTCTTGACTTCTTTATGGAACTCTGCAATATCAGATTGCGTCAAAACTTTCAAGTCGCGATCTCGTGTCGTGAGATGGGTATGAATGATGCTATTAGCTGTATTTGCGTAGGTCTCAAAGTGAGTGCAGGACTCGTTTCGCTGGCCGTAAGAATCATATGCGCGGCGTATGATTCGGTGAACATTGGGTATCAAGCCATACGAGTCCAGCATCATCTCTTGGAAACGACCATACGCAAGCGCATGGCGAGCCGACTCGGATTTTGTAGCTATAATCTGACGGCCGATTTCAGGTGATACCTTTTCCAGTGAGGTCTTATAGCCATGCTCAAGAAGATGAAGGGCTTTTGTGAGGAGCGCAGTGTATCGTGCAAGATAGGTATCGCGGTCGCGGTATGTCGGCTAATTGCATTAGCATCTGCTCTTGAGAGCAAATGGAACGAACTCTTACATGATTCTCCATAAAGACGATGCAGGCGTCAATATTCTCGACCATCTCTCCAAAAGAGGCATCATCGACCAGTCGGCTGGCGCCTGGCGCATTGAGACGTCTTGTTGCATTGTCGAGGTACGCATAGTAATGAAGATCGGTTCCGACGTCGTCGGCCAAGACTTCCAGCCTTCTTTGTTCCTGCAAAAGTTCCTCGCATTGCGATTGGAAAGTTGACGTTTGCGCCTCGACGGAGCCGAAAGAGTTCGATAGGGAGGTAAGAAGTTTTAGCGTCGCGTTTGCATCTTCGATAAGCCCATCTAAGTGACGCTCCGTGACAGTAAGTTGGTCGCGATATAGTCTAGTATCAGTCAGCGCTGTCTTCATAGAAATGCCATCTTCGCATGACGTAGTATGCATACAAGTATTCCTGCTGACTGGCATCCAGCAATTGCTCATCGTACGATTCAAGGCTAATGGCGTCGTGTTTTTCAAGTTCTTGACTAGAGTCTGGAAGCGTCAGAGCTTCCCATGCTCTGCTGTGCTTGTCGGTCTTCTTAGGCCGTGGTCGTGTGTCTTTAGACAGCTGTTCCTTGACCACTCGATAGAAGTCGGAGTAGGAACTGGCACGGCGAAGGACCGTCGGTTCTGGCGGAGTGTCGGTATCCTCGATTTCTTCGTAAACATTTGGCATTGGCGTCGCAGCTTCGTGTGTTTGGCCTGTTTCCTAAACCCATCTTATGAGCTTCAACAATTATTGGTGGGGTGCCAATTCGCGGGGAGCATACATTGGGTTGTTGGAGCAGAGACTCCTTGCGGCGGTGACCATGACTTTGACTATGGCTACTAGAGTGACTCTTCTTGCTGGTGCCCAAGTCGGGCATCAGCGTATACCAAGAGTCCTCGTACATGGTGTTGACAGAGCTCAAGGGTTCACGGGAGCTCCTGTAACTTTGAAGCCACGCAACAGGCGTTGAATGTTAAAGTCGGAGCTAACACAGCCGAACCGCCGATGGCGGTAAAATGTGGAGCAATACCCATGCACTAATGGACGACAAGACCCTGCAGCATGTGGCGCGTGCCTAGATCTGCCTGTGGCACAGTTCATCGTCTTTAGTAGACCTGCCACAGTCCAAAGAATTTTGCTGACCATTAAATAAGTTAGCTACTGCGGGAGCTTCAGCTCTATGACCTCACAACATTTTCCCCTTCATCGGGAGGCGACATTGGGTTCAACTTTTGATGAATTTTGTATTCTCTCAGAGAAGATATTACCAATTACATTGACTCGGACCCCTTGCTAGCAAGTTTTCAAAATGAACGTTTCTCGAGCGACTCTTGGGCGAGCTGTTGTTCGCTCCCAAGTTCGTCAGCCTCTCACTATATCTCGGCGCCAATGGGTTCGCTACGCCCATGATTATGGCAGCGAGTATTCTCAGCCTCCTCCCAACCGCGGTGGTAAAATCATTAGTTTTGCAGCCGTCTTCGGTCTTGCTGCTGCTGGAGCCTACTTTTATCCCATGTTGACTGGAAAGCCTTCATCACCGGCTGAAGTCGAGAAGAAGGAAGTTCCCACCAAGGCTGAACTCGAGTTTGAGAAGCCTCGCAAGAAAGTCAAGTCCAAAGAAGAGAACCGAGATCTTATCAGCTCCCAACATCTCCAAGTTAAGAATAGTTGGGAGCATCCTGGAGTTTATGCCTGGGGCTCTAATGTTGGAAAGGTCATCGATCCAAACTCCAGTGAAAAATATGTCAAAGTACCTCGGAGGATTTCTTTCTTTGATGACAAGGTTCTCAGGGACCTCAAGTTGACATCCGTCTTTGGTGCAGCAGTCACTGAGAAGGGTGATCTGGTTCAATGGGGCTTGGGCTACAACCAGCAAGATCCTTCACCCGTGCCTACACTTACAGGCAAAGATCTTGTCAAAATCGATGTTTCGCTTGATCGAATTATTGCTCTGTCGCGCAACGGCAATGTATATTCTATCCCTGCGGCTCGCAATGATCAAGAGGGTGGCCTGAAAGAAGAACAGAAAAAGACCTCCTGGTCTATATGGGGATCTGGCGGTGCCCGAGAGAACATACATTTCCGCAATTTGACACCATCTGGTCTGTCATATGGTGAAACCGTGAAGGACATCAGCAGCGGCCAGGAGCATTGTCTCATGCTCACCTCCAAAGGACGTGTCTTCTCCGCTGCTGCTAGTGCTCTCGAGTTTCCTTCCAAGGGACAGATGGGTATTGCGGGTTTGAATTGGCATAACAGGCCCAAGGGACCTTACGACCAACCTCACGAAATTACAACTCTAAAGGGATTCGACGTGGCACAGATTGCAACTGGTGATTATCACTCGGCTGTTCTTGATAAAACCGGACGTATTTTTGGATTTGGTGACAACTCATTCGGCCAGCTTGGAATCGATACCGACTTTGGCCTTTCAGTTTCCGACACCCCGGTAATGGTTCCTACCAACCTGTCCTACGCTGGCACTGGGCTTGTCCCGACGGTAACATCCATAGCGGCAGGTGGGAACAATACTTTCTTCACTGTGGATGCGAAAACCACGACGGTTCCTGGCAACACAAAAACTCTTGCTCCAGCGAGAAGGCTTCCTCCCGTGACTACAGATCTGTGGGCTTGCGGCCAAGGAGTGTACGGGACACTGGGCACTGGTCGATGGTCACACGTCTCGCCCAAGCCGACCAAGGTGAAGGGTCTTTCGTCCCTGTTCGAGTTTGACGAGAAAACCAACAAGATGAGCCCCATTAAGCTCAAGTCTCTGTCAGTTGGGGCCACTCACTGCTCGGCTGTCATGGACAATGTCACCGAAGTCTCGGTCACGGGTCAAGGGACCGAGAACGAGACCAACTGGGGAGCAGACGTCGTATTCTGGGGTGGCAATGAGCACTATCAGCTTGGCACCGGAAAACGAACCAACTTGAACGCTCCAGCTTATATTGCCGCTCTGGACAGCGCCGCCGATGCTCGTAAGGAGGGTTCACCAGACTTTCACCGGCTGTCCGTGACTCCTCGCAAGACAATCCGTCTGGACGGTGGAAAGGGCCGAAAGGTCTCGTTGGAACAAAAGATTGAGTGTGGCAAGTACGTGACTGGCATCTACTCTGCCGTGTGAAGCGAGTGGCACGGCAAACAACTCAATTTGTAAGAACAGGCTCGCCTCATTGTATTATAAGAAATATGTAATCGACGGATTGTATCCGCGAGGATATGATTGGGCGTTTGGGGATGGGATATTTCAGTCATGACTTTAAATGTTAAATTCCACTTGGGCATGTTCCTTCCAATTAATCGACTGGTTAGCTCAGCTGACCCTTTAAATGTGAAATCACCCATCCATGCCTTACCTGAAAGATCCAAGAGTGGTCTGAAGCAGTCATATGAATGGCTCACACTACTTTTGGGAATGAAACATAGAAACACGTGAATGATACCAAGTTGAGACATTGTAGAAACATGCCCAAACTGATCATTTTTCCAGCAATGACAGTTACGATTGAAAGGTGCTGATTGGCTAAGCTTGATAGGTCCCTAGGTATCTCACAATACCTTCTTCGCAATTTTCGCCTGAACATCCTTGGATATCTTCCACTTACACAGGGGTTCATGAGAAGTAGTATGAACCATTTTAGTGGGAACTTGGGAGCAACACGAGGATTGACCATGTTGATCAAGTCGAGGCCACGCAAGCAAATGCCGCTGAGTAATTAAGTTAAAATCGAGAATAGAACAGAATGAGGCACAGATCGTGGAGGAATAAAGATGGTGGTTAATAGGGAGTTGGTCGCCAGGATAATACGCCCATCCTCCACGTCATTAAACCAATATGATGGGCCTGAAGACGAAAATAGAAATCCGTCGACAACCAACAGAGCAGCCGCCACGCAGCTAAAATAATACAGGGATGAGCCACTGCCAGCGCAGGAAAAAAAGAGTTTTTACTAGACCAGGTACAAGTCCTTGCAAACTATTGACTCTATCTAGATTGGTCTTCTTAATAGATTCGGGTGCATGATCAGCGACTGAACCACGGGATCGGGTATAAACAATGAGCACGTGTCCGAACAATGGATGAAACCTGTCAATTATCACGTCTGGACCATCACTTGCAGATCATTCATTAAAGTGCCCTGCATTTTACCCGTAACAAGGCAAAGGCAAGGTACTCCCGATACAGAAGTTACATCAGAGTGCGTGTGCCGTAAGATAAGATATTCTTGGAACAAACTCTTCCCTTCCCCACGTTGACTGACGTCTGAGTTTGAGTTTCAAGTCTCTTGGTCACGTCACGTCGCATCGTTCCTCATTTTTCGAGGTCCTCGTGAATATTTGGTTGACTTGACGCTGTTGTTCTGCTCTTACAGTCGTTACAGCCAACCAAGAATCTCCTTTCCTTTCCTCTTGCTCACTCCTTTTTTTTTTTTTAACCTTTTACCTTTTACCTTTATTTTACCCCTTGACTAAGGTACTCCTTCCTCTGTCTCTTACACCCCAATCTTTCCGTTTGCGGTCTCAACTCCACTCACGTCTTCTCCTTCTCCTCTCTTCTTCACATCAGCTCAAACTTCTCTATTCTTCTCCTTCTTCCGCTTCTCGACATATAACCCTTGTAATCTTCGCCTCTTCTCACGATCCCGCCACTATTAAACGATTCCGCCATCGACTGCGCCTGCGCCCCTCCAAAGACCACGCGGATCCGACCCCTGCCCGACCTCCACCAGCCAAGAGGGCCCGACGCTATTCCTCTTCTTACGCCCAAATCTCCGTCGCCTTTGCTTCTTATACTTGGGCTGTCGCTGTTGTTCAAGCCTCTGGTGAAAACCGCGACGAGCACCAGCCTCAAGCGCAACTTCTCCTTGGGGTACTCACACCTGTCTTTACCCAACCCCGACGCCATGGACAGGATCCCCAAGTTCAGGCGCAAACCCAAGAACCCCACGATCCAGACCTCCGTCGAACGCTCCAGCAGTGATACTGTCGATAGTATCGCCAGTACCGAGTTACAGGCTGCAACTTTGCAGTCGCAACAACAGGACGGGCAACAAGTCCTACCGCAAAAGTCCAAGCTCTCAAAGAGGGCCGCATTCCGAAATTTCCGTTTGCGCGGCTCTACAAAGAGAGCGCGCGACAGTCCACCCGTCGAGTTGCCTTCCAGTCCTCCACCGGCCGTCGTGAGCCACGACGGCGTCAAGAGTCGACCCGTCACGGCCGAAGGCGATGTGCTGGCTAATTCAAAGGGATCAGGTCCCCGAATTCCTGCCTTTTTGGAATCTTCGATGCAGGGTATACAGCACCCAGACATGGCGCATTAATCAGGGCTGACATTTTATAGATATTGATTTCAAATTCCAGGAGTTGACGTGGGCGGAACGAGACCGAGTTCTTGAGGGCACAAGGAATGAGGGGGATGAAGAGTTTAAATGGGGGACTTTCAAGCAGGTTGACGCCCAGGAGAAGGGTGTGATGGATCGCTACATCAACATCAAGCCTTGGAATCACAACCGAGTCAAACTTCAGGTTCCTGAGGATGAGCTTGACTATGTCAACGCTTCCGAGATCACTCTTACCTCACCTTCCGATCCGAGCCGTGAGCCGTTGCGATACATCGCCATGCAAGGGCCAACGCAGCCATCAATCGACTATGTCTGGCGCATGATTGCGGAGCAAATGTCTTCACCTGCTGTTATCGTACAGCTGACAACCATGGCAGAGGGTGGAGTTGTCAAATGTCACCAATACTTTCCCGATAACCAAGATCACCCTACCTGGACTCTGAACGAGCACGATGCGTGGAACGATGACTGGCAGGCCCAGATCACGTACGATTCTTACGAGGAACTCGCTGACGGTGCTATTGAGAAGCGCAAGCTACTTATGCACCTGAAGGATGAAGAAGAGCCCCGAATCGTGTGGCACCTTCTGTATAGACGATGGCCTGACTTTGGGGTTCCCGAACTAGAAGATCTCGATGGCTTCTTTGAACTCATGCGACTTTCGCGCGAGCTGAGCGCGCCCAAAAACCCGCGAATCATCCATTGCAGTGCTGGTGTTGGTCGAACCGGCACTTTCATTACGCTCGAGCATCTAATGCGCGAGCTAGAACTGGGCACCTTTGAGAAGTATGACGATCCAGCGGAGGGTCCGGATCTGATTTTCGAGACGGTCGACCATCTCCGAGAGCAGCGTGTTGGCATGGTTCAGGGCCGTCCTCAATTCATATTCATTTACCAAGTTATGCGGAAACTATGGCAAGATAAATATGGAGTCGATGAAGAGGGCAATGAGCCTGCAGCTAAGAGGCTGGAAGTTGGCGATCCATTCATAGATGACTCGGTATCCGACTCTACGCAAGCCAACCACTAGCATCGGGGTTCCGAGGATTGAGGTGTGATAATGGAGTCTGTTTATCTGGCGTTAACTACAATGATTTGGTGGAGTTGCGGATGGGAATGCATCTGGGTTGTGCTGGGGCATGATAACTGCGGCAACCTAATTTTATGGTTTGGGGATGACACGCAGCCTCCCAAAATATTTGTGTTGGGAGGAAGCTGATGGTTAAGTGTTACCCTGTCATGAGTCAATCGGGTGCATAATCTGCTTTGCGCAAGTGTATGATGGTTAGCAGAAGTGTATGATCAAGCACGGCCAGGAACGGGACTTGAGGGTTTATGATAAACAAACATAGAGCTCGCATCTCATAATGGGGAGATGACGACGGTACAGGAATAATCAAATCAAGTCAAGATGATATGACTTGGGGGAGGTTTATTTGTTATAAATGATACCAAGCGCACGAACAAGGGGTTGGCGGTGCAACAAGCATTCTTATCACATATCAGTTTAATCAAGAGGCGACAAGACCTTTCGCATAACAATAGAAATTAAGTAATGTCCACGAGGCCCAAGTCTTTAGGAACGGGTTATGTATAATAGTGTTCTTTTCAAGATTTAGATCTATCCTGAACTGGGAGCATCATTGTAATCTTGCTGTCAATCGAAAATGGATGTGGCCGCGTGCCATCGTTGTACTGTATAAATCAACTTCATTACCACAATACGCCCCATTCGGGTCACCAAAAAATAGCTCGCGATATAAACAAATAAGGAATTTTTATAGGAAAGCAAAAACCAGAATCTATGCGCTAATCACCAGCGTCACAGTCTCCTTCTCCTTTTCGGTGACGGTGACGGTAGCCTGGTCCTTTTCTGTGACTGTCACTGTGAAGTAGACCGATACAGTCGGAGTGCCGTCGACGACAATGGTTGTAGCGTGAGCATCGTCACCAGTGCGTGTTCCAGCAGCGGGCTTCTTGTCATCTTTGCTGCCTTCGTTGTCGGCTTTAGCTTCTGTAGCAGCAGGAGATGGGGCACCCGTAGGCTTGTCGGGAATGGGGATGAGGACGACCGATGTGGGCTTGTCATCGTCATTATGACCATCTTTGCCCTTGTCACTGCCGTCCTTTCCTTTGTTATCATCATCGCCTGGTGAGCCAGTGGGCTTGGCTTCATCGGGCTTCTTGATGGACTTGGTCAAAGTTGTGGCGCCAGGGAGAGGAACAGACGTGGTACTTTGGTCAGCGACGGGGGCAGAAGTCGGAGGGAGATCTTCATAGGCCTTTGTTGGTTGAGGGTTGGAAGGCTCCGCGGGGTTTGTCTGACTAGGTTTCTCCTCTGATGGTTGGGATGGCTGTGCCTCGGCTGGCTGCGTCTGAGCTGGTTGACTAGGTTGCTCAGGGGCAGGCTGAGTGGACTTCTCTGGCAAAGGTTGAGATTGGGAAGGCTCCTCGGGAGCTGGCTGGCTTGTCTGTTCAGGGGCGGGTTGGGTAGGCTGCTCAGACACAGGCTGTGGCTGCGAAGGTTGCTGATAACCAGGCTGAGAAGGTTGGTCTTTAGCAGGCTCTCCAGTTGATTCAGGGGTTGCGCCGTCATCGACAGTAACTATGGTCGTAACAGTAACCACGGGAACCGCGGGCTTCTCGGCGGCTGACGTAGTTGCAGGCTGCTCTTTGCCTCCATTTCCAGGAACAGTGCTGTCCTCACCAATGCTTGGAGTTCCACCAAGAATCTTGGCAGCAGTCGCAGGATCTTCGCAGACAATCTTGATGCCACCCTCAAAGTTGTACAAAGGAAGAGCGAAGCACTTCTCGCCTTTTGTATTGCAAGGTGTGAGCTGGAACTTGCCAGTGTCATCACATACACCGGTTTGTCCGTTAATGCAAGCAGCCTGGCCCTTCATACACGAAGACTCGGGTGTGAGTTTGGCAAATTCCTCGTTATATGTGCGAGCATCGACGACATTGCTGGCGTACGCAGAAGCAGGGATGGCACTGGTTCCTGTGGGAACACCAGGGTTGATGGTTGGAACGCCGTTGGCCGATGTTCCCGAGGGGACTACCTTGGGTGCCGAAGTCGTCTCAGGGGATGAGGGGTCAGATACAAGGACGGTGCTGGTAGGCGGTGCAGGGGGGACTGCAGGTTGAGTATTGGAGTCAGGTGCAGGATATTGGGGCTGACCATTGGAAGGGACAGGAGCTGGCTGCTGAACTGCTGAAGTGACTGTGGGCGCCTCAGGCTGTTGGTCCTGGGATGTAACTGGGCTCTCTGGCTGAGATTGAGCTGGTTGCGAAGTAGGAACTGGATTCTGGGGCTGGGAGGGAGCAGTTGAAGCTGGATTGCCAGGCTGAGGCTGAGCAAGCTGTGAAGTAGGAATAGGGTTCTGAGGCTGAGCTGGTGCAGTAGTGGCAGCTGGAGTATCAGGCTGTTGACCACCAGGGTTTTGCACAGGAACATAAGACTGTTGAACTTCAGAGGTGGGAGCAGGATTGCTAGGCTGAGCAGGTTCGGAGACTGGGGCCTGGCTCTCAGGTTGAGCAGCATCTGAAGTTGGAGCAGGCTGGCTTTGTGCATCAGATGTCGTCTGGGACTGGGGTTCCTTAGGTTGAACTACAGACACAATCTGAGTTGTACCCGCAGAAGACTCCGTCTCAGGGGTGGAAGTCTCCTCCAGGGGGCCTTTAGATGTGGTAGGAGGCTTGGGATACACTTGAGTAGGGTGTTTGGGGTTGATCGGGAAAGCTGTATCAGAAGGCGCCTGGGTTGTAAGATAGCCAGTAGGAGTCGGCTGATACGCAAAGGTAGTTGTCTCTTCTTCAACAGCAGAGGTGGTAGGTTGCTCGTTTCCTGGAGCTGTTGTAGCGGGAGCAGAGGGCGCTTCAGGGGCCGTGGTCTCTTCAACGGCGCTTGGCTTAGTCTTTCCCCCATCTGAAGGTTGAAGTGTACCAAGGTCGAGGGTAGAGGATAGGCTCTGAGTATCTGTGTTCTCTGGCTTCTGAGCTGCTTCGGTCGTAGGGACCTCGGGCACTACAGTCGTAGCATCGTTAACAGGGTCGGATTTTGGTGCCTCGTTTGCAGAGGTGGGGACCTCTTTGGTAACTGGGGCAGTCTCGGAGACAACTGCAGTGTCCTTGGGAGGCCTATAGTCTGATTGTTCAGCCGAGGTTGGCTTCTCAACCACGGTGGTAGGATCCTTAGGCACGATTGAGGTCGTGAGAACCGGTGCAGAAGGGTTCTGCGTGAAAGTCGGCTTATCTCCAGGCTCTTGGGTTGGTTCTTGAGCATCACTCGTCTGCTCAGGGGCATCATTGGTTGGCTGAACGGGGATAACCTCGATTGGCTCGGGGAGATCAGAGTAGGGGCCCTTCTTCTTGTCGTCACCTTGGTTTTCTGAGAGTAACGGATTCGGTTCGGGTGTCGAGTTGAGCGTCTCAAAAACAGGACGAGGCGTAGTCTGATCTCCGTTGCCACTACTGTGATGAATTGTTAGATACGAGTCCTCACGTTCTGTCTCCGAATCTGATCCATACCCATATCCGTCGTGAGCTGCAGTGGGAGCTTGTGAGTTTTCCATCCTAGCGTCAAGAAAAGCGCCAGGGTTTCTTTTTTCTCTGTCATCCGAGTTAGATCCAGCAGTTGAAGAGGTGTTATCAGTTTCTCCGTACATTCTACTCGTCCACATAGGACCAGCCTGTGCGGACTGGGCAGTCAAAAGGAGCGAGAAGGCCACGGCGAGCCTTGATCTATTACACCGCATTGTGAAGAGTATGTCGATAGTGGTATAGACTTGCTGAAAGAAAGAGCGTGTTGGTGAAATCGAAAAGATTCGTTCGTTTAATTCGTTGGTCGGTTCGTGAGTCAAAGTTGTATAAGTCGTTTGAAATGATTGATAGTTGCACCAAAAAGAATAATGTACGAGTTCGTCGATCGCTTCCTCCCAACTCCAAGCTGATTAAGAGTAAATAGAAATTGTCTCCAAACAAAAAAGAGTCACTTGTTCGCTTTCCTGGTGCGGAGGCACACAGACAGTGAAGACAAGGGAGCTCAAACGGAGTGACGACGAACAGTAGAAGAACAAAGCGGTGAATGAAAGGAACAGATTGAGTATGAAAGAGAGTCACACAAAACAGAGATAGGAAATACTTGACAAAGGAAAAAAAAAGAGGAAAGGACGAAAGTGGTCAGAGCTAGTGAGTGAGTGTGTATTGTATGCTGAGTTGAGTGAAACCATTCATACAAAGCTGGGACAGGTAGTGGTAACACTCTGTTAATGTATATGCAGTGCTTCACCCCTAAGAGTCACTCATATCCAATTAGCGCCAGCAAAAGACGATGAATCGCCTCACAAAAGTCTCATCTCGTATCGGATCTCATATTTTCGTGGCCCATGGAGTCTCTCTCTTGAACCATCCATGAATAGCTCTGCTCTGCCCTGCCCTGTCCGCCAGCCAAGCCAGAGTATCAACAGGCGCCCAACCCAACACCCCAGTAAATTACATGTAAAACATTTAGAAGAAAATATCCGAAAACCCTCAGCCAATCAAGCTTGTCTCGTCTTTGTCAAGCTGTACTATAAAAGACTGGCTCTAAGCGCTCTGTTTCAACAGCTTATTCGCGGCCTGTTCCTATTGGCGGCACAAACTCCACAGCGGCCGGGACCTAGCTGCCAATCGTCCTCTCTCCACTGAACCGACCTGCGGCCTTGTAGGCTTTTAGTGCTTGTTACAGGGTTTCGTGATGCCCTCATGGATAATATCTGGATTCTGGTCCGGCCTGGTCGTCTCTTCTGTTCTCTTCCCAAAATCATGCTTTTTTAGGCTTGGTCGACCCATAGTTGGCCTTGACGGTCTAGACCTGATCAACCCTTCTCATTTCCCCTTTCATGCTTCCTCCCTGAATGGCTAGTTAAGAATAGATGACCTCCAGAACCATCGTCTTGGGTCCCTACATCATTTGGTGATAGCCGCCCGTTAGTAGCGTAGGTAAGAAAAGTAATCAACCAAATCCATGGACCGTGGCTCAGCTCTTAGCCCTTAAGCTACTAAATAGATAGATCCCTTTTACATTGAAATTTCATTGCTTCTTTTTCTACCGTCGTTTCAGCTAACAGACGCCTTCATCATGGATGTTGTACAATTCTATACATATACGATAAACGCCACCGCGCCTAAATGCCGCCATCAATGCTCTGTTTATATTAAACCAAACCCCTAGGTTTCCAGCAATGATCCTTGCTCGCCACTTCGCAGGGCTGTTCTCTTTCTAGACTCTTCATGGGTGCTAAACTGGTGCTCTGCAGTCTCATGCTTGTTTTCAATGGCGTCCAAGTCTAAATCGTCGACATTCGTGAGCAGGTGATTCTGTCGATTGTGTTCTCGGATGCGAGCCCACTTGAGAACTCGAGTTAACTCTTCATGTCCGTGAACGGCATTGGCCTGGATGTACGACTGTACCATCTGGTCACCTGGCCATTGCCAGATCCCAATCTGGAATCGGACGTCTCGTACGTGGTTGCGCACTTCGTCCGTCAACATGGGTTCCGCAAACGCACGATACGCACACAGAGTCTCTAGCATGTCCACGTCGTGAGGTAATACCTCCATGTTTATCATCTCGTCTTCTTGTGACTGTAGAGGGCCCCATTCCACCATGAGCCACATTGTCAACTGAGCCATTTCATTATACTCCCCAGCAAACGCCAGTGACTGCATCAGGTCGTGAGCGAAGGGGGCCAACACGGGATCTCGCCGTGATCGCATGATGTCCACAAACGATAGATCTGTAGTTTGTTCTGCTTCTGGCCGCTGCCTCTCTTGTTCCTCGGCAACAAGTGCATGATAGAAGCCTTTCATACGTGAAATAAGAACACGGAATAGATGCAGAGCTGAGTTGCTCCTTGTCTCCGTGTCCATCTCGGTGTTGGCACCGTCTTCCTCGGCGTTTCTGCAATAAAGGGCGCCAAGTAAGTTGAAATTGGTGTTGTTGGCTTCTACAGCGCTCGCCAGCACCTGTAGCTCTCTTCGCAAAATCTTCCGCAGGGTTCTCACAAATCTGTTGAAAAGAAATAGAGTCATTCCCTGCACGGCGTCGATACGATCTACAAGGTGTATTATCAGACGAAGCTGTGCCTCCAGTGTGAGTTTCAGACCATAATGATGCTGCCCAACATTCTTCATGATAGGTGCCCAGACATGAGGTAGCCAGTTCTGGTTCCTGCGACCCACACGCAGCTCTGCGAGCCGAATGGCGCGTATCAGATTACTGCCTTTAGGGTGCACCGTCTTGGACAACATATCCACATACGCCGAGAACAATGGTAAGGGAATAGCCTTCAGCATGTCAGCTGTTGGGTCGGGTACCAACAAGTGAGCGTAGTTATGATGCTCTGTGCTTCCGTCTCGCAGATAACGATGAGCTTCTTGGAGAGTTTGGGCGTTTGCCACTAGAATGTGAAGAATGTGTTCATCGGGCAGCAATCCCTCGCATTTCATCATCTCATACAACTCTTGAGGTGTCGGGGGTTGTTGTCGCAGCTTCTCCAGTTCTGTCAAATTCATGTCCTCATTTGTAGGATGGCTCAGAGAATTGTCTCCCGGTAAGGTGCCTTTTTCTGGATCAGCATCACGAGCAAATGATCTCCGGAACATGGCTGCATATTCTGGCAGTCCAGGAGCCATGCCAGCTTTTGGAGGTTGGCAGAACTGCTTCCATGCTTCATGAGCGTTGCGTGTAGCAATGATTGATGCTTGCCAAGCCGAAAGGTCTTGCTTCGGATCTACTTTGACCTGCTGCTGAATTGCTGGAGTACCACTAGGGGTTAAGCCTAGCAGAGTATCCAATGCGCTGTCAGTCTCCTGTTTGGAGAATCCTGCTTCCTGCATCATCATCCCTGCCCGGACAACGCGAGACCAGCTCTCTTCTGCTTCCATGGCCTCGTCCATCCCGTCTGCTGGCCGCAGATATGGCGGCCATGACTTTGAATACCGTGTGGCGTTGTGGATCTCGTCTCTGTTCTTTGGCATCCCGGATAGCACAGTTCTGATTGCGCGGAACGCATTTCTGTCTACCAAAAGGGCTTCCGGGAGACTGCCAGACATTCTCAGAAGAGTACGCTGGGCCTCCCAGACGTACGCATAGGGTACAGACGAATGCTGCGGCCCGGATCCGCTATTCCGGGCAATAGCGGTCAGGCCGGCATTGAAGTACTTGCATCTCATCCAGTACGTCTGTTCGGCAGAACCTATTTTGTAGTTGAAAATAAATTCCGCCATTATATCGGCAAGCACAATCAGGCGCCTTGCTTCGATGCGACGACAGTGGAAGGCAAGTCGTTCCATGATGATCATGAAGTCTTCTGTTGTGAATCTTTCCATTTCACTGCTTGCACGCCCTCTACCCCAAGACATCTGGCGAGCCTTCTCAGTCGTAGCACGTAACCGTTCTTGAACATATTCCAAAAGGTGGTCCAAAGTCGAGATTTCGCTAATGCTCGATCCCAATCTCAGCAGATAGTTCAGCATGAAGACGGGTTTCGGTGACATATCTGCCAAGAATAGTCGGCATCGGTCTTCGTCGGTTTTGGCGAAAAGTATACTCATATATTCGTTCAGTCGCTCCTCTGTATTCCCGCTGTATTCAAGGGTCTTCATCAGGGCTTCCCATTCCGACTTGTTTGGCAGCGCTTGGGCAAGGTCTCGGTTGTTTTCGGGGTCGGCTTCCACCTGATGTCGAAGGTGCATTTGAATCACAACGACCGGAAGGCGCACAGTTCGGATGGCGGCGATTTCTAAAAGCGTTTCTCGAGACGGTTGTTCCAGAGCAAGATATTTACGAAGTAGAACTGCAGGACTTTGCTCTACCCAGCCTTTGAGCATCCTCAACCGTCGCTCAATTCGCCCGTGCCCGTTGTCTTCATTGAAGTCTGAGAACTTAAAAACATTCTTCGGATCGTACAAGCGCTTGGGCAGCACTTTCTTGGGGCGCTTTTGATAGTCGTCGGCACGACGGCCGTTGACTATGGCGGCCTCGAGTGCGTCCACAGAGGACACATATCGGCGGGCTTGGGCTGAGTTGAGGCGCGAAGCGTACTGGAAGAGTCAATTGTAAGCTTTACATCGTAAAAAAGAAAGAAAACTCGGCTTTTGATATTCACCTTGGTTTGGGTTGTCACGTTTCGCGACAAGTGCCACCCTCGCCTCAGCTCCCGGGTTGCACTTCTCAGCATTTCTCGCCCATTTCTTCAAAGCCTATGACACAGCTAAGAAGGTTGTATATAGCGTAGCAATTAAGTGCGGGAGTTGTGATATCTGCGGCGGCGTACACAAAGTTGCAAAGTTCGATTTCCATCTGCATCTGCGGGAACAATTTGCATGCGCCAATCGAGATTATCGGAGTATCGGGCAGCCTATGTGCAGGTCATTGACAGCCAATCCGGGGCCGCTCCTAGCACTTCAGCTCCTCCACCAAGGCCAGATAGGTCCCTTATGTTAGCTTCATAACTCCTTGCCTACTGTGCCTGCGTACATCAGGATTTCTGAGTTTGTTATCGAATTTATGTATTTCTTTCGAAGCAGAGCGCCTGCCTAACAATTCGTGTGATACTTTTGGTGCGCTGGATCCCTTGCTAATTTTCATAATCTACCAAAACAACAAAACTCTGCTGGCAAAAAGTTTATTACTTTTCTCATTTTTGCTCTACTTTTTGCAGTTTAACATTTCATGGACACATCAGATACCAGCAGGACCTCTTCTTTTAATTATTCGCCTTGGGACTTCCCTTTCTTCTTCTTCTTCTCCTCCTCCTCCTCGACCTTGTCCTTTCGCTTCTGCACAACCTCCCAGTTGTAAACTCTTGCTATAGCGACCTCCATTGTCTACGGCATAGTCAGCGATAACCCACCCTCGTAGTGAAGGCTGTTCAAACTTACCGTAATTTGTTCGCGGAGAAAATCCAAGTCTTCTTCGCAGTTAGACAAGCTGGTCTTTGCCGTGGATAGCTTGGAACTCAATAGTGTCTCTGCCTCGTCTATGGGGTACGAGAGCATCACGTTCGCCTGCAGAATGTCAGCTTCCTGCTGCTAAGTTTGGCGATAAGGGGACGTTACTCCTAGCCAGATGTAGACCTCCTCTGTCGCAGGAATCTTCGCCTTCGAGTACAGGGTGTCATTAAGTTCGAACGTCGTGTCTATCGCCTCGTCGTCATCCTACACCGAGCATCAGTCCTGCTTTGTCCAAGAATGCGCTGCACGTGCACACCTTTCTTAATTTCAAAAACTTGACCGAGTCAAGAGTCTTCTGGATATCCGGGATCTTCTCCTTGAGGCCACCCATTCGCTTCTGTAGGTTCATCTCCATGAATTGGTATTTCCTACCCCACCATCCAGAGTCAGCGCCAATGCCTATATCGCAAGCTGAAGAGAGCGTGCATTTGAGGGCGTGCGTCGTCCTAAAGCTTCTCGACAAAATTTGACTCACGATATCATTTCTTGGAAGCTTCGTAGAGTGGGTTCGACGTCGTCACGAGTAGAGACATAGTCCTCGACCTTGTCGACGAACGGAGCATAGGGGATGCCCCGTGGGTTTGTTGGCGTAGCATCTTTACTAGGAGGGAGTAAGCTTGTGTCTTCAATTCATGAGAGGTTGGGTTGAGTTTCTTTGGTCTCTTACCTTTGCACTGCCTCTTTTCCTTTCGACGCCATTTTGTCAGTGTCACTTTAGGTATTCGGGCGAGACGAGGTAGCTGTATGAAGCTGGGGTCAGGCGTGGGCGGGTTTTGCGACTTGGAGCATTTCGTCAGTGGGGTCTCACCTGGCTCGGTCAACGGTGAAGGTGGGGGCACTCACCTTGACTTTGACCTGTATCTCACCTCCATGATAAAATACTCAAACCGTGAAGCCTTCCTCTCCCGTCTTTCTGAGACAGGTTACAGAAACAGTCACCATATACTATACTGTAGGAGTGTGATACATTTGTAATCTCTCTAAAGACGCCCCCCCCCCCCCCCCGTTCGCAATGCGATTGCAGTTGTCTCGAGATAGTCTAACAATGCCTGACAGGAGTGTATTCCTTTTGCACTGATTATTGTTGGCGCTTTGTTTTTTCTTCTTTGGAATCGTTCTTTATGTTGATTTATAATCGAATTCCCCATATTTTGACAGCCTCTTATACGTCATTGAATAAACTTAAGTGCACGGTGTATTCTCAGTACCCTTCTCCAAAGTAACACAATGATTACAAGCTTGATGATTACATTGGTCTTATTGATTTATATAAATCACTTCCGCCTCCCAGCATTCAGTTTTCCTATCCTCCTTCCAGTGATCAATCTCATGAGTTTACGTAACGCTGTAAAGGCTCCATCATCACTCGCACGACAAGCTGGTGATTTTTAGCCAGAGACTCGCATGAAGGTGAGTCAAACCTTACGCAAGCATTTAGCTAAAACTTTCCTCAGTTATCAGAGTTGTTAGAAAAGCGATCAATATGCTCTAACTCGCTCAAGGACTGTGCCTGGTGCATACTCGAACAGAAGCTCTCACAAGAACACGCATCGATGTGAGTGATGGGCAGTAACGAGGAGTCACGTTAAACCCCTGGTCCAATAGTCTTCTCAGGCTCGGATTGAATCGCGATAAAAATGCTGTGTGATCTTCCCTAGGTACATGCGGCCTGACCGGAGTGTAGAGGCCCTCACATTAGTATGATAAACGCCTAAAGCCAACACGTAAGTGATTATCGCAAAGCTTGTTCACAAAAGCTTTTCAGTCGTCACGAGATTGACGAAATACCTACCTACCAAAGATGGCCATCACCGTTTACCTTAGACTCCCGAAACTCAACTTCTACTTTATTCTTATTGTTAGATATGAAGTGACCTTGAAAACCCTTCTCGAAATTCTCTCAGCCGAAAATGCCCTGTTTTCTCGTTGATCGAGACAGCTTCTCTCAAAGTTATCTACCTAATCCTCTGAACAGCTGTCCCTATTATGTTCCATTGGCCCCGTCGTGTCTTCAAAGATAAAAGCTCGTCTTCAGGGCTCAGTAAGTTCCAATAGATTTGGGAAGCACTTGTCAGGAGATAGACAGCCCCAAGGATTCCAAAGTAATAGCAGACCGCCTTACCAAAAAACGATACCGCAAGTGCCCATGGCCTATATCAACGGCCGGCAGTGGCATAGCAGAACGCGTCCTGAGCCTGCATATCTGGCCTCTCGTCCTCGTCGTCTTTCTAATCAACATGGAGCAGTTGGAGATGGTCTTCCTCTTCCCCAGAAGTCAGCGTCAGCTTCAGGTTCCGCCCGCCAGGACCCGGAAAGAGATCGGACTCCCTACAAGCTTAAAGCGTCGCCGCATTTGGCACACTTATTTCCTTCCGATGGTCAGCCCGTGGCCACAACACTAGCGGAACTAGTAGCCTCATCTATTGCTGACGAAGAACCTATGCTCGAAATATCAGCAGTGGTGATAACCCCATCTACTTCTGACGGAGATACTCACCCCGACTCTAAAGAGCCAACTAAACTCGGTCAAGAAACGGAATTGCTGTATATCAGGGATTGGAAATCCGCACTTTCTTTCAAGCATGGTCCCCTCACCGACTGTAATTCTGTCGCTGTTCCTTGTACAGCTGCATCTCTTCCGCCAAACCCATCGGATGGCGCGACACGATAGAGGAAAGGAATACATGTCAAGGGTTGTGGAGCAATACTTCCATCGTGGGCTAGTCATACTCCGTGCAGTTGCCATTATAGCTGGAAGTTGACTTTTCCCAAAGTCTGCACTATTCATGAGATGTGTAATTTAGCCATATCAGAACGAGAGGGGTCAAGGTGGGAATAATGCCTAGGACAGTTCAGCGTCGATATCATTTTCAATATGGGAGAATAATGGATATTCTTGTTTGGCTCCTCTGATACCAAGCAGTCACCGAGCGATCAAACACAATGTAATCAAGTTGAACATAAATCGTGCGGGGCCATCCAGTCATAAGTCGTGGCAAAGTATCTTTACATGACCATAGTTAAGCTCATCGTTCTTGTTAGTCCATTCGCTTCTTTGTATCTCCCAAGTCACCGTTGTCCGCGTTAGTTTCCAACGCCTGGGTGTTGGTTGAAGTCTCGTGTGCTTCGTCCTCGTCCCAGTCATCGTCGATCTGGTTCTCGTCCCAGTTGTCCACCTCCTCTTCCAATGTTTGAGAGCGGCTGTTCCCTTCCATGACCCCAGACTCGTGGCCTTCGCCGAGCTCAACATCACCCTGCTCTTCGCCAGGAACAGCACTGTAACGTCTACGTCGCTTGCGCTCGAGCATACGCTTGTGGTACCACGAGCAAAGGCCAACACCTAACAAACTTCCTATCACATTTGCAATAATGTCGTATAGATCAAACTCCCGACCGTTATCGAGGAAGCTTTGGACGAATTCGGAACCGACACCAAGAACGATTGTGCAAACGACCAAAGTCATATTCATAACGCGTCTTCGATTCGTATCGACAACCCAGTAAAACACAACGGTAAGCGCAAAGAAGGTGGTGAAGTGCAACACCTTGTCGTTGACATATTGGCCAAGTTGTATTGAAGTCAATCCAGCGTAGGCGGCAATGAGGAGTAGGAGCAGGAAGACGCCTAGCAAGCTATTAGTTTTATTCATGGTCAATGATTCTGTGTTTGAGTTCTGAAAATTGATCCTAGAGTGGGACGGCAGTCCATTGACAACATTGAGGCGAGTCGGACATAACGCCATGACGTACCTGCAACCGGGAGTCGTATTCGCATCATGAAGAGTCCAGTAACTAGAGTTGAGTCTGATAAGTCTAATGGAGCCTTTAACTTCCAATTTCGCATAAGAGAGTACTCGGTTCTTCAAACGTGGCGCCTTGTCAGAAACAAATGTCTGTTCTTTTATGAAAGCAAAGCCGGACAGGTTGTAATAATTCGTTGTGGAAGTCTAGGATTCAGAGCTTTGACCGAGCAGTAGGTAGGTAGTAGTTGGAGAAAATGAAAGCGTAGAGCTCTCCTCCGTGTTGGGAGCTGAGTGACGACGATAGCCCTTGTGGCGGGGCTCGTCCAACTGTGGCAGTGCATCAACTTTGATTTAACAGGGATTTGCCAGATCATCCATTCCATTGGATTAAGAAGAGTGTAACGTGGACACTTGTGCTACCCCAGACCCCAGCAAGGGGTGCAAGAAAACTGAAGACCTCCATCTCAAGCGACAAAAAGACTCAAGTGAGTTTACCATAAACCTATAGGCCTTTGGACGGTTTTGTTTTGGCACCTGAGTTTGAAGTCAGAAGCTTTCTTGCTCCCTCAAGCCGAGTTGCAGTAGATCGCTTCTTCAACCTTTGATCCCAGAGATTTCATGAGGCTTCAAATCGTTATTATTTGTACGATCATATAGAAATTAAGGAAACTACACAGACAACCAGGATTATAGCTCGCCATTGGACCGATACAACGCTGCTTCAAGGAACACCATCATCATTCACGCCTCGGGAGGTTGTAAGGCTACAACATGGAGTTTGATACTTTGGTGATCTCATTGGGGGCCCCATTTTGGGCTTGCTAGGCACAGTCACAGATGCAGGCATGCCCCCCCCCCCATACTCCTCGATCTTGTGTATCACTGGCTACAGATAATATCTGGGGTGATCTAGAAAGATGGCGTTGTTCTTCATTCATGGTTGTGGAGACAAGGATGTGTATTGCATTGTTTGCATATATTCATCGTCACTAGTAATACACCCCTTGATGAAAGGGCTCGATATAAGATCACGGTTCATACAAGATAGCCTGTGCTGAGTTCCTTATGATGGTGTCTGAAGATAGACATGCAAACAGTTGAACTCCTAGACGTTGCCTGACTTCAAGAATTTTCGACCTGCTCGTAGGTACCTTAACTAAGGAGGGCAGACAGAGTTCGGATACCATAATTCAAGACTTTGGTTTCTGACACGTGACTTGCTGACAAAGACACATGGGCTCCATCCTCGGGGCCGAAGCAGGTCCTCTGTAGGTACAGAATACATGGTGGATAAACGATGAGAAGGGAACCTGTGCCGAAGACCGGACAATCAATCAAACAAAGGAATTGGCATACCGATCAATAGTTTCAGTGGAGAGAAAAGGATTTAGCAACTCGAAACAACTCTCCAATCACCTACACTGACCGTCCTATAACCTCAGCCTCTTCAGGTCCTTAGTACCCATAACTCTCCCCCGCGAGATTCCCCCACGAGTCGGTCCAGTGCGCGCTCACTCAGGGAAAACTCTCCGCTTCGGGAAAGGTACCTGACAAGGCTCCCCCCAAATCATCAACCTCACCTCTTGAACAGACGACAAAACGGCAGAACGCGATCCATCAAAACACCACCCTCCACGTGCCATATAATCAACAAATTTTATAAGCCATCTCTACCGATGCCTCTCGTTTGTCCCATGTGGTCTTGAGCTCAGCAATCGCCCTCGGTCCCGCCGCACGCGAGCGCATCTTGTTGCGCATGGCGACTCGCGCCCCGTTGTCGCTACCATCGCCCTGGGTCCATCATGTCCATCACCAACGGCCAGCCCGCCTGGCAGCCTCCCTATTTGCACCATACCAACAGTAATAGGAGCGTATCTCATCTCGATGATGTCCCCGCGCGAACTCAGACTCCTATTGATAATCCAAGTGTGCTGATGCCTGAGGCACCACTTGACATCGAGGAAGAGAACCGACGCGCCCTATTTGCGGATTTATATCGCAAGACTGAGGACAAGGTCGCGTTGCTCTTCTCCGAAGATGGTTCATATAATTATCCCGCGATATCTGCTCTACGACGTTCTCCGCCCCCCTCCGCAAACATTATCCCTCCCACGACCGACCACGAGCCAATCAAGGAACCCCCCTTAAAGAAAGCGAAGCGCACCATCGATGAAGACGACTACGACGACGATGATGATGACGAAGAGGATGACGAGCCTTCGCAATCAGCATCAAAACCTCATTCTGCTGGAGCCCCTGCTGATACATTACTGTCGCCATCCAAATCAGGGAGCTCACCTGTTCATTCGGTGACATCACCAAGCAAGCATGGTGACAAATCCAAGGATCAAGATGGCTCACAGTCGAAAGATAAAGATGGCGAAGATGCCATCAAGAAACTTGAGGAAGCTCGTACAGCTACCGAAGCTGCCGCTCGGAGGAGTTTTCACACCATCTTTCACACCTTGGAAAATGACCATGCCGCTATGCTAGAACAGCAACAACTTGAAGATTCTGAGAAGCAGCTCCAGGCTGAGATGGATCACAACCATCATCCAATTAATAACCATAGTGCTGTCCCAAACCAAGGGTCACTCAGTAGCGCCAATCTCGGCGCTTCTAGCCTAACATTGAAACATCTCATCGCTCGTATCGACATGAAGCGAGATCAGGTTCGCGCCTCTGATGCCGAACTTCGGCTCTTGATGAACGAGGTCCGTAAGAATAGGAGTAAATGGGCCAGCGAGGAGAATGTGAACCAGGAGGAATTGTACGAGGCTTTAGAAAAGGTCTTGACAGAACTCAAGGCGCATACGGAATATTCCACTCCTTTTCTGACAAGAGTCAACAAGAGGGATGCTCCAGACTACTACAATTGTGAGACACCACGAACAGTCTCGTGCCGCTGACAAAACTAATCTACCTATAGTCATCAAAAACCCCATGGATCTCGGCACAATGACCAAGAAGTTGAAAAGTCTGACTTACAAATCCAAGGCTGATTTTGTTGTGGATCTTAACTTGATCTGGGACAATTGCCTCAGGTACAACCAAGATATGAACCACCCTCTACGACGCATGGCCAATGGAATGAGAAAGGAAGCAGAGAAACTTATTCCATTGATACCAGATCTTGTCATCCGCTCTCGAGCAGAGGTTGAGGCAGAAGAACGGCGAAAACAGAATGGTGGGGACGACGATGCTGGAGAGGATTCCGATGACGAGCCCATTATGTCTTCACGAGGTCGCAAAGCTGGCGCAAAGGGGACAAGCAAGGCACGAAAGGCTCCAAACGATCAGAAAGAGGACACACCAGCAATAGATCAGAAGCCCATTCTTCAAGTAAATGGGCTTCTAGGAAAAGTCCGAGAGGGCTCAGAGGTTGACGGCAGCAATGGCTTTGCGACTCCACCGATTGTCGGCTCGCTCACACCAAGCGGGGTCAACGGCCATTCCGGAATGGGGAGCAACGCCGATGCCATGGACATTGATGGGCCAAGTATCAATGGCCTGGCACTGAACTCAGCGTTTGGTGAAGCTGCCGAGCAGGCTTTTGAGGATGAAGAGTACAAAGTATGGAAGCAAACTACTAAGAAGGATCGAGCTCTGGTTGCCAAGGAGCGATTCCAGCTTTTCAAGGACAACAAGTTCAACACCGAAGCCCCTGCACTCGTTCGCTCCAAGGCTGGTATGCGTCGATTCCTTAAGCGACAAAGGGAGGCAGAGGCAGAAGGTATCATTACTCATTCTCAAGCAAACTCTACAGCTGTGGCTTCGGAAGATTCGGCAACAAAGCCAACCGAGACTCTGGCTGAGGAAATTGAGGAAGAAGAGGCTAAGGTGATACCCGACTACTATGATACGTTGAGCAACATACCGGATATTCACCCCAAACTTCAATGGGTCGAAGATGGAGAAGGGAAAGTTATCAACCAGCACGAGGAGTTTCTACGCCTGGTGCCACCTGGGTCATTTACAGCACCAACAAGTCGTCTGACGAAGAAGATGGATGAGAATATTCATCAGATTCAAGAGACAAGGAAACTCGCAACCAGGATCTCGGTTATCAAGCAGATGCAAGTTCAAACTCAGGTATGTCAAAACCATGATGGATGCTGCCCATTTACTAATGTGATATAGGTGTATACAAACCAATTTCCCAAGTCAAACTCGGATCCCTTCGTGGAACAGGATATTGAGCCTCATTTCATCAGCGATGATGGCCCTGTAATGGCCCCCGAAACATGCCAAAACGCCCTCAAGCGCTCTATTGCCAAAGTCCTCTACCATACTGGATTCGAGGAACTTCAGCCATCAGCCATGGACGCCTTCACTAGCGTTGCATCAGACTACTTTCAGAAGCTGTGCCGCACTTTTAATGTTTACAACGAGTCAGAAAAGAAGCCATCTCCGGTGCATGCTCAGGGGTCCAAATTTCAGCCCAGATTCACTCCCGAGGAAGTCATCCTCCACACCCTGGACGAGAATGGTCATGACATCAGTTCGTTGGAATTGTACGCGAAGGATGAGCTCGATCGTTTGAGCACCAAGTTGGATGCTCTACATGAGCGGATGAAGCTTCATCTCACTGACCTACTACGACCTGCTCTATCTCAAGATGCCGGAACTGATGGGGTTGGTGCTTTCAAAGATGGCAGTGAGCAGTTCGTTAGTGGTGACTTTGCTGAGGACCTCGGTGAAGATTTCTTTGGTTTCCGGGCCTTGGGTCTGGATAAGGAGATGGGACTTGATATGATCTCCGTGCCCTTGCATCTTTTGCAGACTAGGGTTCGCAACCAATACCAGATGCAGACACAAACGACTGGCGAAGCAGCCACTGATCTCTTCGAACCACTGCCTTCTTCAGAGCCAGTCACTAAGGAGAACATTCAGGACCAAATTGGCCTGGTCAAGAACTTCTTCCTGGCTAAGCTGCACGCTAATGGCGATCAGCCCCTTGTGGAGGACGAAGACCTGCCTACCAAGCAAAAGAAACCTCGTCCACGTTTGGGCGCGAGTGGAAAGATTGTAACCGCTCAGAAACGATCTCCTAAGGAGCAATTGGCACTCGCTAAAAAGAAGAAGAAGATGGAAGCTGCTGCTGCCGAGGCTAAGGCTAATGCAAACACATCACCCGAAAAGGGCGCGCCAGGTACTACCCCTGGCAAGAAGAAGTCCATGACTGCAGCAACTGGCCCAGCCCCCAATCCTGCAGTTCTTGCTTTGGCTCCAAGCATGGAGAGGCAGGACAGCATGCTTAGTCAGGGCAACGCCAGCCAAACAGACAAGGACGACACTGTCGGCATGATGAGCCCAGAAAGCATTGCTCCGTAGTGGCGTGCAAAGCCTCAGGCAACTATAAACCATTCGAGAGTTTGGTGTCCACTATAGACACCATACCATGCCCGCTCTCGCCAACATACACTCTATTGTGCCAGTGCCTTACAACTTACTTTTCATATAAATCATGTACTACTTTTCATACATTCGGTATTGACGTCCTTTTACATACCCCGGCAGACATTTTATGGGCTTTTGAAGCTGGTCTTTGGTTTTGTCGTTATTTTTTTATCTTGCATATGAGCAACCACTCAATAAATCATCCATCCAAGGCGTTTCTGTCTCTTTACTGGTCGTTTCTGTTCGGAGCTCTGGGGTTGGCACAGCACTTACTTATTCGATACATGAGAAGACGAAAGGCCATTTTACCTAACTACACCACTCGTACACGGTGTGTTGCGCGAGTGCCTTTCCCGTCGTGATTTCCTTCGGACAACCAAAAGCAGGCATTATGTGGGTGGTTTGACTCTTGATGGCTAGTCGGCGTATGGAAAGGTCAGCACCCAATGGATTAATGAGGATGGGCACAAGTACGTCGCGGTGCATGGCAGGATGTTGCGTTCATCATATACAGACCTCGTTGTAGTTTTTCTCTTTCTTAGAAGGAACCTGGATTGATGGACTGGTGGCGAAAAGGTTAAGCAGTCATTTCATGAGATGGAAAGCCTTGGATCCAGGACCGAATGAGATATGTGGTTGAGGAGCAACAAATAAAGGAATAAGTGATGATTGAACATGAAGGCAAGCTCCCAATGTTGTGATGTTGAGCAAACAAGTGATGTGTCAGCAGTTGCAATATGTAGATAATGGATGATGAGCCTCTGACCTTTCTCTCGGTCAGGAATCTTCAAAGACTCTCAAGGTGCTGTTACCTTGCTAGCCCATATCTCACCGCTTACGCATGAAGTTACTGGTTTTGTTAACGGCGACCTAAGGGCGTCAAGCCTGAGGTCCCAATTCGAAACTTTTACTGTTCTCAAGTCGGAATACTTTCACAAACCAGAGAAGGCGAGGAGTCCTTTGCTTCAGCCATTGAATTTATTTAGCTGTATGCTACTCATTGTGGAGTGCATTTCCAACTGGTCTTGATTCCAACCCAGTGGGTACAATGACAAAACAGCTAGAGAGAGGAAATAACCATCTCAGATATCATAAACATAACCCAACTCCCACTACCTTTTTTCCAGCGATTCCATCTTGTGTTGAAGGATGCTTATATATCCCGACCTGAAAAAAAGCCCTGACCAAAAAAAGAAAAAACTAGGTATCTGCGCCGTGATGAAATGCATGCTTGTTGAACGTTTCGCCATTTGCCTCATCCATGTTAAATGCGTGTTGGAGAATAAAGGCATCACATCATGTTGAGGGATGGATGACCTTTGGAGGAGCAATCATGTCTACTGCATCTTAGATGCCGGCATCCAGACGCCAGCCCTCAACGGGAAGAGGGAAGTCGTTGCACCAAGAGGCAATCTCCTTCTTGAGGTCGTTAATCTTCTGGACCTCGCCGCTGGCGACGCGAGCCTTGAAGTCCTTGAGCTTGTTGGCCTCCTTGGGGAGGGCAGCCTGCTCCTCCTTACAGATCTTGATGGCCTCATCGATGTACTTGCCGACACGCTCGAACTCCTTCTCTCCGAAGCCACGAGAAGTCATGGCGGGGGTACCAATACGGATACCGCAAGGGGTGAGAGCAGACTTGTCACCGGGGATGGAGTTCTTGTTGCAAGCAATGTTGATTTGCTCAAGGACGGCCTCAACACGGGCACCGTCCAGGCTGTGCTGGCGAAGGTCGACGAGGACCATGTGGCTGTCAGTGCCGTCAGACACGAGCTTGTGGCCGAGAGTCTTGAAAGTGTTCTCCAGGGTCTTGGCGTTGGAAACAACCTTCTCCTGGTAGGCCTTGAAGTCAGGGCTGGCAGCCTGCTTCAGGGCAACAGCCAGAGCAGTGATGGTGTGGTTATGAGGACCACCCTGGTGGCCGGGGAAGACGGAGAAGTTGATGGGGTTCTCGAGGTCGTAGAGGGTCTCCTTGCCGGTCTTGGCATCGACGGAGCGGACACCCTTGCGGAAGAAGATCATGGCACCACGGGGACCACGGAGAGACTTGTGGGTGGTAGTTGTAACAATGTCGGCGTACTTGAAGGGAGTGGGGATGACCTCGGCAGCAATGAGACCGGAGATGTGAGCCATATCGACAACAAGGTAGGCACCGACGGAGTCGGCGATCTTGCGCATGCGCTCGTAGTCAATGAGACGGCAGTAAGCAGAGGTACCAGCAACAAGGACCTTAGGGCGGAAGAGAATGGCGTTCTTCTGGAGTGTATCATAGTCAATGATGCCGGTGTCGAGGTCGACACGGTAAGGCATGGTCTCAAAGTAAGTAGAGATAGCAGAGATCCTTTCGTATGATTAGCATATTGCCACAGGCGTGCCAGGACTGATCTGTTGGCAAACTCACTTCTTCTGGGGGGTCTGGTAACCGTGGCTCAGATGGCCACCATGGGGAAGGTCGAGACCCATGAGACGGCCGTGGACAGGCATGATAGCCTGGTAGACCTGGAGGTTGGCAGGGGATCCAGAAAGGCACTGGACGTTGACACCCCACTTCTCGGAGTCGAGGTGGAAAGCCTCAAGAGCACGCTGCTGGCACAGACGCTCGATCTGGTCGATGTGCTGGTTGCCACCATAGTAACGAGCACCGGGGTAACCCTCAGAGTACTTGTTGGACATGGGGGAACCAAGGGCATCGAAGACAGCGCGGGAGGTGATGTTCTCGGAGGCGATGAGGATAATGGACTCGCGCTGACGCTTAATCTCATCCTTCTGCAGCGGGCGTAAGTCATTGTCGACTGGAAATGACCAAGACACTCAATTGAGTAGGACATACCATGATGGAGGCGACCTCAGGGTCGGAGTCGAGGAGAGACTTCTCAAGCATCTAGAGGAGTGTGAGTCAATCGATCTTGTATACCCTCAACAATTAAACGAGGGGCAATGGCGGGGGGAGGGAAGCTCACCTCCTTGTGCGACTCAGAGAGCGCATACTCGGCGTTTGTGGGAGACATTGTTAATGTTATCGGTGAGTGTGGGAAAAGAAACAGGTGGGATGTCTCTCTAAAGATTTATGATTGAGTGAGTGAAGGAGGAGGAAGGGAAGAGAGTTAAAACATGTGGGAGGATCCAGGTAGAAGTAGCTCTCCAGAGAGGTCCCTCTCGTCCAAAGAAAATTTTCCCTTTTTTTGGCCTACAGGTTCCGAAGACGGCCACCACAGTACAAGTGGTGAGCTAGGGACAGGTTAGCGCATGCGGCAAAAAAGCTCAACTGTGCCGAGCGTGAGCCTCAGAAGCGATACAGGAGGATGAGCACTGAGTTGGCGGGGTCAATTAGGCGTTTGTTTTGGAGGTGCGGGGTCATTAGCCACTGGCTGCTGGGGTCCAGCTCAAAAGTTAATCCCAGTAGCCCATGTCATACAATGCCATTGGCCCTGCTGGGCTGGTTACCCTGAAGATCGACTCATGGAAGATATGGAATATGTTCCTTTTTTGCCTGTTTTTCCTACTCATGACTCTTTTATGTTTACGCAGTATGAATTGGATCTCAGATGTGTTTTGCTAGGCTGCTTAAGTTTCTGTTTGACCTAGTGGCATATGTATAGTGTGGAATCAAAGTAGTTGACTGTCGTGGTACATTGAATGACTGTGTTGAGTGCACGTAGGTCGGTGGCCCATTGACTCAACACTTACCCATCATGCACTGTCGTTCCTGGTACAACCCGAACCACCTCCAGCATCAGTCAATTGAATATCCAACCATCTTCCCTTTCAACACCGAGACCATGTTAAACACCGAAATACGACAAAACTCCGTATTTGACTTCACGAATTCTCCCGATGTTGTGATGATTCTCACGGCGTGACCTCCCGTAGAATCCGATCACGTTTCTCCGAATCAACACAGCGCGCACCCCGCGTTTAGAGGTACATCGAAGAGTCAATGGCAACAGAGTTATGAGATCTACCGGTCTTCAATAGGCATCTGTCCATTATTGAAGGTTGTTGACCTTTCTCCGCATCTCACGAGCGTATTGTACTTCATTTTCACCCACTTGAAGCGTCAAAAACGGTCGGTGTGGCTCAGTTGGTTAGAGCGTTGGTCTCATATCTGAAATCAGATTGATCTGACGAGAAGTCAGAGTTATCCAAAGGTCGAGAGTTCGAGCCTCTCCACCGACAGGAACCTTCACTGTTTTAATACTTAAGAATCTTTATTTTACTTGGTTATTTTTTTATAAGTACCTATACTGTCTTATATAATATAAGGTTAATATATTTATTAAAGTTAATATAACTTAAGAAAAAAATATTAATCCTATACTAGATATTATAATTTATCCCTAGGTTAAAGTGATTTAAAGATTATAAGTTTAAGTCTTTTTACTTATATAAGCCTATCTACTTAATAAGCTGACTTATTAATAATTATCCTAGAAGTTTATTAAAGCTATATAGTATAATATAATATAGGTATAAATTATTAATAAGTTAATAAGTTAAAAGAGGAATTAATATATTTTCCTCCAAGTTACTTATATAAATAAACACCTATTTAACAACAATTACATATATCTGAGATACTTCACCGACTTGCCTGTATAATTCGGTCAGCTTCTGCTAACAGTCAAGGTTAATTACCACGATTCTCGGTGACTCTTGACCTGATGTTCAGAGAAATACAGAAGACGGCGCGGACTTGGGATTACAGCACATGACAATGAGCAAGAGATATAAAGAAACGTCGACTAGAACTGCGAACAGCACGAGAGAATTTGTTCCTCAGAAGACCCAAGTCACTACCTAAGGTATTGCAACGAGAAGCCTGTATCTCTCCCGAACGCTCACCAGGCCCGAAGAACCTAGTTCAAAGATCTCCTTACAGGATGAGATCAGCTACTGCGTTCAGAAAAGGCAATTGGGGGACGATTGAACTCAAAGCAACTCTTCACGCTGCCCCTGTTGTCCAGTTCGAGAGTTCATCGTCCGTAGAACATTGAGGACTGATCGCGAAGGGCAAGGTATCATCTGTTTGCTGATGGCTCTACTGAGCATATACTTGCTGGTAAACTTCTTGGCCCTTTAGACTTAGGGGTGAGTTCCATGAAAAGCTCTGACATGCAGTGCACGTGCAACAGGTATTAGTAGAGGCTTCGGAGCAACCACGGGAGGTTCAAAGCCTCCAGCTTTTCAACACTTATGATAAGACCACGATGCCCCTAGGTTAACATTGCTTCTGGAACTTCGTAGAGACCGGTCAGGAAAGGTAACATAAGATAAGTAATCCGATTACGCACAAAATCCAATCCCGAAGGAATGCCAGACTTTCGGAGGACTGGACTCTACGGTATAAGATGAGGAGAAACTCACAATCAGACCAAATACCAGTCTCAGCCCATATACGGGTTGACGGCCATGTTTCACTGCGCCTGTCCCTCCCTCCAGTCTCAGAAAATCGCAACTGTTTGTTCCACAACTGTGAATCATTACACCAAGTCAACATCGCATCACTGTGACTAGGCGATTTTAGCTGCAGGTGAGACAAGCAGACGGTATGCGCTCCTCAGCAGGTGCTGGTGTATGCGCTACGTAGCGAGGCAAGGGAGTTTTGCTTCTGTTTGTGGCTGCTTGGGCCAGCCATTCTTGACTCGAGGGACAGGTAACAATTCATTGTGGCGCGTGATTCTGTGTTGCACTTAGTATTCATTGTCGGAATGTGACTGACATTTGATATCACAGCAGTCGAGAAATGAGACCCTGTTAGTCTTGGATAGGACGAGGATGTGAATAAGGGTTATGAGCTTCAGGGACTGTCTCAAGCGGACACTTAGCAGCGGTTTGGATGCGCTAAGAGTGAAACCTTGTCAAATATCATTCTAGAAGAACTAGACTTGGTATGACTAAGGAAGTGTCGTCCTTGTGCTGAGTGTCATATCAGTTTCTTAGCCTCATTATTATTCGACTAGCTAGAGGAGTAACGAATATGCAGTGTGCGTCAATTCTACCTGGGTCGGTGTTTGAATCCGCCCAGAGGAACTATTGAATGAACCAGTCAGAGCTCATCACGTTCCAAGTCACATGACTCTGTATGCAGACCCTTTCGTTCAGGGATTGAAGAGAGATTAAGTGCTCCCTGACGTTCGCGCTAATAGACATGAGCTGTCGTTGCCGATGGACCCCATAGTGGGCCGGTAGTTGGGAGAAATTGTCCAGTGTGTGTTTGTAAACCTCCTTGAAAAGCAGGTTGAAAATTAGGTTGAAACTAGGATCGAAAAAAGACTGTGTACTCGGTTAGAGACTTCAAAACTCTTTAAAGCACCGTAGTAATGTATATCGCGACTGATCTTGACGCCAACTAGCGAGTTGAGCTCCTCTGAAACATAGCCCAATGGAGGAAAAGAAGAGGCTGGGACTCTAGCCAGGGGTAGAAAGGCAGACGGAGGGCTGCAGTCCAAGAAAAGCTGGCGCGATCTGTAGGTGGAGAGATGTTAGGCAGATCCTGGTTGAAATGATGAATGGTCTCTTGACCTCTAAAACATGCCCATCCATGTCCTGCAGGGCCTAGGCCCAGGCAGTCCCAGCACCTACGTAGGTGTACGTACTGGTTCTGTTATCCAATGGAACTGGAAACGTTGGGTCGTGACCAGATTGACAGATCCCCATCCCTCCCGTCAACCAGATAGTTCTCGCAGTCGAGACAATGCCATTCAGATCGAATGTCAAGAGATGCCATCAATGTGGGATTTCGAGCTAGTATTCCACAAACCCATAGATTGCTATTGAGAAGATACGTGTCTGTCCTAGATAAGGTACTTTCCATCTTGTCAGCTGCCGGACCGCGAGGTTTATTTCCTGCCGAATACATAGCTATTCCCGGCTGTCGGATCACCAACGGAGGCTCGGCCCGGTGCGACTTGTCACCGTTCAGAGATGATGGATTTTTGGAACCAATTGAGAACAAAGCAGAGAATCAGCCTCATGCCTCAATACAAAACGAAGCGAGAGCCATGAAATTAAACTCTGACGCGAGTGAGCAAGCCAGAGTAATAGCGGCTTGCCCTCCTGGTCGCATTATCAACGAATAAGATTGCTGAGATAGCGGTTCTTCACAACAGACAACAGAGCGAGGAAAAAGCAAGTTCGCATACATGGGCGCTGTAGAGTGGGTGTTGTGCGTCCGGCACAGGCATGAGTGTTTTACAATGTCAGTCTGGTCTAACTCTGCGTAGCGGCCTGGTAAATTGAGCCATCCTCCTCTATAAGCTACCAGGCCTGCTTCGGGGGGGGGGGGGGGGCTGAGGGCTAGAATCATTGCAGATCACACATATTGCCAATGCTGAATCAGACCACGATGAAAAGCGCTTGGCTGTTCTGTTGTGCACCTTATGTGTCACGGTGCAACGTTCGGAGAACGGCAGCGGAAGCTGGCTGGTGCGTGATTGAGGCTGCATGTAGCCTTGTTTGGAGACCAGTATTGCTGCGATGTTGTGTGATCTCATTCTCGTCGAGGTCCATTCTCTTCATATGACGATGGTATGTTATCCATCCGTGTAATATGACTTCTTCGCTTTCATGCCTTTCTATGCAAGTACAAGTGATTAACATTGAATTTTTAGGCAACCTGTTCTTGAAATAAATAAGACCAAATCTTGCGCTGAGACTAGGACACATTTGGTGTTGTACAACGTAAGGTAGCCTCCCAGCACGATACGTGTGTACCTCGCACGATGTAGCATCGCCTGTAAGTCGTTTCTGGCGACGATGTAACTTTTTTCTTCTTCTTCTTCTTCTTCTTCTTCTTCTTCTTCTTCTTCTTCTTCTTCTTCCTTTTATTTTTTTATTTGGGATACTGTAGGTGGTATGTGGATGCAATCGATTTGTGGTCGCACCGCATTTGCGTGTCCTAGGTTGTATACACACTCTGTGCTCAATAGCATATATGACACCAAGGAGCTGACGGTGATAAACGTGGGTCACATGGGTACTTAAACTGACATGCCTCTGAGGCTTGGATGCAGGATGTGGTGAGTAAATTTCTGGAGAATGCTCCCAACCAAGTGACAGCAATGCTCACGTTTTTGGCTTAAACAGATGCCACCAGGCTAAGTATAAGACTCAGACAACTCTCAGGCAGCGAAAAGTACCAAACTTGAAACTGAGTTGTGTCGGTATTCTGACAAAACCATGGACCAGCCAGGCGATATTCCTCAATGGTTCAAGGTTCAGGTTAGGTTACCTGGTAGTATAGACACAAGAGAAGTGTTCTGAATGCTCATGGCCAACACGACATGTGCCAGTATTAACATTTTCAAGATCCTGCCAAGGTCTCTTTCATGAATGGTCGGAGATGTCTCTAATTATACCACTGAAGCTCTAGTAAGCTCCCACCAGCACTCAACCTGCAGTACATAATCACCTCCACTTTTGATATGTGTCAAAAAGTACGTACTTCCTTACTTAAACCACCTTATCTAAAAAGGTACCGCCAGGGAAAAAAAACTGCAAGCCCACTATCATCATCCATCTGTCCCATTTTCTCCACTCCACAGCTCCATGTCTCCATGTCTCCATTCCCTAAGCCCCCGGCCGCCGGTTGATCCCAGAGTCAACGCCCAGACCAAGCTTCACGCCCATGACTAATTCACACGCCCCCTCCTCTTCCCCCGGAGCTGCCCTTCACCCCTTGTCCCACCTTTTCTTGTCATCTCCCGTCCCCATCTGCATCGTCACGCCCAGACAGCCCCAGCTTAAACGAGCCCTGGTGTCCTTCCTGGACCTGGCTCCAAAGGAAGAGAGTCCTCCCATCACTCAATTGCTACCGCAGATACCCATGGCCATCCCATCCCGTGGCCCGTCCTTTTTCATTAACGAGCCTCACCTTTTGTCTCTCGCCTGCTCGGGTACCCGCCAGTGGCATTCATTGATCCGTCCACACAAAATGTGACTCGACGATACTGTATGACACCCCTTGTTCCTTGTTGCTATTGTTTTCCCCTGGATGACGGCTATACGAGATGGGAAAAAAAAGATAGTACTCTCAACGCAAGGTTATTGTAAAAAAACAACAAAAACGACCGTTTCCCCTCTCGACCAAACCCTAACCAGCCACTCATCGTTATCTAACTTTATCTGTGATTTTTGCCCTGAGGTTTCTTTGGGTGCATCCCCAGACCGCCAACAAGCGCGTTGCCGCCCCCTCCCCAGCAATGGATGGCATCACCTCACCTATGTAATCCAACCAACGGCATCGATCCATTCAGCGGAGAAGGAATGACTCTACCGATTGGCTTCCAGCTCTCCTGTCGTCTCTTGCTTTGGGGCTAGTCAGACAACAGACCTTGGCCCAAGCACAAAGCAGAGAGCACCAAAACCATGGTGCTCTCTTTTTAGCAACGCCTGCCCTGTGTGGACGGCTGAATTATTATGTATGAACAGCATTAGCCATCTCTTCTTGCTTCTTTGGCCCAAGGGCATACCATGGTGATGATGAGTTCTCTGAGCCTCGTAGGCTCCGCCAGCTGAACCACGAATCATATTGTTTTTCGCTGTCATGGTGCATCGGGTTGGGAGACTTTTCATGCTACATTTGGTAGTGACAGCTCAATTGCTTTAGGCCGTGGAGATAATGGTATGAAAACATTTACACCAGCGACTTTCCCTCCTCTTTTTTTCTTCTTTTTTTTTTTTAATAAAAAAAAAAGGAATTAAAAAATTAAAAAAATCCTGAATGCATAGCTATTCCATTCGCACGATAGATAGCATTGAAGAAAAGATAATTATTAGATATGTTGTTAATAAATATCAGCAAGCTCATACAGCACTTTGGTGGCTAGGGTATTGTCAAACTTCCACCAGGCCAGGGTGACAGGGCATAATGCGCTAACATGTACCTTTGGTTTGGGCCCGGGAAACCCCTTTTTCCTCCCGCTCGCTCGTTAAGTTGTTTCCCTGGTCCATCTCCCCTTCCCAAACCAAAACAAGATGTCATGTTCCGAAACGGCGCACGACTTGCTTACGAGAAAGATGGCTCCGAAACACGTGGGAGACTTCCGGAACAGTTTAGCGGCGAGTCCGGCAAGCGGTGAAAAGATTGGCCATTCCATTCCATGCCTAACTAATATTCCATTTTCTGTTCTACTTCTTCCGCAAAGCCACCACCGCCTCGATCTGATGGACCACAATTATTATCCAGCCTCCCCTATCATCCACCACGGCTACATCATCGCCTCTCCAACGGGGATTGTGTCGTCGTTGCACGATTCGTTTGCTTGCTCGTCCTCGTTATTTTCTGACCATGTTTCTCGCCAATCTATGTCTGATACATGATGATATCATGTATCTGTTACCCGTCGCTCATCGGCTGTGGCCATTGAGTGTTTTGGGCTCTCGCTTTGGCCAGACGAATGACCGATTGTCCAGGCTACCGCAGCCAGATGGTTATAAACATCCCGAAACTTCTTCTTACGGTCGCTGGAAGAGGCTACTCGTGCAGCTATGCTTGCCCCATCAAGGCGTACATAGATCAGCATGCTCGTTGTGTTGTAAACCCATCACTCTGCCGTTGTCTCACCTCCATCCCAATCCCTAATCTGTTAAGTGCTAAGCTCAGTGTCATACCTCACCCTGGCAGAGACGAGACAGGGCACCACCCCAGGACTGTCTGTTTGAGGTACGTATCCGCTGGAACCTCTTGGCATGCATTTCAGATGTGCCACACAAAATGGAAGAGCTGGGACGTGCGTTGCTGGATTTAAATCGGTATCGTTTCGCTTGGCACCCTAGCACCCCCGAGATGAACACCATCAGTATCGATGCATGCGCGACTTTGCTCGTCTGTCTGTTCGCTCAACGGTAGACAGCCTTCTACGCGGTTGTATATGACAGACTGAATAATGGCACTGAGAGTCGCTATGGTGCCTGAAGTGGACTCGTTGAAACGTGGTTTCTGATAGATATGGTGTTAAAGTCTCAGCCCGAATTATTCCATGACGTTTATTCATCCGCCCTCTCTCTGATCAGCGTTCACCAGCACCAGATAAGCAGAGGCGGAATATCAAAGTCAATGAAGGCGGACGTGACATGGGATATGCACGCCCATACGTTTATTGCTAATGTCTGTACTAATAAGAGGGGATAAAATGGTATGGTGAATGAATAAAGTGTATTGAAGGAAACAACCCACAGCCAAATCATAGCACTGATTACTCCTGCTTGTCGAGTCCTCCTCGTTCTTGCCATGCGTCGTGTCAACTGAAGGTTGAAGCGGAGCCTCTGTAATCCCTTGCGCAAAGCGCCACCGATCCGTAGGTCGCAGAATAGAAAGACAGGGACCTGCTCGGTGCTCCATATTTATCTCATGCTTAGTAGCTTTAGGTTACCTTTGAGCGTGCAGCTTGCAGACTTGCAGTTGCAGGGCCGGTATCAGGTCCAGTACGTACTTTACTTTAGGCGGTACGTGCCTGTAAACCGCCGCCACCGGGCAGTAGGCAGTAGGGACGTAGGGGACTAGAGAGTGAAGGCTACCTAACCATGTAGGCTAAACCAGAGTAGGTTGGCGCTGTAGGGAGGGTGTGATTTGCCGGGTACAGCATCGGAAACTGAGGTGAGGTGAAAGGTGTGAGGTGTGTGGACTGTATGTAAGCTATGAGCTAACCTAACCTAACCTAACATAAACGTGAGTGAGCCTCGAGCCTCGAGAGCGCGTGCGTTGAGTTGGATGGAGTCCCAGTAGTGTGAGTGGGTTCATATCCCCCATCCCACTCCACGCCACCGTGCGCTTAAATTGCCCGCTGGTCGTGGGTTAGGTGAGTTTGGGAACGGGTTTGCTCAGGTCCTTTCTCCCCATCCTGTACTCCTCACTTTCTTCTTCTGCAACGCATTCCATGCCCGCGAAAGGCCTCATCCGTCGCGCCTTGGATTGCCCTGTATCTTATCTCTCTCATCATCCCGCTCTCTTCTATTCCCACTTGGGCTGCCATTGACCCTCGATTTCCCTGCGTATTGTTTTCGCAGCGCTTCAGCCTTAGCCGCGGCTCTGCGTCGACATTTTGTTCAATTAACTTCGCCCTTGTTACTCGTCGGGTAGGGGCCACTATCATCAACCCATCACGAACCCTTGAGCAGGAGCAGCTTTCTGAATCACGACCGCGACTCCCCTCTCTCTCAACCCTCGTGGTATTAATTCGACTTCGCGTCTGTCGCACATCAGCTGTCAAGTCCGACCCCTGCTGTACCATAGCAACTCCATCACCAGTTTCAGTGCCGACCTAATGGCGAACCATCACGCGTCGCCGACCATGATGCAAATGCAACAGCATCAGGGCCAGGTGCCCCCGCCCCCTCCGCCGCCGCCTCAGTTTGCGCCATCACATCAGATCGCGGCCATGAATGAGGCTGTTTGGTTGCAAATAGGTTAGTGGTTGTCGCGTCGCGTTCGCAAGACAAGACGACATAGGCTGACGTATGTATAGGGAGCTATGCGGAGGTTTTGCGCAATCCAGATGAAGCCATGCACGCTTACGAGCGCGCTCTTCAGGCCAACCCCAACTCAACCCAGGCCATGAACGCAATTGGCCTCCTCTACAAGACCCGCGAAGCTTTCGAGAAGGCGCTTGAGTTCTTCCGCGCCATCGTTCAGCTTGAACCCAACAACGGCGAAGCTTGGGGAAACTTGGGTATGTTTGTTGCTATGACGCGACAACACGACGCTGACCAATTACTCAGGGCACTGTTATTTAATGACAGAAAATCTGCAAAAGGCCTACGATGCATACCAACAGGCGTTGGTTAACTTGAGAGACCCTAAGGTGAGTGATTGCACACGAGGCGGAATATTCGCATTGCTCGCAATATGCTGACAAGACAACGCAGGATCCTATGTTGTGGTATGGTATTGGTATACTGTACGATCGATATGGCAGCTACGATTACGCCGAAGAAGCGTTCTCTCAAGTTATGAACATACAGCCTGATTTCGAGAAAGCAAATGAGATCTACTTCCGACTCGGTATAATATACAAACAACAGAACAAGTGGGTTCAGAGTCTTGAGGTACGTTCTGGTCTTGTGCCCACTTTTGATGCGCGTAGCTAACCTTTGCAGTGTTTCAAATACATTGTCAATTCTCCTCCCGGTCCCTTGACGCAGGAAGACATTTGGTTCCAGATTGGTCATGTCCATGAGCAGCAGAAGGATGTAAGTGTCTTGTCATAGCAGCAAACATAGCGACATGCCTAATTTGATACAGTTCGATAGCGCTAAGGCCGCCTATCAACGTGTCCTGGACCATTCACCCAACCATGCTAAGGTTCTTCAGCAGCTTGGTTGGCTGCATCACCAGCAGAGCAACACGTATGAGAGCCAAGATAGAGCCATCCAATATTTAGAGAAGTCGGTCGGCGCAGGTATGTTATGAACGCAAAACAATTTAATACCTATTCTAACATGCGAGTAGACAATCAGGATGCCCAGAGTTGGTATCTCTTGGGCCGATGCTATATGTCGCAGCAGAAGTACCCAAAGGCTTATGAGGCTTACCAACAAGCTGTTTATAGAGATGGAAAGAACCCAACTTTCTGGTGCTCCATCGGTGTGCTTTACTATCAAATCAACCAGTACAGAGACGCACTTGACGCTTATTCTCGCGCTATCAGGCTGAATCCTTATATTTCAGAAGTTTGGTATGATCTGGGAACTTTGGTATGTTGTATCGGTCAACCCTTTTCTCCTTGGTCGTATATTGACAACTTCATAGTACGAAAGCTGCAACAACCAAATTACGGATGCTCTAGATGCTTACCAGCGTGCTGCTGAGCTTGACCCCAACAACCCCCATATCAAGGCGAGACTTCAGCTCCTTCGCTCTGGTGGTACCAATGGGGGACCTCCCCCTGCTCCTCAGCCTGCAGATGTTCACCCGCAAGCTTACCAGGCGGCTGGCCCTGTTGGACCACAATGGGGAGGATCAACTCAACAGCCGCCTGCTGCCGGTCCTCCACCACCCCCTCAAGGTCCAGGAGAGAACTGGGCGGGCAGACTGTCTAACATCAACCCTCCACCACAACCCCCCAATCCATATGAAGCCCGAGGCGAGCCTTTCCGTGGAGGACCTGCGCCACCTCTGCGACAACCTAGCCCTCAGCAAGAGCAGTTGCGCCAGCCCTATAACGATCCCAACCGAGGCGGCCCTCGCCGTGGTCAAACACCCCCTCCTCCCGGCCACCAATACTCTCAACCACCGCACGTTCCTCCACAATCCCAGGCTTCTGCTCCTGCTTCTGAGCGACGAGTCGCAAATCCTAATTGGGGTGGAGCAACACCGTCAGCATCAGCACCCCCACCCAGCAACATTAACGGCCCCAACGGTCCTAACGGCATGGCTCCCTTCCGACCTACCAACAGCCCTCGACCTGATGGCCGCCCTGTTCATGACAACCGCATGCCTTCACCAAAATCCGCATACCCTCAGCACCAGGCCCCTCCTCTGTATCCTCAACATCCTGAGATGGCTGCTCAGGGAACTGAGAATGGACCTCAAGGACCATCTGGGCCGCCAGGACCTCCTCCTCCACCTGCGGTGGCGGAGGCTGCCATGCAGAGAATGGATGACCGACCACCTTCAGTCGGCCCCAAGCGCATGCGAGAGTGGGAAGAAGAATCTGCTGCCAAAAAGCAAGCCAGTGAGGAAAACCGAGTTCGACTCGATGACATGCGTCATCGAAGACCGTCTACTCCTCCTCGTGATAACTATCGTCGTAACTCTTCCGAAATTCGACGAGCAGAGGATACTCGTCGACCTGATGAACCGCGCCGCGAGGAACCCCGCAGACCCGAATCAGCCCCTCGCCATGCCACTGAGAGCTATCATCCCTCAGAAGCAGCCCACCACCCCCCGAGCCACGCCTCTGGTCCAAGCCACTTACCACCAATGCAGCAGCCACCTACTCCGATGTCTGGCGTTGTTCACGAGAAGCCACCAGTATCTGCTACACCCAAAGAAGATCGTCCCCCAAGTCTGGAACATGCTCCGCCTCCTCCTCGCGCAGCGCCCCCTGCCGAGCCTGAAAGGGCAGCAAGAAAGATGGACGTTGATGAGGACTACGATGACAGTGGGGAAGACGAGAAGAAAGCGACTATTGTCACAAATGGCTCTGGTCCCGGCTCGGCAGCTGGAGATGCCAAGACATCCACTCCCGCGAATGCTGGTGTAAACGGAGTTTCTGGTACCGTCACAAAAGTTGAATGAATGATAATTTGACAGCTGCTTGTTATTTATGAGTTGAAGACATCTCTTATCTGTGCCGATTAGTCTGCCTTTTTGTATACCACTATTATCTGGGGCGTGGTTTCTTTTGTTTGGACGGGGAGGCTCAAGACAGAAATTCAAAACCGGGGGTTATGGTCCTTCTTGGCTACGATTTCACCGGCGAACAAGATTATTATGCACATTAATTTCCTTACTCTGATCAATAAAACTCAGTTGTATCTACGTTACTTAACAAACCGTGTTCATTCAGTGACGTTAGGCTGCAGACATTTCACGCTACCCCTACATGGACACGCTAGACCACTTTCAGAAATGATTTTGTAACGAGCGAGGTCACGTGGGGGGCAGGAGGGCTCCTTCTCGGTGTTGGAATTTAGCCCTCGAAAAATGCTCACTTCTTTCAGTGTCGGCTCGGTGAAGAAGGAAGGTGGGGTTCTGGCGGTGCACGGGCCACCCCACGAATTTCGAGCAGTTCGCTTAAAATTTCGCCCACATTTTATTTCTTTATCTCTTCTTTTCTCAGGCTTTGACAACTCAGGTTCATACTAACCCCCTCAAACCACACAGCCCGCCCAAGATGAGTGTGAGTTAAGATCTCTACGACCAAAGAAATTGCTTCAGCTTGAGCAAACTGACAATATGTGCAGCACCGAAAGTATGAGGCTCCCCGCCACGGCTCCCTGGCTTATCTGCCCAGGAAGCGCGCTGCTCGTCACCGTGGAAAGGTCAAGTCGTGAGTATTTTCTGCTGCACCAACAAGAAAAATCTTTTGGGGATCTCTCCCAGCAGAGGAAGACATTGGCTAATGCATTGGGACAAATAGCTTCCCCAAGGATGACCCCAAGAAGCCTGTCCACCTGACAGCCGCTATGGGTTACAAGGCTGGTATGACCACCATCGTTCGTGACCTCGACCGACCTGGCGCCAAGGCCAACAAGAAGGAGATTGTTGAGGCGGTTACTATCGTCGATACCCCACCTGTACGAACAATGCAGCCCGCTTGGCTATGTGCCTATGGCTAACATCTTTTAGATGATCGTTGTTGGTCTTGTGGGATACATCGAGACTCCCCGAGGCCTGCGATCCCTCACCACCGTTTGGGCCGAGCATCTGAGCGACGAGCTTAAGCGCCGATTCTACAAGAACTGGTACAAGAGCAAGAAGAAGGCTTTCACCAAGTACGCCAAGAAGCACTCCGAGAACAACGGTGCCTCCATCACCCGCGAGCTCGAGCGCATCAAGAAGTACTGCACCGTCGTCCGTGTCCTCGCCCACACTCAGATCCGAAAGACCCCTCTCAAGCAGAAGAAGGCCCACCTTATGGAGATCCAGGTCAACGGTGGTTCCATCGCCGACAAGGTCTCTTTCGGTCAGGAGCTCTTCGAGAAGCCCGTTGATATCTCCAGCATCTTCGAGCAGGATGAGATGATTGACGTCGTTGCCGTCACCAAGGGTCACGGATTCGAAGGTGTCACCGCCCGTTGGGGCACCAAGAAGCTTCCTCGCAAGACCCACAAGGGTCTCCGAAAGGTTGCTTGTATCGGTGCTTGGCATCCTTCCCACGTCCAGTGGACTGTTGCCCGTGCTGGTCAGAGGGGTTACCATCACCGAACCTCCGTCAACCACAAGATCTACCGCATTGGTAAGGGCGATGCTGACGACAACGCCGCCACTGAGATCGATGTCACCAAGAAGACCATCACTCCGTATGTTACCCAATCTTGGTATCGGCTGACAATTGCTAACACTTCATAGTCTCGGTGGTTTCGTTCGCTATGGTGAGGTCAACAACGACTTCGTCATGGTCAAGGGTTCCATCCCTGGTACCAAGAAGCGAGTCATGACTCTCCGAAAGACCATGTTCCCCCAGACCTCCCGAAGAGCCCTCGAGAAGGTCAGCCTCAAGTGGATCGACACCTCGTCCGAGTTTGGACACGGTGCTTTCCAGACCCCTGCGGAGAAGAAGCAGTACCAGGGTACCCTCAAGAAGGATCTTGCCTCCGCTTAGAGCGGCTGCTTGTTTTCTTTCTTGTCTTGACCAATTCATTGCACCGGTGTCGAGGGTTGGTTCGTTACTACTGTACGCCTTGCGTTTGGGCTGGGTTAGGTTACAACTGGCGTGGAACGTAAAAAAAAGTCCAGCCAGAAGAGGGATGGCTTTCAAAAATTCTAACGAGATTCCCAATGTTAATATGACTGTACCCTCGTTCTCCGGTGAATATGTGTTTGACTAGTGTGTGTGTGTCGCCCTCTGTAGCTGTCCAAACGAAACCATCGTGTAGAGACATGCAGATAGGTACCTATGTTATCGTATCACTAAAATTGCTTTTTTACACGCATTCACTTCCTCTCAATCATCCGTCTCGAGCTGCATTGATTCTTCATTGGCCAATTGACTTTTATTTCAAGATCTCAAGATGCCAATCTAGCAGTACATAAAGTGAGGCTAGAGACCCGCAGGCAAGAGATCACAATAAGAATGATATTCATAATAATATAAGGAAGGCATCATGCACTACGCCAAAAAACACAATAATATTAAGTCTCAGTAGATCACATAGTTGTTGCCTTAACCTTGGTTATAATTTAGACGCGCTTTATTATACTGTTTCATGTCAAGATGTATGTTTCTAGGTTTACGCTTGCATTGTGTGCAAAGTTTATTGTTCCATAGTGAAGCTCCCACTTGTGATTCACGTATACTCGACCTTGACCTTGCGCAGTGAATACTCACGAGTTGTAGACGGGAATTATTCTTTGTTTGCTCATCAGTCTGATTGATACGCAAACATGGGCAAAAAGAAGAGCAAAAACAATAGCACGGAAGCCGCCTCAAGAGCACCAGCAAATGCGCTCACTACGACCCCGACTATCGTAGCGGACCCCAAACTTGGCTACAGGATCCGAGTTCTTCTCCACGATTTCCTCAACGTTGCCAAAGATTCTCGTTCAGAGAAGCGCCTCAACTCTACAATCGACGAACACTATATCAGTGCTCCATATTTTGATGAGGGACAAGCTGCGATGGTCAAAGCAGCGATTATAGATGTTGACCTTGCCAAGCATGCTGAAGCTGCCGATACTGAAGATATCGATCGATATTTGGTCTCACAACAAGGAATGAGTTTCGAAACCGCAGTTCGAACACTTCTGGGTAGTTTCCTCGACAAACGACGTGCTAGCGGTGATGCTCGACCGTGCGGACCTCATCACTTGGCGCCTTTGCATGCCAAGTTCTTCGGTATTGATTTGGAAGAACTCAAGGAGGATAAGTTCCTAGGTCGTCTGAGGAGGGCCGGCATCTAAATCAAAGTGGTATAAGTGCACTACACTCTTAATAGAATGACCTAAATACTGACTACCTAGGTACTAGGTATCTACCTTGCCTGGGTACTAGGTAATTTTAGGATCGGACCCAACAGGTCTCTCGACATGTGCTAAGTGATGGTGCTGAACCATGGCTTGTGATTGGCCGATCTACCCCTGCTGTGAATCCCATACCTGACGTCACCCCACTCCCCAAACTTGCATCTGCATGTTGCGTTACAGCTTTCGACTTAAAGCCTGAGCTGAGATCTCTCCCCCAATGACACTTCGAACTCCTTTCAGACGCCTTGCCAACCTGAATCTTGGCTCTCTTCTTACTCGAAATCAACCCGTCCTCCCGCGAACAACTACCTCTCGACACAACACAAGACTACTCAGCAACACCAGATCCCTCAACATGTCAAACGACGACGATTACATGGCTTTCCTGAACAAGGCCAACCAAGACACCGGCGCTGGTGCCGCGACTCAAGAAAAGGCTACCTTCAAGACAAAGGACCAGGGCGCTCAAGTCCCCAAACCCATCAGTGACGTGTGCAAGAACGCCATATACACATCCGACGCAGACGAGCCCTTCCAAGAGGTTTCTCTCAAGTGGGAGGGCAAGAATGGTCTCCCCAGCGAGAGTAAGAAGTACACTCCTACCGATGAAGATGATAAACTGACATGTTGTTAGCCGAATTCGCCAAACTCATCAACCACTCCTCCCCCGACTCGGCAGACATTAGGATCCTTGATCCTCTTAACTGGGACTCTCACGGCAAATACACCGACGTCATCGAGGCTGTTCGAGAAGCCTCGCAGGGTAATGATGTTCGTGTGTATCAAGTGTCGAGAGACGCTACGAGGACCGAGTATTGGGTTGTTTCGCACGCTGACGGTAAGCTGATTGGTGCTAAGGCACTCTCTGTTGAGAGCTGAGCGCGTACCGGTGGACATGTAATGACATTTTGAGCGTTTGCTCCGAGAAATTTATGAATTAGCGTAACGAGTACGTCTGAATCTGCTGTATTTATTGACTCGTGTCAGACTTCCCGCGTGTAAAGGCATGGATGGAGCACAACTGATCCAATAGCGTGAGAATTCGGCTTGACACTTTGACCCCATGGCGCTTTTGTTGAGATATAGGTTTCAACGGCCTCTAGGATCACATACCTTTTCGTATTTTAACAGCTTCCAAGATTTCTGACCACTTTGGTTGGCTAGTCTATCCATAATGAGATATCCAAATTGCCAGTCACCGATACTCAAGCCTTTGGGCGCCAGAAGACTCGAGACCATACATCAAGGTGAGAAAATAAACTGGTCAAAGAGCAAGCTAAGCTCATCATAAACTACACTAGGATATCCTGGTACTATCTAAGCCTTTTCATCACTTAGGACTCTAGTCTGAAGTTTTCTGCAACCACTGGACAAGGTTAACATATATGACAAACTTGACCTGCTGGTACCACTGCCTTAACCACCACCGCCAGAACTCAGTTGTGGGCAAAGCTAGTGACTGACGTATACTTCCGATCCTATTTCTTGGTTGTTACTGCCTACCTTATGTAAATATCTATATTGTAATAGTACTTGCTGAGGCTTTCCTACTGATTAAAAACCGAAGCTAGGGGTAGAGATTGTGTCAAATGTCCACGCAGATACGATTGTGCACCATACAGGCGTTGCTGGATATACGGCACCATTGATCCAAATTCCCAAGAATATCCATAAAAGTATCAACAGTGTAACCTATATGAGCAGACTGAAGTCTTAATAAACCTAAACAAAAAGGTTACTTCCAGCCGGAGCAACTCAAGTTTCTAATCAAGATCAAAGCACTTTAATGATATGATCCACGGCGACCTTGTTAATCAGCTCGATTTGAAGTGCTAGATCATATTTCTAATTATTGTCAAGATCATTTGTTGTGATAGAAACCACCAATATCTCGATTTGGAGCCACCCTAGAGTGAAGTCCTTGGGTCTCTTGCACTGCATCAACACATTCCGTGACGTGGACCAACATGATAGTGTGTTAGGGCTATATGGCAATGGAAACGCACGAGGTATGGAGCTGAGCTAAGAGATAATATCATGGCAGCCACGGTCGTCAAGACGAAAACTTCGTCGCCGATACCAGATACAAATAACTTCAACAGAGCGGCAAATATTTATTTCATGTTCATTTAATGTATTCATTTCTCATAGATGCCCACTGTCGAGCTCGGTATCTTCATATGCCGATTCCTCCTTAGAATTACAGTGACAGAACTCCCGTTAATCAAATGCCCCAAGACCGCCGGTAATGCAAGAAACCCAATAACGAAACATCCATGTCTTTCCTGGAACCTATTCAATCGGTACGTAGCATATCTGGCGGCACCGGAGAATCCCTCTTTAAACCAGGACTGGAACCAAGTCTACTGAGAGTATTTTCTGGTAGCATGAGTATGACTTGGCTCTCCTCATCTTGGCGCGCGATTGGAGTCTTGATATCCAAGTCCATCTCACCAGTCATGTGCTGAGGCCTTTCTGGTACTGTAAGACAGCTGCTCGTGTCAGACATTTCGACGTCGTTATTCTCTTTCAAGATGCCGTTCAAGCTCTCAAAGTTATCCGTGTTTGGTGTCGGTGCCGTGAGAAAGGTGATGAGGGGTGCCTTAATCGCCGTCACAGGTGTCTTGATTTCTTCAACGTCTTTGGCTTTGGCAGCCTCAGCTCTCAGAGCAGCAATGGACCCTCCAATGTTCTCGTCATCACCGTCATCCTCTTGGCCAATTGTCCATACCCACCGACGCTTCTTCTCCTTTTTCTTGCGCTTTGAGATGCCCTTTGGCCCTGACGGGGAAAGGGGAGTACCTGATGCGGCCAGTCCTGTCATGCGGCGACGCATATCCTCAAAAGGCCCAGGCGTCTGTCCTCCATCTTGGATCTCGTTTGGTGTGAATGCCAAGGCTAGATCGATGGCACTCTGGGGCTGAGGGGGCACGCATGGAGGGGAGTGTGGCGAAGCCTCCTCAACGAGGAGGTCAATGTGAGATTTCGTGTACTTGTTCGTCACAATTTCCTGAGTGAGGGGGTTATTGTAGCACACTCTTCGATTTGCTCTATCTTGGAGCCGCCGTGACTGTCGCCGTGGAGACGGAGGAGGAATGGCCGTGGGTGGGGGAAGAGGCGAGTTGCGTAAAATACTGTGAAGTGATCGAGGATGTGTGTAAGGGGCCTGCAGGGTCAACTCAGCAAGAGTTTGTGGGCGAGCCAGAGCACGCTTCTCGGGTCGTAAGCTATCATTCCTGGCTGGGGCCGCGGATATATCAGCAGGGGAAAAGCTAAAGGCCTTGGTAGTGTTTGAATCTATTGGACCAGCAGACAGAGGAGGCGTGGCCGTCATTGTGCTCGGGTAGTTGATTTCCAGTCCTGGATGTGGTGAAGGAGCTGTGTCGGATGAAGGAGTCTCAGGGTATGAAGCGACATAAGGCGTAACAACTCGGTGTTTCGGGTCCTGTCGTTCCACTGGAGTTGTCAAACTGAAAGCCTGGAAAGTATTGATGGCAGTAATGGGCTCATGCTGAGATGGGGTTGCCCTTTCGATTGTGGTAACGTAGACATTGGACAACGTGTTAAAGGCAGTTGGATCCTTTGGGTCCACTGCATAACTTCTCGACGACCTGGTGGCCGGACTACATGCTGTCTTGATCTGAAGTGAAAGTCGGGGCTTCTTGGGCGGAGCTTGAGAAGATGCCATGGTGCTAGATGTAGTTGTAGTTGATAGGTAGATCAAGAAGGCTGCTATGCCGGAGTACACAAGAGATGAGCTGCCGGATTGCCTTCGTTGAGTTGCAGGTGACTGTGTCTATCAACCAACAGACAAGCAACCAACGTCCAACAGGCCTAGGCGGAGACGCTGTTACCGAGAGGCCGGAACCGACAGGGATTATAAAAACGTTGCAATGTCAAAAACGCAGAAACAACGCGAACAAACAGCGAGAAACGAGGACATTGCATCTATATAGGATGATAGACAGTGAGACATGCGTCTCACTGGATCTTGGGTGGGCGGGGAGACATAACCAGGGCTTTCATCTGCTCTTTGACCCAGTCCTGACACCCAAACAAGCGCCACTAGGCATGCATGCAGTGTGATAAGCCTTCCATGACCTAGACGCGGAAATATCGGGGGGTTTAGAAGGATTCAGCCCTGGGAGACTCTGACCTGCCAAAAGCGTAGCAAGTTGACGAGGATGTCATTGGCGGGTGCTGTGGTTGGTTCGCCAGAGCAACTTGGTGGGAAGCGTTAGAGGCGCAAGCGCCGAAGTTGAATGTATGATCCTAGTGAGCTTCAATCATGTCCAATCACGCGGCTAACAAGTCGGCTCTTTCACTCGCGCTGGCGTCTATGCAAGAGGGTTTCCAATGTCCCCTCCCTTAGACGACATGGCGCCTTGGCGTGGAGGAGTTGAGAAGAGAATGACTGGTCATTTGCGTTATCGCCATGTTTTTGAGAACTTCTTTTGCATGTATAATCAAAAACGATCCTTCCCAAGTGTGTGTCTAAGGAGTTTTCGAAAAGTCGGTATGATCCTTCGACGAGAACAAATACCCAACTGCGGCGGGGTGATGCTCAGCCATGTTCTAAGCCATGATTTTGACAAGCCTTGCCCCTGTTTTCAAAGCTTCGGCCATCTTTGTTGAAATTGCACTTGTTGAGTTAGGGCTGACACAAAAGCGCTGACAGTCTTCAAACAAACAATAACGATGCGATGAGAAGAATGATGATTGACAACAACTAAAGTCCAGAAACGATTAACAAGTGCGGTAAATGCAAGTCTTTCAAAGCCTAGAGTCGACGCCATTAGCTGGGCCAGACAACCTTCTTTTGCAAATCGAGTATATACCTGGGCGGCTACAGCGCAACTGTGGATGGCCGAAACTGCGTAGTAGTGTACGTCCGGACAAGGATCAAAGCGGGGGACTAGAGTCAGACTCGCTTGAGTTGAGAAGGATCGGAAACAGCTGAAGAAGTGGCTGGATCGTACGGACAAGATGCTGATTTCCCCTGCGAGATTGTGACTGTTTATCCAACCGAGCATCGAGTCTACCCACTCGTCAAAAGCAGGGATAAGGTGTTGGTGTTTGCAGTACTCCTGAGAATGACCGACATAGGTAGCTTCCAGCATGTCACATAATGGGTACCGCATCCGTAATTCTCATAACGTCATCCTTTGGAAATTGATTTCTACCGCTTCATTGGAACGAATGAAGTAGAAGTATTAGCTTATTCGCTGCGGACACGAACATGAGGGTATCATGTGTCGGGAGCGAGAGTAGCCTGAAGCAAGATTATAGATATCGCGTCTATTCCTGCACCAGATCAGATTCGAAAAACAAGACCTGTTTTGTTCTTCGGGCGATTAAGTCCAGGGTGATTCATTTCATCAAGAAACCCAATCGTTGTTTGCTGATACAGGTAACTTTGATGATGCAGGGCGTGGTGTAAGTCACATCCATAGAAATGGAGGTGCGGACGCATCGACGCCTCAGGCATGGACAGACCCAGCGCCCTGCATACCCAAGGGACCTTGGTACCTAGGTAGAAGGCAACAGCACTAACTTGCAGGCACACCGTGAATGAGCACCCGAACTGATGGTGCGTTCCCAGAATTTCATGCCCAGAATTGATTTCATGTGCAGACTCTTCCATTGCACGCAGTTTCATTATTTGAATTCACAAGATCGCGGATTCAGACCGACTCTTTGAACAAGGCCTGAATATTGAGTTGCATTTCACTCTCGACAACTTCCATCCGTCCGCTCGCACATGAAACTTGAGCCCATGTTCCTCCCCAATCCTTCGCCCATCAGGTTGGCAGCCATAATCAAGGATGGAGCCGCCGAGGAAGAAGAGACCTAAAAGGAATGACGCTCGAATTATCTTGCAATTCGTGCGTTCCAGCCACCAAGCTCCAATCATAACCTTGGTCGTTGCTAACTGGCTGGACTGTATAGGACTACGACTGTTTCTATGCACAAGTCTTTGAAAACAAGGACGCAAAGCTCAAGAAATTGCCATTGGGCGTCAAGCAAAAGAATTGTCTAGCGACCTGCAACTACAATGCTCGGGCTCGCGGTCTCACAAAGCTTATGTCCGTCTCTGAAGCGAAAAGATTGTGCCCAGAGCTTGTCCTCGTCGACGGCGAGGACCTTACGCCATTCCGTGATATGAGCAAGACCCTATTCAACTTCTTTAAAACCTTTTCGTGGAATCACAAAGTTGAACGTCTGGGATTTGATGAGGTGTTCATGGGTATGTTGTCATCTCGCAACCTAAACAAATTATAGCGTTGGCTAAGACCACAATGTTCTCGCAGACGTAACTGATATCATTGAGTACAACCTATCCTGCCTCAACCGAGCATCCTTGGAAGAGTCTTTCTTTTGCCTTTCCAAAAGTGATCCTGAACGAGGATTTCACTGCGATGTGACGAGCATTGCCGGATGTGTTGAAGGCCTAGCCATTTCCACCCCTGACCTAAACAACCCAGCCTATATGCGCCTCATGTTGGGATCGCATTTTGCCCAGTTCCTACGAAAACAGGTGGAAGAAAAATATGGGTTTACATCCACTTGCGGGATCTCAACTAACAAGATGCTCAGCAAACTCGTCGGCAGCAAGAATAAGCCTAGAAACCAAACGACACTAATGGCTATTACCGAAGACGAGGTGATCGCCTTCGTAGACACCCACAAATTGCGAAGAATTCCCGGGCTAGGGTTTAAAACTGTTCAGGTACTGGGTACTCAGGCTGGTGCTGACATGAGTAAAGGTGTATCCGAGATTCCAGAGTTGAGTGACAATCCTGTGACAGTTGCCGATGTCCGCCTCCACCCTGACATCTCGCCCGGAGCAATAGAAAAGCTACTTACAGGGCCCGGGTCAGAGAAAGGGGTAGGTGTACGAATCTGGAGCTTGCTACATGGAGTCGATCCAACTGCTGTTAAGGAAGCCAGCGATGTGCCAACCCAGATTAGTATCGAAGATACCTATAAGGGCTTAGATACTCTGGCACACATAACAGAAGAGCTACACAAGCTATCATGCTCACTCATTCGAAGAATGAGGACAGACCTTCTCGTACCTGACGATGGGGCAGACACTCCAGGGGCACAAAAATGGATTGCCCGACCAAAGACATTGCGATTAGCGCTCAGGACATGGGCGTATCTGCACTCAGCGCAAGGTCAGAATTACAGTCGCGTCTCTCGATCTGGGTCCCTACCGCATTTTATCTTTGATTCCAAAGATGACATAGCTCATATTGCGGAACGGCTTGTTAGTGAAGCCCTGTTGCCACTGCTCCGGCGTCTGTCCCCGGAAAAGGGACAGCGATGGAATCTACAGATGCTCAATATCTGCGTGGCAAACATGGTTGTTGGTGCAGCGGATGACAAGACGGGAGCAGGCAGGGACATATCTGTCATGTTTAAACGTCAAGACGAAGTGCTGAAGCCCTTTCAAGTGATGCAAGACAAGCATGTTGCACAGAGTGAGGAAATTACACAAACGGTGCCAGAAGGCGACGGTGAAGACGAAGAAGACAATGACTGGGACATGGGTGACAATGCATTATGTCCTCTTTGTGGTCATTGTATTCCTTTGTTCGCTGTGTCGGCGCATCAGAGATATCATGAAATGGAAGGGTCTGAATAGGTATGCAGTGTGCCGTGTGCTTTGACCATGATCTTTCCCAGGCACAAGTATGGTCTGTTCTTTGCTTCTTTACTTCTTTGCTTCTATGCTTTCCCCACTCGTACTATTAAAGCTTTGAAAGGCGCCAAAAGGAAATAGATGTGATATTCTTACACAAAGTTTCCAGTTGCAGCGCATCGATTTTGCAGCTATCACGCGGCCTGCCTCATGCTCACCGATGGCTCGACCGAAATACGGTAACACAACCCTCTGATTTGTACATCGATTAGCCACGATACACCGGGCAGTGAAGCCGAAGGGCTTTGCGTCACACTAGTAGCTCGATTGTTTTGAGATGCTCGATTGAATGACAATGTGGCGGGTATACTTGATCATTACAATATTGACCTGGAGCCAGGCTCAAAACGTCCACTTTTATATATATCCGCACTCTTAGTTCAGCGAATGCTAGGGTCGATCATGTCTCTCACTAAGACATCTTCTTGTCGATTAACAGCCCAATAGGTTCTGAACAACCTCCGTCCGGGTTGCGAGTAACACAACGTTGCGGAGTTGCAGCCCCCTTCATACAGAGGTCAAAGTATCTTTTGTTGTGCGGTGATAGTATTGATGAAAAGTTTGTTGGAAAGACTCAGGATAGAATGAATTATTATAATAGAAGATGACAGTAATAATCAAAGTGTAAAAGATGTCGAGTTTCACTGACCTGACCAGAAAGATGCAGCTGCATGAGGCACGTAACGAAGTGAAGCGATCCGGGTCCATATCTTTCTGTCTACCAATGCATACACTTATAGGTACTAGAGAAGCAGGTGCACGCAGTGAGCCGAATGACCCCATACACATCGTACATTGTGACACTGCTGTACCGTACCCGCGTTTGCCCCCCCGTCTGCGGGAGTTGGGTACCTAGGCGAGCTTTTCGAGGCAATGGTGGTATATAGATATGGAGTGGTTTATCGAACTGGCACTGGTAGCGACCAGTAACATTCGGCTGCCAGCTGGCGACACTGTCAAAGCCTCTGGCGAAGCATCATCCTGAAGGTGCACCGCATTCACTCCTGCCTTCCCTGACTTTGTCACCTCGTCGCCTCCCTTCCCACTTTCCTCTATATTTTACTTCCTTTCACAGGTAACTCCTTCCATTCACTTCTTCCTCGCTGTAACCGCGTTGTAAACATGCAAAGCAAGAAATCTACTGCGGAAACCACGCGACTGTATCCGTATCTTCCCTTGCGCTTGGCATGTTGCCTTCTCTTCTTCTTTGTGTCTGTGTTCTATTCTCATCCGACCATTCTTTGTTTGTAACTTCACTTTCGTCGTTACCACCGACTACTTCTGGTGCTGTTGTTCGCTCGGCTTTGCTATACCAACTGCATCGAGCCGGCCACCTGTTTACGACTTCTGTTTGACTGACTATACGCTTTCCATGATTGAGATGCCCAGCGCGAGACACATTTCGGTCTAAGAAGAAACCAAACCCCAGGTATTTGTTGTGTTGGTATCGTCTGCGCCTTTCACTGATACCACAGCTTGACGCAACTTGATCATTCCTCGACGCTCAAAGCACTCATACTATTACGATCCTTACCTCTACAAAAGAAAAGTTAAGAAGACTGTTTGAGATCGACACCAGGCAAGATCGTCAGAGATCTGCCTTGCCCAAGCAGATCAGTCCTCTAGCTTTCCAGGATTCCAAACACCGAAATCATGGCTCGAGGTGGACGAGGAAGTCCAGTCCCTCGCCGGCCAGTTGACCTGACCGGTATTGTCTCTATTGCTGAGAAAAACGACTTGACCACTCTTATCACCGCCATCACAGAGAAGCTTCACAACGACATCAGCGTCATATTTGATTCTCCTCCTGTCAAACCTACTCTGGGAGACTTGGGCGATATCGGCCATCATCACTGGCTGGCTTTGTCACTCAAGACGAATGGAAAGGAGAATGTGAAACCTCGAGCTCCTTCTATGTGCAAACCTGTAGCAGCGGTGTCACAGAAGAGCGCTGATACAAGCCAGTCCCCAGATAAGGACAACTCGGAGAACATCATGCCTCAGCTGAGGGAGCTTAAGAAAGAGGCTCTCATCTTCTTCCGAAAGTGGCAGTCAATCTTTCTGCAGCGTCTTCGCGATATAAGTGTCATGGAACCAAATGGTTCTCAATCTAACAGTCGTGGCCGTGGCCGTGGAACTGCACGAGCTGCACGAGGTGGACGCGTGGCTCGTGGTGGGAGAGGGGGTGGTCGTGGAGATATTGGAGGCATTGAAGGCCTAACACTGGCAAATGGTAGGTTCACACAAGTTCCTTGACGTGTTGTCTTTCTCTGTTGAAGTCATATAAGTGTTTTCAAAGCTAATATTAACAAGGTACTCCCCGCACCCCTTCAAATCACGTTGATCGTGAACTATCTCGCCGTTTCCCCCCTATTCCGACTTCCCTCTGGACTTTACCACTCGATAAGCGCAAGCTATTGCTGCACATTTCACTTTTGATTCTTATCTCGCTTCAGGAGTATACTGCATATGCTCGTATGACTCTTCTGAACCTGACCTCATCCCTGAACCTCCCCTTGAAGGTGCTTCATGAGGAAGAGAAGCGCATCGCGGAGGGTTTCAGTCAACTTGCAGTTGACGCAGCCATTGAGCAAGCATCTGAACCGAATCAAGATGAGAATAAACCTGTCCTAAAATCAAAGGCACGAATTGCTGCTATGACTGGTCCCTTCCGACTTGGAACACAGCTTATTGCTGTAGGTATCGGAACTCCCCATGGTGGGCTCGGACTACGACTTCCAAACGCTGCTGGTCTCCTGGGACCTATGGCAGATAACGGCCCTTCTACTGGCTCCATGCTTGGGATCTATATGGCAAGGCCCACTGAGAAAATGATTGAGTCATTCTCCCGAGAGATCCAGGACTTTGGCCTTGTTCCTACCCGCGGAGGTCTTCAAAGGGATTATGTTGATGCAAAAGCTATCCCAGCCAGCTGCCGACGATTACGCTTGGTGATTGCTATGAATGGTTGGGTAGCAGACAAGGACAACCTCATTGGGCCTTGGAAGATTCTTGGAGATAATGGGGAGGTTTATGTTCTGCGATGGGAAATGAACGTACTCACCAACATAGGTACTGCACTTGAGACGGTTGTAAAAAGTTCAGCCTGGGCCGTTGCCAAGAAAGCTATATCTTCGCAAACAAGTACGTTGAAATTTCATATGATTAGCGAGAAACACTAACATAAAATAGTTTTCAAAAGCCTTATCGAAGCCACCTGGCCAACCGAGCTCATGAAAGTGAGCAAGATCATTGATAACCCCTGGAGCATGGGCATGGTCCGCGCTGAGAAAGCCGGTGCGGTGCTGGCCGACGCTATAATGCGCAGCAAGATTCAAGGAGACCGTCCTGTATCCCTTATTGGGTTCAGCTTGGCAGCCCGAGCTATCTATGTTTGTCTGATGATTCTTGCTGAGAGGCGTCAGTTCGGCCTCATCGATTCCGTCGTCTTGATGGGCACACCCGCTCCCTCAGAGAGCCGGGTTTGGTTGACCCTCAAGAGTGTTGTGTCTGGTCGGCTAATCAACGTCTTTTCAGAAAGCGACTATCTTTTAGGATTTTTGTATCGTACCTCCAACATTCACTTCGGCGTAGCAGGCCTGCAACGAATCCAGGGAGCAGATGGTGTCGAAAACCACGACGTTAGCAATCTTGTGAACGGACATTTGCGTTATTCCACCCTGGTTGGAAAGATCCTCAAGGATATTCACTGGGAGGACCTGGACCTGAACGCCTAGAAAGCGGAGAAGCTGCGCAGGACCACTTAGAACGAGAAAAGTGTCGGCATCATATTAGTCAGGACTGGACAGGATGAGAGTATCTTTGCTAATGGAACACCAACAAGATTGCAGAAGCAAGGTTTATATGTAAGATTACACCAAAGTGCACTTTAGATTCGCATTCCCATAGGGGCAGGGTGGTCATTAAAGATATTCTTTCTTTGTATGAATCTCATAGCCTCTAACTCCCTCAATTCCAAAGCCTTGACATAGTGCAGCACTCCTGTCCCGCCCCTTATGCTGATGTGTATGCTAACGACAACTACCATGCATATGTACGTCTGTATGCTCTAGTTGAGAAATGGTGAACCCAAGCATCCAGCCAGATTGAGCAAATCGGGGATCCAATATTTTGTCTATTATAGACGAGATGCAATGCCCTCTATTCCCTCCTTTCACTCCACCTTCTTCTCATTTGGAACTGTGCGTGCTTATGCAGTAACATCTGACAGTTCCACCCTTGAAGGCCTTGACTTCTCCATGCTCTATTCGTCTAGAACTTCTTGGTACTCGAGTCGTATATCTTTTCTCTTCCCCACCATCACCACCTAGATTATTACAAAACGTGGTATCGTACACAATAGACCCTCCTCATTTTGCTTTTCTGGCTTGTAATTGAACATCTTCTTGCTTGCCCAAGGCGAGGATGATTTGTGTTTTGTTGTCATTGCACAGTTACAGTCATGAGAAGCCTCTCATGTAAGTAATTGGTCCCTCGATATTTCATCCTCACGTCGGAGGGGTTGTGCCAAGCATACTAGGAACTTGCTTTCGAATGAGCCCGCGAGCACCTCGCCCTTCTACACGAGGCATGCCTTGAATAGAACGAGGCTCACGCATTAGAGATCTATCGAGACGTGCAGGCGTTCTCGTCACGACTGTTCGATACTCCCCTGGAAAGTTTCCCTTGGGTAACGGCACTGATGCAGTCCGCCAGATATGATCGGACGTGTCACCGAGCCAAGCAGGGATCTTGCTGTTGGAGCTGCCTCGAGGAGGGGCATAGCCACCGTAAGTAGAGGCGCCATGAGATGCACGGATGGTGGAGAGGCGGGACAGACCCGTCGATAACCCGGAACGGCCTCGGGCCTTCTTAGCCATGATGATCTCGTCAAATACACGAATCGAGGCGTTATTGGCTGGCTGCATCTCTCGGTCGTGGATAAACTCATTGAAGCCTTTTGAGTTCAGAGTTAGTATTAAGACCGTTCAAACGTTAAAGAGGTGTGGCCTAAACTTACACTGTGTTTCCCGCATCATAGTAGCATAGTCGTGCTGATCATGTGGAAGACTTTTGATAAAACCATCCATATCAAAGGCATACAGCTGGCCGTTTGCTTTTTGCTGCTTTGAAGGTCGTCCAAGGTACTTGCGGTACGTATACAAGAGACTTGCAAGGCAGCGAACAAAGGCTGCTCGGATTCGATCAGGATGAAATGCCTCCGGGCAGACAAGCGAAGCATGGCCGAGACATCTGCCGTGGGAGAAGATCTTGCAGCCTGTGCACTTGTAAATGCCATCTCCCTCGGCATGGTCATTGCAAATATTGCAGATCGATGTGTTGTCCTTGGGGATCCAGTTGAAGCAATGACCCTCGACCCAAACTGTTGTCTCTGTGTTTCGGACAGGCTGGATCTGCATACTGGGCATGATAGTTGATGCCGCAAGCGTTGACTGTGCGTAGGTTGAAGGTGCATATCCATTTCCATATCCACCACCACCACTACTACCACCACCAACAACGGAGTTCTGAGAGTCCACCGAGATAGCTGAAATTGACAGGTTTGCTTGATGACCGTTGAGGAAGGGGAGGTTTGGCTTGTGATATGGCGGGTGCTTATCGATGCCAAAGGACGAGCTGCGTCGCATCTTTTCTTCGCCAAAATGTCCAGAGCGCTTCTCTCGAAGAGTCGCCGCCAAAGCAAAGCCAGAGTCGCTTCGAGAAACTGGCGTGGAGGGCATTGGCGGGAAGTTTATCGAAACAGGGGATACAGACGACTGAGGACTGGTTTTACCAGACTTGCTTGTGCTGGGTCTGTCCGATTTGCCGTTGTCCACCTTGGCCGAAGCGAAAGCATTGAACAGTGGTGGCAGGACCTCATTTGGCGGGTCTGGCTCGCCAAATCCCGAGGAGCTCTGGGACACCCATTTGCCTAGGGTGCTCTTGGGCGTCGCGGATCTGAAAAGCGCGGCATTTTCAGTGGAGAAGGCGTCATAGGGGAATGATTCCATGGCATAAGGAGGTGGTCCAGTTGTGACTCCATATCGCAGTTTGTGGGGCGCCGCGACCTGCAGAAGAGACATGAGTTTCCTTCGGGCCTGACGAGGAAGTCGAACGGGTTGTGATGTAGCATCAATAGTATCCTTGTCCAAGTCAACGAGCACATAATCGTCCTCGGGGAGTTCAATTCTATCGTAACGTCGCTCAATGCCGACGATATATGGGCAAGGCGCTTCGAGAGCCGACAGAAGTCGCGCAGGGAGGACGGGAATGAAAATACTTGACCATTTCAGGGGGTATAGCAGGTTTGCTAGTGCATGGCAGGCGAGGTGCAACATGCTGGTGTGAGAGGAGAGGAAGATGATTCGGGATTCGGCCATAGCATACTCGAACAGAGCGACAATGTTCTCAAGTGACAAGCAACGGAAGAGGGCATAGAGATCGATGGATCGCGAACCGGGGATCTCATTGTCTGCCTCCTTCCGAGCATAAAGTCGCAATTCGCGCACTCCTAGTTCAACCTGAGTCTTGGATCCTAGGGGATTGAATGCCTCGGTGCATAGGTTTACGACATATCGCTCAAGAGGTTGCCAGCGTCCCACGCTGGGTGAGCTTGGGGGAATTCTTAGGACACCCCCATCTGTCATGGGGGTAACGATAGCCTTAAGCCACTCTTTCCAGAAGGACATATTGGCTGCGTCTCGGCCCAAGATACCATATGCGCGAGGCGTCCAGAGTCCGCTCTCGCCAGCAGTGAGACCCTCGATCTTAGACGCGGCTCCATGTCTCAGGGGCCTAAGCATGTCCGTCATGAGGGTGATCTTTTCTTCCACAGTGCTAATTTCATCCTCGAGCCTCTCACGTGCTGGAGAGCCTGACGGGATTGTAGGGAGTTTTGCAAGGAGTTGTGAAAGATGGGTGCGTTCACCAGCCAAGCGAACTCCCAAGCTAGCTGCCAGCTCTCGCTCTTCTTCAGACATGTGACTTTGGCGCCATTGCTCGCACTTCTTTTCCACTTCCTCTGCCACCTCGGCATTGAGAGCAGTCCAGATGATAATAGTTATGCCGTATAGCTTGGAGTTATCGTCCGAGGTCATAGTAAACCCATGCCATGTAGATCGAGGTCGGTCGTCGGACGAAACAATCTGAATGTCGTTGGGAAAAGCAAACATGGGCACATAGTCAGGAAATTTCCCACGTCGAGTAATCTCATCTGTAGCCTCCTGAGGAGGATATCGGTCAAGAAGGACCGGTTCAAAGCGTCGTTTGAGAGGATGCATATCGGGGTCGGTGTTAAGGGGTTCGGGGGGAGGGATTACGGAGTTGTAATTGCTGAGTCGTCTCGTGGTTCGGATCGAGGCTATCATTATAAGTTAGCGAACGTCCCTGTATTCGCCTGACAGTTTGATAAGATCAAACCCCAGAGCATGACGAAAACAAACCTGCGCGACTGGTGCTGATCCTGTTGCTGGGTTGCTTGCGCACACTGTTCATATCCCTAAAGCTCATCTTGCGGCGGATGCTACCCTTAATGCTCCTGAGAGGACTCAGTCTACCGCTGTCGCTTTCCTCTGCCTTGATCCTCTCTGCCCGAGGATTCACCATTGGTGCACGAGCTTGCACTTTTGCGCCCGCACTGAATGACAGGTCCTCGAGAAATACCTCTCTCTCAGCGGCAAATTTGACCAGAGCCTTATCAAAGTCGAAGTCGCCCATCAGCATGGAGCCCTCACCAAGGATGCCGCTGGGGCCGGCATTTTGGCCATTGGTACTGCTGTGGCCATTACCATTACCATTGGTATTGCCAAAATTAGGGGGGTTTATAGCACGAATGGTGGCGCTGCTGCGGTTGCTTTTGGTATTGCCGTCTGTCTCGTCGAGAGTATGTATGGAGAAACGGTCGGTGAGAGATATCCGAGAGAGACGGTTGGCAGAGCCCTGGCGTGAGTGCCGTGCTTTTGCTTTTGGTTGGTCGCCGTTTGTATCTTCATCCTCAGACTCGCCATCCTCGACAATGGTAGACTCGACGGGAACAACAACGGGGGCGGGCTGGGAGTTGGGATCGTGGTAGGACACCGACTCTACGCCGGCGATCCAGAAATAATCGGCGAGAGGGGTCGATGAGTTCTCCATGACATGTCAATCGTAGTGTTTGGGCCACAAACGGGCGAAACAGAAGCGAATGGGGGGTCGTAGGCAAAAGCAATCGAGTCAGTTGCCAGTGTATTCTGCTTGACTTGCTGTCGTTTTGATCTGAAGAGGTGGGCGATCGACGAGACAAAATCAGGTCGGGTTGCTGGGGTTTCAGTTAGGTCATGAACGACACGACCAGTACCAGGGCTTTTTTATCAGGCGAGTACGAAGACAGCGATAACGGTAAGTTCAGCTGTGGGCGACTCACGACCAAGCGAAGACCGTTGCTTTTCGAGGCCGAATCTGGACGAACAATAGGCTCGGAACGTGGTAAGTACAGATGATGCGCTTGAGGAGACGCAGCAATGCTGTATGTGTAGCGATGAGCCAGTCGCCCAGAGCCGCTCCTGGTTGTACGTAACGGGAGCCAAGAGTTAGTTTAAAGTGGATGGACGAGCCAGCTAAAAATCTAACGGAGGGGATGAAGGAGATGCAAGAACTCCAGAAAGCCACCGAGCCCAAATGTTCAAGAAGAAAGTGAAAGAGTTGAAAGGAAAAAGGCCGTGATAAAGAGAGTAGAAGGATGAGATGAGAAAATGGCACAATCCAGGAGAAAGAACGAGGATTCAGTGTCGATCTGTGCTCATACAGCAACTTTTGGGTACCGTATTGGGTTATCTAACGAGGAACGTGGATGAAGTACAGGTACTTGTGAACGTTGGTATCGGATACCTCGTTTTCCAGCCCAAAGACAGCGATGGAGCAAAGAAGGCTGCAAGGGGTGTCGATGCAAGCTAAGAACCTGGAGGAGGCTCCTTTTAGTGAGTGACTGACTGACGATGAGCGATTGATGAATTTAGGGTCCAGGTCCCAAATCTTTCTATCCACGAAAAAGTTGGAGAAGAACGAGCTGCAGCTTCCTTTGGTGGGCGCCTGTCCAGGGGTTTCCCGGGATGGCTGTCTAGTTAGGTACGTTAGCTCTCGTAGGGGCTGCCACACAGCCCGTACGCCTAAAGCCGTGGGGTTGCAGTGTCGGGTGGTAGGGGACCTCTTTCTTAGGGGACCGACCACTGAGAAGTGCGCCTGATATTCAACCGCTGGGAGCGTGACGACTTTCTACCATCCATCCATTCCTCTTAGTTGCTATTATGATACTCACCGCTGGCTTCAATTTGAACTGCAGACAATCACTACAAGGTTTCTACATATATACTCTGTGCAGCATAGTAGCATATCGCACAAACCGGGGCTGGGACGACAAGGGTTATTACATACATGGCATTGTATGGATCATGCAGGTGAGTGAGTGAGCAACAAAATCCATCGCTGTTTAACAGACCATGTGCTTCCCTCAAGCTAGCAACGAATATTTACTATCCGACCTTTTATTAAGGCACTTCACGATCGCTCAAGTCAAATAACAAAATCTACCACACGCACTTCTGCTGCAAGGTACCTGACAGCTAGCTGCTGGCTGACTGGCTTTTGGTGTGCTAAGGAAATTGACCGATTCCGCAAGCAAGCAAGCCGTCGATCTTGAGGCGCACGCCGTCGCTTTTTCCAAGCGCTACTATTCGATGGATGCACCCATCAACGGCTGGCCATCCACGTATCCAGATGCAGCACAATACATTCAGTGCAGGTACGTGGATTATATGCTGTGTTCAATTCGGCTTTCTCTCTCTCTCTTCCGGCAACCCTTCAGCCTCAGGGGTTTCAGGCGAGCGCCAGCGGATCCACGGGCCATAACAGATTTGTTCACTAATGTCTTCCCCCATCCATTGTGCTCTGTTCGAAGCCCGCACCAGGATTCGTCAAGTATGATTCGGATATGGATATGCGCTCTTCACCTCCACCGCTCGTTCAACTCTGTTTGCGGTACAGTGTACCTGTAAAGTCGCGCGTGTGGTATGTTCCACGATCATGCTGCAGGCCAGGAATCGCTAGTTAGTGTCAGGTCTTATCCCCTGACCTCCAGGAGGCAGGCTTCATGGGTGTCCCTCCCGTCCCCATAACAATACCCACTTAGTCGCCGTCTTTGCTCCATCAGCTAAGGATTGTGGTGACACATTAGCTAGTGAGCCAACATCCCCCAAGTGATGGATGTTGGCTGGAGTGCTTATCGATCATGGGTTCAAGTCTGCCTTCTGGACATACAAAGGAAACAACAGTCCTCAACTTAAAAATAATTTTATCGCAAAGGTAACGGTCCCGACGGGGCGGCCACGCTGCGGTGGCAACACTGCATACGATATGAGGCGTCAACAATCTGTATGTATCTGTAGGCGTGCCTGCGTATGTATGCGGGATACTGGATCCGTCTGCATCAACATGCTTCACCCAGCTGCATGCTTGATGCAGTGGACAGGTGGAAAACGGCACTCATCACCGATGGCGTCTGATGAGTTGTCCTATTCTGTGATCTCCCCCTTTGTGCCTGATATCAGTCAAACCGAACTTTCAGTGCAGCAACAGCCTGATGTGCTGTCGCTTTGAAATGATGGATGGCCTCTTAAGGGTGCCGTACAGATACCTACATACATTACACTACCTGTGTAGGTATGATCCTGAGCGGCACGAGTAACCCGGCGAAGAGCGTGAGACACAGTCCTGTGTCGTACAGAACCGGGACACGGTCAGGGATGGTCTTGGTTCGAGTTTGATTCTGTCTGGGCCGGTGTTCAGTCCCCATTGAAGTGCAAGATCCCCCATTTGTATCGCCCCGGCCAAAGTCAACCACGGGTTGCGTAACGGCTGTACGGGTGTTGGATAAAGTGCTTTGTGCCTATTCTCTGGAACACATCGTGATAAATTAATGAGCAATCGACGGGAGAAGGATGTGAAACCATGAAGCCCAAATAAGTGAGAAAAGAATAAAACCCCGATTGGTGTCTCAGCGTCTTGTCTTTAGTGTTTACCGACCACTGTCCCGTCCTCACCGTTTTCGTGGGGACAATGTGTGGAGGGTGTGTCGGAAACGCTACACATATCAAGATCGTGTTTGGCGGGGACTCAAGACGACTTTGATCTTTCTTTACTTTCCCTTGTTTGTTTGTGTCTGTGTTTGTGATTCATATCATTCAATTTCTGACGCGTCGCCTGACTACCTCTTCGAGATGTCATGAGGGGCATTGCTTTTTTCATGGATTCTTTCATGATGCAGGGCAGGCGTTATAGGGCCGCCTACGTCAGTTGTGTCTCCATCCGACTTAATCGGACCTTGACGCTATAATGGGTGGGTGCCGTTCAGAGACGGCGTCTCTGATAGTTAGCGTCTCTCCACAATCTTTACTGCAATGGGAGCTGAAAAACAATGCAAGAAGTAAACGGTACGTTTTTCGACCCGCTCTTGCTTTGATGGTACAACCCAACGTAAGGTACGCAGATACTTACCTACTAGACCTAAGGTAGAATACCAAGGCTTGCCCTGACATCGTTCCTCCCGATCGACGGTCGAGTTGTACAAGGGAGGCAGGTGAGACGCTGATGGTTGCCCGTCTCGAATCCCAAAATTGACAAAACCCTGTAGATCTTGTTGATGGAAATGGACGACTCTTGCCATTTACAGAATTCGACGCCGTCCTTGACACAAGGTCATGATTGGACGAGACTCGAGCCTTGTTGAACGACGTGCTTCCTTATTAATGTTTCCCCAACTCCTGCTCAATTAAACACGAATCTCTCTTTCAACCCTCCTTTCTTCTTCCTTTCACATGACTATTGCGAGGCTAAAATTCAGTGATACTTCCCAATGAATATTTGATTCTGGGCCTAATAGTTGACTTTTGAGGCGTTGCCAAATTTGGCACCCGCGTCAATAGTCTAGGGGCAGTGGCCAAGAAAAGCCTCCTAACATAGGTCAAAGTCAGGGCCAAAGACAAATGCCCCCTGACGGATCTCATGGAATACGAAAGCACGAGCCATGTTGTGATGCAGGTACGGAGCATTGACAGTGATAGACGATATCGACACACTAGGAATGCCTCCGTAGTAAACACACTAATACGCGAAGCACACACGCCTTAAACATCTGGCATCCACCCTCCACTCCATCTTTGTTTGTATGTATACATGGGGCCCGCGTTGGCCAATCCAAGAGCCTTATTCAAGTCGCCATCGACGAGACAGGAAATCAAAAAAGAAACAGGATCAATATGAAGAAACTTAGACTGGGGACCTACTCAGCCCTGGAACTTTTCTCCTGACTCGGCAATTCCTTGAATTAACTTTCAGACACCGTCTAGCCACATTCAGGGAATCTAAACTTGGATATTTGCTACTAAATTCAGAGGGCTATATAAATCTAACAGAGCATGAATGTCATCGGGCCAGCTCAAGCTGATCATATTACCATGGCCCAGTCCATTGCTATCTTTAGCAAGTCATGAGCCGAATCCAATACAAACTCGATCTTCTGACACATGACAACTCACCTTGTCAAATAGTATAGGTAGTCATATTTGACGAATCGAATGATTTTGTATGTCAATTCCCTTCAAGTACCTATCGTCATGTTTCCACGCAAGCCGAGCTAAATTTTCTTGATTAGTGTTCACAGAGTTACAGAACGACTTATGCTCCCTTAAACTGTTCGCTCGGGCTTTCAGCTCAACTATGGACCGCGACCTGACACCAGGGGGCACCGATTAGGCTCGGAATTGTCAAGCTCGCAGAAAGACGTTGCTTCGTCCTTGTTCATCTCTCGGAGCACTCGTCCTTCATCGGTCTGTATGTTGAGTATCAGGTAAACTGCTGAACAACCAAGCTAGGCCTAAGCGCATGGCCGTCACAATCATACTAATGCCGCCATCCCATCCACCCACAACACTTACACCTCGACGGCGTCGTCTGTTTCAGGTCGCTCTCCACGTTGGACCGTGTGTTACGTACCAGGCCATTGGTCCCCCTCTACGATAGCAAGTGCTACAACGCGGCTATCATCGATCTTAGTGTGATGCATTGTTTCGATTGATATTCGCTCATCCCGGTCGATCGCCACGGCCTCCTTATCCTAGTCCCCGGGGTTCTTTGCTTCTGAAGAGAATCTTTCGAGCTTGAAACAAAGTGGTTCGAGGGAGGAACCGCGTACGTCTCTGATTTGAAATAAAGTCTGAACCTACAGACTATACTCGCGAGTCAACTACTCAGGATTCGTGTATACATACACTCTGCAAAGCAGAACGGACAATTTAGGTATCACTTGGAATACAGCCATTGCCGTTCGGAATTTCGATCTGGTCTCTTCAGTTCGATTTTCCACATTACAAGGATGCAATATGATATCAGCTCATTATTGCTCAATTCTGGATACAAAACATTGTTCGTCAATCCCGTCATGGAGCATTTACGCTATATTATTTCGAGTACTGGGGTTGACTCTTCCAACAAGTAGTCAGCGCCATTACTATCACTAATTGCTCTTTTGAGTGACATACTTTTCGAACCCTGTACCGAGTTGCAATACCCAAATTCTTACAAAAACTGTCACAGCTTCGTCTCATGGAATCATGCAGCTCACACTGAGTTGCCCGACGAGGATGGGCCCTGCTGTGAAGTCGACGGAGGGTTCAAGCATTGCATAGCCACATACTGTCTACATCCTGGCCCCCCAGCGACTCCTTTTCGTGCTCCTGTAATAGCAAGGCGCAATCGGCAATTGGACGTGATGAAGCCCCCTGCCGTCAATCACTCAAATCAGAAACACTAGCAAGAACAAGAACCAGAATGTCTTGGTGATGAACAGTGGCCTTTACCATTGGCTCCCAAGTCTTAGACAAATGCTTGTATGGCATCTGGTATGTCAAAGCCTTTAGATAAGGTTTAAGACACGGCTCACAAGCGAGATCGGCTTGAAAGAACTCTGTTCAGCCCTGGGCCCTGGACATCCATAGACTATCGAAATTTGTGGACTGGGGGGTAGACAACGAAGATCATGATCACAAAATGTCGTGTTGAGGCGTCGTAGCGTCCTCGCCTTTAGCAACTGAATGCTACGGGTATCATTCATTCGTCGTTTTGAGGGGTTCTCTTCATCGTGCTGCGGCTCGTCTTGTGCCTAATTTCCCAGTAGCCAGATATCCTCTATTTCCCATCTCACCTCTCCATCCAATTCCCAATGATCCAAAGATAATCCTCCCGTCCGGTGTCACCTCCACACCCGACTCGGTGCCGTCCTCCGCGACCACGAAGCAAACCTGCTCCACTTCACCCGGATGCAGCACCGGCTTTTCGCTCCCGCTCGATTCCCAGTTGCAGTCTCGATACCGCAACCCAGGCTCCGTATCTAGTACCACCTTCTCCAGCTGCACCACGTCTTCGCTACAGTTCTCCAGCTGCGCCTCGAGCACCCATTGCCCGTGTTCTTGAGTGTTGTTGGAGTTCAGGGGACCCACCTTGGTGCGCACGATGAGTGAAGCTTTGCAGATAAACTGGTACAGCTTCCGGAAAGTTCTTGTTCGTCCACTTGTCTCTGTCGCCTCATAGTAGCTCACTGTTACCGCAAGCACGTGGTTACCCTCCTCCTTAAGATCGAACGAGACCACTTTCTGCAAGGTACCTCCAGACTCAAGATCAACTTCAGGTTGGCCATTTGAGGGGCCAAGCTCAAGGCGCTGAACAGCACCCATACCAGGTGTCTTCATCTCTGCTTCGATGCGCACATCGCGAATATTTTTGGCAGCATCTATTGGTAGTTCATTGTTCGCGCAAAGAGTGCAGCTAAAAGTCTCGCCGACATATGCTGAACCAAACGATACTGGAAGGTTGACGGCAGGACTAAGAAGGAAAGGAGATGGGTTCGAGGCAGCTTCGGAATGGTACGCGAGCGAAGCAGGGATCGGGGCTGACTTGATGGATGCGCCTACTGAGGAGGGAGGATCGATCGGGTATTGAGTTACGAGCGACGGACGCGACAACCTTAAAGTTGACTGTACGTTAGCTAGGTAAAGCTCGGAGCTATCTGGACCTGGACTCATATAGCTAGGTAGCTCACCGAAGCACTTTGAGCGAGATAGAATGGGGCTCCTTGACTGGATCGTGGGAGGGATATCGCTGATGGCTCATCTTGTCATGTTTTCTTCGGGGCAATTACTACACTGTAACACAATCGTGATAATTAAGTGTATTTAGTAGTCGTATGTAGGTGGTATGTCTAGATTTCAAGGTTACATGCGATGCGACAAGGACGTTTGTTCTCTTATCGATAAGGGGACGGTCCCCTCATCAAGCACGACCGGCCATCCAAGGTACTAACCTAACTTAGTGGGTAAGGTAGGCATGTTAGTACCTTACATCATGCCGAACCACATGCGAGTTCTCAGAGTTCATCAGCTTCAAAAGTAAAAACTTGCTAATATAAGAACTAATGAATAATCCTTACGCTGCATATTAGTATCTACAACTTTTACGAGCTAGAACCATTAGAAACGCCATGTCCCTGGTCTGTCAGATAGTAAATATACTTAGGAAACGTCACCTTCTTCACTGCGAGTGTAATGTACTTCGACCTGCAATATGTCATTCCTAAAAACCAACTTTGCGACCTACTGGAAAGCAATACTGCTATTTCTTAATCGCATCCATACAAAGATGGTTCGATGTAGATTCCTACTCAAATAGCTCGTAATCGCATGCGAGACCTGAATCAACACTCTTTCTTTCTGCAATGCAAACTGGAGCGTTCACGTACAGAGCCATGGAATTCCATATCCAGCGGCATGCTTTTCTGTCAAGATCTGTAATTCTGTGGCTCCCCTTTGGTGATGGGTAATCCAATCAAAAATCAAAGTCCTGGTGGAGGAGGAACCTGCGGAATGTTAGCATATACCCAAGGGGAAGATATCTTGTAAAATGCGAGCTAACTATCTCGGCATCTATGTCACATACCGAACCGTAGCTCCCGCCTGTTCCGGGAGGGGACCCAGAAGGGGGAGGCGGGGGAGGTGCCGAGCTGGGCGGCGGCGGAGGAGGAGGAGCGGCTTCACTTGGGGGCGGAGGAGGAGGTGAAGCTGACTGCCCAGGGGTGGCGCCAGGAGCGCCGGGAGCCTGAGCTTGAGCCTGAGCTCCATAGTATTGCTGGTACATAGCAACATAGCTGTAGTAAATCGTCAGCATCACGAAGCAGGCATCTCGAGCGGCCAGTTCTACTTACTTAGCATAACCACCATAGGCTGCGTAAGGGTCTGCGCCACCGTAGTACTGGGCGTACTGGGCGGCATAGTCAGCAGCATTCGTCGGACTGTTCACGCCAGCAGGGGCTGGACTGTTTGAAGCACCACCCGGGTTAGACCCGTATCCACCATAGCCAGAACCGCCATATGAACCATGAGAAGCTCCGTGTGAGCCACCATGGGAATGGTTACGGTCACTGCCACCATTGTAACGATCGCCCCCGTAGCGGTCCCCTCCATAGCGGTCGCCGCCGTAGCGCGGTGGACGACTCTTAAACTCTTCGTACTGTTCCTTGACATTGGCGATTAGGTCCTCGCAAAGCTCCTTTGCTTTCGCAACCATATTGGGGTCAGGACCGCTGCGTTTATGTTAGCCATGAATGTCCCAAAGCAACAAGCACGTCAACTCACGTCACATGGAGGAACATGTCTTCATCGCTCTCCTGGTTAGTGGCTGCCTCGAGATACCCAGAACCTCGTCCCTTAATCTGCACACGGCAAGTTGTCTCTTGCTGGATATGCTTTACGTAGGCACCTCCATGTCCAACGACCTGAGCACGCAAATTGAACCCATGTACGGGCTCTAGGCTGATAGGGATCTTCTCTTCGGGCCATTTACGCTACAAAGACTGTCAGCATCCTTGTTCCACACGTAAATCGCGAGAACCTTACTCGACCAAACTCGTCACGTTCAACCTGCTCCTGGTCTCGACGGCGGAAACGCCTTTCATCGACAAGCTGAGGGAGTTCCTGTTGAATAAGTTCGTTGATCTTGGCGACAGCAGCCTCCAAGCCAGACTTGCTCGTGCTCGTGATGTGAAGGTACAACGGAGGATTCTATAAGGGATTAGAGTAAGACCCAACCAAGACTAAAAGATGTTCTTACCGCGGCGGTTGCCATACTCTTGTTGGGATAGTAGCTGCCACGGGTGGTTATATCTTGCTAAGTCAATATTATATCCTACAAAAAAACATGAAGGAATTGCGTACCAGCGCCGGTTTCGTCTTTGATCTAATCAAGTGGGAGTCAGCAGGAGCAACGAAGGGGGTATTGAAGCGAGCTATCAAGCTGTAAGCATGATATTCTCGATCCAAGTGCAGAGATAACTCCAAAGGAGCGGTTCTGGGAAGATCAGTGGGCTTTAAATCAGGAGTATTTACCATTTTCTGCGTGGACCCCTTGGTAAGGAGGTAGCGATTCCTTAGGTCATTGACTTCGATATCCTGGATATAGTCGCCATCTGCAACATACATCTCGCCATCGAGTGCCGGAGCTGTCTTGTTTGCGCTTTGTGGTGTCGAAGTTGTTCGCGGCGGTGGTGAGTCGGTTTCAGCAGACCTGATGGGAGGCACATCGACGTGCTGGATTCCCTTACGAGCTTGGAGCTGCGCGTTGATGCGAGCCGCAGCGGCAGCTATATATTATGTTAGAGACGTGTGCGGACAAACTTTGTCGCGATGGCTTTGAAAGAAAGAAGAAGAAAAAGGCATGGGGCAGGGTCACAAACCAGCGGCAGCGGCAGCATCAGTTGGAGATTTCCTTGCCTCGGGGGTTGCATCTTTTGCAATGGGGCTACGATCTCTTCCGGGCTCAGAGCGACGCGATGGGGGAGATCGAGAGCGACGGTCAAATCGCGATGTCCTCTTGGGTTCCGGCTCTGTCTGGTCGAAGCGCGAACGCTTCACCGTTCGTCGTTCTGTTTCGTCCATACTCGACGAGTTGCGAATATTGAAACGAAAATTGGGGGATGTAGGTTGGAACTACGCCGCGTGGGAGTACAGCTGTTACAGAAAGGTACCGAGTTGTCGATAATGGTCTATATGTACCTATGTATCAATGCAAATCCGGTGTGAAAAATAGCAACCGAAATGCGCCTGTGTTGAAGTGGAGTTGATGTTTGATGGTCTACGGAGCAGCAGCTTGAAGCACGTACCTCTTTCAGCCTTCCGCCACATGTGGCTGGTGAGCTACCCGAAACCGGCGGTTGCGAATGTGGGGGAGAGCTTGGGACAATAGATATAGCAATAGGCAACATGAGGTAAAAGTGCAGGCGAGTGCGGAAGGCAACCGAGAGTATAAGTGTTTGATTATGTCATGAGCACTGAACTTAGTTGCCCAGGCTAATTTATTTTGTAACGCTCTGACTTTTCGATTCCTCTGGTAGAGTTCCTTCTAGGTGATTATCAGGTGCTTCTTCATTGGACAATTAGCTTGGTAGTGTGGCTTGGCTGAGCCCTGCATGGTCTACAAGGAACCTGGGGAATGTCATGGGCATGAACTGGGGGTCAATTACTGTATTGCATCAAGTTATTCGCCTGCCTATAGAACAATCCAACCCCTGTAGTCACTTTCCGACTCAATGATTCATTCATATGGCATGAGCCATTGCCAGTGGTATGTAAGCTCGACAACAACCCTATCTCCATAGCTCCTGATAACCTAGACTCGGAGCTTACAGCGGACCCCTGCTGAGCTGATCCGTGCCCCCGCGCAAACACCTGCCCCCGTGTCTCTGTAGCCTCCGGTCACCGGCCTATCGATGGCCCATTGATTTTTTCGGCATTTCCCTCGACCTATCTCTTCCTGACTTTGAGTCACCTTCATCCCATCCTCCGCCCTGACCAATTGCTATTTCTACCGTGTTGAGACCCTTCTTGTTCTGAACAGAGAACTGTTCCTGTTCTCCTGTCTCCGCAAGATGGCTTCTCTACGGCCCTTGACTTCGTCCCTCCGCTGGGTCGCCTCCGCGAGAGGCGTCGCCGCTGTGCGATATAGCTCCTCGTCGACCTCCGCCATCGCCTACAAGGCCCTCCGCCGTCGCTCTGCTCCCCTTCCCGTGAGCGACAATCCTCCTGCGTGGTCCGCTCAGGCCGCCGTCTCCAACATTCTTTACGAGACCCCAGTCCCTTCAACCGCTCCCCCCAAGCGCCATATACTCAACTGTCTGGTCCAGAACGAGCCTGGTGTTCTGTCCCGTGTTTCCGGAATTTTGGCAGCTCGCGGGTTCAACATTGACTCTCTGGTCGTGTGTAACACTGAGGTTGACGACCTTTCTCGCATGACCATTGTCCTCACTGGTCAAGATGGCGTTGTTGAGCAGGCTCGCCGACAGCTTGAGGATCTGGTTCCTGTCTGGGCCGTCCTCGACTATACCAACGCAGCTCTTGTCCAGCGCGAGCTTCTCCTTGCCAAGATCAACATCCTTGGTCCCGAGTACTTCGAGGAGCTCCTCCACCACCACCGCGAGATTGCTGCTGGCGAGACTGATGTCGACTACGCGCATGAGGCCATTGAACGTAGCCTCTCCGATACCGCCAAGGACTTCCACCCCAGCAAGTTGGCCGTCAGTCAAGCTCTGCGACACAAGCACGAGCATCTTAAGTCGATCACTTACTTCGCCCACCAGTTTGGCGGCAAGGTCCTAGATATCAGCACCAACAGCTGCATTGTTGAAGTGTATGTTACCCACCCTCTCCCTCTTGTCTACTCATTCATGCGCAATACTGACATGCGGTTCCAGTTCTGCTAAGCAGTCACGTATCGACTCGTTCCTCAAGCTTGTTGCTCCCTTTGGCATTCTTGAGTCTGCCCGTACAGGTCTGATGGCTCTACCCCGATCTCCTCTGTCTGAAGGTAACCAGGAGTCCCTTGTCATGGAGGCAGACGAGGTTGTCGATGCTAGTCAGCTCCCTCCTGGTTAAATTAGATAGATACCTCAATTAGTGACCCGACCCAATGGCGTTTTCAAGGAAAGGATCTGATTTAATTGATTTAATTCCCAAGACTATTTTTATCGTTCGTGCGCCAATGCTCCACCTCCTGTCAAGTGTGGCTAGTAAATGATATCGTATCCATTCGTATTCCGTCTTCTCGCCATACTTTAGAACTTGCCCTTGTTGACGACGAAGCCTTCCAAGGCAGCTGTCGATGTTAGGATCATGCTTCGAAATGAAACAGCGTAAAGACTTACAAACAGCGGCCCAGAGACGGTTCTCGGCCTCGGGAAATACCAGAGAGCGGGGGCTGTAGAAGACCTCATCGGCAACCTCCTCAGGATGTCGAGGGAGGCAGTGCATGAACTTCCAGTCCGACTTTGCACCTCCTCGCTTTGCAAGGTCGTTCGTAATCTGGAAACCAGCAAAGTCCTTGAGGCGCTTCTGGGTGTCAGCTTCCTGGCCCATGGAAACCCATGTATCAGTCACCAGGATATTGGCATCCTTAACGGCCTCCTCAGGGACGTTAGTCTCAAAAAGCTTGCCGGGTGAGGACACGCCGTCAGCAGCGGAACTGATGAGTTGCCTCATGTTGTCAGGAATCTCATATCCTTTGGGGGCAGCAACTGATATGTCAACACCCATCTTGACACAACCGATGGCGAGATCGAACAGAACGTTGTTGGCATCGCCGACCCAGGCGACCTTGAGACCATTGAGGCCCAGGGTAGCTCCCTTGGCGCTTGCTGATGGGAAAGTTTCATGGAGAGTGAGGAAGTCAGCGATCGTCTGCAGAGGATGGAAGTCATCAGACAGAGCGTTGATGACAGGAACACTTGAGTGCTTAGCGAGATTAGCGACATCAGAGTGAGGTCCAACTCGAGCGACCATACAGGAGGTCATTGAAGAAATGACAACCGAAGTGTCGTATAGCGACTCGTTAACCTTGGTAGGCATTAGCATAGATCTTCATCATGTAAGTGCAATACTTACACCAAGCTGAATATCATCCTTCCCGAGAAACATGGGATGGCCACCAAGCATAGTCACAGCAGCTTCAGTGGAAACTCGAGTACGGGTGCTGCGCTTGCTGAACATCATAGCAACAGTCTTACCAGCAAGGCCGGCATTGAGATAGCTGGCGGGAGCTCCACCCTTGACAGCTATTTTTCGAGTGTTGGCATCACGAACAAGGTTGGCAAACTCATTGGGAGTAAGATCAGCAATTGTCATGAGATGCCTAGGTGTCGCAGCCTGTGAATACGCTCGTTTCTGAAGGCCTGCAGCGGCCCCTCGAGCGATTCGGAAAGCTGAGGTCTTCATCTTGAGCTGTGTGTTGAGTGAGTGAGCCAATGAGTGATTGTAAAATTAAAAATGAGCTCTGAAGCCTACAATTGAGTTGAACGTCAGATCGAAGTAAGAAAGTGAGCTTTTCTTTAAGCCAATGGCTTAAGTAGGTCAAGATATGATGATGAGTCTGTGGTAGGAGGAGTCACCATTGGAGGGCCATGTCCTGGTTGTTTCTTTCTCCAGCCCAAAAAGCATGTGCCCCACTTTGATGTGATGTTAAGCCGGTCTCGGGACGCTGACTATAATAAGGTATCTATAACTTAGACGACGTTATACATGATTGGATCAGATTGCAATTTATATCAATCGTCTATACAAACGCATTGGGTAGTTGGGAACCTATTGTATCGCTGCTGTTTTCAAACTCCACTTACTTGACTGCGAGTGAGTCCTTTGCTAAGGTAGGTTTCTCAGGTCAACCGCCGTTACCGGTAGTTGAATTTTCAATAGCCATGATCCTGTTGGCCGACTGAGCTCGTCAATTTACGCCAAGATCTCGAGATGGAAATAAGTAGGTATTAAGACTGTAGAGAATCTTAATTGGAGTATTTTTATTGCATCACTGGTTACGACTCAACAGCTTCTCCCCTTTGTAAACCTTCGGTTCGAGCTAAGCTTGGTACTACACTTGAAGCTGTGATAAGCACGAGCGACCATCTCAATACTCACCATCGACACATCTTGCCTGCTTGTTCTGTTTTAGGTTCCAAACGTGAGCTGTTTTCTGTTCTGCCCTCAGCAGAGATGATGAGAGCTCTCAGCCGCGTGATATAGGTGCCCAGTTCCCCGGTATTGGAAGTAAGCCAACCAACTCGAGGAAATATTATGGTGCCATGAGATAGCTGCTCCCTGAGACAGATAGGTGTCCTCCTTCCAAAGTCTCCCTCAGGCACGCCTAGGCGGCGTTGAAAGGTCTGAAGTGCACATATTCGTGAAGGTGTTTTTGTAAATAGCGCATGGGTGTTAATTTCATTGGTGTATTCTGTTGATATGTCTGCTCCTTTGCTGTCTTTGTTTCAGATTCTGCTGCACAATTCTACTGCACAGGATAGCTGCTGCAATATCGCCTGGTGATATTTTTCTCTGGGTATTTATGGGCTAGATATTAAGATATCTCCATGCTGGGAGCACTACTGTCAAAGATAGCTTGGGAATGGATGTCCAATGGATCCTCAAACATGATCTATTAATAAGATCAGTTCAATTAAAAAATGACGTCGCGTGCAAGACCATCGGGCCCCAAATTCCAAGACCCCCAAGTTTCAGGGCGAAAGCTGGGGCCTGAGGTGAGGTTCCGTTCCTGGATTAGACATAACCAAGCCAATCACAACACCGCCCGCTACAACCTTATCACTCATAAACCCTGCCCAAAGTGACTTCACCTCGATGACGAATCGTCCGCCATAACGTACCTCCCTAAGCGCAACTTGATGATTACTTCATGCTTCTAACATCAACATCATCTCCAACAACCAACAGATCATCAACCTCCCTCCTTAATCTGACAATACATTACTACGGCCTGCCCTAAGTCACTTGCGCCGCATGAGCGCCCCGAATCTCTGTTAGACGGGCTTCCACTTCATCCGATACGACTACAATGCCGGCCGAGGAGAACGAGCCTCTTGCCTCCCCAACGCGCGAGGAAGAGGAGCCTACCGAGACATCGCCGCTTCTCAACAGAAGCGATGACGGGCATCACAGTGATGCTAGCGAACGCGAACAAAATGGTCGAGTCTCGACTGAGCCTCAGTCTCGGGCCGCGTGGAGTCTCTGGTCAATTTGCAACAAGAAGACCAGTACCAAGGCACCTTGGCGATGGCCTTCCATCATCGCCATGGTGCTCCTTGGTATCATTGTAATACTCATCATAATTCTCGGTTTCCTCGTCCCCCCTGCCGTCAAGGAGTACGCTGAGAAAGCTGCTGTTCTTGAACCTATCAATTTATCCATTGAGAACATCACAAGCGATGGCATCCGGGCGCGTATTCGTGCAAACGTCTACCTCGATGGATCACGGGTCGACAACAAAAATTCCCGCCGTATTGGAAAGGCAGTCACTGGAATTATGCGAAAACTCGAGACCAAGGAAACAACTGTCAACGTCTATCTACCCGACTATGCCGATGCGCTTGCCGGCGCTGCGGTTATTCCTCCCCTGGTCGTTGATGTAGTTAACGGACACACCAATGAGCTAGACTTCGTGGCAGATGTCAACCCTGGCGATGCTGAGCATATCCGCAAGATTGCGAATGATTGGTTAGAGGGGAACCTAAAGCAATTGAAAGTAGTGGGCAAAACCAAGGTTCACCTCAAATCGGGAATCGTCCCTCTTGGTGCTCACGATGTGGCGGAATCCATGGTCTTTGAAGGTCAAGCTCTCTACCGCTCCTATGCTGCTCTATTCTTAGGAAAGAAGACACTCTTTTAATGAGAAAAGGCGAATTTATTTCTGTAGTGCTGGACTGACAAATTTGCAGCTAATGAGATCCCATCAATGCCCAACTACAACATAGAGCGCATGGATCTTCACGATCGCCCGGTAGATGGCCACGGACGAAAAGTGATCGAGGCCGACGTATCCTTAAAAGTCCACAACGACTATCCAGTGTCCTTCCGGGTCCCGACTCTTGGGTTTGAAGTTTTGGTGCCCAATTGCGACTCATCACTGCCCTCTATCAGTGTTGCAGATGCTATCACGGAGCCAATTGATGTTGAAGCTAAGGCAGATGTTCAAGCCGATGCCAAAGGCATCATCCGCGACATTCCAGAATCTTTGACGAAAGCGTGCCCTCACTCTGAATCATCCCCTCTCGACCATTTCATGGACCGTTATCTGCATGGCGAGGATGCCAAGGTGTTTGTGAGAGGGAAGAAGACAAACAATACCGATACCCCCGAATGGATCTCAGATATCCTGGAGAGTATTACAGTACCGGTGGATTTTCCAGGGCGATCATTCGATAGTTTGATCCGCAACTTTTCCCTGACGGATGTCGACTTTAAATTACCCGACCCTTTCGCCGATGTCGATGATCCCGAGGGTGAGCCCCGAGTATCTGGTACTGCACAAGTACTCGCAGCTCTTCCACCTGAGCTGAATGTGGATTTGGGGATGGACAAGCTCCGCTCCAACGCTGATCTGTTTTACAAGAAGCGTAAAATGGGCGAGTTGAACCTGCGCCACTGGCAGAGTGCCAACTCAACAAAGGTCCAGGATAAAGAAAACGGCGAAACTCTTCTTAACATTACATCACGACTAGTCGACGTCCCCTTGACAATCACCGATGGTGATGTGTTCAGCGAGGTCATGCAGAAGCTACTGTTTGGAGGCGGCGATATCACACTCGACATCAAGGCCGAAGTCGACGTAAAGCTGAAAACCGTCCTCGGCATTCTGACGGTGAAGAAGGTTCCCGCAGAGGGCAAGATTCCAGTAAACGGTCCGTCATCGCTGTGGTAATCTCTTGCATCCCCCATGAGGATGAATAATCCTTATCTACACGCTGAAGTATTTTCTTAACACGCCTTGCGATCATGGCAAGAGCCAATACTGACCTATAATTAGGATTCCCTGGAAACGCACTTGGTAAACTCAAGCCTCAAGTCGGCGAGATCGAGATTATGGAAACTACGGAGACGGGAGTTCAGATGAGAGCTCTTGTCAACCTCACAAACCCTACACCGTACGCAGCTGTTGTACCTTACCTCAGCGTACACATTCTTCACGACGGGGAACTTCTCGGCGAGGCCATATCAAGAAATGTTACGTTTGATCTCGGCAAGAACACCAACCTCCCTGTTTTTGCGACTTGGGACCCTTTACGATTTGGCGGCGAGAAGGCACAAGCAATTGGCCGCAAGCTACTATCAGACTATGTATCCGGCAAGAATACGACACTGACGGCACGCACCCACAAACGGAGTGTCCCGAATGTCCCTATAATCGGTGAGGCTTTGTCGAAGATCAATATCACTCTGCCTACACCGCGAATAACTGTCCCTGGCGAAGACGAGCACGAAGGCGAGAAGCCACACTTTATCGCAGATGCCACCTTTCATCTCTTTTCTTCGACAGCCACTTTTACACTTCTTTCTCCATTACTCTACAACACTTTATACATAGAACACATCAACGCAACTGCTCTTTACAACCACACTGAGCCTGTCGGTCAGATTATACACGATGAACCTTTCCCAGCAACACCTGGACGATCCCAGACCCCACGCTTGCCAGTCATATGGTCTGCCAGCAGCGTGGGCTATGGCAAGCTGAAAGAAGCACTGGGCGGATCGCTCAAGCTTGATGCTATAGCCAACGTGACTGTGAGATTGGGCAGCTGGACTGAGAAAATCCATTATAGAGGCAAGGGTATCGGGGCAAAGGTCAGCCTATAGGTCTGATCGATTCTGGAAGGTCTTGGCACAGAAATGTTTGGAGTTAGTGGTTCTTATTTTTGGGGGGAGGGACTTGCTTGGGATACTGGCGCGTATTATTTCTTCTCCCTTAGACACCCAGGATACACGAAATTGATTTTTTTACATCATGACATATACTGGGGTTCTGTTTCTAAACTATGCGTTGTTTGAAAGAGTTGAAGCGAACAGCAACTTTTTCCAGCAGTTCAGCTTTACTGATTCTACGAACAACTACGTATATGTAGAGCACACAAGGAAGAAAATCACCAAGGTCATTTTCTCAACAAAGGTGATGTTCGTTGAACCTTCACATATTCGCAGACCACTAACAACGAGCATCTTGGTATAAGAAGCTCGTTTGTGCCAGCCCTGACACCAAGAACCATTCAACTAACCATCCTTACATCATCTCCAGCAGGCAGGCTTTGCAGGTAAGTCACAAACAGTTCATCGGCTAATCATTCTAGGTTCTCGATTTCACGAACAATCATGTCTTCTCAACTCCCTCCTGGACTCACATTTACCAAGATAAACAACTCCAGCCACCACGACAGTACGACCCCCCTGCCATTGTTCTCATCATCGGCTAGTAAGTCAGATCAGGGGTCAACCCTGGCTTTGAAGATGGCGCAGGCTATGGAAGGGGAGGTGGATGAGGCAATGAGAGACATGAAGAGGACCTGGAATGAGATGGCGGCTGAGAACAAAGGCCAGGTTATCGTAAAGAAATGATGATAGGGGCAATGTTTCACTTGAAGCTCATGCTTTGAACTCGTATTTTCCTGGGGACTGAGAGAATCAAGGGGTTATCAAAAAGGGGTCTCCGTGGGAAACAAGTAAAGGGGGGGGGACAGGAGCCTAGGGCAGAGTTAGTTGAATACAAAACATACCTTGGATCTAAATCTTCACAGGGTGTCAGCCAGAAATGAAATCTCAAATAAGCACATGAGCAAAGGGTAAAAGCACCTTTTCGTTGATCTGAATTGTCCATTGCCGGTATTACTATTCGTAGCCCCCAACTCCATTCTGTGATAAAAAGTCAAGTGAATTATGCAAGTCGTACGCCAGCTTCCCGTCGCTTCTTGAGCTGCTGTTGAGCTGCCAGACTCATACCGGCAGAACTTGCGTCAAACATGCTCTGTGCTTCGCGTCGCTTCTCGTCCTCAATCTTCTTGAGCCGTTTCTCTGTCTTGCCCTTGCCGCTTCCCTTGCCATGGAACTTGTGGCTCATGTACTTGAACGCCTCCTTGTGGTCAAGAGAACGGCCGTGGTCATCGGTGTACTTGATGTCGACGTTGGGTTTGTATCCTGCTGAGAACAGCTCGGCCATGCGTCGAGACTGCTGCTGATCTCGCCAGGTATTTTGTTGACGTGCCCACTCCTCACGCTCACGAACTGACATTCTATCCAGCTTGCCACTTGTACGGTCACGCTCTCGCTGGGCGCGTGCCTGCTCGTCCAGCTCTTCTTCCAAAAGACGCTTCTTGGCGAGGAAGTCTTCTCGGTTTCGCAAGCTGGTATATTCCGCGTCTCCACGCGTATCTTCCACGAGACCACGCTCTCTTAATAGCGCGAGAGCCGCACCCATACCTGCACCAACGGCCTTCTCTTCTTCGACGCCCGTCTCATCCAACTCCTCGACAGCCGATGGCTGGGGCTTCTCTTCAACCACTTCTGCATCGTCGCCCATGGGGTGATCGTCATCGGGTTCTGGGGACTTTGATACAGTCTTCGGTCTTCTGGGCTTGCGCTCTTCGTTTTCGCCGGGTTTACTTAGGCCTGCAACAAACTCCGAGACTTCATCGAGAACAAGGCCACCCTCTGGTTGCTCTGCTGGTTCTGGCTCGTTATCTTCCTCCTTAAGCAGCCGGGCGATGTCTTCGGGCCGGGTCTTCTTTCGCTTCTTCAAGGCATTCTTTCTTTGGATCGCGAGTGTTGCTTGAAGGTCGTCGTCATCCACAAAAGTATCATCGACTGCCTTTCTCTTCTTAGTCGTCGTGTCTTTTGAGTCAATGTCCATCGCGTCATCTATGGGTGTTGTTTCAATGGGAAAGAGATCGTCATCGTCTGTGGGCTTTTGTCTGGTCCCCTTCTTGCCCTTCTTCTTTTTAGGCTTCTTGACTTTGATCTGTGAGGGGTCTATATAGTCTGAAGAAATAGGGGCATCACCTATAAAAGTTGATTTGTTAGTATGATATTCTTTTCTTTGGGCACGCAAGCAGGACTTACCAATAACGTCGTCCAAGCTCACGTTCTGGCCGTTCTTTGTCTTGTCAACCGGTTTCTCAAGAATATCTGAGAGCTCTGCAATGACGCCACTTGTGTCAAGGGTGAACTTCTTGGATTTCTTGCCCTCGATCTCTTCATCGTAGTGTGATAGAATACCACGCTCACCCTCCTCGTCGTCATCGAGAGGGTTGTAACCTGGTTTCTTCTTCTTATTGTCAAGTCTCTCGGCAAGCTTTTCGGCCTCGCGCATGTTCAGGTTCTCCAGCTCATCGCCTTCTTCCTCGTTCTCATCAATGGTTGTATCCTTGAGGGTGAGAATTTGGTCGTCGCCATCGAGGAAATCCGCTGTGTCATGTCCAACTTTGATACCAGCAAGATCCTTGGAAGTATACTGGACTGCTGCAGCAGCTTCAGCCTCGGCTGCGGCCAGCTCCTCCTCCAATTTCCTGACTTTGGCGATCTTCTTCTGTCGCTTCTTTTGTCCAATGAGCCAGTCTTTGGCGCTAAGATCGCCACCCTCTTCGACTTCTCCGAAGCCTTTGCCTTCCAGAACTGCATTTCGTTGCGCCTGCTCCCGGGCTTTTCGGATAGCTGCGGCTTTCTCTTCGCGCTTCTTCTTTGCCTTTTCCGCTTCAATCACCTTATTGTAGTTGTCGTAGGCCTGAGCTTGGCGGCTCTCCAGTGTGCTAGGTGCATCGCCATCCGCGTACATTGACTGAGTTTGACTGGTGTTATCTGCTCCTGGGACAGGCAGAGGCTTCATTCCCAGGGAGATACGAATTCTGTTCGTCTCTTCGATCGTTGCGGCGTCCATCTTGGCAGTCGTATCGCGATGGCAACGTCGATATACGTGATGCGACTATGTTAGACGACAAAAAGGACTATTTCTTGGTAGGCAGAAAGATAGGCCTGAGGTTGATGAGCACGGATCACTTTGAAACGCGGCTGGTGGAACGAGATGTGGCTAGGTAATTCCGCAGTTGGGCCGGATTATGTAAGCGGATGTTCCCAAAGTTTTGTGTATTTAAATCTCTGAGGCGCAACCATAATTTTCTTTTCTCTTCTCTTCAAGCAAACACGGATCTGTGCCTAGCGATCCCCTGCTCTTCGGAGTCAGGGTCGATTGCTTTGCAGCTCGATAACTTATAAGGAGCCATCAACTTGTTATGGTGTCAATCATCCTATCGACAGGTCCAAGAGTAACTGTTGCTTCAGCCGCTTCATTCGCTGTCGAAAGACGGCTTGAGTGTCGGGGCTGTTGCATAACGAGACGCTATATTCCACCCCCCTTTTCCGAGACCGTCGGTCGGTGAGGTTGGGGAAAACCATGGCCTACCTACATATCTTTGACTAGAAGAATCTTTTGCAATTCGTGATGTCTGTATAATTCCATATGTCGCGATGCACCTGAGACAGGCCGTCAAACTTTTTAGCGGACCCTGGACTAGGTTGCCGAGCAACAAAAGCGATCCAACGCTTGGCTCTGGTCGTTGCTGATCCCCCATGTATCTTGCCTTTGACAGCTAGAGCCTCTTTCTGATGGCTTCGGCTTTGATCCTGAATCTGGGGATCAAGTCCACCTCATGACAAAGTAACAAGCATCATTTCACGATCTGCGGCCCGTCTTCGGAGCATGGCACCAGGATTCGACTAGATCGCATAATGACGGCGGAGTGTCCTGTTGTCGGGTCTGTAACGACGTTTATTGACCAATAACGCAGCCGCAGGGTAGGCATGTTTCCGTAAATGAAGTTGTATCCAAGTGAGATATCATGTCACAACAGTCGATAACCGAGGATAATAAGTATGTACTGCATGCATATATGCATACATAGACATGAAGGTTGTGTTACACTCGGCGCTTTATTCCAAGCTACCCGGTACTCATTAATCATCCGTCCACTACCGACGCCTCCATCCGGGGAGACCTGTCTAGTCTGGGGGTTGAGAATTTGAGCATCACGAGAGAGTCTGGGGAAGGGGACGGAACGAAGCGAGAGCCCAGAGCTCGGCTCGCATGTGAAGACTGTCTATGAGTGGCCATGGATGTTATTACAGGGGGATGATAATCCTCCTACCTATTGGGAGGTAGTCATGCCATGGAGGTTTTCTACCCCACACTATGAATTGGAGACTTGCCAGTGAAATCATACATTATTGATTTGGGGAAATGTCACAAGAGCTCAAGTCAGCTGGTGCATGTGAATGGGTGCATACAACTATCAGAGGATAAGTTTGCAATAAAACTCCATATCATCATTCTCCTCAAGAGGCATCTAAAGTCATCTTGAGCTGACGAGCATGAATGAGTATGACCTCAGCAACTATAACAAGCCGAGGTGATATCGAATGCAAAACAACACCACCTCCTGGAAACTGCAGCAGACTAATTGTAATCAACTCGGCCTCATTCTAATTATTCGGGCCTTTAAACCACACCGCACTATCCCCCAAAGGCCTACGTCCGATGTTCACGAACTCTACAGCTTGCTTCCGCACTTCCATATTCGGCATCTAACAACTAGACCCTTGACAAGGACAATTCTTCTATTACGAAATTCCTGTAATACTCGGCATGCCGGCTCTCTATAAAAGCTTCACGATGGACCTGATAGATGTTGATGATCCAGTCTCATCAGTCTCGATCAACTCTACAGCCTCTCTGATACAGCCTATCATGTACTTTGTGTCTTCTGCCTTTCTTCTCGGCTCATTCGCTCTTCAGAGCGTCTTGGGCCGACCAGCCTTCGATGAGCGGAGTCTCGTACAAGAGAGACAATCTTCGGTCGACTCTTTTATCAAGTCTGAGAGCTCAGTTGCTATTGAGCAACTCCTCTGCAATATCGGCTCTGATGGCTGCAACTCCAAGAACGTGGCCACTGGTATTGTCATCGCTTCACCAGACACCCAGGATCCTGACTGTAAGTCGATGAGATAGACAACCTGGACTAAGAACATTTACTGACACACGCTAGACTTTTACACCTGGACTCGAGATGCCGCTCTAGTCTTCAAGTATGTCGTCGATAGGTTCATCAACCAGTATGATGCTGGCTTGCAGAGGAAGATCCAGGAGTATATCGCCTCCCAAGCCAAGCTCCAGGGTGTTTCCAACCCTTCTGGGTCGCTTTCGGATGGCTCAGGTCTAGGAGAGGCCAAGTTCAACGTCGATATGAGTGCCTTCACTGGCGGTTGGGGTGAGTATTCATGTTTGGGCGCCCCTGAATGAGAATCGTTGACTAAAGGTTGTCAAGGTCGACCCCAGCGAGATGGTCCAGCTCTGCGTGCGACTGCTATGATCACCTACGCCAACTGGCTGATTGCCAACGGCTACACCTCCACAGCCAACGACATTGTGTGGCCTGTTGTTCGCAACGATCTTAACTACGTGGCTCAATATTGGTCAGTGATGCAGCAGCCTTGACTGGAGCCAGTTCTGACCGTCATAGGAACCAAACCGGATTTGACTTATGGGAAGAGGTCAAGGGCAGTTCGTTCTTTACAACTGGCTCCCAATATCGAGGTTAGTTTGCGGGGTGGTTCACCAGTAAGATGATGTACTCACATTTTAAAGCTCTCATTGAAGGTGCCGCTCTGGCCAAGAAGCTCGGCAAGTCAGGAGACAACTACTCCAACATCGCTCCTCAGGCTCTCTGCTTCTTGCAGACTTACTGGATCTCTTCCGGCAAATACGTTGACTCCAACAGTAAGTATCACTCTGGCTGGACTCTTGATGACAATGATCACTGATACATGCAGTCAATGTCAACGACGGCCGCACTGGCAAGGACGCCAACAGTATCCTGTCATCCATCCACAATTTTGACCCTGCTCTGAGCTGTGATTCCGCCACCTTCCAGCCATGCAGCGACAAGGCCCTCGCCAACCACAAGGCAGTTACCGACTCTTTCCGCTCATGGAACATCAACAAGGGTATCTCTCAAGGCTCAGCTGTCGCCGTTGGACGATACGTTGAAGATGTCTACTACAACGGGAACCCCTGGTACCTCGCTACGCTTGCCGCGGCAGAGCAACTCTACGATGCCATTTACGTCTGGAAGCAGCAGGGATCCATCACTGTGTCGGACGTCTCTCTTTCGTTTTTCAAGGACCTCGTCTCTTCAATCTCTACCGGAACCTACGCCAGCGACTCTGCCACCTTCAAGAGCATCACTGACGCCGTCTCCAAGTATGCCGATGGGTATGTTGCTATCGTTGCAAAGTATGTCGGCACAGATGGCCACCTCGCAGAGCAATTTGACAAGAACGACGGCCATCCTCTTTCTGCTACAGACTTGACTTGGTCATATGCCGCATTCCTTTCAGCTGCTGATCGTCGAGCTGGTGTTATTCCTCCTTCTTGGGCTGGTGGCGTGGCTGCTGTTCCCAACCAATGCGGTACCAATACTGTTGCTGGCTCGTACTCATCGGCCACTGCAACTTCGTTCCCGGCATCGCAAACACCCAAGGGTGGTGTGCCCACTCCAACTGGCACCCAGACTTCCACTTCCACTTCCAGCTCGTCCACTAGCACCAGTTGCCCTATTGCAACTTCTGTGGCTGTCACTTTCGAAGAGGTTGTCACCACCAACTTTGGTGATACTATCAAGATTGTTGGCAACATCGCTGCTCTCGGTAACTGGGACACATCCAAGGCTGTTGCCCTGAGCGCTTCAGACTATACCTCCTCGAACCCTGTGTGGAAGGCTACCATTTCCCTAGCTGCAGGACAGTCTATTCAGTATAAGTACATTAACGTTAAGAAGGACGGCTCTCTCACCTGGGAGAAGGACCCCAACCGCACCTACACTGTTCCCAAGACATGTGCCACAAATGCTACCAAGTCTGACAAGTGGCAGTCTTGAGATGATGCTTTTGTTCTATATGCCTTGAGGGTTATTTCGACACATTGATAGGGAAAGTTGGAAGATGACTCAGGTTGTTACTTTGACAGGGCTGGGAGTGAAATCCAATGATTTTGATGATGAAAACGAAGGACACGTGTTTGGAGATAGCAAGTCTGATAATAACACATATACTATTACAGATGTCTATTGAGTTCCGTGGTTTATTTTATTGTGTTTTCCTTGTACTGAGTATTAGTGGATCGATCATTGGTTTGAACATCTGATCTCAAGCAAGAATCCCTCGAATCTCTGGCTGAAGCAGATTGGCGTATGACTTTGTATAGACGACCGTGGAGTGTCATGCTGTGAATGTTAATTTCGTTAATGGTTCACTGAGATAGCATCATTTTACCGAGACAACACCAACTCAGTCTATGACGAGCTTGCTTTGGTGTTCACAACAGTCATGTTAACTCTAAGCCTAACATTAGCCACTGTAACCCCCTTCATGAGGAGACACGAGTACATCTCAAGTCACTACCCGTCTCTTCGACCGTAATGTCAACAGCAAAATCCCAAGCACTTGCTGGACTTTGCTGACTGTGATATATCCCAATACCTGCTGTAGCCACTCATGTGCCAATTTCTTTCATTCCATTGGTAGCTCCTTTATGCAAACTCTTCATCCTCTTCCTCCTCGATCTGGTTTTTCACTCGCACCAAGATCGTCGTCTTCCACTTATCCAACTTGCTGATCTGGTCGAACTGATACAGCCTGTCGGTAAACTGCTCCTGGCTCTTGGCCTCGATGGCCTCGCACAGGTCAGTCAAAAGCTGATGCTCTCGCTGTGCACCAAATGAGGGATCCATATCGCGGTACTTCTCCAGGGCGCGCTGAGCAGCGACCAAATCGCCACTGGCCAGATGGCAGATACCTGCCTTGAGCAGGTAGTCCTTGACGCTGTACTTCATGAGGTTGTTGTTGATTGATTGCTCAGCCACTCTCTCGTATTTCTCGATGGCCTTGTAGTAGTCGCCTTCGATAGCAGCCACGTCGGCCACCTTCAGCCATAGTTTATTGGCAAGGCTGTCAAGATCCATAAGTAGATGCAAAATACAGTTGCGATTGTGATATTCAACTTACGCTGCCGCATTATCGCCCTCATACCAGGTAGCAGCGAGTTCGTAGCACTCGATAGCGCTCTTGGCATCGCCGAGTTCCACCTCGTACAGCTCGCCGAGATTTTCCTTGTGGGAAGCTGCGCGGCGGAAATTACCCTTGGCGCAGTATCGGTCGACAGCGATGTTCAGGCATCGCGCAGCAGCCTGGGGATCGTCTTTGCGGTAGGCCTTGAAGGCATCCACGAGGGTGTTGGCAGCGTCATCGGGTTCCTTCAACTTGTCGGTTTGAACTTGCGCAGCCTGTTCAAAAGCCTTTCCAGCTTCGAGGTCTAGATGTCGGAAGTGTCAGCTTCGGTTTCACAACGAAACAAAGCGGTAAAGGCGTACTCTGTTGCTGCATCTTGAAGGCATTGGCGGCTTGAGTGAAGAGATCAGCGGCCTCTTGATACTTCTCCTCTCGTCCACCAAAGAAGCTGAAGCCGCCACCGGCACTCTGAAGCTGCTTCTGAGCCTGAAAGTTGCGATGTGTCAGCACATCTGCAAAGCAACAGCCAATGCAAAGCGGGGGAGGGGTTACGAAACCTTTTGGAGAAGAGCTCTTGGGTCTTGAGCCATGGTTGTGATATTCGTGAAAGGGGTATCAAGGAAGAGTTGGGAGGAGAAACAGAAAGAGAGATAAACACCACGTTCTAGGTTATCACGAGTTGGCTTTAAGTTGTATGTAAGTGAAGATGGCGAGTACCCTGACTTGCGGCGCGGACGGCGGCTGAGCTATGACGACGGTCGCTTGAGCCACAGACACCTGGGGTCTTTTTAGTGGGCCCACGTTGTCGCTATTCCTCAGAATTGGGCATAGAAGATCTAGGTTAAGACGGATCAAAGTTACCTTAGATATAGATCCATTACAAGACTCTATTGACAGATCGCCATACGCAGAAAGAAAACCTTGATCGAAAGTCCACAGAAATTAGATCCATATCGACAGATCAGGCCAACTACGTACCATGACAATCTGCACATCCTGCCGTGTTGCCCTTCGGCGCAGCATCACACATTCTACAAGACCTTTGATAACTCGGCTCATAACAACAAACTCATCAACCGCCGCCTCGATCCTCGAGAAACCCACCTGGTCCGTTCGAAGCCTTCTACCATCCTCGCCATCTTCAGCTCCCGCAGAAAAGATCACGCCCTCCCAATTACACCACCTCCTCCGCCTCTCAGCCCTACCGTTGCCAACTACACCCGAAGACGAAGCTGCCATGATCAATACCCTCCAGAGCCAATTGCAGTTCGTCCGCGCCGTGCAGCGTGTGGACACAACCGGAGTTGAACCCCTGCGGGCGATCCGTGACGAGACCACAGAGGCTCGACAAGAGGTGACAATTGGACTTACTGAACTGCAAGAAGCTCTGGATAAGGAGGTTCGTATAGGGTATTATCAAAGGGCGAGGAGGCTTAGAGAGACGATTGAGTCCGAGGCAGAGAAGTGGGATGCCCTCAAGACGGCTGGCAAAACAGCGGGAAGATATTTCGTGGTTGAGAGTGGGAAGAACGATGTGAACGGTGCTGAGTGATTGCGAGATACGATTCGCAAGATAGCTACCTTGTATAAGTGCCCCTCAATGAGATACCCTTTTGTACATTAAATCCTCAGATGGAAGATTCTGAACCATACGATTCTGCAATCATGTTCGCTTGAACCTTGCCCAGATATCGCTATGCCACTAGTAGTCTTCACATACACATGCCCCAACCCATAAGTCTCTATGCTCATATCATCATAAGTAACGCTCATTTCGCATTGCCCTTTTTGTTCGACGGTCCGGCGTCCTCGTTGTTCTATGACTTGTTTTCCGACGGTCCATCCTTGGGCTTTGGCTTGGGCACCTTCTCGTACGCATTCGGACTCGGCGCTCTCTTCTCTTTTCCCTTTCTATTTCTCCGCCCACGTCCATGACTGTGTCCGTGTCCATGACCACAGCTCTGGCGCTTCCCGCCCGCTGGTTGTGCCCCGTCGCGATCCGAGCCCGAGTCTGAATCCGAGTCGGAGTTGGAGGAAGACTCGTCGCTGGATTCGTCGACGGCTTTCGGCTTATGGTAGATACAACACACTATTGGAATCTGTGTTAAAATATGGGGGTATGTTTGTCTAAGATCATGTTGCTCACCTTTTGAGCTCTTGCGTCCAAGACCTTCATTGTCTACTACGTCCTCTGCCCACTGTACGGATCGCCCATTGGACGCATGAGCGCCTCGAAGTCTCAGGATCTGAGGCGCTTGTTCTCTCGTTTCTGGTGTTTGCGTCGGGGTCTCGGTTTGTGTTTGTGAGGGCGCTGGTGCGCTTCGTTGCTGTTGCCGTTGCGACATGGCCGTGTTGATGTGATGTTCGACGTAGGTATAGCACGAGCGACTATTTGTCTCTTTTGATAGGTTTGTCGGAGAGAAAGAAGTGATCTCTCCCGGAGGATGTGTTGTTGTCTTGTTAATAATGTTGTCACGCGCTTGTTGATGGAATCGTATGGCAAATAAATGATTTGCCTTAGCATCGGCATTGTGCTGTAAAGATACGTACCTCTTTTCACGTCACAACTTGTTCGATTTATTAACCAATCATTGGATGCAAGCTTCCATTCGCAATTCTCTTATCTGTATATGAAAACAAGTTATCCACATCAATGTAAGGAATCTTCTGAAGGATTATGAAGGAATGGACTTGGTAAAAGGAATACTGCTGTTCTTAAGTGCTAGGGTACAACCTTGACATTGCAACTACACAAGGTGATCTTCCACGCATGTTAAGGGGTCAAGCAAAACAGCCAGGATGATTTCTTACTTTGCTAAGTCTCATAGTTCTCTTGCAGCTCTATATTACACAATACTTAGATACAATCTATACTTGGGGTGATATACAATTGACATGGTAATGTCACCACCATCATCTACTCATTCATCATACAGCCTTAAATCGTACAGAATCCAACCATGACGGAGCTCAGTTGATCGCAACTCTCTTTTCGGCTTTGTCCTTTTTCTTGGCACCCTTCATACTTCTTCGCGGTCGACTCCTCTTGTGTTCTGGCAAGACACGAGGCTTGTTATGTAACCATCCTTGAATAGGTTGACGGGAGCCAATGAATCGCCCCTCAGGACTGAAGACATCGACTGCTGGCCAGCCAGGTTCTATCACAGGCTCAGGCTCCTTACGCCTCTTCACCGCCGGAGTTCCTACATCTATTCGCTGAGCCCTCATGGCTGCAAAAGGATCAGACGTATCGAGCTGCTTCGGCTTGACCCTTTCGTCGAATTGGGGTTGTTGGTCTGGAAATACCTTCAAAGCAACATCCTGCGCGCGGACTTGAGCAACAAGCTCAACATAACCCACACCCTCGATGAGAATGTCTGTCGATAACACTCGGAAAGGAAGCCTGTCGACGTTTAACCCAATCGCATTCTTCCGTGTAAGAGGGCCAGCTCTTTTTCTGGTGACATCGTGAGACAGCTTAAATGTTCCAGCATGCTTCATCTTGCCTCCAATTCCAGGAAGCATGATACTTGGTACACCGATGGATTCCCGTGTCTGCTCCTGGAAAGCAATAGCCTTCTCAGTCTGAGTGAGGTGCTCCTCCAAGGGTGTAAAGTTGTATGCCAGGAAGACCAAGCCCGGGTTCTTAGGTGTGATGCGGATGAGACCTCCTCCTAGTATGAGGGACTTGCCAGGCGTCATTGAAACCTGTTCAGGCACAATGCGCTTCTTCATGATCATCGATTGACGGCACTCCTCCTTCACAAACAAGTCTAGGTCGCTTCGTGCCAAGCCAGGAAGGTCGATTAATTCGCCTTTTCCGTTTCCAAAAGGTACCCGAATTGGGGATGCTGTTGTGCCAGGGAGCGAGGATACCAGAGGCATGTCGGGATAGTTCTGAGCCGGCTGAGGGGGCGGAAGCAATTCCCCAGCATCCACATCTTGCTCTCCAACCTGTTCGGCATATATCGATTCCGCGCTGACGCTATCCCGAGGATATGTTGATACTGATGTCCTCCCAGCCTCCTTGCTTGGCCCCATTCTGCCTTTGGGATAGACAGCCTCAAAGAGCTGACTTTTGCCCACGTTGACCTTTCCAACCATCCACCCCGCACCGCCGCGCTGCCAGATATCTTCTCTAACCTCCGTGCACCACCAAGCGCGTTTTGCGCTAACGCATCGGACATTGCCAAGACGAACCCTGCCTCCAAGTCGGCCGAGAGCATCTCGTAGTACTTCACGAAGGTAGGGCATCATTGAGTCCACAATCTCTTTCGTAGGGCCAAGAAGGTCGCCGCGAGTGATGATAAAACTCAGTTCTGTCTTGCGATCATTTTGGTACTTGCCCGATCGTGATCTTCGATTGCGTGTCCTGATTGGAATGTCGCCGAGGAGAACATTAAGTCGAGGGATGAGCGACATGGGGAAATCGGCAGCATCGATGACATGATATATGTGATTATACTTGTGCGGCGATTCCTCGATGGTTTCGCGCAAGGACTCAACGGTGGGATGGAACATAGCAACCTTTGCTGTGTCGCTCGAGGTGCTGTAATGTTGTAAATTGTGGCATCGATCGCAGACAGGCTGTTTATCTTGGGGCAGTGATTCTTTTTACTTGTTAGCTTCTGTATGGTTCGTAGTAAAAGAGTTGGAGGCGTACTCGGAGCAATATTTCCCTCTTTCTCAACTCCAGTTACTAAGAGAGAGGGATCTAGGCCAAGAGCTTCCAGCTGGCCTGGGTCCAAGGTTTTGAGAACGTCATCGACAACTCCATCTTCCTGGCTCGCTGTATGCTGACGCTCAAAAGCCTTTGGGTTCAACCACTTTTTAACTCTTTTGCTCTCAGGGTCGAAATAGCCCAGCATTTGCGGATCACTCGTTTGTGTAAAGGCACCGCATCCCGTGCAATTTAATGGTAAGCGTCTCTTAGGAATCTCAAGGCCCAGAGAGGAATTTTCGCTTGTTGTGATTGGTGCATCTTGGATTGTCGCTTCGGTGTGATTAAGTCGTCGAGTATGTATCGGAGTTGGTAAAGGCGTCGCTTTTGGTGTTCTATGAAATCGACTCGAAGCTCCAACGGCCGGACATAAAAATAAAGGAACACTCGACGAAGCAGATGCTTCACCAATACTGAGAGCCCGGTTGATCCATCGAGCTGACAATGCGCGGTGCATTGCGTTGTTTCTATAGTGAAGAAACGAATTCGGGTTGTCGCAACTAAAAATGTTGGACTTGCACAGATTATCCCAAAAATTTCCTAGGAAATCATAGCTTTGTTAGCCTCCACCATAAGTCAAAGTGGCATTGGATGCATATGAACCCCACCGGCCAGTTCGGGTCAACGCTCGGCCCGCAGCCTCCAGCACAGCGTTTCCCTTTGGGCAGGGGTCTATGATTTTCTGGGCCTAGAGCCGTCGACTTTTTGAAGCATTGCGACCACGGAACTGGTTCGATTCTGAAGAGACGTTTGCGTAACCTTTATAAATTAAAGGTTTGCGCAGTTCAAGATGAGGTCTCTCGGTGAGCGTTTCAACAAGCTTCGCGCTGTAAGTCAATTCTCGGGGTTCGCGTTGTAAGGATGTGGCTGACAGTTAATATAGAAGGTAGATATCTCTCCCACAAACGACGATCCGCGATCCATTGCTCACGATTGAATCAGCTCATTTCCTTAAGATGCGGCCCGGGTGCAGCAATCCTCCCCCCAGAGGTGACCAGAATACATATGGACTTTGCAACGAGCTTCAAGAACGGTCATATGGGCGCCAAGTTAGTCCATATATCAAGGTCTCTGGCACATCAACTAATACACCAAAAAACAGAAAGTTCTGGCGTGAGAACCTCCCCCGACTAAAATACCATAATCCCTCAGTTCCTATGATCGTCAATCGTCACAGCCGGAACAACAAGAAGCCTACACTCTCTATCTATCTCCGCAAACCCGACGCTTCAACTCCCGCACCCGCTACCCGTTCCCAGCCCTCCTCATCACGCAATAACATGTCCAAGGCCACACCACCGGACGCTGACGAGAAGATTATTACCGTCGATATGACTGAGAAACACTCCTCTCACATTCTTGAATACGTACTTGCCGAGACCCGTGCTGTCCCCATCAAACCCACCAAGGAGGAGATTCGTGAATTGCAGGAGCTGGACGCCATGGCCAGACAAGCCGAGGTCGACCGAGCACGGATGAGGAGTCTACGTGAGGAGAAGAAACGCGAGGAGGACATGCTGAAGCGAGCCCGGGCTGCTGGCGGTGTTGCTGAGGAAGAGGATTCGTGAAAAGGCTTTGAATGAAAGAGACCATAACGATGCTGTACAATAAATGTGTATTAACGAATGCCACATATCTGGCAAGTGTACAAGTTGGAAATTTAGAAAGTCCCACTACCTTCTGCTTGGACTCCTACGTTGGTCGATGAACGGATTGTTGGGCTGTCGCACACGTACAACGTACATTTCAATGTTGAAGAATTGCGATTCTCCGATAGAATCTCTTATAGACAAACGACTTCAGTTTCTAATTGCACCTTGAGAGGTCCTATATATAGATCTACACTCCCAAAACCCCTTGAACTACCTATCAAAACTCCGTAAATGAAATGAATGCTCATTCGTAATTTCATCAACTGTACCATTTACTTTATCCCAAAGCCCTCACTTTCATGAACAGCAGTCCACAATAACTTCTCTAACCTTTCTTTTGACTTGTATCGTGACAGAGATAGCATGTTGAAGCACGTTCGAGCAATGGGGAACCTGCCTTCATCCTCACCGAGGCAGGATATCTTAATCGGTAGTACAGCTGCACCCATAGCAGGAATTCGATCGCTACCAGTGATGAACAGGAGTAGTTTCCGTTGATCTTGAGATGTCGCCGCCTGAAATGTCTCCCAGAACCAGTCAATAACGGGTTCGGAACCATCTGGCTTTTTAGTTCCCCAGTTATCATACTCAGCGACTCCCCTTAGCGAGTTGATGTCAAGTGCTTCATCAGAGCCTCGTACAAGGAGTTCAATCTCTTCTGGCCTAAAGAGAGACAGGGCATTACCTCCACATACAGTGTAGAAACCTCGTTTGAAGGGCTCGAACTGTCTTGTTACAGACACATCGATTATGTACCGCACGTAAAGGTCCACGTATTCTCGACGGTTGCTGTTTGTGACAGGGATGCGTTCGCCTCCAGGGCAAAGGGGAACCTGCACCTGAGTACCGTATTTATCCATATCAATAACGAAATCGAGACAGAAGGTGTCTTCCACATTGCCTTCATATTCTAGCAACTGCCGTAATCCTCGAGCTAGTCGAGGCCGGTATTCTGCCAGGTCTTCGAGGGTATAACGCATGGGAGGTCTTGGGTGAGCTGATGCCCCTGTACCGTGTGTTGGAGCAGATGCAATAAGTTTTCGAAATGCAAAAGGAGGGAGAGCCACATCCAGAATAGTCGAGTTGTATATAGCAAGTCCCATCACGACTCCGACCAAGAAGAACTGATCGGAGGTTTCAAAAGCGTTCGGGTTGAAATAGCAATACTGAGAATCCTCGTCATAAAGAAAAAGGCCTATTGAGAGTCAGCAGGGCCCCCTGTTTCTATTGGGCAATTCGGCTTACCATGGTCAGGATTGAAAACTTCTCTGGCCAGAAGTAAAAACCATTCTTTCCGTAGACCACCAGCATCTACTCCCTCCTCACCACTAAAGGTAATACGAAGACCCTTTTTTATATCCTCGCTCCCACTTCCAATCACCTCGCTGACAGCTTTTAGACTATCATCCACCAGACAATCTCGGCGAACAGTTAATTCGAGGAACTGGTTGATAGCCTTGCGACTCATGATACTATCAAAAAAGGCGTCACGGGCTTTGCTCTGCATCTGGCGACGAGCATCGTGCTCAAGAATATGGTTCTTGGCCCATATGCTCAAAAGGAATGGGTACTGGCAGAACGTGAACTTGCTCCTACGAGCTTCCCAATTTTCAAAGTCCGCAACTAAGTCAGTGTAGTCGATCATTGAATTGTAGAAGTCGCTCGTTGGTAGGATTTGTCCGTGAGAATGAACATTAGAGCGACCCTCGGCCGAGCCCGAAGGGGATTCTTCATTTCTCCGGCTGTGTGGCAAGTTATTGGCAGCGAAGAGGAGCGCCAAGACCCGCGAAGAAGCTCTAATCTGCCAATCTTCGGCATACATGATTTTCTTTTCAGGCTCCTTGGCCTTCTTCGACGAGTTTGCGCGGTGTATCTCATCGTAGAGGTAAGCTCCTGAGCGCCCTTCTTGCATTTGCGGAATCAGGCCAGCTGTGATGTCAACTTTCACCTCTTGCTTCTTTCCACTCTGTCGAATCATCCGATATGTTAAGAAACCAGATGCTAACTCTTTGGTACGAATGAAGCGAGAAGGGTGATGTCTTGAAAACCAGGCGATTAACTGGTTATGGCATTCAGCCGACGAGTTTGATACTAAACCCACTATGCGCTTGATGATGCCAGAGTGTTGCCCAGATAAAGGCCCAGATTCAGGGGTGCTGGCTTTTCTCTGCTGTATTGACCTTGGGCCAGAAGGCAAGTTTTTCTCGAATTGTAGAATTCCCCGAAACAATGTTTCATGTTCGTATAGTAATGGGTTTTCTAAGATGATTAGGAGAAACCTCAAGTCTGCTGGATCCTTCAATGGCCTTCCAGGTCTTCTTAGAAGCATTTCGGTTGCTTTAAGGAGAACTCGCCGAGCATGTTCTTGGCCCTGCAGTAGTTCCCGCTCCATTAATTGCAATTCTCGTTGAGAAGGGGTTAAAAAGCCTTTTCCTTGACACATCTCCTCGTAAATCGCAAACCATCCCTCAGCAGGATTCACGATAGTGGTGTACCATTTGATGAGATCGCCCCAGCTCATTTGCGGTGTCTTCGTGTTGACCGGTGCGCTTGAGAAACTCCGTTCCACACGGTTTGTCGACGGCCGTCGAGGCCGAGAGTCTTCTTGGTTTCCCATCCACCATGTCCCATTCTCGGCAAAGTCACCTAAAAGTAGCAACTTTGGATCGAGGTCGCATGATCCATCTTCAAATTGCGGAGTAAACTGCTCCTCTCGTGGCTCACGAGCAGCATGGTTTCCTGAAGACTCGCGACGATGCCCTCTCTGTCCACGAGGCTCACTAGGTAGCATAGGCTTGCGACGAGTTGATTCGCTTCTACATCTAATGGGCTGGCGGTGGGTATGCGTTAGGAATGATGAGTTAATACATTCGAATGAGCCAAAGCAGGCTACGATGTAGTCTTCCAAAGCCTTGAATATCCTTTTCGGGTCACCCTCAGATTGATCCGGCAATTTACGTTGCTCTTTTGGCCCGCGTTCTTGCAATATCTTACGTACTGGAGGTCTTTCGGTGTAAGAAGAAGAGAAGGATCGCATTGGCGTAGGGTTCGGTCGGGTGGGACTCGACCGTAGTGTCGGTTCCTCATCGAACGCATAATGAGAAACCTGTATAGTAGGGGACTCGGATGAAGGCGCTGCTTCCTGTCTAAAATCGACCGGCGCAAGGCTTTGGCCAGCAGCCTGCATTCGGCTGCTAAATGACAACTTGCTCTGCGGCGGCGGTTGTGGCGGCGCCTCGGTGGGAGGTTCAGGAATTGAATGCAACTTCTTAGAAAGGAAGGATTGTATGGATTGTTGAACCAGTCGCTTTGTCTGTTCGATCGAGATATGCAGACCTGCACCTATATTAGTGATTGTCCTCTTCCTCTTGCCTTTGCTCTTACCTCGAGTTGGGACAGACTGGGTGGGATCCTGGCTTGCATCTCTACGCGACTTCGAACCATCATGATCTGCACTCAGAGGCTCCAAATCATTGACTGTAGTACAGATCGTGCATTTGAACACCTTGAGCTCCCGCGGCCACCGTACTAACGAGCCACATGTCATGCAGTTGCCTGTCGTAAAATCCTTACTTCCTACCGGGCCGTTTCGAGTATGAGAAGGGTTTCGAGCGTGCGTCTTTGGTGCTTGTCGAGGCATTGCCGAGTCATCATCTGCAAAACCCAGGTCAGGCGGTGGTGCGCCGACTGAGTTCTGTCTCTTTTTCTTGCTGCTGAAGAGAGAAGGGAAAGGCTGGCTCATAGAGCGCGTGTGCTGTGGCCGACGAGGTTTGGAAGATTGAGGCCGCGAGGGATGCAAGTCAGACTCGTCGGAGCTGGAATCGGCGTTGGCATTGGAGAAGGATAACTCGAGGCGATTCCCGTTTGATGTATTTGGCAGATTTGTCGAGTAGAGCGCAGGTAATGTGGTAGGCGTGTGTAAGGCCGTATTGTGAATTCGACTGATGAGGTCACCGTTAGAGTTGTTGTTGGGTTGCGACCCACGACGACTCGACCAGGGAGCCATTTCTAGGGAAGTTACTAAGGATTCAGGGAGGCGATCTCGTGCAAGTCACGAGACACTTGTCGAGATAATATTCTGCAACTTTTGGAGAAGGGTTTGAAGGAAGGAAAAATATTGAATCAGAGTTTAAACGTCTTTTGTCAGTCAAGCATGATGGACATGATCCAAAGTCAGCATGTTCCAAACGGGAGTTGACGCCAGCAGCAGACAAGCCCAGTTCAGCTCGGCGGAGTCAGCCAAACAAACCCATGCTTTGTCCTCTGGCACCTAGTCTCCAAAGGGTGGAGGAAGAAGAAGAAGAAGATTGAAATTGGGTTAACGAGTCTGCGGAAACAAAGCAATGAACGATGAGTGATGGGTGCAGCTCAAGCCGTGGCTGTGGTTGGTGAAACAAGCCCGGTTTGCACGTATAGGTAGTGCTGATGAGTAAAGATATTAGGATTGGATCCAATACCTTGTTTAGTCTATGAAACCCAATGGCCGTAATAATAAATCGTATCCAACGCGCGGCCGCCGACTTTTGAGTTCCTGATTATCTTGGCCCATTTTGTTCTGACGAATTCATCACAGATCCTGACTTTTCCCCTTGTCTCTCAGGCGTCTCCGCGACACCCGGAAATTTTGGGCTTTGAACTCCAATTGAATATCGCCTGTAAACGCCGAGAAGCAGGGGTTGACGAGAGGCTTGACGGATACGGGCATTACCAGGGCTTCCAAGCAAACGTGGAGTTCCTGGCGGCCAGTGAGGAATGGAGAGGACGAAATATGAGATTCAGGTGTTTATCAGCTCCTCTTTCACCGCAATGGGAAACGTGAGTATCCTGCCTTTTTACAGGTTTGACAGGTGAGTGTATCTTTTTTAAGACCTCGTATCATGTTAGTGGTTGGCTTCTTAACCCGGTCCAATGATCGTGAAGCTAATGACCGCATCTGGGTTTAATAAATTGGATGCTGTGTTGCTCTATTTCGTATCTTTACCGCTGCAACAACCCAAGTTTGAGACTGCACTGCAAATGCAACCAATACAACTTTTTGTTAATAGAATTCTTAACTGCAGAAAAATGGCAGTGTCTAGGGAGACGCTGTCCTCCAATTTAATGAACAAAAGAGATAGATCGAAACGCGCCGTTCAGTTGATTCCACTGTCTCCAGTTGGGTCCCCGCAAACGATCCATGTCTTTGGTGGTAGACGCCGGCCGAAGCCGGCTCTTATTATGGAAGCATCATCAACAAGGCTGCTAAAGTGAATGGCAGTGGAGCATTTATATGCAAGACACAATCGACATTGTGGGCTCACACTTAACAAGAGGCTCTTATCTTGTACGAGAATTACAAAGAAAATGTCATCTGAGTCTACAAGGTAACAAATTGTTGACAAAGCTCGGCCATCTTGACAAATTATTGGAGGTAATTACCAACGTTGGTGTTCAATCCATTGCCAACCCTGAAACTGAAAATCTGACGACCTTTATTGTACATCTGACTCTATGCCAATGGAACCTAACACAAGGTGTCCGGAACTAGGTCAGATCCATAGACAAGAGACCCAATATCAAATCCTTATCACCAAGGTACGGTTTCCCGAAGTGTGTATCAGCACCACAATATCTCCACGCATTTCGGTTCCAAGTCAACGGGGACATCGATCTCTCTTATGGTCTCATTGAGCCATGACTTCTCTTTCGCTTCCACGCCGACTCCAACAAGCCTGATTCTGTTTGAGGCCACCGCCCCATCTCGTGTTGTCCCATGTAGAGTAAGTTCAGTCTGGCCTGTGGCAATGTTCAGTTCACCTTTCAGCTCTGCCAATGTTTCACTATGGCCGTTTCGAAGCTCGAAAATACAAAAGCCATGGTCAAGTTCGACAGGGCCTGAGCAACTCAAGCCGAATACGATTGTCACGTCATTACCTAAGCGCGAAAGCTTCTTGACTGCCATTCTAGGTCCTCCAATAGCCTTGAGTGGCATATCGAGACGGAGGTTGCATACAGACGAAGTACCAAGTGCTCTGACTGTGCAGTTGTTGTTTTCGAGTTGAAGGCTGGTTGCATCGTCGACTATAATGCTCCGAATAAAGGCACAGTAGTTGGTATAGTCTGTGATCTCGATACGCTGTTCCTGGGCAACAAAGTCTGTTCCCCAGAAATTCGTCTGGGTTTGGGGTAACTTGATCTGTCCAAATACGGTCCCGTTGAATGAGAGGGATGCCTCCGTTGTTATGATGGTGCTAGAGATCGTTCCTGTCCCAAACATGCGTCCCTCAATAACAAGATTGAAGGAGCTAAAGCATTAACAAGCCATAGCATAAACGGAGGGCGTTGCGCTTACTCTTCAGTAGCATTGCTGATCTTGAATCGAGTGATCCGAAGCTTTGCAAGGTCCAGCAGGTGCTGTACAATAGCATCCGCAATGCCTAAGGGTGAACAAGCTGCCCTTCTGTTACGGTTTGCAGAATCAAGGACCGTTCGGGCATACTCTTTGAAGAGAGGAGAGCTGGAGATAATCATGACCGGCGATTTGCTGCGGATGACGATTCTTAGATTCCTTGGCTGGTAAGTTTCAGAACTAATGGCAAGTGGAGGAACTACAAAGAATATAAAAGGTAATAGATAGTAAAGAACTGAAGCGACGGTGCTAAGCTTAGGAGTCCATTGCAGGCCTATGCGTCAGCTACAAGTGTTTGGCAGATGTAAGCACTGCTCGATAAAGATTCAGGACATGCACAAATCAAGGCCATCTTATATATAATGGAGATATAATGTTAACGTGTTGATAATTTCCGCTCAAAATATGATTACCTGCATGCAGATATCTGACTGTATGCCCATCCCCATCCATAAACTCATACTAAATGCTGAGGAAGAAGGCGCGTAGAGATATAAACACCAGTTCATTGCTGACATAAGACCAATCAGACAGCATTATTTGATTCTTATTGTATTCTTCGCCTAATGACAAGGCCTAGACCAGGTTTCCTGTCAGCTTAGAGTTATGATTAGGTATGCTCCTGTTGTGTCTGTTGCTGACCACAACACATCGTTGTTAGAACAGGCAGAATCCGTCTTCTCTAGACAAGGTACTAGATAAGTCAAGAATGTTTAAGAAGTCTTATTAAAAAATAGTCCTCGAAAGCACTGGCAATACGTACACTAAGTCAAAGTATGTGAAAAGGATAAACATAGCAATATGGTGTGGGCGGACTTGAGCCAGCAGTCTCTAATACTAACTATCTATATCGTTTTTCTATAAAATGCCCTGGTCAATAAGCTCTGTGAGTTGCAAACCTGCCACGAGGGGACTGTTTTTACTTCGACCAATGTTGAGGGCTTGGTTGTTCGGTATTCTATAACTCCCGGGATGCATATAAAGAGTGTTATGCCTGAAGGGGATCTGAATGACGAGCAACATGCTATCTGTTATATTCAAGTACTCGAATTTTACTTTGAATCTTCACGCATGTCTTCTCACACTCCGCCGATGTGTCATATATCAGGGCTGTAACAGAAGTCACCGACAACCAACGCTTCTGCGTAATGCAAAAGCATGTCTTTCAGAAATGAACTTGCCACAGAGTGATTCTCATTCATTGTATCTAGTAGCTTACCCTAACCGTCTTGGCCCCTTGCTGCAAACATAGGAAATACGTCGAGCAATGACAATGACAACTGAACGCACCACAAGAAGAAGGTATTTAGATCAGTAGAGTTACCTCCTACCAGATACCTCGCTAATCAAAGGCTTGCGTTGATACGTAGACCTTCCAAGCTAGGTAGGTATATTGACAAATCTTAGTGACCAGAGACCAAGTTCTCATTACTTGGTTTCATTCATGATCCTGTGACATGCTGGTAGTTGGATAGTTGGCTGAGACTGCCCAATAACAGATTTAATATCACTGACGTATCCATTGATTTGTCTCATATCTAAGAGATCCGTTCAGTTTTTCCTCCAAGAACAATCCCAGGCCTATTATAGTACGCTATGCATAAGGCATAAGATCCTCAGTCCAGCATTGAGTACGGCACATCCGTGGGAAACCCTTCCGAGTCATCAGAGCTAGATCAAGATTTCAAATAGCCACGAGATCACAATCAATTACACGGCAGAGCAGGAGTTCGGATTGGCGGCACGGATCGTTCATTCAGACGTGCCTCGGTGGGCGTTTGGCATAAACATAGAGGTCTCGTCTCACATCACTGAAAAGATTGACGTCTTCACGAATCTCCCGAGCAATTATCTCGTTTTGACGGCGGCAAACATTGACCCTGATGCAAATGATTCCGAGGTTCTAAAACCCTCAAACTCCCACGGTGTCCCCCACGCAACGCAACCCAGTCACACGAGCGAAACCCATGGTAGAAATTGCCCTCCATTTTTTATGAGTACATGCCGATACCCTTCGAAATGCATCTCATTCGTGACCACCTAAAGGAAATGGGTTCGTTTAAGAAGGGGGAGCAGCGCCACGTCCACGGCCAAAACCACCACGGCTGTATTAGTTGTTAGCAATTCGTCCCACATCCGTCAACATCGAAGGCCAACTCACAACTGAGGAGCGAACTCGCCGGGAGCACCACCCTCCTTGCCCTCGCCAGCATCCCTTCGTCGGTATCCACCCTCACGGTCACCTCGGTCACCACCACGGCCGCGGCCGAAAGGTCGTCGCTCGCGCTCACCCTCGCCGAGCATGCCACGGGGAGGAGCGTGCGATCGTTGTTGCTTAATGTGGGTAGCGGGAACAATCTCAGCGGGGAGGTGAAGCCATTCGCGAAGGTAGTCGAGACCCTCGGGGGTCAGGGTGTAGTAGTAGTATTGCCAAGAGAACTGGGTCTTGACATAGCCGCGAGAGTTGAGCGACTGCAGAGCCTTGATAACGAACAGGTTCTTGGTGTCGATATCAGGGTGCTTGGGAAGGTTGAAGTCCTTCTGGGCGACGAGAACACCCTCGCGGAAGAGGTACTGCCGGGAAACTGTTAGTTATGTGCGCTATGATTTTGTGCTTTCTTCTGTAGCTCGCAATTCTCCGCCGTCGTCGTTGCGCAGAGCAGCTCGCTGAATGTGATGGTTATTACCTCGTGGATCTTCTTGCGGTCGGCCTTGGGAATCAACATCGTGGCGGTATTTGCTGCTCGTCGGAAGGGTCGATGTTGGAAGGTGGCAGTTTAGGAGGGACGAAGGCGAGATCTCAAAATGATAACTTTTGTGGGCGGAAACCCTACTAGAAATGTGCTGTAGCGAAGTGGGGTGGAGACGGGCTCGATTTGTGGCTGGCTTCACGTGATGAGGACGACTGCGCTGTGGCTGACGCTATAGGTGTGGCAGTCGGACAGTCTCATGGAAGGGCCCGCTTATCTGCAAGGTGCAGGCCATTTGCATGACAAACAACCAAAGCGGCCTCGAATCTTTGCGACAGGCCTTCTCAATCATTCATCACGGCGGCCTCCACTCTCTTCAAACTGAATACATCCCATACCATGTCTCCCCGAAACGTGAACGTGCTGGTAACTAGCTTTGCTGGTCTAGGACTACCACCGACCCTCGTTCTTCCTCTAGCATCATCGACAACAGTTACAGAGCTGCGCGAACGCATAGATGATCGACTCCCAACGACTCAGTCAAGACTCATCCTCACCACACTATCCAACAAGCAACTTCCAGCCTCATCAGACTCTCCCATCTCGAGCTATCTCTCCACTGCCCACGATGAATTCCTTTCCTTGCGACTCGCTGTCCCCCTTTGTGGTGGCAAAGGTGGTTTCGGATCTCAACTTCGAGCCGCGGGTGGTCGCATGTCTTCGCGCAAAAAGAAGAGCCAAGAGGACCACGGATCTAGCCGAAACCTGGATGGGCGACGTCTGCGTACTGTAAATGAGGCTAAGGCTTTGGCCGAGTATCTAGCCATCAAGCCCGAGATGGAGAAGAAGGAGAAAGAGAAGCGCCGTGAGCGTTGGGAACAGATTGTTCAAATGTCAGAGCAGAAGGAGGCTGAAATTAAGTCGGGCAGCAAGAGTCGTCTTGACGGCCAGTGGGTTGAGGACAAGGAAGAGAGCAGTGAGCGAACTCGTGAGGCTGTTCTTGCTGCCATGAAGGCTGGTAACTACAAAGACAACTTGCTTGGCACATCTCACGATTCAAGCTCTACACAACCAAGCAACGACCAATCCGGTTCAGATGAGGACAAGGGTACATCATCAGAGCAGTCAACGCCGCCCCCCGCCGAAGGAGCCAAGGCCGATAAGGGCAAGGGCAAAGCTACGACATTCTTTGGATTCGATGAGGACGATGAATTTATGAGTTCAGACGATGAGGATGAGGAAAAGTGATATGTCTCGTCATCATGATCATCAAAATTGGGGATTCGCCATTACGACTTATACTGGCCAATCGCAACAGCCATTTTTTGGATTACGGAGTATGGAACCATGGAGTATTATCTGGGAATTTGGATTACCAGCGCTTTTGCATGAGCCTCACATAGCTAAAATGATATCAATAATCTCATTCGACAATCTATCACTTAAGACTCGAGACGTCATCACAATGCGGAAAGCCAGCATTCAAAACACAACAGTCAATATTTGGGGTTAGCTTTGAAAGCAATATCACAAATGATACAATTGCAGTGTGTCTGCTCTGACTCTTCTAACAACATCCACTAATCCATCCAATCTACGGGGTCGGCTTAGGCGTCGAGCTTGACGGGGAAGTTTCCGGCCTCTGTGCAATGCGTTAGTCTTTATTCGAGATCGATTGGAACCACTGGGTTTCAACATACCGCGCTGCTCGTCCCAGCGCTGATACCAGCCGGAGGGGCAGAGAGATCGGTAAGACAGCCAGAACTAGACGTCAATTAGCATGGACGTCGCCGGTGGAGGTGATGCTCGGCAACTCGTACCTGGCGGCAAGGCGCAAAGTCCTCACCCTTGGCGAGAATGCACTTGTGGTAATCGACGTAGTTTTGCCAGCAGTGCTTGGTCTGGTTCTGGTTGGGGAAACGAGCGTCAGTGCCTATGAAGTGTTAGATCGAATCGTGGTAATTGATGTAAGTGCAATTGAGTATCGTTGCCGGTGTCGCGTAATCGCAGTCTGTCGTCGAGGAGAAATCGGTGGTAATGGTGGTGCTGGTCGAGGGATTCGGGCTTACCAGCTGCGTAGAAGTGTTAGCCTCGGAGCCAAATCAGGTCATTTTTTCGAGCCCGCAACGGCAGTACCAACAGCGGGATTATCAGGGAAGCAAGCATTGAACATACCAGTGACAAACTTGAAAGGCTTGGTAACAAGCTCCTGACCGTCGTCCGACATTGTGAATAGCTTTAAGAGGAATTGACTTGGAGGAGGGGAGATTCTTCTGGGGTCAATGACGGCGAGTATGGAGCTCGGTGCGTTTAGGATGGAGAGGTTGAGTAGGTATCCAATGTCGACGTTAGTAGAATGGATGGGTGTCGGCTCGAATCAAATCAGGTGGTTCGATTTCCTTCCGGGAGAGCTCAGTGTGTGCCTCAGGCTACCTCGGGCCAATGGCGTATGGCGTAAGGCACCCATCTGGACTGGTGGGCCTGCTAGGCTCTAGCAATTGCACATCAGCAGATGTTCGTTCGCTCGGCCAACTCCAAACACTCCTTCCAAGGCCGATAATTTCCAATTGAACCATCACCTCTGGACTTTGATTCCTTAGACCCTCCCCACTCACTCCAAGATGCGTTCTACCACTGCTCTTCGAATGTTCAGGCAGACGCCTCGCATGTTGCGACCCGTCCCCGTGAGTATCTCCAAATCTATGCAATGGTCTGAGGGAACGAGCTCTTTAGCCCTCGGCTCAGTATGACATCAATTGCTGACCCAGCTTCGTTTTATAGAAAGAGGACCAGGCTGGTACGTAATGCTACAAGTTCCCGACGATGCTTAATCGAACGACCCGATTCTACAAACGCGGATGCGAAACCATCTCAATTGGTCTGCATACTGACAGAATCCAAGGCCATACCGTCTCTCAGCGTCTCCGAAAGCTCAAGCAGATCCCTCCTGAGCTGTACCCTCTCGGTAAACCACTACGACTTAACTGAACCATGCCTTTGTCTAATGTCTATATCTAGCTGTCGTCGTTGGCTTCGCTCTCGGCGCTGCCGGCTACTCCATCTCTCGCAAGTTCATCGTTGATAAGAACCTCCGTCTGGCCCGACAGGGTCCTGCTGGCCGCCACGATGCTGGCCACGCTGAGGGCCACGCCGAGGGCGAGAGTGAGGGTCACTAAATTTGGCATAAAGATAGGGATGCTGTTGGGGAAATGAAATTGTTCGCATGTCCACGTGTTTTCGGAAGGACAGTACTGTACATTTCAGATGAGTGCGGTAGTAGGGAAACCCATCAGGTATAAAATCTGAATATTCTCGGTGATGATATGTCATCCTTTCTCGCCAGTAACCGTGAATCCAATCCAATGCCTTGAACGCCTTCGCTATGCCGGCAATAAGCTCAATAACAAACCTCCAACTTGTATCCTCATTCGGGTTTTGGTCCTGCAACGTCGAGTTGTTCCAATCCTTGCATGGGGTCAGGACCAGCATCTGGCACTGTTTCCTGATCATCTGCCGCATGCTCGGCCAACCATCCTTCCTATAAATCATGTTAGTTTGCTTGTCAATCATTTCGATTATAACATACCTTCTCCCAAATAGCTGTTTTGCTACCAAGCCCATCCTCTGCGCTTTTGGGTGCCTTGGCCTGTGATACCTTGAGGACCTTTCCGAAAAACTCCGATTGATCCATATTGTCAATAGCCTCCTTCGCATCAGCTGCGTCTTCGAACTCGACATAGGCGAATCCTCTGTGTGCCTCTGTAGAGTTTGGCGCATCGGGTTTTGGTACTTTGACCTCGACTATCTCACCGAATGGGATGAAAGCGTCGAGGACATGACTCTGAGTTGCCATTTGAGATAGTCCGCCTACATAGACAGTGGCTTTCCAGCGAGCTGCGTCTGACATTTTGGAATGATATATGCGCTTTTAGTGATTGAAAGAAGAATGGATGGTGTTAACGTAAGCTTGAAAGCCCTTGAAGTTGAACTCATAGCATTCACTCAACGTGCGCTCGAGTAACTCAGAGGTTCTGTGCTTATCACGTGATCATGGAAGCTTTCCGATCTTGACTTACAACATTTGGCTTCTGGCAGTTTCACGCTTATACTTGCCCAATTCATGCAGACTACCAATATAGATAAGTAGTTTATATTATCTTTAAAAATGTCCCTCAAGACGTAATTGCCAATTTTATGACAGGCAGCTTCAATATTAAGGCATATGCTATCTTTCAGGGTCCTGTAAGTGAGTCTGACCAAAACATTGGCATGGTAATAAATCAAACACCGATTAACCTTTAAACTTCCGCACTTTTGCCATGAAATAAATAGCTTGCTCTTTACTTTAAAAGTCAAAATGCCCATATAGCAATACGCAAAGTAAAGCCAAAGGCCCTAACGCCATATAATAAAATATAGTATTTGTTTTTCCACAATACAATATAAGGCATCATATACTACGCCCAAAACACACAATAACCTTAATGTTAAGTCTCACCAGATCACACAGCTGCTGCCTTGAACCTTGAGATCCAACTCAACAAGCGGCCTCAATCCACGATCATAAATAAGATGTACCTTGCTCTTTACGTAGCAATAGCTAGGATATTTCCGGCTTCTCTCAATTCATTCCCCTCTTCACTGGCACTAACGTACCTATAGACATCATACCTTAGCTGATCAAGCTCTCTCACTTCACGTGACAAGTTGCCCCACCTTCTGGACAACCTACCTTACTCAGGAGGCACGGACGTGGCCACAGGGAGCTCAGGACTCAGGAGGAGCCAACTAACGGGGAGAGCCAGCCAGCCTGCAATCTGGCATCATACCTCCCACTCCCACTACAGGACACACCTCCACCGACCTCGCCCTGCTTCGTTCTCCTTTTGAAGCAGTACTGCGGGCAGAGGCGACGATTCGTTGAGAACTTTATGGAGTTTTCTCAGCCGTAATTGTCCATTTTCTTGTCTTTTTAACTCGTCTTATTATATCGAAACATCATCCTGAGCTGGTACATTTGTCGCATTAGTCCCTAAACTCCCCACCATCACCATCATGGTGCGCCTTCGAGAGATTCCACGAACGGCCGCCTTCGCCTGGTCACCGGGTGCTGGGAAGCCAATTCTAGTCACCGGTACTCGTGCTGGAGCTGTCGATGTCGATTTCTCGGATGAGAGCAAGCTCGAACTCTGGGATCTTGCTCTGGATGATCAACAACAAGGTCTCGAACTACAACCTGTCGCTAGCATCAGCACCGACGCTAGGTAGATACTCAAGAATGCGCTTTTGAAACCTCATTTTCTGATCAACGCTTCAGGTTTTACGATGTTGCATGGGGCCCTCCCAGCAAGGATCACCCCAGGGGCATCATTGCTGGTGCCCTCGAGAACGGCTCCCTAGACCTTTGGGATGCTGAGAAACTTATTGCTGGAGAGTCTGATGCTTTAATTTCCCAAACATCAAAACATAGTGGCCCGATCAAGACACTTGAATTCAACCCCTTGAAGCCTCAAATCCTGGCCACAGCTGGCGCCAAAGGGGAGCTCTTCATCTACGATGTCAACGATATTGCCAACCCCTTCCGACTAGGCAATGCTGCTGCCCGATCAGACGACATCGAATGCCTCGCATGGAACCAAAAGGTCTCACACATTCTCGCCACCGGTGGAAACGGTGGATTTGTCACTGTTTGGGACCTGAAGACTAAAAAGGCTTCTCTAACACTCAACAACAATCGAAAGGCTGTTAGTTCCATTGCTTGGGACCCCAACAACTCGACGAAGCTCTTGACAGCTACCCCGGACGACAACTCCCCTGTCATCCTTCTATGGAACCTGCGAAACTCCAATGCTCCCGAGAGAACGCTTCAAGGTCACGAGTCTGGTATTCTATCCCTGTCTTGGTGCCAGCAAGATGCCGACCTCTTGTTGTCGTCAGGCAAGGATAACCGTACCATTGTGTGGAATCCTAACACTGGCGAGCGGTATGGCGAACTGCCAGAGGTGACGAACTGGACTTTCCTCACCCGGTTCAACCCTCACAACCCCAATCTTTCGGCAACTGCCAGCTTCGACGGCAAGATCACGGTGCAGACTCTCCAAAACACCAACCCTGATACTACTAAGGCCGCGGCCGAGAAGAACCTTGACGATGAGGACTTCTTCCGCGCTGCTCAGGACCAGCCTCAAGATGCCTCTTGGTCATTGGCCAAGGCTCCCAACTGGTTCGAGAGGCCCGTGGGTGCTTCATTCGGCTTTGGTGGAAAGATTGTCGTGTTCAAGCCCAATGCTACTCAGCCCGGGCAAAAGCGTTCATCGAAGATCTTGATCACTAACTTCTCCGTTGATTCTGACATTTCTACTGCTACCGAAAAATTTCAAGAGGATATCGCATCTGGCAAGATCTCTGAAATCTGTGCTGACCGGGTTGAGCAAGCCAAGACTGATGAGGAAAAGGCTGATTGGAAAGTGATGGAGACTCTTGTCGGCGAGAACCCCCGTAGCAAAATTGTCGAATATCTTGGCTTCACCAAGGACGACCTCACGAATGGCAGTGCCGAGGAGGCATCCGAAGTCCAAGATGATGAGGAAACCAAACCCTCAGATGAGGACGTCGAAGAGAAGAAGAAGCGAGTCTCGAGCTTCTTTGATGGTGCTGAGGGCGATAGTGACGACTTCTTGTCCAATCTCGCCGCTACGAAGGGTGCCAAGACTGATAACCCTTTCCATCTTTTCAGCGACTCTGATACCGCAGTTGAAAAGAACATCACCTCTGCTCTGATGTTGGGTAACTTTTCCAAGGCAACTGAACTTTGCCTCAAGGAGGACCGTTTCGCCGACGCATTCTTGATCGCCAACTGTGGTGGTCAAGAACTTGTTGACAAGGTCCAGGCCGCGTATCTGTCCCGCAAGAGCGGTATGCCCAGTTACATGCGTTTGCTTGGTTCTGTTATAGCTAAGAACCTCTGGGATGTGGTCTACAACGCCGATTTGGAGAACTGGAAGGAGACCATGGCTATTATTTGTACATTTTCCGACCCTAATGAGTTCTCTGACCTCTGCGAAGCGCTCGGCGACCGAATCAACGAAGAGGGCGATCGAAAGGACGCATCTTTCTGCTACCTTGTTGGATCAAAGCTCGAGAAGGTGGTGTCTATCTGGGCTGACGAGTTTGACGAGGCTGAACAGGCTGGATTGAAAGAGGAGTCTGAAGATTCCACGTTCTCAGTTCATGCTAGAACTCTGCAGAATTTCATCGAGAAGGTCACCGTCTTCCGTCACGCCACCAAATTCCAGGATAACGAGACAAGTTTGACCTCGGATTGGAAGCTTTCCGTTCTGTACGACAAATACACCGAGTACGCAGATATTCTGGCTGGTCACGGTCAGCTAGAGACCGCTCAGAAGTACCTCGATCTCCTCCCTTCCAACTACCCCGCGGCGGAATTGGCAAGGAACCGTGTGCGCCTTGCTACCAAGAAGCCTTCTGCTCAGCCCGCTTCACGAGTGCCAGCCTCATCGAGCCGGACATCGTCCAGGCTTCAGCCTGCTGTTGGCTACCAACCTCCTCAACCCGCACCTGTGGTTGGCACTGTGCCTGGCTCTGTTCCAGCTAACCCCTACAGCCATATTGCCCCAAGCCCGGCTGCTCCCCGATCAACTGGGTCGCCAGCACAGCAATATCAACCCCCCTCAAATCCTTATCAACCACAGAACAGTTATGCTCCTCCTGCGCAAACTGGATATGGAGCGCCCAGTGGTTATCAGCCTCCTGCTCAGCCGGGTTACGGTGCTCCCGCCCCCCTGGCCCCCCCACCGATGAGCGGTCCTCCTCGAAACACAACACCTTCATCAATGACACCTGCCGCCAAGATGAAGAATATGGACAACTGGAATGATGTTCCTCTTGTCACCAAAGCCCCCCCGGCGCGCAGGACCACGCCCAGTGTCCAGCCTATCACATCTCCTTTCCCTGGCCAACAAGGCACAGGTGTACCTCCTCCACCTCCTGGCGCGTCTCCTTTTGGACAGCGAACTGGCTCGACTCCCCCTCCGCCACCACCCAAAGGATCAGCGCCGCCTCGCGTTCAGTCACCTCTAGCAGCTCCTCCACAAAACTTCCAGGCTCCTCCCCCTCCTGCTGCCAGTAGCCATAACCCATACGCGCCCCCTCCTCCTGCTGCCGGCGCGATCCCCCCACCAATGCCCAATGTCGTTCCTCGAACAGCATCGCCGTACAATGCTCCTCCAGCAGGAGGGCCCCCCACTAACCGATATGCTCCCACTCCTGCAGCACAGCAGCAGCAACAGTACAGCCAACCCCCAGGGTCTGTACCCCCTCCTGGAGCCACAAGCCGTCCTCCCCAGGCTGGGTCATTTGGAGCTCCTCCTCAGCAGTCGACGCCTCATAACCAGTATGCTCCCTCTCCATATGGTGTCCCTCCTGCTCAACAATCTGCACCTCCCACGGGGCCTCCTCCGACCGGACCTCCTCCCATGGGCCGACCTGGACCTCCTGGTGGACCTCCCGCTGCTTCCTCTCCTAAGCCAACTCCTCCTCCTCCTCCCCAGGCGTCAGCCCCTCCCAGGGCCAGACATCCTGCGGGTGACCGCTCGCATATCCCGCCTAATGCCCAGCGTTTGGTGGACATCCTAGACCAGGATATGCAACGAGTTGCATCCAAGGCCCCTGCGACATTTGCACCCCAAGTTAAGGATACGCAGAAGCGACTTGGCTTGCTCTTTGACCACCTTAACAACGAGGAACTTGTCAAGCCTGATACAATTGAACAGCTTAACGAGCTTGCCAATGCTATTGAGGCCAGGAATTACGAAGGTGCACACAGGCTTCAGGTTGAGCTTCAGAGAGACAAGACTGAGGAGTGCGGCAACTGGATGGTAAGTTCTTGTTGTGTCATATCTCGGTTACAATGCTAACTCGCCCAACAATAGGTCGGTGTCAAGCGATTGATTAGCATGAGCAAGGCTACCCCGTGAGCAAGCTTCTTTTTAGTATAAAATGACTTATTGTGCCTTGCTTATGGATCATGTATGGAGGGTAGGGATGTGATGTTGAATAGCTTAGCGCGTGGTGTGCATGGTTGGGGACGAAGTTTACATGAAGACTCCCACGCCGAGGGTTTAGTAGATAGAAAAATAAATGACGACGTTATTGTGTGCCTGTCTAGTTCATAATACTGCCATGATTCTAAAACTCTGGTAATGTTTCTTCGAATAATATTTCGTAATCAACCATTGAATCCCTGAACTTCCGACGCGTCGTCTAGTAAAGAGATGTGATTGTTTCAGTGAAATATGGAAGTAGAATATTTGTTCAGGATCAAGGTTTGAGAACATAATAATACATACAAATTCGAATACCATTTATTTATGAGTCAAAAGAAAATGCGAGGCATTGCGATATCAGCATGTGAATCTCCAGGGTAGGTGACTTGTATCATCTTGCGCTATATCATGGCCAGTTGTCAATGGATCCCCACTCGACCAAAGTACCACATCATCGTCACCAGAGCCCATCAACACCAATATTTCAATATCGACACCAAAAAGACGTCTCCCAATAACTATCAAATCATGTCGGAGGCGACGCAAAGTCCTGAAGATGCTGCCGCTCAGCGAGCTGCTGAACAAGCGCGTCTTCGCAAGGAGCGCCGTGAAGCCAAGCTCAAGGCTGGGGGTTCTGCAAGGTTGAACAAGATTACTGGTCTTGGGGGTCGTATCCCAGGAGGTTCGATTCAGCTGTTCCATATAACTCCAGCTGCAGAGTTGCTAACCTTCTTTCATAGACCCAGAACCTACTACTGCGTCTACTGCCATGGCTGATGCCCCGATACCGACACCAGCACCAGCGCCAGCGCCCGCTGCGTCTGCCACCGCCGATCATGCCGACCCGGAAGAAGTCGATATCTCAGATCACTACTACGAGCCTAAGCGGACTGCCACTTCACGAACGAATGCACCTGAAATCACAGAACCCGCCATCTCAGAGGATCAGCTGCGGCAGATGATGCTTGGCTTCGAGCGTGGTAATGGCAGCGGTACCGCTAGCCCTGCACCCGGAGCAGCTGAGGAAGATCCCATGATGAAGATGATGTCCCAATTGATGGCTGGTGCTGGTCTTCCTGCTGGCTCAATGCCTCCTTTTCCTGGTATGCCAGGCATGGCACCCGGCCAAGGACCCCCCGTACCGCCCACAGCCGTCCGCAATAGCGCCTCTACAAACCTCTGGCGTCTTCTCCATGCCCTTGTAGCTCTCGGCCTGGGCTTCTACATCGTCATACTTACCCCCTTCACTGGCAGCAAGATCGAGCGTGAGCGTGCCGCCCTTGCAGGCACGACACCCGCGGATCCGCTCATTGCAGCCGCTGAGCCTGAGCTTGAGACGGAACTGGAGCACCGCAAAAAGCTGTTCTTTTGGACATTTGCCACAGCCGAGTCGCTGCTACTCACAACTCGCTTCTTTCTGGATAGGAGAGGCAGCCCCCCTTCTGGCATTGTAGGCACCGTGGTGCAATTCTTACCCCAGCCTGCCAAGGGCTATGTTGAGGTCGTGATGCGATATGGTCAGATATTTACCACAGTGAGGAGTGATATGCTGGCCTGTATTTTTGTGCTGGGGGCTGTTGCTTGGTTTAAGGGATAATGAGCTTAGTAGCATATAGACACATTGCAGTTGAATTATCATATTACATTACATACATGGCCTTGTGACCAAATCTGGTCTTATTGCTTAATAATTATACATTAGAATTCAAGTACTATTTTATGCAACGTTGCTCTACTGTACACATTGGTTACGACAAGAAAAAAAGGATGGGAATGGCAAGATCGAAACAGAGGTCCCAGTTCCTGATGTATGCCGAGCCAGCTCGTTTACTTACTGAGAACCATCTTTAGCAGTTTTCCAAAGACGCCCCTCACTCGATCGGGGTTCTCTGCCACGCACGTAAAGACAACGGCAGTACTGGCGGCGAATACAAGTCTCTCTCGCCACTCCTTGTCCAAAGAATACCGTCGAGGCAGAACAGTGGCCAAGGCACGAGGGGCAACGAAGAGCGCAATATCCTTTCGCCGGCTTTCTGTTTCAATCATGATACTCCAGCCACAAAGCAAACAACCTGTACCAACGCAGATCCCACTATCCATGCTCTGACGCCGCTCAATGGTTGTGCCGCCAGGAAGCCGGGGTCCGACGCGTGTGCGGCTCAAACAGACTCCATAATAGAAGAGTGTGATAAAGGTCGCGAGGAAACTAGAGGAGCGGCAAGACGAGGTTATGGCTCGATGTAGAGCTTTGCGAGAAGGGTTTCGAAGAGCGAGTGCGAGTGTCAGGGGTAAGTACGTAGCCATAGACCACTTCCAGGCACGAAAGAAGCGGCTTGCAGCATGGTACTCGCATGAAGGCCCGCTGGACATATGGACCATTTGGCAAGGTATGGGAACAACTACCGCAGGATCTCCCCAGGCAAGTGGCCACTCGTAGTCCACACACATGCCTTGAAGGAGATGTGCCTGACCAGTCTCCTTGCCGTACTGAAACTCGCCTGAATGGCACCGCCGAAGGGCTTCGATGAGTCTTAAGTCCACGGAAGCTGCCGAAGTGATCCATTTGTTGTAGCTGCGGGGCAGACGGCTGGGATGATAGAACCAAGCCCACATAACAAGGCCTGATGAAGCTGCAAAGACAAGGGGGTCGACAAACTTGGAGAGGAATCGTTCAGCCTTCGGAAGGTGTCAGTAACTATGGATATCTGATAATCATAATCAGGTGATTTTCATGGCCTAATTACCTTGGACCACCTGTTGGAGGCCAGACGACGGGCCTTGTGCCTCGCCCACAGATCACCAACAAGGACATCGAGGGCTCGAGTGACGGCAAACAGGGTCAGATCCATTGTTCGACCAGCAAACTTGACTGTTTGAGGCTCGGTATTATGGGCCGAGCCCTCTTTCGGTGGCACAGTTTCGGTATACGCTCGGCCCTCGTAGGAGTGCAGCAGCCGCAGGCCAAACCAGGCAGCAAGGAATGTTGACAACCATCTTGCAAGTCTGGGGCGATTGTTTAGCAAGGAACATCATGATTCATTAGAGTGAAACTGAAGGCCTACCTCAAGCGACCTGCCTCGCTGAGCCCCCTTGCGGTTTTCTCTAGAATGCTTTTCAAAGGTTCCTTTCGGCGTATTAGCTAACGGCATATCAAAGTAACATTAACGTTCCGGTGAGTTCTGACAGCCAAGGACAAGGCGACCAATGTCAGAAAAACTCGGCGAGTTTCTTGGACTAGACGAGGTCCATCATGAGTAGGTTAACTTGCCTTCAATAGAGTAGTGCCACCAGCTAGTATAGCACAAAACGTTGGAAACCGCTGCGGATTGAAGCCTGTCCTCACTATGTGTGCCGCAGAGCTGACGAATGAGCTATCGTCAAGGTCCGGGGCAAGTTGGTTGGCTAGTTTCCTCTTTCTCTTAGCAACATGCTGTAACACTAATGTCAACAGCCGGGGAGCCACGGCAGATGCATAGCCCAAGAGATAGGCGCGAATCAAAGGGCGTAGGATCTCGGGAATGGGATCGAGCCTCAGGGGCCCTTTACGGGCAAGGCGCACATCAATCGCAGGCATAGCCATGCTGCTCCAGCATAAGAGATGTCCAACAATATCCCGAAGCAGGGCTACGGCACCTGCTACCGGTGGCACTCAGAAGGTGGGTATCTGACAAGATGATCGCGGGGATCCTGACTGTGTATGAGCGGTCAATAACAGATCTACCCCTGTAAAGTATAATGAATAGAGAAAAGGGTGGTGTAAAGAAAATCGAAAAGGGGAGGTTGGTGGTTTGGAGTAGCGGGGGGATATGTCAACATCATGCAACGTATGAGTATCACAGAGGGTTGATGACAGAATTTGACGGCAAAGGCGGCAAAGATATCTAGGCTTTTGTCCAGATAAAATGAACAGTCAGGAGATTGATATGATAAACTCTCCCCTTGAAGTTGATCAAAAATGTGGAGATTCATCGCCGAGCTCTCACTTTGAGCCTCGGCTTGATATTCGAGATGTCGCGTGTGAATATGCAACATGGCAAGCATGGATCGTATGTACTCCTGCAGGAAATAGACCGAGAGATACGTAAATGATCTACCTTGACAGGTCGTAGATCATAACGCCCCCTGCCAAGGCTATAGGCAGTGTAGCGTAGCGCAACCGCCGCATGGTGATGGAGTTGCAGATGAGAGAAGTCAATACGTGGGATTGTGAAACTAACCTATCACGACAGAAACTATTATTCTTTGAGTAACAAATCCGTGAGGCTGAGAGTATGAAACAGGCCAGCAAGTATTCAAGAGAGAATTAAGCTCAAAAGTACTCGTGGCAGATTATACGGATAATGCCCGAATTGGAGGGCTGACGATGTTGCTGGTGACGATGATGACCTGAGAGTTCAGGGGTTCAGCTAAATGAAAGTCGAGAACCGATCAATCTGGGCCTGGGCACGGTAGTTGGGAACAGATTTAGACATGAGACGTTCCAGATTTCTACTGTAACTGCTGCTGAACAGATCCAGGTCGTTCGTTGTAACGGTAGGTATTTCAGGTGTGAGATTAAGTAACAGCTGAGTGAGGTTATCGCTAACGTTAACATCTGTAGGTACAACAATTTGCATGTGGTCAAAGGAACGCCCCACCTGTCTGCCCGTAATTCTGGGGTACAGGGGTAGGCAGCTGCTGCATTGGGAAAAGAGGCATGTGCACAAGATGGGTCCGGTACGTAAATTTTACCTTATAAGGCCGAATAATTGAGAATCCTTTCAGTTAACAGCCGCCGGAATTAGAAAATTTTCTATCTTGTACAATGCTTATGATTTCAAAACCATGGAAGAGAAAAGAGAACAAAAGTCCAGAAACCAATGATACAGATCTCTTACTACCTGGTACAATTTTATCAGTTGATTAAGGTAGTTACATAAGGTACCTTGCCCCTGGGAAGCAAGAAAACTCCAGACCTCAAGATAGGATGCCAAAAATAAACTCACGATAGAACCCCTTAACTTTATGTCAACTTACCTAATTCTTTTTGTCATTTAGGATCAAATTCCTAAGTTTTCTTGCCTCCCCTAGCTTACGTCTAAGCCAGTTGGTCCGTATCCGAATTCCAAGTGACATAACTAGATTCACACATGGAAATGAAATTGTTCTCGAAGCCCCACGACGAATTTCGGGGCTCTAACAGGTTTCGGCTCTTCTTCCTGGCCTGATTTCCCACAAGAAGCATGATTTCAGTTGGCATCTTTCCTTTCCAGGGAGGTCTTATATCAACCCTGGTAAGCCCTGAATATCATACTGGCACGGGCCGACCGTGGTCACGAGTCGATGTAAAAAAAAAAAGTCTTTGTCACTTTCGAGAGAACAAAGACGCATGTGCTTGAGCTTGTGCTTGTGGCTATGCTGGCTGATTCAGACAATGCAATATTGTTGGTTCAGCCTCATCGTGTTGCTGACTACAGGTGAGTAAATCGAGTCAAGTGACCGCCAACTTATCTGCAGTAAGTCAACTGCGTGCAACGCCAAGATGACTAGATTCTCCGAGTCTCTCAGCAGAAGAACAGAGCCAATCAAGAATGGACGAACTGTCTGACTCTTAAGGCTTGGCTGGGTGAATGAATGACAGCTGGAGATGAGGCGTCGTCAACTAAAGTCGCAGAATAGAGCTGTTGGGAGTGCTGAAGATGAGAGAGGTTCAAGCATGTGATAGTCCCATAGATGCATAGAGTTGGACGGCAGACTATGGGATATACGGATACGTCATGACAAGGTGATCCGACCCATAGACACCCCCCATACCCATACCTACAGGACGGACAGTACCCTACCGGGAGTCTCGGGGGGGATGTAACGACGAATGTGTTGAAAGAGCTTTGGTAATTGTTGAACAAGGCGGGGGGGCTTGGATCACTTTATGGTTTTGGTAGAGACTCGGCTCGCTGAACATCACCCACGATCCGATTCCTCCAAGAATACTCAAAACCAAGCTTTTTTAAAAGCTAAAGGCTTTGGTCGACGTCGATGAAAGTTGCAGGTGACACAGTGACCTGGGGGAGGGGAACATGGGGGATTAATAACTAGAGCGCATCAGGTCGAGGTAGAAAGTACTTGGAGATTGAGTGCTTCTAATGCTCCGAGGCAACCCCACATGGCTAAGACGGTCCAAAATGTGCTCAACATGGACCAATGGGTCCAATTGCCGTGCAAGCCTGGTCCTTGGATGCATTTCCCCAAAAACAAGACTACCTTCCATCTAAGTCGCAGTTACTACTCACGGTCCGCCTTCCACCTGCCGTACCGCTCCTCTGCACCAGGACAGTCACGGTGGGCTCCCGCCGCTTTCCTCCAACGTAGCCCACCTAAACCGCTTTACCTAGTTAAACACCACCACCACCTCCACGATCCCGTCCAATCCATCCCAACCCTCCCATCCTTTTCCTGGCCCGTTACCATTTGACTTCTATAAGGTAAAATTCCTAAACCTTTCCCGGCCAGAAGCATAGCGGCCATCCTATGAAGAAGCAGGAGAAGTCGGGCTCTAGTTGCTCCTTCTTTGTCTTCATCTAGGTCGCGGGTGTGATGTGACGCAGCGAATGCACGTTTTAGCACATGCACTCTCCGTCCAGACTAAATCCCTTCTTGTGTTGATCCCCTGTCGCTCTTATTCTTCTTCTTTCTCTTTCATGGCTTAAGCAGGCAGCTCTGCAACTCTACTATCAACGACTTTTCTCCAACTTCCATTCACAACTGTTTGCTTCCAGCGACAAAACTCGACTATCAGCATATTTCCTTGTCTTCTATTTAAGAAGCACATGCAACAGCAACGTACATGCCACACATACAATCGCAGAGTCCATAATACATTCACGAACTATTCACCAGCATAGTCGTATCGATCTGTTCCTCCTCGTGCTCTCGCGACCCAGCGACTACCTCCTAAACTCCAGCCAGATACAACAGTCACTTCTTTGCGCTTCGTGTGGAGCGAATCGATATTTGTCCAGGCATATACTCATTTGCCATCGACTTGGCGGGTTTGAACTGTCATGTGCTAGACAGACAGAACATAGCTCGATATTGTCCTGGTCTATGTACGCTTAATGCCGAACGAAAAGGCACACCGTTCTGGAAACATTACCATTTACACCATCGAGTCGAGATACACCCGTCAAATACTTTCAATCCTTCAAATCACAAAAAGTTATACATCTACTGTGGCTCATTTGTAGCACAGTGCGCTTGCTCTACAGAAAACCCATATTACAAAAGACGCATCCATGCTCGCCGTACAGCACGCTCCGAGGATGGGTTCGTCGCAGCCGCCCTCAGACCCTTTTATGCCTTTTGGCTGTAAGTGAACCGCTCGCCGAGATCCTTATCCTTCGCATCACATCCACCAATTCAAAGAGCAGTCTGCTAATCTTTAACCTGACCAGATTCATTCGACCCTAATCAAGATCCTCCGATCAACGATCCGCCAGAGCCTGCACCTGGAGCTCCTCTCTTGACAGATACCGACAACAGGCTTCTAACATCCTTCTTCGATGATATCAATGCCGACCATTACAATATGCCCTCCTTCGGTGAAGGGCTCAATTTCAGCGATACTTGGCTTGATCTTCCTCCGCAATTCATGGGATCCAGTACTTCATTTGGTCAGCAGCCAGGATCATCACTTGGCGAGCCACCGGCTCAAGGACTCTCCCATAGTCTTAACGAGTTCCATGGCATGGCATCAATGGGATCCCATATGATGCCCCCGCCACCACCTCCTCCTTCCCATTTACAACATCAAACTGAGCATCGACACACTCCCGACGATGTGCTGAACGCGGCGGCTACTCTGCTTCAAAACGGCCCAAACCAGCGTCAGAACTCCAACGGAATTGATACTTCGGTACAGAGGCACCCAATAGGACCTCCAGTAGGTCACCTACGACATCAACCTATAGAAGAATTCCGGGAAGACCATCGACGCAGCGTTGCAGCAAGCGAGCAAGAGCATTACCCGGACTGGATGATGGGACCCCATGACAAGCGCCAGCATCGAGCACCGCCTGCCGAATATCAGTGGGGTTCTGATGCCAACTTCAACCGCATTCAAGGCTATACTCCCAACTCGGAGAAAGAAACCGCCGAGTCCTTGACGAAAGAACAACTCAAAGTTCTGGAATGTTTTGAGCCCAGTAAAAGCGCCGATAACACGCGACCCAGCAGCCCACTTCATGCCAAGGGACCGCTCCCACATAGCAGATTGACTGAGCTCACGAAAGTGCAAGAAGCTGATACGCCCCCGCGTAAAAGGCGGAAGAGCAGAAATAATAAGGATACTCCAGATGAAGAGGCGCAGGAAGAGACAATCACGCCTAAGCCTGTGCGGAGGCGGAAACCTAAAGCGGAACGTGCTGGTTCCATCACTTCGGCTGTTGCAGATGACGTTGCTGGGGGAAAACGTCGCAAGTCGGCAGCAAACAATAGCAAAGTGTCGAGAGAGAACCTTTCAGAAGAACAGAAGCGCGAGAACCACATAAAGAGTGAGCAAAAACGGCGCACTCTGATTAAAGAAGGCTTTGACGACTTGTGTGATCTTGTTCCTGGCCTTCGTGGAGGCGGTTTCAGTAAAAGTACTATGCTTGCGATGGCAGCGGAATGGCTGGAGGATCTACTGAAAGGGAATGAGGCACTGGCCGCCCAACTTGCTGCTTTAGAAGGGCGCACCTGAGCCCCCTTTCTCAATCGAGTACGATACGTGCCATGTATCGGTGTATAGACGTGCGATTTGGTCGGTGTTTGTTTTTCTATTAGGGCAAAAGGGATTGGATGACCATCCCCCGGTGCGTATAGGAGTTCATGGGAGGAAAATACACACTCTCTACGGACAGAGAGATGGTTTCAAGGAGCTGGATGTCACAGCTTACTGGCGTGGTCGAATACCCAATAGGAGTAGCAAGAGGTGGTAATAACGATGTACGAACGAGGATGTAGAGAAACTGGCCCCTACGTCATGAGCCGATGAGACGATGCGGCTGGAGAAGGTAGATTACACGAGAAACACGAGAATGAAATAAGGAAATCACATCAGTCTAGTGAGATAAGGTAATCGCTTGTTGAGTGACATTGCCCAACATGATGACCTAGGCCTACCCCGTGTCGTACCAGGGAATTGGTGATTATGGAAACAAGGGGTTCAAGGATTAAGCGGATAGAGTATTGAATAGGGTTGAAGACCTGAAGCGAGTCAAGGCGGCCTTATTATTGGCAAGCAGAAACTTCGCAGTATTCCATCACTCTTATTCAACCTCTTACTGCAGGCTGTTAATGTCGTCTAAGCTCTGCGAGGAAGGCGGTGGCCTCGATATTGGTTCACAAGTTGAGGAGGGATTGTTTGATCTCTGGAGAATTATGAAAGATTTCAATCAGATGAAACCCTGAGAATGATTGGCTGTAATTGGTAGCTGGGGAGTTGCATACGGCTGCAGGAAGCTGAGCGCAATTTTGAGAAGGTTTTTGTAGAACGGGGGGATTAAGGATTTGTCGCGGATTAAGTGAAGGATTTCTTGGTCATGTTTGGGATGTATGACAGGTAGTACATATGGTCGAGTGCCTCTGTAATCCAACATTTACATGCGTGTGCCTTGCTCTTTCATCTTGCTTTTGTCCACTACAGAACATAATCTTAACGCGAGCTCTATGTCAAGGTGCTTCATGATCATGAAGTTCTCGATTTCTCTTCTCAGCGGTCTCAGCCTCTTGAATTTCAGCTCTGCCTCAACTATTGCTAGGCCCAAAGCCCATGTTCCTTACTATTCGCGCGATGCTGAGCCAACCTGTATAACTCCAGGTATCGTTCCCAACATCACGGGCTCTCAAATCCGCAACGTTGGAGTTATTCTCTTCCAGGCTCTCGACATGATCGATGTTTTCGGTCCTCTAGATCCTCTCCAGATCCTCTCGCTCACCGTCCAGCAACTCAATCTTCGCCTCATCGCTGAGACGCTTGAACCTGTTAGCACAGCCCCTTTGGCCATGAACAAGTTCAACTCGAGCTTCTTTCCAACGATCCCCCCAACCAATACATTTGACGACGACCTGGATCTTGATCTGCTTATTGTTCCTGGTGGCCCTGGCGCGAGGAACCCGAATCTTCAGGCTGTCACGGATTACATTGCAAAGATGTATCCCAAGGTCAAGATGCTGATGACTATCTGCACTGGTGCCGGCGTTGCAGCTAGATCGGGTGTTTTGGATGAGCATTTAGCAACGACTAACAAGAACGCCTGGGCGACTATGAAGGAGATGGGTCCCAGAGTGAACTGGGTATCTCCCGCTCGTTATGTCATCGATGGTAAAGTCTGGTCTTCCTCAGGCGTAAGTCGTTGATCATCTCCTGAATCTGTCAATATTTCTAATCCGATACTCTTTTAGGTCACTTCTGGGCTGGATCTCATGTTTGCCTTTATCGGTACTTTCTGGGGTGCAGAACAGTCCGAGCGTATTGCGAGTATTATTGAGCATGTTCCTCGTGTTGCGACTGATGACCCCTTCTCGAAGCACTTTAACATTACGCCCGCTGATGCTCAGCCCTGCCCATAGATTTGAAAGGGCCTCCAAGCCCGTGAATGATACTGTGAGAGTAGAGGTGATGCCGTGGCATGACTTCAGGTATATAGTTTTTCATAGAAACCGATCCAGCATTACGCCTTTTTACTGTTGTCACCTACCCAGTTGCAAGTCTTATGTTATCTTCAGTTAGATATTTGAAGCTCAATGGCAAGATATAGTACTCATAGCAGAAACCTCGTATCGCAGTACTTCTCTCTGTTCACCACAAGATTTAGAGTCAAGTACATATCTGGAAATATCCTCTCTGAAACGAAATGCCATCACTGCTGCGCTGGAGGTCGAAACAGAGTAAAACTATTTAGAGTGCTCTTTGTGGATTTTCGTATTATCCCATTCTACGCCCAAATCAGTATGATACAGATGTCCATCTCACTTCAGATCTACTATCTTCACAACCCAATACCCTTTTAACGCCAGGCTGTGCTCGCCATTATAATTAACTAAGGTCCATTTTCTCATCGCCGTTGCTGGCCGCTCCGCCTACTGCGAAGTCGACTGCACCTGTGTTGCCGATCAGGCGCTTCTCTGACTCAGCCACGAACTTGACGCTGCGGGCGGGGTCATAGAAGAGCTGGAAGCTGCGTTGCACATCACCAACTTCGACTTGCTTAGCTTTTCTCTTGGCAGAAACAAGTTGCGAAGTGCTGATGAGGTTACTGGCGTATCGGAGACCTGCCTCCTGGCCGATCTTTGTGAGAAGGGCGAGAGCGTCGGGATGCACATCAATCTCTTCTTCTTGGGCTCGGATGGACAGAATCTGCTTGATCTCCTCAGGGTTATATGCGTGTGTGTTGATGATAACGACTCGGTCCAAGAAGTCGAGAGGCAGTCCATGAGGACTGCGGTAGTCAGTACCGCGGATGCGGGAGTTGCCTCGGTTACTGGCCATAATGACCACAGGAGCAAGGTCGTCCTCAAGAGCTCGGTTGATGTATGAAAAGCACTCGATATCGAGCATATGCACTTCATCAATGAACAAGACACCAGGAACAATCTCGGCCTTGCCCTCCTCCTTCCACTCGCCGACCTTTGTGTTAATCTGATCTCGGATCTCGCTGCGGATTTCGCCGGTATCGCCGGAGAAGAGAGCAAGGAAGCCCTGGGTTCTTGAGTTGATTACATCAATCTCGTGTAATGTGACGGTGTGAACAACCTCCTTGCGCTTTTGGAGCTCTCCATCCGGGCACTGGAGGAATTTGGTATCGACACCCATGGCATCATAGTCGCGAGATCGGGCATAGGATCGGCCGAGTTTGGTGATCTTTCCAGAAGACTTGTCTATCGAGATAATATCGCCTGCCATAACGCGTTCCTTGGTCATGGCATCGATCATCTTGCTACCCATATCGTAGACTGCCTCCATGTCGGTGGTCTTAATGGTTAGCTTTCCCTGCTTTGCGCTACCAGTAACACTGCGGTCGATCTGGATCTCAACAACTTCTCCCTCCATGATTTCGCTCTCCTCCTTTATTCGAACACCGATGGACTTCCGGAAGGCTTGGGTAAGGGCTTCGGTCTTTGACATTTCGAGCGAAAAGATTTCTGATGAGGCAAGTGTTGTGAAAGGAACGTCGGGGCCTAGAGACTGAGCCATACCCATGGCGATGGCAGTTTTTCCTGTGCTTCATATGTGTCAGTGCGCGCAGTGCGGTAATGGTGATTGGAAGCATACCTAGGGGGTCCAGCAATGAGAACAGCACGACCAGCAATCTTTCCATCCTTGATCATCTGCAAGATCACAGCAGCAGCCTTTCGCGCCTTCTCCTGTCCAACGAGACCTTGAGAAGCAGCTCGAGGCTCAAGGGTTGTTGCATCCACACCAAGGCCTCGAATGTGGGAGTGTGCTGCGATCAGGTTCAGACCTCGAAGGTCTTTGGACTCTGACACGGTCATCACAGGCTGTGGAAATTTACTGTAAGCAATTGGCTGCGCGGAAGGTACGAGTAAATTCTACTTACAGCAGCCATCTTGTCGCGTGTTATGCGCGAGTGTAACGTAAGCAATCGTTATGGAATTGAGTTGTAAGGCAACGACTTTGATGAAGAAAGCTTGAAGAGCAGGGCTGGGAGCTAGATCGCGACAGCTGCACGAGCCTGCGCATAACTTTCGATTAAAAATTGTTAGTACGCGGCTATCGCTTGGCGCTTAACGCTTAGCGCTATGTATTCGATGTGACTCCACAACTCGGTACTGCACTGCATGGACGCGATTACACGCGAGTGCCTGAGATCCATTCAGCTCGAGCTGCTGGAGCAATTAATGCAAAAAAAGTTTATCACATCTCCCCAAGTCCGTAAGCTTCCACCAGGAGTCAGGTGGTTAAGTTACCTGATAAAGAACTATTCGTAGAAGCTAGATAACTTGGCCCTATGCTGTCCTCGTTTTGTGCTGTCCTGTACGACGAGAATGGAGGATGCTTCTCTTCCACTTTATAGAGACTAAATTCATTAGTGTCAGTTATCCACCAACCGCTTTTCTTTCTTAGATGGAGTCTAGACTCTGATGGCCTAGCGGTGATTCAGCGAGGATTAGGGGTCTATATTTAATAACTGAGCTGACCCAAACAACCATACTTAATGAATTCAACCGTATATATGATGATAACCCACTCGAAGTGAACTCCACACTGCGTAGCCCTGGTCCAGTTGTAACAGATACCTTATTAGTTAGTTGATCCTTTTCAGGTCTTTTCTTGGTTTTCTTTCTCTCGATAAACCGGCCAACTACCTTAACATCCATGTTCCCGCTTTTGTGTCGCCTCTCATTGCTTTTTCCCTCTTCCCTCTTCTTCTATCCTCGTTCGCTCAATGCACACGCTTTTATTTATCTCTCCTTCCCCTCTCTCCCTCCTTTTGTTCTTTCTTCAAACCGAGGCTCTCTAACTCTCCTTTGTTTTAGGAGGCGTTGCCACTCTCTAGGTACTCACACACTCAGCCGATTCATCGACGCGATTGCCTCCCGGCATACTCAGCTATTTGTCCATCCACCACCTAGTACCTATTTGGCCCTGTGTTCCATTGGTACAAAGTACTACCTACTTAGCGCAGTCTTTATTCGGTCCCCTTAATTCCTCCGGTCGCATACCGTCCTCAGCCATACCCTCTGCCCTCCTGCTTGGGCCACTTTCGATTTGCAACCCACGGCGCACGGCATTTGTCCTGTCTCGAATCCTTTACTCATCATTTCGACGGATGTTTGAGGCTCCATTTTACTACCAGAGCCGCAATGGCTGGTAGAGACGATCGAATCGGTCGCCGACCAGCCGGTAGCTCCCCATCAGAATTATTCCCCGACCGTGTCTCACTCCGCCGAGATGAATCGTCTCATTCCAAAGATGCAGACCACGATCGAGGGAGGGGCGGTGGGAAGGGGGGAGGATTACCTTACGGTAAACATAGCAAACCACCTCTGGAGAGATCTTCTTCCAGGAGGTCAACGAATGCTAGTGATCGCGGTAAGAGCCCAAGTCTTGAGAAAGAACATGACGAGAGTATCGCTGACATACACCATTTAGGTTCAATATCGACCGCTACAGCCGGGCAGCGCGCCACGAAAGTTGAAGGCCTGCCACTTGTAGTAGACCTGCTCGGTGATGCAGCCTGTCTACGCATGCAACACAACCAAGCTGATAACAAGCTTAAGAGAGCATTAGCTGACTGGAAACGGTCGGCTGCTAAAACTCCTGAATATTCTTCTGTTGACGAGATGCAACGTCAGGCTGTCCAAAAATGCGAGATCGAAAAGAACAATCTTAAGCAAAAACTCAGAGAGCTGCACCCAACGCTGTGTGATACTCTCGATTCGTTATTCAAGCAATACGTGCAAGATCAGGCTTCCATAGGACCCAACACCCAACTAAGGGAAGATTCTTTGCCGACGAAGGTCCAGGGCTCCCCAGCAGAGCTTCAGCCACAATCACTGGAACCGCACCAGTCAACGAAGGCATGGATGGAAATTTGTTTACAGACTGAGCTGAATAAATTCAAAAACTCCTTACCAAGCGCTCAGGGACCCGATGATAGCGAGATCCGGAAACTGGTGGACAGCCTTGAGAACGAGAAGAAGAAAACTCAACTTCTGGAAAATAAAGTCGAAGAGGGTCGACAGCAACACCAATTGCTGGAAGAGAAGCTCAGCCGGCTCGAGCAGAAGCTCGATGGCGTCAGCACCACGATGGAAGAAAGGATAGCCGCCAAAAAGAGCCAGCCAGCTACCTCTACAACCTCTGCCGAGCATAACCAGCTCAAGCTAACAATTGAAATGCAGGGACGCGCTATAGACTTTATCAAAAGTCAGTTTGATCCCATAAGGATGCAGAAGCTCCAGCAAGACACAGAAAACCTTGCAGACAGACTCACGAAAGGCATAAAATCTGTCAAGTCGCTCCATGAGCAGAATTCTGCTCTTATTGAAAAGCAGGGGGATAAGCAAAAATCTTCAGAAAACGACATCTCATCCTTACAAACTATCTCTCGTAACCAGGAAGTCAAGCAAAAATCCCTTGAAAAGGACATATCATCGCTGCGAAGTACATCTGATAATCATGGAGCAAAGCAAAGTTCTTTAGAAAAGGAAATCTTGTCCTTGCAAAATACTTCTGAAAGTCGTGGGGCAAAGCAAATGTCCTTTGAAAAAGATATTTCGCTTTTACAATGCACGTGTCAAAGCCAGGGAGAACAGCAAAAGATAATAGATGATGTCGTTTCCGGCATAAAATCAGCTGTAGAGGGTCTCTCACAAAAAGGGGAATCTTTAGTTGCAGATATCGCTTCTCTGCGATCATCCGTGGAACAAACACAAGAGTCACAGGGGTCTCAGGAGGCGCGCCTGTCGACGCTCACCTCTCTAAAGCCGTTGGTTAAGGAAGTTAAGGAACAGCAAAAGAAGACCAATGTTCTGCAGCAGAGGGTCGACGCTCTACAGGCCAGCGCCGCTGACTGGTCACTGCAAGACTTCCAAAACCTTAAGGCAATGGTCCAGGGGTATCCGCCTGCAGGTGAAATTCAGCAACTTCTTGTTGAATTCCCATCTCTCGTGGACACCAAGCGCCTGCTTGCCAAATACCCACCTTCTGGTCATCTTAAGCGGCTGCTTGAAGAAATGCCGCCTCCTGGTGACATAAGGCGTCTCCTGGATGAACGTCCATCTCCTGCGGATATAAAACGCCGTCTTGAAGAACTGCCACCGAGTGATGAGCTTAACCAACTTGTTGGAGACGTACCAAAGTTAAGGGAATGTATGTCGGAGGTCAATGCACGGTCTTCTAAACTTCCTACGCCCACACCCGCTCCTGCATTCATGACAAAGGAGATGACGTTGCAACTGATCACTCCCAAGATGGATAGACTGGAAGATGCATTGAAAAGCCGTTGTGCGGATATGATCCAGATATCCTCTGGGCTAGTTGCCGAGACTGTTGACCTGGCAAATGCCCGTACATTGAAGTCTGAGGAAGCTGTCCAGGCACTTGATGCTCGTGTAACAGGTTTGAGGCGAAGCGTGGATGAGAGCAAGAAGGAATTCGATGCGCATGCCACAACGCTGAAGCGAAATGCGGATGAAAACATGAAGAAGTTGGTCCAGCAAATCACAGTTTTGGGGCAAGACATCAGCGAAACCAAGAAGGATACGTATGACTTGAATTACGACAAGGAAAAACGCTTTGAGGAACAGACAACTGAACTTAAGTCAGTGAAGGGTATGGTTGCTGTGATGATCCAGGACGTTGAAAAGGTGCGCAAGGACTCAAGGACTGGGATCGATGATGTTCAGTTCCAGCTGGTCCAGATGACGGACTGGGCGAAGAATTTCAGCTCCAAGCAGTGGTATGACAGTGTCGCTCAACAAATCGCTGCTTATGTGCCAGCTCAATTTGCGGGACAATTGAACAGCCTGGCTACCAGGGTCAGCCATCTTGAGACCCGAAGTCACGATTCGCCAGAGGTCTCGAGCAAGAGACGCAAAGGAGCTAATGGGAGCCCTCTGGTTGTCAACGGCATCCATTGAGCAAAGGCTTGGTTTAGAGATGCTGTATGGAACATGTTGGTCAGTTAAACACTCTTGTCTGTATAACTGATTTCTCGTACGGGGTGGTGGGTCTTGGTTTGGTAACCAGGGTGTGACTTTTTGGCATCAATTGAAATATGCGGAGGAGAGAGATAACGGTGGCAAGGCAGCATTATACCCTTACGGATCCGGCGTTTTATGCATTATTGTCAGGAGAAAACATATCTATGGATTCACTTATGGTACAATATTGACTTGTGTGAACCTCAATGTCGCTATGTTAACAGGCATATCTCGAACTTGAATACATTGAGACGAGTATCCAGCAACAACTGAAGCCCTGGGCTAATGCCGGGCGGGTGGTTGTTTGCTCGTCACGAATAGTGTATGTTGTGGAAGAGAGGAATTCATGGAGTTGTGGATAGACGTTGTGGTTGAAGTTCGTATTGTTACACTTTAACATTTGAAGCTGAGTTTAGAGGGCATCTAGCTAGGTAGGTAAGGTAGCCTGTTCTCGCAAACAAGGTGCGGAGACATGGAAGATAATGTTGCACAGCTTTAGCTTATGGGTTGTTGACAAGGTTGCTATGTACTTGGTTCATTGAATCGTGACTGGGTAGTATATATTAGCAAGTGCATACCTTGCACAGACGATGCTTCGAATGAGAAGCCATACGATACATCATATAGGTAGATCAAGTATTTACTTTGCTGTAAAAATATAATAATAAAGTTGAATATGAGAACAAAGATAGTTATAGTATTAAAGCTTATTAGACATACTTTTATAATACTATAGATGTTAATATTAAATATATCTTTTAAAGATAAAATAAAAACATTCTTATTGTATTATCTTGACTGTGCACCATTGGCCTCACTTCATGTGTTGCTAGACTGTTATTTTGATACTGTATTGATAATAGGGTAACTTTAATTGATGCTTGTTCCCATGCAGCTAGAAGAAACAGGGCCCAGGAACCGGCCAGACCAAGACATGGACAAAACTGCATCAATATCAGCCACAAAAACCTAAAACACGAGGGGAAGGTATTAGAACAGCCACAAGCGGACATGCCTGCCCAGGGGAGAATGGATCAGTTACCTTAACAAGAGAAGAGCATGAAACTGTGAAGTGACGGACGGGACGGACGGGAATGAAGCCAGTGGCCACTACTGGATACATGTACAACCCAGCAAGGCTACTAACCTAGCAGGTAGCTCAGGTCTCGCTCTCTACTACCCTTGCTCCACTACGGATCGTCACTGCTAAGGTTGGTCGGGTGGTTCTTTCCTTTCCTGACCGCTGTCAACTGCCACATAGCGTCAGTGAGATGAGGTGTCTGTCACTGCAACTGTTACTGTCTGGCCCTGCCTGACTGAGGTGGGCTGCCACTGGAAATCTCAAACATCCCGATGAAAACCAAGACCCAACTTAGATCCCGACCTACCTTGGGGTACGTTAGGTGCTTTTTAGCCTCAGCAACACAGAAGGGACAAGAAAAGAGACAGGCTCATACCCTTCAAGCTTAACTCACCTATTTCTCCAATTCCTACCCAATTCTCGTTTCATTCGGCCCCAACAACATAAACGTTACCGCTCTCTTTGTCAATCACTGGGGCCTGGACAGAGCTTCTGGGCTCCGATCCACCGCCGCTTTGTTGTTTCGTCTCCAGCCAGCGCGCTAATACTCTCCAATCTTCCCTTATCGAGTGCGACTGGGTCACCTCCATGCCTTGTCGCTCGGCATCAACCACCACCACTATCAGCCACCATCACATCGCGACAACCCTGCCAATCGGTCGTGAATGACGCATGATTTGAGCATCCTCCATTTTCAGGGACTCGCGCTACTTTCAAGATCTTTATCGCATTTGAGTTTCTCTTCAGCGTTTCCATCGTCGCGTTCTCAGCCTCCCTGCGTACCCCTCGCGCGCGTCACCTGCGATCGCCAAACCTCGTACCGCACCGCACCGCATCGCAACTGTACTGCACAGCATCGCACCACACCCCCGTCTTCGTCCTTCCGGCATGTTGACATCCATGAACAATGGAAGCCGCGGCGAAGACGGTTCAGCAGCTCACACAGCGCATTCTGCCCGAGAAACCACATCATCTCTCTTACTCCCCCGACTGGCGATATCACATCCCCGCCAGCGAATCACGACAGAAGGTTCCTGAGGAATGGGATAATACTCGCTTGCAATATTTGACTCTCGTATCGGAAGCCGATCGCGGTGTGCTTCTTACTAGACCCTACTACGACATGCGTGTCGAGCCTCCTAAGCCCGTCCCTCGCGACGTGGGCATTCTCGCAAAAGGCGGCGAGAAGAAGAAGCTGTCACTCAGTGATTACAAGAACAAGAAGACGTCTGGTGTGACCTCAGATGCCTCCACCCCAGAACCACCCAGCGCCAAAAAGCGCGAGCTTGAGCGCGCATCTGCAGAGCCAAGATCTGTACCCGAGATCAGGAAGCCCGACTCACAGCGACAAAAGGAACAGCACCCCGATACCAAATCACAAAAGTCCAGAGAACTTCCAGTTGTTGACATGAGGTAAGATGCCGCATTGGATGACCCATGATTGCCTCGGTGATCTCGCTCCCATACTGACTCTGCTGCAGGCTGCCCCCTAAACCACCCGCATCCCTTCCACCTCGTCCCGTATCACCAGACAGCAGGAAACGTGCATCGAACGTCGACGATGACCACAGATCGCAAAAACGACACAGGCCGGACATGCCTCGCCCTCACGATGATCGGTCGCGACCAGGCCGCGATGAGCCCCCTCGCAGAAAGGATAGAGATTCTTTGGCGCCATCCGACATTCCACCAAGGGACAAGCCTACCAGCTCTTCGTCGCTTCCCAATGGACGCAATATCTTAAAAAGTACCAGCACTTCCACCCGCAATCCTTCTCCAGCTGGGCGCGCTCGTGGCGATTCTGTCAATGGCGTTCGACCTGGCGCATCGGGGAGCACAAAGGGAACACCAAGCAAGATAGATAATGCCTCGCGATCGTCCGTGCCCCCGCTACTATCACCTCTTCACTTAAGCTGGGATAGCCAAAATTCAACGGACAAAGGTGACAGGAGACGGGTACGTGAGGATGCTGCAGATGCCGCCAAAGCAACGAAACCGAAGAAGCTGGACCCACCCCCGGCATTGAAGACAAAGAACGATACAACCAGGGAAAAATCCCCAATACGCTTGCCTGCGCTCCTATCCCCCACATTACCAAGCTCTCTGGAGGCTGAGCTATCGCGGAGAAAGGCTTCAACGAAAGCAACGGAGTCCAAGACCCAAGATGACCGAGAAAAGGACGAACCAAGTGAAAAACGCTTTGAAGAAAACCACAAGTCATCAATGGCGAGGAAGGCGCCTGTCGAACATGAAGAAGAGGAGGAGGGGGAGGAGGAGGATGGAGAGGAGCAGGATGGTGATGCTCACAGTACTAAAGAAAAGAGACGGCTGGTCGTTACCCTACGAATATCCAAAAGAATGCGACAAACGTTCAAGCGTATCCTGGCCTTACCTTCTAAGCGCAGAGAGCGGTCTGAAAGCATAGAGGCGCCGTCTATTGGCCAGGCGAAGAAACGCCCTGCGTCGTCAGACAACACTGGCGACACAATAGCCGTCAAAAGACCTCGAATGCCTTCGGTTTCTGCGAGTCTCCCACCACCCTTGACTCCCTCTAAGAAGGGTGCAGCCATGTCCCGAGTCAGTTCCAGCAACTCGCAGGCTCTCACACCCAGCGACTCGTTCACCGTAACACCTGTACCTCTTGGGTCATCAGATCGGCCAACCACCAATGGCACAGATGCCGCTCGTGACAAGGCCGACCCGCGGGCCATTTTTGACAAACACGCACGATTTTCTACTCTAGGTCGGCGACTGAAGCATGAAGGCGATGTCGCTAATCAGCGGTTTAACAAGCTCTCGAGTAGTGGCGACAAACGAAGGGCCGATTCGAGTCGCAAACAATATTACGCACTCGCCGTGGAGAGCACTGTTGCTTTCATGGCAAGCTTCTACCTTCTCAACGTCGGTCGAAACTTGCAAAATAAACCATCTGATCCGGGCTCTTGGGCCAGTCTAATCAAGATGGTGGATTACCTAACAAATGAGACGCGCCGTGACTCGCGGCGAAGCCAACCCATCTATGCTCTTATCTTGATTCTACAAGCCATCACTGTGGATGAATTTCTCAAGGCATCTGCCAACTACGAGAATATCTCTAAGGAGGAGCTCTTTGCACACCAGTCGACTCGTTATCGGAATTGGCCCGCGGTTCACAGCATTTACGACGGCATTGGCAGCTCTCGTCTTCGAGCTGACATTGCGCCCTGGTCGACCGTCGAGGAAGTTTGCCAAGCGTCGATGCGTGTTGTTCGGCACTGGTGCCAGGAGGAGAATGTCCAGTGGTCACCAGAGTTCGATCCCAATGAAGCCAGCATTAGGGTTGCCCGAGGGGGGCTCTTGCCTTAAGCATCTGCAAAGTTTATAGGAAGGTCTAACTTCCATAATACCCACCAACTCAGCTTAAGCAAGCTTTAGAGGAAGGTTTAACTCAATACTTGGCCCCTATATAAACCAGGCCGGACATCTTCTGTCCCATTTTTCATTTCTTCCCAATACACAAATCCATCAACCCAACACACAAATCCATCAACCCACTACACAAACACAAGTTGTCCATCAAGATATCATCTCTCATCCTGTCTCCCAGACCATCAATCAACACAGCCATGTCTACAAACTCGAACACCATGCCTGGCATCATCCTCCACCTTTCAGCAGATGATCTTGAACAGCTGTTTGATAGGAAGCTTAAAGAGGTGCTTGATGAGGTGCTTGATGAGGCGCTACAGCCTATCCACAGCAAGCTTGATGCTATCGAAGAGAAGCTTGAAAAGCTCACAGCCCGTGTTGAGGTAGTTGAAGGCCTGGCGGCAAAGATCCCGAACATGGAAGACGACCTCCGATCTCAGGACTAGAGACTCAAGAAGATCGAGGCTCAGATTCTCAAGGCTTGGTTAGTTTATCCTCTAGAATGAATAATATATGCTAATACCAAGACAGATCCGACCCTTCTCAATTATGGTGTCCGGTCACGACATGATTTTCTCTTTTCCTTTTTCTATTATTGTATTCTATGGCCGAAAAGGGGTTGCTTTCCGATAAATACAGCGGATAATGAGACGAGGGAGTCAAAGGAGCATCTGGCGTAAAGAAAAAGGGAACAGCAAGGGTGTGTTTTCAGGGAAATATCATTCTGTAAGGTGTGCATACACATGCATTCATACATAAATGCGTGCATGCACCAGCATGGAGCGAAAATACAGGACTTGTATCAAATAGCTTAATGCATAGAGCTCACACTATCGAGATCGATGCTAGAAAAAACCACGTAAGCTGATATCATGAAATATCCAGATGCTGGCATACGTGTTGCATGCCGTGGACGTGTGATCGTCGTGTGAGATGCTCGACTTGAGATGATGGATTTAACCACGTTGTAGTTACAGGAAATTCTGGCTTAACTGACAGTGTTGATGAGTTAGCAATCTTGAGATAAATACCGCGAAGAGACTTATATAGCTTGATTCACCAAGCTGGCCATGAGCAAAAATTACATCACAGATAGACATGAACCGTTTTCAAGAGGGATGGATCTATATTTTTTTTCTGTCCACGGCTATACTAAGATCAATTGTCTAGTAGGGAACTGGAGCCGATGAGAACAAAGTCGTTGTCATCCCCTCCGACAATCTCCCTTAATTTTGGTATTTTTACTTCCTTTCATTTCTTTGCTTCATTAAAACACGCGACAGATTGGCATCGTCATCATGTCGCGTCTGATTAGGTTTGGTTTTGCTTCCAGCCTCTTGAGCGCTCTACGCTTACTTGGAGGCATCGACCTTGGCAACGTGGGCCAGGAGGTCGAGGACACGGCGGGAGTAACCCCACTCGTTGTCGTACCAGGACACCAGCTTGACGAAGTTGTCGTTGAGAGAGATACCGGCCTTGGCATCGAAGATGGAGGAGTTGGTGTTGCCGTTGAGATCGGAGGAGACAACATCGTCCTCAGTGTATGCCAGAACGCCCTTGAGGTCACCCTCAGCGGCCTCCTTGATGACCTTCTTGATCTGGTCGTAAGAAGCACCCTTCTCGAGGCGGACAGTAAGATCGACAACGGAAACGTTGGCGGTAGGGACACGCATGGACATGCCAGTGAGCTTGCCGTTGAGCTCAGGAATGACCTTGCCGACAGCCTTGGCGGCACCAGTGCTGGAGGGGATGATGTTCTGGGCAGCGCCACGGCCACCTCGCCAGTCCTTGGCGGAGGGACCATCGACGGTCTTCTGGGTAGCAGTGTAGGAGTGGACGGTGGTCATGAGGCCCTCAACGATACCAAACTTGTCGTTGATGACCTTGGCGAGGGGGGCCAGGCAGTTGGTGGTGCAAGAGGCGTTGGAGATGATGTCGGCAGAGCCGTCGTACTTGTTCTCGTTGACACCGACGACGTACATGGGAGCATCGGCAGAGGGGGCAGAGATGATGACCTTCTTGGCGCCACCAGCAAGATGGGCCTTGGCCTTGTCAGTGGTGGTGAAGACACCAGTAGACTCGACGACGTAGTCGGCGCCGGTCTCGGACCACTTGATGTTGGCGGGGTCGCGCTCAGAGTAGAACTTGACAGTCTTGCCGTTGACGACAAGGTCGTTGCCATCGTTGCCGACCTCACCCTTGAAGATACCGTGGGAAGAGTCGTACTTGAGCATGTAGACCTGCGTAGGGGAGTTGAGGTTAGCTTGAGGCTCAAAGCTGAAAGTGGTATTGTATGGGGCGTGGGGCAATGAGGGGTAGCTTGGTGGGACATGAAGCATTGCTCAAGTGAGCATTGCTCTCTGGTATCATGCCATGACACGAAGCTGGCGACAGCTCGCGGTGCCAATTACATGTCCCGGCACGATGCCTATTATGGGCGATATTGTGCAGTGACTTGCAAGCTCCAGCCGAATCACGACGCGGGTTTAAAGGGTCGTGACAAAGGGACAAGGTCCCGAGCAGCGGATTGTAGGGTTGTTTGTAGTATCGAACGAGCTCGTTGGGGGTCTACTTACGGCGTAGTGAGGCTCAATGAAAGGATCGTTGACAGCAACAACCTCGATGTCGGGGTGCTCGACGGCGTTGCGGAAGACGATGCGGCCGATACGACCGAAACCGTTGATGCCGACCTTGATGGGAGCCATTTTGATTATTGTAGAAGAAATGGTAGTTTCTGTTGAGGAAAGAAAGTCAGATGAGATATCCTTAGGATGAAGATAGATGAAGTAAGATGGAGAGAAGAAAAAAGCAAGAGAAGAGCTGAGGTAAAGGTTGAGGTGAGGGGGTGGGGTAATTTATATCTGTATGACGGAGGTTGAGTGGAACGGAAGCTTTTTTTGCTGAGGAAGGTTGCCACAGGGAAAGAGCAAGTGAAAGTGGGTGTGGACTGGAATTGGAATTGGAACGTCGGTGCAAAGGAGGGGCAAGCAGATGAGACTAGAGAGAGAGAGAGGGAGAGGGACAAGAGACAGAGAGTAGAGCTCTGAATTACAGAGCTCAATGCCCCGGAAGGGGCTTCGTCCCTCTCCCTCCCGTCTGTCCCCTCTCTATAGCAACACCAATGCCATGCCGTGCCATCCATGCCAATGCCAACCAATCCATCACCCATATCGATTGACGTGTCGTCGTATCGTCTTCTCATTATGTTGGATCGAATGCAGACATGATATGACATGACAATCTGTTTGCTGGTGGAGAGGCAAGAGGAGAAGTTGAGGCAAAGCAATGCATCATCATCATGTTATGACGCTGATGGGTGGTGGTGCTGGAGATGGAGGGGTAAATTGTTCACATACCAAGAGGTTTGTAGTGGAAGTTGTTGCGATGATGCTGAGGATGATGAGAATGAAAGGAAAGAGAAGAGAAGAGCAGCAGGAGTGGGAGTACAGGTACATATATGAATTCCCGGACATTGGATTACCTTATTCACTCATACTCTACTCTCTCATCAGAATATGCTCTGCTCTACCATTAGCAACCCACTTTAGACCACCGACACCACATCATCATCCCACGAACATACACCCCTGTTGCCCGGGGGGTACAGTAGTGAGTATGCATAGTGTATCATAACAGCAGGGGCCAATGGAACATTCAATATCGGATGAGAGGGTGGGAGCTCTTTTTTTTTTCTCTCACTCACTAACGTTAGCTCAGTCAAGGCCATCATGACCAATTCACGGCCTTGTTCCTGGGTATGACTCTTACTTCTTAGTTAAGGCATTACATCCTTACTCTGGACTTACAAATCCATATCCATAATACTATAGATAGGAACTCTGTCACCATCTTTACTTGACGTCCTACTGCTCGCTCAACTTCATCATGTCTCAGACCCCACCACTGACGAGAGCTTCGTGGTGGGGTGATGCCCTGAAAAGCTACCTACCTGCAATATGCCCCTCCCTCTCAAAACCATGTATCTTTTCTGCCCCTCCATGAGGTGCCACCTCTGTTGATTCCATCGCCCGTCCATCCTTGATATTTTTGTAGGTGCCGCCGAATAAGGCACCGCATTCTACCGTGCAACTCTCCGTGATAGATAGCAATTCGACAATTACATCGCCGCCTCCAAGAAATGCGTCACTTGTCGATCAGATGTTTTCACACAATCCCATCTCTCTCCGGAGCCTCCGGTTATAGTGGACATGAACGCCTCATCATCTTGGCCTACGATGAGATCTGTAAGTTTTACGCCGCAAAGTTACAATGCAATCCCTGGCTTGATCTTTGCCTTTGTTGCCTGATCTGTTTCTTATTTTTCCCCTAATTGCCGCCATATTATCCATTCTCACATTGCCAGCCCATGATGTGCGTCTATCTTGGTTTCGTCGTTAACGGCTGCCGCCGCCGCCGCCAATGCACGTCCCTCGACATATTGAAAGCTCGGTTCGCCTTGTTCACCGATCACAAACGAGTCGTACGGTTTCGAGTCCTCGCTACAGTTAGTTCTCGTATGAATCCAATCCTTTGCAAACGTGTGTTGTTTCTCGTCTTTCGATATGCTTCGGCCTCTATCTCCATGACAATGCTTTAATTTCCTATTTACGTATCCAATGCTTTGCCCACTTATACCGGAGTCACCTTAATTGAGCTAGAAGCTTCACCACCAAGACGGTGACACTGGATGAGGCTTAGTACCTGATCTTCGCTCGTAGTCTAGCTGCGGGTTTTTACAGCTTGTGTTGCGTCTTTTACGCAATGTGGCGGGGCTGCATGTTCTCGGTCTTTGAGTCGCGGGGGTTCTGTTCAGTCACAGTATTGACTCGATATCAACATGTAAACATGATACAATGCAATTATAACAAGATGTTGGAGCCCATCATGTCAGTTGTTGTAGTTCAAGGATACTTTTACCAGCTCGAGACATGCCTGTCTCCAAAGTCTAAGCAATAGGGTAGCCAGTATTGACCTTGCGCTGTTTCACGCTACCCTGTTGTCCCTCTCTTTCGGTGAGGTAACAATTGTTGAGAGGTATCATGATGGAACAAAAACAGCTCAACTAAACTCACTCAGTTCAGCCCAACTCAAACATGAACTCACCGAAAACAGGGCCTCTGTCGGCCCGTTGGTAGGCCACGAGCTTTCGCGGACCGACTGTATTCGCTTCTCCTTAATGTTGCTATGTTCTCTACTACATCACATCAGATCAGTCCATGCCATCTGTAATGTCAATTCCATCGCCAAAACAAAACCCGCTTATCTGACATCGGGCCTTTGTCGAGACCCCTGGGTGTGTCCAGCATCTATTTCCAATCACCAAAAATGGAGACCCTGAATCTGTCAGAGCCCTATCATATCGTGCCTACGATTCCATAAAACCACGGACCCTTATGGTCTCATATTCCTCAGTAGCTATCTTGAATCTCACCGAGATTCCTCACCTGAGATCGAACCTCTCCTGACCTGAGTCCGCCTGGGCTGACCGAACCCCTGCCCTGCCTATTCCTATGGACAGCAGTAGCTTGCTCGATCACCTCCACCATGATCCCTGAGCGAATCCAGTGTCAATCTGACCTGGACCTGGACTAGCCACATACAGCACACCCAAACATACATGTACGCATTGCAATATCAGTTCATGATATCGATCCTTCTAGCATTACTCGAAACACCCAATACTACTGATAATATCAATGCCGAGAGACCTTGATCGACATTGTTTCAAGGTCAAGCCCACATAGACTCTCATCATGTTACGTACGAAAACTCGTCGTCGAATGGATTCCGAACCCTTACATTTCACTTACATACTGAGATGCAACTTCTGACATACATCATTCCCGAACAATCCCTGCTCCTCCGATCTAGCCCGTTCGTCTCCGGGAGTCAACCTCCTGCTCCCTCGGTGCTTGACCGTTCGGCTACGGCTGCGGCCCCGGCTTCCGCTCCACGTACCGGAGCATCACGGGATCACGGGCTTGGATCGGCTCAAGCCTCGCATGCCAGGGCACATGGTAGGTACCAACCTCGTCCGTCCCTCCGTATAACCCCATACAACCCCATCATTATCCCCAGACGTCCCCATCATCTTACTCCATATTCGCTGCCCCGGCTTTTCAGCCTCTTTTTCGAGATCCCACTCGCCCGGCCTCACCCGTTCCCGGCGCACTTCGGGATCCCCAGGAACGACTTGCCACATTATGCCCTATCATGTCCGTCTATCCTAGATCTTTCCAACCCTTTGATGGTCTTTTTGGCATCTAGTTTCCCTCTTTCGTCATCTTCCCGCGGCACCATCATGCACCATCATGATTCTCGACCATTGACCTTATGAAACCAGTCAGCGGCCAAGCCTCGTCAGGCCCGCATGATCATCGCCCACTTCCTCCAAGTGGCCAGATAATGTGGCTATCTAACTCGATTTTCAATCTTGTCTTCAGATTCGGAGCCACAAAGCCGAAGCTATCTGTGCCATGCAGTCTTTCCCATGCAGGCTGTAAGTATTTGACGTGAAACGGGATCCACTCACCATCATGCCGTCGGGTTTGAAACGCCCACTTACAGCCCGTTTTGTTCTCTCTGACCTCTGTACACATATGACTGGTTGTGAGAGCATCCATACACAAGAACATGAGCCAGCGGATGTCCATATCCGGAACACGAGAAAGACCGCTGCAGGTGCCCTTTTAAGCTGAAACTCGCTCGTTGCCAATCATTTTGCGATAGAGACCGGAGCCGAACCACACCAGATATCTGTTCAGCCCGCACTACCTTAATTTCGTTTCTCGACTGACATCCCGTCCCGTTGTAATGCCTTCACTCAAAAGCATCGACATGTAAAGACCAGTCCCGGCCCTCCTCAACCTCTCGGAACTCGACCGCGCCCTCTGGGAAGTACCCAGCATCCTTCCACGCCTTCATTGTGGCCCCGTCATATGGCCCTTGACTGTCGTTTCCGTCGCGTCCATCTACCCATCGGAACTTCCACATTGTTCCCGGCTTCACCGCCGCCTGCTCATCCTGGTTTGTCTGTGAAGCTTCTGGTTCCACCCAATCCTCTCCTGTCTCCTTACGATATTCTCGGACGAGGAGCTCTCTCTCTTGTTCGTAAATCTCCTCATGATCCCGGCTTAACAGCTTATCTGCAGCTTCTGTGATGGCATCAATTGATGCCTTGATCTTCTTTTGCTCCGCATCCTCGATGTTCTCACCGCCATCAACTTCCATGCCTTCAGCACCCTTGTTCATCTTCTTGAGCTTCCATTTCGGGATCTTTTTAGGCTTTGTTTGCTTTTTGCCGAGTCGGGCTAGAGCCTCGAGTGGCGTCTCAGCGCGCTCGAGATTGAGTATCAGAGTCTTGAGCAAATCTGACACGAGGACCTCGTCATCCTCTAGGCGCTGCTTTCGTGCCTCAGCCTCGCGCTTCTCATGCGCGGCGGCTGCCTTTCTCATCTCCTTCTTACTGAGACCTTCCAACCAGTTGTCATGTACGGCGTCAGGGTCGCCACCTTTGCGAACGTAGTTGCCATCTTGGTCGAATTGACCCTCTTCCATTTCTTGCTTCAGGTTGAATGCTTCGACTTTGGGGGCGTTCTTCTTGAGACCTCCAGCCCCAACTTCTTCATCGATGCCCTCTTCTTGTATGGCTAGGTCTACATCTGCCTCGTCGTCGCTGCTTTCATCGTCGAGTCGGATGCCCCCCTTGTCTCTGCTGGTGTTGTCCACGCCATCGATTTGATCCGCATCTAGGAACCGAACTTTGTCCTTCTTGCGACCATTCTTATCGAAGTCTCCCTCCTCGGGGATCTCCTTTTCCCCATCAGCATCGTCCGCAGCAAACATGTCGTCGTCATCATCATCACCGGCCGCAGTACCCGGAGCTGCAGGGTCAGGATTGGTGGCGTCGTAATTATCGAGCTGCTCAAGAATGTCGACTTTGCCCCGCTTGCGGTTCTCGGCGCGTGCATTGAAGGTTTCGTTATCTGAATCACTATCATAACCATCTAGATTGACAGCTCCACGCTTCGTAGCTCCAGATACACCAATGACATCGGCATCGAGGATAGCATCTTCTTCGCGAGCGTCAGGCGCAAGCGTGGAGGGATTTCGTACGTCAAACTTGACTCTCTTAGAATCGCCGCCGTCTTCGTTATGATGGGTACGCGCAAAGTTCTCGCCGTCGCGCTTGGGGCGCGCTGCCGAATATCGTGACGCCATGGCCACTGCTGATTGATTTTTGAGTGCCAAGAATATGAATATTGGCGGGGTAGTAGTCAAAGTGATGATCGCTTGAATTGGACACGCAAAGTGAAATGATGAAGGAAACTTGATGGAGCTTATATGTATGTTTAAACTTCTGAGCATGGGTTCCAGAACTCGCTATTCTGGTTGGGGCAATCAGCTCCACTGAGCTGATGTTAGTTGACAGGTACCTGAACTTAGGTGGACATTCAGTGCCTTATCAAGTACCTGCCTTAAAACCTGGAAGTAATCGCCAGTACTTATAATAGCAATAACACGGCTTTAAAGTCAGTATCATATGTGTTTAACTACTTGCCAGAGTTTTATTGAGTTTGGAATTAAATATTTTAGAAATACGTGCCTTATTAAGCTGAGAGGTACAGTATTACCTAGTAGGTACTAAGTGTCCTTGCCCGAGTCCCTGACAAACCAAACTGCGTCATCAAGAGCTGCCTTTTGTAGCCCCCACACGCCCCATGTTACCTGTGGCTTTGGACCTTCAACGAACATTGATGGAGGCTCATCCCGTAAACATTTCAACCTCGCAACTGTGAATCACCGCCATTCTCCTTCCGACTACTTAAGACGCACGTTTCTTCTCAGAAGCGTAAGAAAACATACCATATTTTAGGGCAGCCGATTTACTCCCTGACCGCCTATATCTTCAAGTCCTGCACCCACGAGATCTCGAAATCGACTGCGTACCAACAAACCATTGTCGCCATGGTATGCCATCCTGCCTCGTCTTATAACTCGGTTGCTAAGAACTACACAGTATTCAGGCTTCGGCGGTGGGTTTGATCCCGCTAACCCCGACCACCTCTACAACATGGCCCGCCATGGGCGACGACCCATTGTGCAACGGTTCGACGAGTACTACCGATGCTATCCTCTAGTCATGGCCCCCGGAGCTGAACGACCAGAACTCAACTACGGTTCCAAGATAATTCTGCCACCATCCGCTCTCGACAAGGTGTCTAAGCTCCATGTACAGTGGCCTTTGCTCATGGAGTTGATCAACGGAGAGAAAGGCAGACACTCACATGCGGGTGTGCTGGAGTTTATTGCGGAGGAAGGCCGAGCATACATTCCTCAATGGGTATGGGGACACACTGTATTATTGAACGGCCTTGTTACTAACACTCACTAGATGATGGAAACTCTTGGCATGGACGTTGGCGACATGATCCAGGTCCGTACCACATCATTGGAGCTGGCCAAGATGGTCAAGCTACAGCCTCAATCTGTCAACTTCCTTGAGATTAGTGATCCCAAGGCAGTGCTGGAGAAGGCTTTCCGCAATTTTGCCACCCTGACCAAGGGTGATGTCTTCAATTTCGCCTACAACGATGAAGTCTATGATGTGGCCGTTCTCGACGTCAAGCCCGAGACGGACAAGATGGGAGTCAGTATGATCGAGACCGACGTGTCGGTAGAATTCGCGCCCCCAGTCGGCTACGTCGAACCTGAGCGCAAGAGCGGAACAAGCACCCCAAGAAGCACGCGAGGTGGTGTCCCTGCTGGAGGTTTGTTACACAACCAGGGAACCATGGCGCAAGCCATCAACTACAGCGCCATTGCTCCATCAGTGACAAGCAATGTGACAAACTTCCTTGGAGAGGGTCAAAAGCTTGCCAAGAAGGGTAGTAAGGCTCCAACACCCAAGCCAGCTACTCCGGTTCCTACGGTGGAGATTCCAGGAATGCCTAGGAGGCGCGATGGTGCTCCGGCAGCTCTCCGTTTGCCACCTAACAAGCTTTTCTTCGGATACGAGATCAAGCCAGTCAAGACGGACGCTGATAAGGAACAGGAGAAGGAGAACGCCAACAGGCCTCACTTTGCTGGCCAAGGTCAGACACTTCGAGGTGCCGTTAAGAGAAAGGGAGAAGGAGACGACAAGACAAAGGCCCCCGAGAAGAAGGGCACCAGCGAAGGAAATAGACTCGACGGTCGACGGCCACGATGAACAAGGACAATGCAATGAATTGGACTGGCGTTTGGGTGGTAGGGAACGTGATTTAGAGCTTGATTCGACTTATACTGGGTAGTCTGTCATTGATGCCCATGTTAGTGACTGATGTCAACACGAATGAATAAAAATAAACATATGTAAGACAAGAGTCTCGTGTGATCAGAGTCATGAAGTTACACCTCAAGATGTTTGACTTACGGTAAATGATTACTTGCTGCCCTTTCTTCTTATTAAGAAACTCCTTTTGGTCTCTATCTTCTGGCACTCACTCGCAGACGAGAAACGAAAAACATACGGTGTGAGATACGGAGACACACTAAGAACCATGCAGAATATGCCATAGTGGTATATTGATACACGAATCACGAGCCCCAAGGCATCCGGATGTGTATGGCTATTTGACTGCCGTTCTCAAAACCAACACAACGAACCCTCCAAGACTACGTAAATTTGAAATCTAGAAATAAGAGATGACAGACAAACGTTAGTCCCAAATACAGTCCATTAAGCCATGCAAGAAATTGGGTAGCAATCTTCATGAAGTGACTCTGCGTAGGACAAATACATGGTTATCGATCGAACATCCAAAGCCTTCAGAAGGTGAGCACAGAAAGAGTTGACTTTTCCTGCCCGGAAGCTACGCAAACAGGAAACGATTGAATCTGAGAAAGGTGTGACTATGAACGGGCAACTAGTGAGCATCGCTAAGCAGAAAATCGCAACGAGAAATCCTCCGTGAGAAGCCTTTACGAGAAGCAGAAGATGGCTGGCGTATTACATGGGAATTATATGTGCACTGAGATGCGCAGTAGGGAACCAAAGTGAACTTCATGTTGCGAGGGCTATCAATCCAGTTCTCCAGGGCTGTAAATCCCCCCTATTATCTCGCCCCCCCAGCAATAGCATCAAAAGCCTCGATAGTATCAACCCTTCAGATATCTTTCTTTTCATGATAGAGTTGCAACAATCTCTAAGCACCGTCACCGTTGGCAAGCCAGTTCTCAAACTTGGCTTCCTTCTCAGCAGCAGAAAGGCTACGAGTAGATCAGTATTTGTATTAGGACATGCGTACCAGTCGAACATACCTGCCCCCAGACTTGCCCTGGACACCAACCGATGTCTTGAGATCCTCGTCCTCGTCCTCGTTCTTGTGCTTCATCTTCTTATGGACAGGAGATTCGACCATGGTCTCTGCATCATCGTCCTCCTCGTCCAGGATCTCGATCTTCTTCTTAGCAGGAGTCGATCGCTTGCGGCGGGTGGTAGCCTTCTTGGGTGTAGCAGTAGGGGTGCTGGTGGAAGGATCACCATGTCGACCTTTGAAGTCGCGCATGATGGACTTGCTGAAATGCTGACTGTTGCTGGTAAGTATCTGGACGTGATGAATATGGCTATGGGTTGGGAGGCTCAAGGACCCGAAGGGAAGAAATATAATGATATGAGAAAGCATGGGGAAACTTACGAGATGGCGTCCTTGGTAAAGGAATAACCAAGGGTTGCCATCGATGCATGGACCTTTGGCCAGTTGAAGCGCATGCGCTCACCATCCTGAGCACCCATGATCACTGCGACGCACAGGTCACGCTCGGCGTTGGCGTCCCACTTCTTCTCAGAAGGAGGCATTGTGTTAGGTGAGAGAATGGTTTGATGTAGAGTGCAGGATGTTGTTCTGGGGTTGAGGGATGGAGATGCAGTATGTAGGAGAAGAGGAGTGGATGAAAAGTGTGGAAGGGAAAGATGGAAGAGGAATTCTGAAGAGTGAATGGAGAAATATTAGAGGGTCGAAAAGTCCTAGTGAAAGGGAAAGAGAGATATCTAGGGGGATATAGGCTGCGTGTGGCCGTGCAACTGGTGGAAGCGCTTGATTCCTCTGCCTAGTAACCGAATGACCGAAGACGCAAACATAGCCACGCAGTAAATATCATCCTTATACGGATATATCTGGAGGATTTCGTAACTTAAGTATCTATGAATATCGCATATACAGTAGAGTTCAAGTTTTAAGCATCCCATGGCAATGGTCACGAGAATCGGAATTAAACAAGGAGAGTACTCGACCGGCATTGATTAGAACCACTTAGTGAATATCCCATATATACTCGGCCAATACTCGTAGAAATTTCAGTGAACATCAGCGGAGGCCTTGATGGATACCCAGTAAAAGTGTAGATGCGCATGGGATGCTCGGGAAATGCGCATCAACACCTCACGATACTTCAACAGACTGCACAAAAATGGAAGAAGAAAAAAAGGACGGGTGGTATCTTTCAATTCATCGCAGAGACATGCTCGTAATATTGCCCTCAAATGGCAAATCTCTCGTCGTAACATCCAAGGCACATGGAAACCATCCTTGCCTAGTTTTACCCCTATTTCTCTGCGATAGGCATGAGCCTGTTGATCACCACTCCAATGTTCATCAGCTGTCGAAGGCTCAACTTCCAACCCCCTTGGCCGTGGAAGCTAGCCTGTTGGCCCATTAGCTGAGAACATATGTGACAGTATTTAGACATCAACTCACAAGGTAGAAGAAATTATGACCTAGGCCTCACCAACGGTGACCTCGTCCTCGGGCTCGGACCTATAAGACAGTTAGTAAGGAACCTGGAAGTTGACTCGGTATATTCTAACATACTTGGTACGCTTGACGCCTTTGGGGGACATGAGTTCCTCATCCATGTCGTCCGTCTCCATCTTCAGCTGCATCTTCTCATCCTCAAGATCCTCGTCCTCGTCGACGATGGAAGCCGACTTGGTGGCCTTGCGCTTAGGAGTACGCTTGGCAGGAGTCTTGGTGCTAGAAGCGCGCTTACGAGGAGTACCAGTCTCGGAGCCACCAGAGTTCTGGATGGCGGTGGTGTCGCGGTTCTTGCGCAGCTTTTGGACGTGCTGGCTATAAAGACAAATGTGTTAGCTGCTGACCTTTGAAACTGTGCGCAAAAGACAGAAAGAGAAGTACTTGATCGCGTCGTAGGAGTAGGAGTAGCCCTTGTTGCGCATCTTCTCAGCGACGTTGGTAAGATCAGCCTTGTTCGGCTTGATCTCTTCGAGAAGAGCGAGGAGTAAATCCTCATGCGACGCAGCATCCCAGCCTCGAGCAGGCTTACCAGCACCAGCAGCACGGGGAGCCATGACGGTGATGATGGACAAATTGATGAAGGGAAATGGTGTATATGTTTGTTTATTTGGGTAGAGAATTATTGATGCCAGATGTTGAATGAAGAGACAGGAAGAGATGAGAAGGGCTTTATAGAAGAGTTGTCTGAGATGTGGGAAGAGAGAAGGATGAATAATTGCAGGAGAAATGTGAGAAAGGATGAAGAGGTTAGAAGAGAGGGGAAGTTGAGCTGAATGCAAGTGGGGGATGGGAAAACAACAGTGACCACTATGCAACGGAAAAAAGAGGCTGGAGTCAGAAATCGTACCGAAGAGCGCCCTCAGTGAAAGTGTAGCCCTTTTGCTGAAGATCACCCATGACGTTACTCCAGTCTTCAGCACTTGGCTTGATGTGTTGAAATAGACTGATCAGGATGTCTTCATGGACGTTGGCATCCCACTGCATGACTTGACGTTTGGCCATGGCGACGATGATAAGGAAAAGATAGAGAAGGGTGATTTTGAGGATGTTGATAAGAAAGAACGCAGTTTGCTCAGTGTTGTTGAGAAGTTGAGAAGATGAGTCAATGAAGCAACAGAGGATGATCTCCCCCGTGAGGATATTTGTACTCACTTAGCCCTAAGGCTTAGGATAGAGGAGTGAAAAATGAAGCCATGTTTGCACAAAAACGTGAATAGCGTCGCATAACCTCGAAGTGAATCACTCTGATGATTGCCCAAGCGCAGTACAGCAACAAGATAGCTCAGCGATCAAAATCAAAGCAGCAACGCAAACATGAGAGCAAAGAAATGTTAGAACCTACCGCACAGCGTCAAAAGAGGTGGTATATCCGCGCCCATTGATATACTCTTCAATAGACTGCTTGACGGGAGGAGTCAAGCCCCCGTTGACCTGAGCGCCAGTGTAGAGGCCAACGACGAGATCAAGGAGGAAGTCGGCGTTGTCCCAATCGCTCGCTTTTCCAGGCATGGTGGGGGTCGTTTGCCGTTGATTGATTTGGTAGAATTGAGGTTGAAGATGCGGATGGGAATCCAGATGTCAAGGGTGATGGTGATGGAAAGAGAAGAAAGTTGGGTAAAGCCGATCGCGAGATGAATTTATACTCCCAAAGAGAACAATGGAGCTTACAGCACAGAGATACTCTGAAAGTAGCGGTCGTCATTGTTCCAGCACGAGCACCACCGCAGTGACTCGAAACCTGTGTCTCGGGCACTGCCTCACACTGCGGATTTCAGTGACAATAGAAACACTCTACAAGTTTGGCATTGTTACTGTCCTATCTACGACTAAACTTTCGACATGGCCGAGAGCAATGATGTACGCTCCCAACTAAGAGACTCCAGCTCTTGCTTCTGCTAACCAAGTCTCAGCTGTTTTTCTTTCATATTATACACACACCCAGAATGTTCTGGTATATCCTGCAAAAATCCAGTCCTCGCTTGCTCATTTCTATCCCATCCCTTGCAAATGCAAAGGCCATTTAAGAAACTCCTAGTCTCTAACGCCAATGCCCGTGGTATCAATGTTATTCTACAAGCAAAGTCGGTGGCTATGCCTCACCATAAGTAGCAAAACTGAAAGGAATTAGTTGGCAGATCATTGATGGAAATATTGACAAATACTTACTCGGAAGCAAAATCTGTCGACCCATTATGGGCCGCCAAGGCCAAGACAGCTTCATCATCCATATCGGTATCCTTAGGGGGTTCAGGCGAACTTAACCGTGGCCGTTTAGCGGCCGGCTCATCATTATCGATATCCGCTTCGCCGTCAGCGTCACCATTGGCGTCGCCATCAGCATCGATATCCTCGTTGGCATGTTGCAGCTGCTCCGAGGTTAAAGCAGCTTGAGAGTCGTCGTTCTGCTCAACCGGCGCATGTTGAGATGCAGCACTTGCATCAGTCGCTTCACGGGCCTCCCGAGGGGCTTCCTGGGAAACGTCCTGAGATTGGTATTCAGTTGAGTTTTCCTGCTCTGGCTGAGGCTGCGCAGTTGGCTGTGAAGCCTGTTCAGGTTCGTCCTGTTGATCTGGTTGAGGTTGAAAACCTGACTGGAGCTGTTGGCCAGGCGGAGGTTGCTGCCCGGGTTGAGGCTGTTGGCCAGGTTGAACGGATTGTGCATGCTGAAGAGGATGAAGATGAGCAGGCGCCTGAGGAGTGTCAGGGGCACGAGGGGGACTTGGGTAAGTTATCGGATCCTGAACATGAAGTGTATTGCTGGGAGGAGGAGCTTGTTGAGTAGGAGTCGCAGGAGAGATGTTGCCAGGCTGTGCAGCGCCTTGAGCTGGCAGATGAGCGCCAGCTTGATGATTGCCAGCAGGAACACCATAAGATTGGACTGCCTGGGGATGAGGATGGGGGTAAGGAGGTACGGAGTTGGGCCCGGGAACGATACCAACTGGCATGGGCTGATCGGAGGGGATTTCTCCAGCTCCAGGAACAGGAACAGGAGGCTGTTTCCTGGGCCGACCTCTTCCAGGGCCGGGACGACGGGTGATCGGATTCATTGTCGGATCATTCCTGCGTACAATATCGCCATTGGGTCCAGCTGTCTCTGCCTTATTCTGAGCCCTGCGAAGCCCCTGAAAATGTTGTCTGGATACATGTTAGTGCTGTGTTATTTAAGAAGTTGGACAGGGTTTAGTAGGGTTATTTGTATATATGAGGTGAGTCAAATATGTGCTGTGTGATAATAAGTGGACGTAAATGGGCGACTCAGGTATAAGCCAACTTGACGCGTAACGACCACCAGCACGAATTATACATCGTGATAAGCGAATGCTGATAACGTTATGAAGAATCGCAAAGTCATTGAGTATAGGCAAGTATGACAGTATAAAGATATAAGTACTCACCGGCAGCCTTCATTGGTGAAGCCATAGCCCAGACTTCTCATATGGTTACCAATGGTGGTCCATTCTGAGCCGCTTATGACGCCAATGTTCTTGACAGAGAGAATAGTAAAGAACAAGTCTTTGTCAGCTCTATCATTCCAATTTTTACTATTCATTCTGAGTTCAACGGAAATAGAGTAATTGTCGACGTGACAAAGAGTGATGGGTTATAAGGCGGCAACGCGACTGTAGATGGTTAGACGCTGTTAAGGCAACGGCTGGATCAATGGGAAAATTGATAGTGTAGGTAGAAATTGCTAAGGGAAGGGGAGCCCGCTGAGGCGCGAGGTTGGGGGGATGTGATGGTCCAAGCTTCTTCTTGGCATGAGGAAGGGAACAAAGGCATTTCGGATTCGGATGAATGTTATCTCCGATTCGAGAGCCTATCCGTCGAGGTTCATTGGATGATGAATCTCGAGAGCTTTGCTTTTCCTAGAAGTACTATCTATGTATGTTTGCTTTTTCTTCTGCTCGGTTAGATTTATACAATGCCGAGTTCAAGAGGTGTCTGACAACAGTCCTTTCTCTTGGCAGACAGCATCGTGACTTGTTTGTCGTTGCAATGTACCTCAGTTTTATACCAACTCAAAATGGTAAATTGAATCAGCATGTGAGACTGACAACGACAAGCAAAACATGTATATCGTAGGTTGTTTTGTGGTTGGTGATAGCAAAGCAAAGGGAAACAAGAAAACTTAGAATCTCTACGTATCCTAAATGTCAAAAAGACCTAGGTAAGTTTAGTATAATCTAGTATAGACTTAGCAGACCTTATTAGATTAAGTGTTTTTAGCACCCTAGTTCAACGTCAGAGGTTTTCTTGCTCCCTGGGGCAAAGGTCCCAATGATTCAACAAGTCAACCTCCTAAGAAAGACCAGCAAATCACATTGACAACCCAAATGATGCCAACATAAACAAACGGTTACCGAAAGAGGATTAGTCGAGCTCAACGTTAGATCATCTGGTAACGGAGTGGCAGACCCGCCAGTCTGCGCCACAAAGCGAAGCAAGGGATTTCAGGGGGACAAGAAAAGATGACTTGAAGTGGAGACAGTGTACGAGGTCCCCTCACGTGCTTTCGTTCCCATTTCCTGTCCTGATGAGTCTGAGCAAGGTCCCACCAGCTGCGCGCCCGTCGCGTCTCCCACCCACTTCATCTCATGCCCTCCATAACGACCAGACATTGATTCGAGGGCTATACACGACCATGAAAGCTTTCATTATCGTTAAATACGAATGTTTCAACTACATTTCATATACTCGAGAATTTTCCCGACTTCCAAAGCTCTCGCGGTTGTTGAATTGCTGCTTTTCATCGTCGTCGTGACGGATTGCGACCATCAACTTTTTTCTAGGCTACACCCCTCAGCTGAGCGTCAAGAGGCAAACAGGCAAAGCAAACCTCGGCGGATCGGCTGCATGCTGCAATTTCTTTCATTCTTGAGCCTCGAGACCCCGATCCTTGCTCTTTCTGATGTCTCTTGTCTCATCACAACTAAGGTAGTCTGCTTAAACATGCATCCAGTTTGAACTTGCTGCACACCACCATAAGCTTGAGCTCAAGCTCAATTCATCCCCCTGACCAATTGAATATTTGCCTGTATAACTGCCACGAGGCCATTTGAACAGGATATCTATCGCTATGGATCGCCAAGTCGCCCAACCCGGTCCGCTGCGGTTTTCCCCCTGCGTTGTTGCATGTTGTATGCCCAATGTGCTATTAACCATTCGTCGGTGACCCGCGCAATGAGTCACACTTTGTGGTTTCACCCATTCCTAGGCTTGTAATCCCTGCTCGGGTATGCTTTAGCTTGCCTTTATGTGTCTATTTAGAAAACTTGTCTTTTGTCAATTGCCGTTGGCTACCTTCAGCTTACGAGACTTAAAAGAGTGAAGAAAGAGGGGAAGATCAGCTAGACCGGTTCTGAGCAAAAACCACTTAAACTTAAACATTCCAGTCTCAAATGAACTCAAGTTAAGAGTGAGCATATCATTGTCTCAATTGATCCATCACGTATTGTTTCTCCTTTTGAGATCTCATCTGGAGGCAATTCTTTCATGGGATCTGCGGCACCGCTGAACTGTAGTGGTTGCAGCACACCCTGCCCTGGAGACAGGGGCCATGGTGCGCTGGGGCCCGGCGGTCTTAGACTCAAATTTAGTGGGTTTAGCGGGGGGTCAGCAACCACTTTACGCGGTGTTCGCGCAGACCGCAGCCCCTCGTCGCGCCCCAATTTCCATCAACGGGAGGGATCGTCTGGATCCGACAGGAGGAACAGGCAACTATGGAGCATCTTCTGCATCATGGATCGTAGCATTCTCAGACATTTTCTCTCAATGCCTTGCGCAGCGCATTACGGCACATTACACGATCCATGCTGTGCCTGTACGGGGATGCTTGGCCCCCCCCTGTATCTGCCTGGTTTTAGTCCCCCCACAGAGACGGGACAGGAGGTGTGTAGGTGTATGTATATGGATGTAAGTTGGTGTGTGTGGCATCACATTTAGGTTGGATCTTAGCAGACAGCCCAGACGACTCATAAGTAGGCACTACCTACATATAATACGGATCCCTTCCTGTTCTCCTTCTTGGTGCCTTTCTTTCCATCTCTTCCCTCCTCCGCTTGCCGCTTTCTGCCTCAACCTGCCCCGTGCCACATCACCTTTGCATCGTGCCATTCACATTCTTCATCAGCACTCCAAACTACTCAAAAGGCAATCCAGACGCTACATATGCACTCATAGAAGACTTTTCGCTCAGCTGACCCTCCTCTTCAACAACGGGTTTCCCGCCGAGACCACTATCTTGGCCTGTTCTATTTCCGCCTCGTGCATCTCGTTGGCCAGAAAACCCTCAACTTCTGCCACATCATTTATCACCCACTCATCAACAACTCTTTGCGTCCACTAGATCTGTATCTGAGTGTGCCTCAGCCTCGCCGACTCCTCTTATCGAATTCACGGCATTGGGTTTCACGATAACAGTGACTCCGTCGAATCAAGTCTTGATCTGAAAACGCACAGCCTTGTTTTCGGTCAATATTCCCATCTCGAAAAGCTAATTCACGCTCACCTAAGGCATCCATCAGCCAAAGCTGCCTAAAGTTTCCACTTCATGTTCTAATTTATATATCATTCCACTTCTCCTCATTCTGCCTCCTTCGACAGGCTTGTCCCCGCAGCCACACACCACCTTCTCTCCTCCTCTCCCCTTAACGCCAATCAAGTCTATTCACGATGGCTCCCAACAGTGAGAACGCCATGGCCCGGTTTCTTCTAGCCATTCTAAACCAGAAGAACCTTAAGGACGTGAGTTGATCCGATCATGAATGCTGTTCTGATTATCTTCCTAACGCAACCCCAGATCGACTGGAATCAAGTCGCCTCAGACCCTGTTCTCATCGAACCCATCACAAATGGACATGCTGCAAGGATGCGCTTTGCTCGTTTCAAAACCACAGTCTTAGGCACCCAACCGCAGAAGAGAACTCGTCCTGCCGGCCCTGCAGACAAGTCTCGGGTGACGAAGGCAAGGAAGACGCAACAACCCAAGAAGGACAGCATCGGCAATTCTGAGTCAGGTTCGAGCGTCTCATCGTATGCCCAGGTTCGCCAGAGCCCTATCATCAAGCAAGAACAGAACCAACATGCATACATGGCACAGTTCTCTCCCGCCTCTACTTCCTCTCCTTTCCTCAACGACAACTTGGACGACTTTGGTTGCAGTTCTCGATTTCTCACCCCTTGCAGTGATGATATGCCACAGGGGCTCTCCATCAATCCCGCTTCACTCGAAGACACCAGACAGCGAAACGGATTTGGTCCTTCGATGGATTGTCCCCCTGACTTCATGGCCCAACCAGCGATCCCTGACTTCATGACCATGGGGCAGTCACATTTTCATACGTTTGACGTCGCCTGTAATGAGACATCTTACAACTCTGCTCTCGGCGATGCACAGAGCCCAGCTGCCCTTGATCTCAATGGCGCCCCTCCCATGCCAGATTGCAGCTCTGAATGGCCTGACCATTTCAACGACACTTCCTTTTGATACCCACACGGAAAACATGGAAACCCCACGGATAGAGGGTTGCTTGTGTACAAAATGGTGATTTGCTAGACTGCGTTTGCTTCATGAATTAATGACAATGGTTTCGTCGATATGTTTGCTTTTCCTATTTCCTTCTGTCAGGGTTTTGCTTTACACAAGTTCCAACTTTGATCCAACAAAGACGACTGTCATAAGTCTCTACTAGGATCAACATCAAGTTAAAGATGAAAAGAATGCTAGTTACCGGAAGTCTACTTTACTGGAACTTATATGTTGCTCTGGAAGTTGTATACTAGCCTTTTTATTCGCAGTCTAATTCAGAGAATCATTTATGGATTCATACATATAGCATGTACCCATACTCACAGTGTATTGACCATACCAGCTACCTACGAGTGTAGTGATATTGGCGTTCTGATTTGGCAGAAGCTGGTTAGTCTGACTAACACTTGGCAGTGGCATAGCTCCTCAGAAGCAGTGCCAAATACAAGCAAGCCTCACTAACAGCACAACTACAGCGAGAAGAGAACCATGGGCTTCAGTCTCAGAAGCAAGTTCTCGCCATTATAATGCGCTGCAGTTTTTTGGTGTACCCACTAGAGCTTTCAACCTATCCATTGTAGCCAAACACTGGTAGCATATTTACTAAAGCTCCTAAACTTCTCTAAATTTCTGATTTCGTCTTCCCCAAGATCTAGGCATAAACTCCCTTCACTCCTCCGCGCACAGATTCATCTCCTCCACACCAGCCTTGCTCTGTACTTTATCCATTTTTTCAAAACACAAAACACAAAAACCAAATACACCCCCTTTCACTTTCAAAACAACGGTAAAGAATACCTGCCACTTACCTGAGGTGTGGATAGTATCCAGACTAATGCTATTCACAGCACGACGCTACCATGGCCGACAGCAATAAGAAAGAGCCCACTGCAGCCGAAGCTATGCTGTTCTTCAGCATTGTCAAGCACACTCGAAACAAGGCTGACGTTGACTGGAACGCTGTCGCCTCCGAGGCTGGATTCAAGAATGCCGATGTCGCCAAGGTGAGTTGCCATGCTCCTCCTTTGCCCATGCCGCCTCATATCATCTCACGATTAACTCTATCATCTGAATTCGTATACTGACTCAGAGCCTCAGGTTCGATTCGGCCAGGTTAAGCGTAAGCTCGGTATCTCTACTGAGACTACTGCTCCCAGCCGCGGTCCTGTGACTCCCAAGAAGACCGCTGGCGCTCGAGTCGCCAAGACTCCCCGTAGCGCCAAGGGCAGAGGAAAGGTCAAGAAAGAAGCTGACACGGTCCTCCTGCACGATGAAGATGAGGACGAGCTGGTCAAGGCCGGCATCAAGGCCGAGGACCGTGAGATGGAAAAGACTCCAGAGAAGGAAGACCTCGGAGATGATGACATCGATCCCGCCAACTTCCCCTTCTTTCAACAGTAACTTCACAACTGAGAGAATGTTTCAGGCTTTTCGGATCGAGATTACGATCTCTTATGGTTGCTAAGAATCTGAGTTGGGGCGATCAGAGTGGATATACGATCTGAGGACTTAGCTACGGCAACATGATACCACAAAGCCAAGTATGACGACGACAAAATCAAGTCAAAATTCTAGCACATCTCACATTCATTGCAAGCTTTGATGATCCGCCTTGAATAAGTTGTAGTGATATATCCTCACAACCTGAACGGCAGTTGAGGAGTGTCAGGCCCGAGGTCTCGAGCTCAAATGGAGATATCATGCAGTGCTTGAGATGAAGCTGCTAGCTGTAATGCATAGGTACATTCACTGGGCTCCAGGATTCTTCCATCGACATTTGTGCGCAGTGTGCGAGCTCTGGACTTTGGCCCTTCTCGCTGCCTGTTCTCGCTGCATATGCCCTGGCACTGCAAACTATTGTCTCAGTCACCTCACCTACCTAACACACCAAAATCCACCCCATTGTCCTCACCATTGCACAAATAAGCTTGTCAAAGCTTTGGGACTTTCACCGTAGCCACCCATATTTTAAATCCGCCGTCCCACCCCTCTCCCTCCCAACCTTTCCTCCTTCACAACACTCTTCTGCCAATACGCAGCAAGCAACTTTCATTGCCAGACAAGCTTGATACTTTTCACAAACAGCATCTTTCAAACACTAATTCCCACCAGTAGGACTCTTTTCTAATATCATATCTTCATGATCTTATCTAACCTCACCACAGATCAATCATCATGCCTCCCAAGAAGAGTGCCGACCAAGATGGCTCCCCTATCGGCCTCACTGATGGCGAGCTCCGATTCATCAAGGCCATCTTCGACAACATGACTCAAAAGCCCGATGCCGACTGGGATGCCGTTGCCAACACCGTCAGTCTGAAGGATGCCAAGTGTGCCAAAGAGCGCTTCCGTCAGATGTCCGTCCGTCATGGCTGGCGTAGCGATGGTGCTGGATCTGGTCCCAGTCCTCGCAAGTCCTCCGCTTCGACTTCCAGTCCTCGCAAGTCTCCTGCTGCTGTCAGGAAGTCCAGGAAGACCAACACTGCTCGCAGCCCCTCCAAGAAGTCTGTCAAGAAGGTCGATGAGGATGACGAGGATGTCAAGGAGGAGGCTCAGTCTGAGGAGAAGAAGGAGATCAAGGCTGAGGTTGAGGATGATGACACCAACTAATGGATGAATTGATGGGAGTGAAGACACCGTATTGTCGACTACGCTTGGAAGATTCATGAGGGCCTCATATCAAGTCTAGGGGTAATACTGAAAGGATCTGGCTAGTCAATATCTGGAGGTGCCACTGAAATGAAATTGAGACATTGAGACACATCTAATCAATATTGGGCTAAAATGTGATTTCGAGTTTTGATCAGAATCTGTAGAGTGAAATCTCATCCACTCTTCTTGGGCGGGCGGGAGAGTGGACGAGAGGTGGAGTGGCACTGCAACATCAAAAACTGGGATGGAATCTTCGCAGGCCATAATTGGCATGGCAGCTCGAGCTAGAATACTGGTTCTTTTTCATCCATATCATGTGTGCAATATTATCACTAGCCCGGGTTTGCCCTATGTGAGTTGCCATGTTGGCTTACCCATGAATTGGTGACCTTCATGCCATTGACCACATTGCCTATTTTCACGAGATCTGCATCGATCATTAGATAAGCCTCAGTATACTCATTATGCCAGATGAAGTCCGTAGCAATGCCCATATGCGGTATTGCATCTTGAATGGTGTTTATGCCCGGGAATTAAGCTGGCAGCTGGCAACACTGTCAGGCGGGAACTCCGCAGCAGATGAGCCTCAGTTGTTCATAACTGAATTCACTGTATGAATTGTCTGTGCCACAGGGCTTAGTTGCCTGGTTAATGCACAAACAGTATTGCCCGTGCTGTTTGGTTGGTGTTGTTTCGTCTGATGTTGATATTTGCCCAAAATAAGGGTTGCCTGCTGCCACATCTGCCCTCTAGTCCCTATTTACTTTTCCACCTGCTCTGTTTACTCTAAGTAAACATAGACTCGTCTTGTCGTGTCTCTCCCGAATAATTTATTTTAACCTCTCACCATCTCAACTCTGTGCCTGATCATCGCACTCACTCCCACAACACTTGACGACCATATCAACCTCGAACACTGTAGGTTTACGAGCCCTTCATCCAAAATTCATCTTGATTTCTTTCACCTGCCTTCATCTCGGTCTCACCGCTCACTCTCATAGCCCAAGCAACCGCTACCATGTCCAAGCAAGAACCTGCGGATCAGGTCAAGTTCCTTGTGTCCTGCATCGGACACACCACCAACGGTCGAGTAAGTCCAGATCCCTCTTTTGTCTCATTTTGCGCTGCTAACAAACCAAGCCTGACTTCCAGGCTGTTGCCGAAGAGCTCAGCATCGTCTCCAAGGCCGCTGCGTAAGTTACCCTCCCTCTTCCCCATCATCAACACTAACTCACGACGCAACAGTCAGAAGCGATACGAGCGCATGCTCAAGGCCCACGGCATCAGCCGTCCTGGTGCCCTCGCCAACGGCAATGGAACCGATTCTGCCCCTTCAACTCCCAAGCGCAAGGCCAAGGCCGAAGGCGCCGGAAGTGCCAAGAAGCGAGCTACTCCTCGTAAGGCCAAGAAGGAGGAGTCTGACGACGATGAAGACGCGAAGCCCAAGACCCCTGCTAGCAAGAACAAGGTCAAGAAGGAAGAGGAGAAGGACTCGACTGATTCTACTGGCTCGCTCTCTGGTATGTGTCCTTGATGTTTCAGTCACGCTAATTTACTAACTTCGACGATAGATGCGCCCCCTTCTGATGGTTCTTAAGGCCAAATCCAACGGCCCAGTGCATGGTGATAGGAACACTTGGAACAGTAACATCATCATGGCTTTTGTCTTGCCGATCTCATGGACAGCTAGATATCTGATTAGGGTGTGACAGCGTATGCGCAGAGTTGGGGTATCAGGATCATGGATCGAGGATAGTCTCAAGAGATGCAAGTGACAACGAAAGAAATGAATCTTTGCTTCCAAATTCACATGATCACTCTCAATTCTATATACTCGCCTATTGACAGTGGCTTGAGCTTGTAATGCTTTTTGGAATCCAGAATGGATGAGTCTCCATCCCATCCACATCTGACTTCTAGCCTCAGCTATCAAATCATAAGCATCATATTTCGGGCACTCACCGGCAATAACATTCGCTCGAACACCACATTCAGTTAAGCTCCTTGTGTCCTTAAAAAGATACCTAGTCATGGAAGCCCGACTTTGCATTTCCCGCCGTTTGCCAGGCACTGCCAGTGGCTTCAAGCCCCACTCCATGAATGCACCTCCTGTTGTCACACTTGAGCATCAATTGAACAATAGCAATTCTGCCAGAATTTCCTATTGTAGTAGATACCGTCGATTAATGAATGGGAACATGCATGTTCGCCTCCATCCTCATGGAGGGGATCATATCTCCTCTCTGCCCTCTCCCACACTCACTGTTGGTTCTCACTCTTCCTCCAACACTCATTTTCTTTGCAACAGCGAACTCCATCGCAGGCTTCGTTTCTTTCTGATTCTTCTTTGAAGACTCTAAGACAAATTGAGTGTTTATTCTCTTTCTGTAAGTAGAGTGCACTTCTTCTGCGACCTCAAGCTCATTCTCTAAAGGTATATTCACCTCAATCTTTGCTTATACCAAAGCACACAACATTTCTGCTTCATCTTTTAAGCTTCGCTTCTATTCGACAAGTTTTCATCATGTCGGGTCCTACTCCAGCCCGTACTCCGCCCTCTTTCACTTTTGAGGACAGCGATTCCGAGTTTGATGCTGAGATGGCAATGCCTGATTATGAGCCCATGTCCCCTGTTGTCGCCAATCTTGAGAAGATGGTTGCCAATCGCAAGATAGTTCCCAGTGAGAGCGGCACCACAACTGAGACTATTAGCTCCGTTGAGCGTGGCACCTCCACCAAGCGTAGCATCTCAAGCATGGACAGCACTACCCCCGAGTCGCCCATCGAAGCTTTCCTCTCCCGACCCGAGACTCCCAACTACCCTTACAGCAACTGGAGCTCTACCTCTGCGTTTACCATGCGTAACGGCCAGGTCTACAACTTTGGTCAGCTCCAGATGATGTCCCTCGAAGTTGCTGAAGCCAGACGCAATGGAGAATTCCCTGCTACCAACGAGCCTACTCTCGATGCCAATGCTGTTGCCGAAGACTTCAACTCGCTCATCTATCTTCGACGCCTTCGCGGTAACCAACTTGCTCCTGCTCCTCAGTCATACATCCACTTCCGCGAACAGGTTGCACTCGGCATCCAGGTCCGTCAGGTATCTCTCAAGCGTGAGACTGATCAAGAAGTCGCTCGTCGTGTTGGCCACTACCTTCAAGCAGTGGAGGCTGAGCAGCGATATTACAACGCTACGAACACTATGCTCCAGCGTCGCGAGGTCATCAACCCTACTCAGCAAGACTTCATCGACCCCCACGATGACATGTGCTCTATGGTCGAGCATACTATCGAGCAGGGCATCTCCGATGCCACTGGACCCCTCCGCATGAACGTTTCTAATCTCAAGAAACAAGGTGAAGTCTTCCAAGAGCAGACAGCCCTTCTGCAGCAGCAGAATGACATGTTCCAGCGACAGACTGATGGGCTTGTCCAGCAGCAGAGCAGTCTCCTTCGGCAGCAAACCGACCAACAGAATGACCTCTTCTTGCAGCAGCACAGTTTGTTTCTGAATCACAAGGCCAGCCTCCGGGATCAGAGCCGTTTTTTCAAGAAGCAGGCCGACACTCTCGAGCACCAAAACAGAGTCATGAATGCTTCCCTCACTCACTTGAGTAACCTGGTCGAGCCTCAGGTCTATAACAACCAGGCTACCGCCCAAACGCTCGCTTCTGCCAACCAGCTTGTCGTCAACCTGTCGCAACAACTCCCCGAGACCATCCGATGCGCTGTGGAAGAAGCTTCCCAGAAACAAGCTCGCGAGATCCTTGAGCAAGCTCTTCAAATCCAGCAAATGGCTATCGCCAACCCACAACGGGATGCCAAAACCATCACCGCCCCGGTTGAAGAGGCTCAGGAAAAGAATTCTGTCACTGTTGGTTCTGATAGGGTCGAACGAAGTGAGCGATCTTCTCTCTACCGTATGGTGCGCAAGTTCAAGCGCCAGCGTATCTCTTCGTGAATGGTTGGAGGAACGAGCAACAGAGTAGTAGCAGACCTCACCGTCTTGGGATGGAATGCATTTGATCAATTTGATGTATGTAGTGACAAGGTCTGATTGACACTTGCTTTGCTCATCGAGTTGACTGTACTCAAATGGAACTTCGATTGATTTTACTCTTGATTAGTCTTGACCAGGACTCGGCTGTTTTGACTTAGATGGTATATCCAATGCGATAGATGACTCATGTGACACTTGTCAATATCACGGCTGTTCTTGACTTCAACGCTTCACTTCCCAAGTCAGTTTCAATATCCCCAATCCGAAGGCACTGAGTTGTTGCCCTCTTGCCTTCCTTAGCTTGGAGTTTCTGCCTGGGATAGTCTGTCCGATATTCCCCGCCAACTCAAACTGATTGAATAATTGGAAGACATTAGAGTTAGATATGAGACACTGTTTCAAACTTTGAAAGGTTGGGTAATTCAGTGCCAGTTATCTTATGAGTAGGATACCTAATGACACAAATCTTGTAGACACAGTCTCAGTATCTTCACTTGGGCTGTCCAGACAGCTTACACCGTTGAGCCCCATGGAAAACGAGCGAACCCCAGACGGGCCATTTGTCATGCAACATCGGGCAGTGGAGTCGTTCACCGTGGAGCAGGCCCTGAGAGTCTCGGTCTGGAGATCGAAAGCCGCTCGCGATCCGTCAAAACCCAGTTCTGTATGCCGTCCTCGGCTATGGCGCCGGTAATAGGAGTTCCAGGCCTTCAAATGCCCCATCTTCAGGCCTTCCAGGGCATTTGGCAGCGAGTCTCACGGACGTCGCTGGAAAGGTGTAGAAATCGATGGCCAGTGGCGCTAGTACGTATCAGGGCTAGTCTCGCAGCTGGGTTTTGCCGAGACCGACACTCCGACCGACGGGGACGATTCCATTTTTTTGAGAGCTTCTCAGTCGCCATCATATGAACCTTTTGTCTCCCTCACTCTAACCCTCTCCTCCTCTGACTCTGACTCGTCCGTCCTACATCCCCAGGTCGAATTCCTCACGAGCGTTTCTCTTTTCTCCTTTTCTTGTAATTCTCCCCATATACCCCCTCCTAATTCCACAATCATGCAGCGCGCATTGAGCACCCGGGCTCGGGCTTCCGTCCTCTCCTCAGCGGCCACCAAGTACCGAGCTGGCAGCCTCAGCCAGCAGGTCCGATTTGCTCACAAGGTATGATGATACTACGACGTCACAAGATTGGAATTGTATACTAATTCACTGTATAGGAGCTCAAGTTCGGTGTTGAGGGCCGTGCTGCTCTCCTCGCCGGTGTCGATACCCTCGCTAAGGCTGTTGCTACTACCCTCGGTCCTAAGGGCCGAAACGTCCTCATTGAGTCCAGCTTTGGTTCTCCTAAGATCACCAAGGGTTCGTAGAAGCCTCATCGACCATTTTCAAGCTTTCAACTAACTTATTACAGATGGTGTGACCGTTGCCCGCGCTGTCAGCCTCAAGGACAAGTTCGAGAACCTTGGTGCCAAGCTCCTCCAAGATGTTGCTTCCAAGACCAACGAGGTCGCCGGTGACGGTACCACCACCGCTACCGTTCTCGCCCGTGCCATCTTCTCCGAGACCGTCAAGAACGTCGCCGCTGGCTGCAACCCTATGGACCTCCGCCGCGGTATCCAGGCTGCTGTCGAGGCCGTCGTCGAGTTCCTCCAGAAGAACAAGCGTGATATTACCACCAGCGCTGAGATCGCTCAGGTTGCTACCATCTCCGCCAACGGTGATGTCCACATCGGCCAGATGATTGCCAACGCCATGGAGAAGGTTGGCAAGGAGGGTGTCATCACCTGCAAGGAGGGCAAGACCGTTGCTGATGAGCTCGAGGTCACCGAGGGTATGCGATTCGACCGTGGCTTCGTCTCCCCCTACTTCATCACCGATACCAAGTCCCAGAAGGTCGAGTTTGAGAACCCTCTCATCCTCCTCTCCGAGAAGAAGATCTCTGCTGTTCAGGACATCATCCCCGCTCTTGAGGTCTCTACCCAGCAGCGACGGCCTCTTGTCATCATTGCTGAGGACATTGAGGGTGAGGCTCTCGCTGTTTGCATTCTGAACAAGCTCCGTGGCCAGCTCCAGGTTGCTGCTGTCAAGGCCCCTGGCTTCGGTGACAACCGCAAGTCCATCCTCGGCGATCTTGCTATCCTCACCGACGGTACTGTCTTCACTGATGAGCTTGATATTAAGCTTGACAAGGCCACTCCTGACATGCTCGGTTCTACCGGTTCTATCACTATCACAAAGGAGGACACCATTGTCCTGAACGGCAGCGGCAGCAAGGACGCCATTGCTCAGCGATGCGAGCAGATCCGTGGTGTCATTGCCGACCCTACCACCTCTGAGTACGAGAAGGAGAAGCTCCAGGAGCGTCTTGCTAAGCTCTCTGGAGGTGTTGCCGTCATCAAGGTTGGTGGCTCCTCCGAGGTTGAGGTCGGCGAGAAGAAGGACCGATTTGTCGATGCCCTGAATGCCACCCGTGCCGCCGTTGAGGAGGGTATCCTGCCCGGTGGTGGTACTGCCCTTATCAAGGCCTCTGCCCACGCTCTTAACGAGGTTCCTACTGCCAACTTCGACCAGCAGCTCGGTGTCAGCATCGTCAAGAACGCCATTACACGCCCTGCCCGAACCATCATCGAGAACGCTGGCCTTGAGAGCTCCGTCGTTGTCGGCAAGCTCACTGACGAGCACGCCGGTGACTTCAACAAGGGTTTCGATAGCTCCAAGGGCGAGTACGTTGACATGATCAACGCCGGTATCCTTGACCCCTTCAAGGTCGTCCGCACTGGTCTCATCGACGCTAGCGGTGTTGCCTCTCTTCTGGGCACCACTGAGGTTGCCATCGTTGATGCCCCTGAGGAGAAGGGAGCTGGTGGTCCTCCTATGGGTGGCATGGGCGGCATGGGTGGTATGGGCGGTATGGGAGGTATGATGTAAAAGACGGAATGATATGACTTTATGTTGTGCTGTATAACTAAAAAAAAAAAGCTGGACGGATGAATGGCGCACAATGGTTTGCGTGTTATCTTGGGACGGGTAAGGTGGTCTTGCAAGCTCATCTCCTCTCTATCGGTTGTCGGACCACGGCATTTGTCTTCATACCCCTTATGGATTTTCAGGCTAGATTTCGAAAGCCATGTATTATAGCATTGATTGTAGCATTAGCATGAAAAGATATGAGATACTAAAAGTTAAAAGAGAGGCAAGAATGAAAAACATTGAAACACCTGGTCTCTTATCTTATATGTGACTTGACATTGATTGTGTCATAAATGTACTATGAATAACATGCTGATATGTTTATATTGATGGTGAGAATTGATTGTTTGCATTGGGATTGGGGTAAGGCAAGCTCCGAGTCGCCGAGATAGAGCAGGGGTCCATTACATGAACAAGCAAGAGATGACGAGTTACGGCAAGGGTGAGTTTCGCGGTCTCAAGAACAGACACCAACAGTAGACAGTTTCGTCACTGAGATACTAGTGCATCTATGCAAGAGTTCAGTGTAAATACAAGTCAAGATCTCGATATAACTCATGTCGTACTTAACTAAGTAGGTACCTAAGGTAGGTAATGTTCTCCTGACATACACTCTTGTCCAGTCACGTGAAGCTATCCTTACAGGCAACCCCCACCAAGAGGAGAAGAGCACCCAAGAGAGGGGAGACTCGACTCAAGTTTCTCCCGCAACGGCCCCGCCTTTCTATGGGACAATACAAGGCAATTCTCTCTTTCTACCGCCTAAACCGAACTAACCCAAGAGATACAACCCACTCTCACGCCCGTTTCCATCGACTTTGTCCTTTTGCTTCGCTTCGCTCTGCATCGTGAGACTGTCGATTTTCTCTCCTACACTTCAATCCACTCTGTACGTACGCCGAGAGCCTCTTGTTCCCCTCCACCCTAAACCAAAATTTCATCATCTTACAGCCTGTGCTTGAGGTCTATAGCTAACTCAGAGCTCCCCCCAGCCCATCCACCCCTCATCCTAAAGATCCCGTCTCCTGACGTAGACCGCAATCATGGTAAGCTCCCCAACAAAGCCACCCAAAAAACCCTGAATCTAATCATAATTCACAGTCTCAATCCGGGTTCGTCTTGCCGCTCTCTTCTTCAGCTATTTGATCCGCGCGCGCCCATAAAATCCTCACTTCCCCGCGGCTGAGCCTCGCTTCGCTACTCATCTCCCCCCCCCCCCCCCTCGACCATGATTATGACGCCTGGCGCGGGGCAAACACGCAACAGCTAGACAGCATTATTTGAGACAACGGCGCTAACGATAAACTTTGCTTTTTCGAAATACAGTGCCACCGTTTCGCAGGACTGCATAACTGCCTTCAACGACCTGAAGCTCAACAAGAAGTACAAGTACATCGTCTACAAGCTTTCCGACGACTACAAGGAGATCGTTGTCGAGCACGCCTCCGACAACAGCGACTGGGAGGACTTCCGTGAGAAGCTCGTCAACGCTACCTCCAAGAGCCGAACTGTACGCATGCCAATCCGACGAATGGAGAATGAGGTCAAATCACCAATTCTAACATCTTTTGTAGGGCGCTGTTGGCAAGGGTCCCCGTTACGCCGTCTACGACTTCGAGTACAGCCTGGCCTCCGGCGATGGTATCCGGTATGCAGTCCTACCCTGGCCTGCACGTGGCCCAATTCAACACCCCCAAATTACTGACAGTCGGACAGAAACAAGATCACCTTCATCGCCTGGTCTCCCGATGATGCCGGTATCCAGGTACGTAGACACGCGATATTGCTTGGCAATGCGTCTCATTCAGGCACCCACTAATACCCAACGACAGCCCAAGATGATCTACGCTTCCTCCAAGGAGGCTCTTAAGCGATCGCTCACTGGCATTGCCACCGAGCTCCAGGCCAACGACACTGATGACATCGAATACGACTCCATCCTCAAGACCGTCAGCAAGGGTCTTGCTGGTTAAGCGCGCTGTCACCGACTACCCAATCGTCGCCCGCGCTCCCATATAGAAGCGGGTGGACATGGAATTTGAACATACCTATGGCGGTTTCAAGAGTTGAGACACCAAAACAAGCAAATGAGTAGGAGTGCATAGTGAGTGGGTGGAACAAACACGCGGGGACGATGGAGTGTTTCGTTTCCTCCAGGGACGCAGACCAGCGAGTTTACTTCTGGGGGCGAGACCTAGATTCGCACAATTGCCGGCACTGACCATGTATCGTACGTACCACGGGAAATAAAACCGCATGCTGGTATGTGGCAACTATTGGCATTTTATCATCTATCTATTCATGTGTCTCTGTCATGCTCTCATTGCTTCTAAACATCGTCGCCTTCTATGGATTTGCTTGACTCGACTCCCAACTTGATTTGAAAAGCTCAGAGAGACGTTCGGCCTCAGCTTCGTCCTTTAGTCGTTGCATCAAGAATCCTTTCAGGTCACTCCAGAAGGCCTCCGTCTGTAAGGCTTGGGCGCCTACGGGTTGGGCCTCAGGGGCGGCCTCAGGCTCTTCTGGTGGAATAGCAGCGGCACCTCCGATAACCATAACCGTAAACTCAATAGACATATCCGTCTCGCCTAGTAGGTCCTTAAGAATCTTGCTATCAGGGATAGGCTTCTTGTTGTGCAGCAACTTAGTCTTAGCGGCGGGTATCCTTGTCTGCTTCTCGATATTGGCCTTGATATCCAGGATTGAGGTGTCTAGGGGTTGAGAGGTGAGCTTGATGCTCAGAGGAGGGTTGCGAAGTGACTTGAGTGACACAGTGATGCTTCGTTCGGAACCGGGAGCGAGGTTGTTGGGTTTGCTCATGGCCTTGGGCATGCGGGGGATGATGTACTAGAGCTGGTATTAGCATGTGTTCTGGAGGAAGAGTATGAAGTCCATACAGGTGGCCGAGCAGGGTAAGTCTTGGGGTCTTCGACATGGTCGGCAGAGAGTCGGACAGGCCGCGACTCTAGCGACGCCAGAAATGTTTGGGCGAAAGCGGTTTCAGACATGATGATGGCCTCGTTGTGGTAGACTGTTAGCTCGACGGAGGCGGGGTTGAGCGACGATAATGAATGTAGGGGTCAGAAAGTTGGAGGATAGTGAAGGAAGTCTTTCGATTGTATAGGGTTCTAGAAGTATGGTGAATATGTGACTAGCCTCTATCTCGCAACAATAGGAACTAATCAATAGTAGCCAGCTTCATCAACTACCTAGGTATCGTCATTGAACACACCCAACAGAGCAAGCTCAAGCTGCCCACAAACGATTACATAAGGCACTTTTTCCGCAACCCGATACGAAGTTCTGCCGTTTATCGGACCCTGGTAATCGCAGCGCGCAGAAAAAAGTTTCGGCGGGGCGCGATCTATTGTAACTTTTCCTAGGCCCAAGAACCAAGACCAGATCTGTTTTGCATCTCGGTCGAACTAATTTTCTGACAACTTTTCAATTGTTGTTCTTTTCACTTTAAAATGGGTGTCGGACGTCGCATGAAGAAGCAGGGTCCTCCTCAACCCCTTTCCGAGGAACACTTTGCAAAACTGAAGCGCAAGGCCGGTCTACCTGTCGATCCCGTCGTCGAGGCGCCCGAGAAGAAGAAGCGAAAGACCAGCACAAAGGAGAGGACGGTCATCGAACCCAAGAGAAATGGCGTCGCCACTAAGAAGGATGTCAAGAAGACAAAAGTTACCAAGCCTATGAAGGCTGCGGCGCCTGCTCCGGAGCCAAAGGCCAATGGCAAGGTGAAGAAGAGCAAGAAGGCCCCAGTGCCGGCGCTGGAGGACGTGTCCGATGAGGAGATGGACGATGAGTTTGACCTTGAAGATCTCGATGACGATTCAGACCTGGGAGGCGGCGCCGGACTCGGCGACGATTTCCTCGGTTCAGACGATGATGACTCTGTATTCGACTCTGACGAAGACGCCGGAGGCAAGAACACGAAAGCTATGTTCTCTGAGGACGAGGACGAGTCCGACGCTGAGGAGAAGCTCACAGCCGCCAACATTGCGGGTCTTTCAAGGAAATTGGATGCTCAAATGGCAGAGGAAGCTGCCGAAGCAGAGGCTGAGATGGCACAAGAGGCTCTCCAGACCAACATCCACGGCGACAAGCCTCATATTCTGTCCGATGAAGACAGCGACGATGAGCTCTCAAAGAAGACGAACGCCCTCCTAGCCCCCGATCTGCAACTTCTGCGAACAAGAATCACCGAGAACATCCGCGTCCTGGACGACTTCGCCAACCTGTCTGAGGAGGGTCGTTCAAGAGTCGAGTATACATCACAACTTATCAAGGATATTTGCTCTTACTATGGCTACTCTGAGTATCTCGCTGAGAAGCTCTTCAACCTCTTCACCCCCCGTGAGGCTTTTGCTTTCTTTGAGGCTAACGAGTCGGCCCGTCCCGTCGTCATTCGCACAAACACTCTGCGCACTCATCGTCGTGATCTTGCTCAGGCTCTTATCAACCGTGGTGTTACTCTTGAGCCCGTCGGCAAGTGGTCCAAGGTTGGTCTCCAGGTCTTCGAGAGTAGCGTACCCCTCGGTGCCACTCCTGAGTATCTTGCCGGCCATTACATTCTCCAAGCTGCCTCCTCTTTCTTGCCCTGCATGGCTCTCGACCCCCAGGAAAACGAGCGCGTGCTCGATATGGCCGCTGCCCCCGGTGGAAAGACTACTTATATGGCTGCTATGATGAAGAACACCGGTATCGTCGTGGCTAACGATCCTAACAAGGCTCGTGCTAAGGGTCTTATCGGTAACATTCACCGTCTTGGAACGCGCAACGTCATTGTCTCAAACTACGATGCCCGTGAGTTCCCCAAGCCTATGGGTGGTTTCGACCGTGTTCTTCTCGATGCTCCCTGCTCTGGAACTGGTGTTATTGCAAAGGATCCTAGTGTCAAGACCAACAAGACAGAGCGCGACTTCATGCAACTCCCCCATATTCAGAAGCAGCTTGTTCTCGCCGCCATTGACTCAGTCAACCATGCCTCCAAGACGGGCGGCTATATTGTTTACTCAACCTGTTCCGTCACCGTTGAGGAGAATGAACAGGTCGTTCAATACGCCCTCTCTCGTCGTCCCAATGTTCGCCTTGTCGATGCTGGTCTCGCATTTGGAAAGGAGGGCTTCACCAGCTACATGGGCAAGAAATTCGACCCTTCTATGCGCCACACCCGCCGATACTACCCTCATACTTACAACGTGGACGGTTTCTTCGTTGCCAAGTTCCATAAGATCGGCCCCACGCCCGCTAACGCCTCCAACGCTCGTGACCGTTCTACTGGCCCCGCTGATGAGGACGAGGTCATCGACAGGACACCTATCGCCACAGATGATGAGGAGACAGGCAAGGCGAAGCCCGACGACGACTTTGGCGGCTGGGATGAGGAGGAGGATAAGGAGTACATGGAGAAGGGACGAAGGAATGCCATGCGCCGAAGGGGTCTGGATCCTAAAAGTAACAGCAAAAAGGCAAAGAAGGAGAAGGAGATCAAAAAACAGAAGTAGATACCAACTGCTCAACCATTCGCGGGAGTTCCTTGTTCTAAAAATGGTTATGGGTTTGACGACTATTAGTGTTGTTCACGTAGAGGGTTTTTCATATTATACGCTAGATAATAAACAAAAGTGTTTGGGGTCCATTCATATTACAACAGTTTCAACTGCAAGAGCATCTCATTTTGTTATAAGCATCTCATTTGATATAAAATCTAACTAGACCACAAAAGAAATGAATAAAAGAATGTCGTGGCTAATAAAGCAAGTCGTAAAGTTCATCTCGTCATTAAATAGCCCAGCTTCCCAGCCGTAAGGGGGTTTGCCGCTGGCCGCCATTTTTTCTATCATTCCCCAAAATCCAAAGCCAGCCCAACCCTTTTTTGCCATATGGTACATGGTGGTCATCAATATCCCTTGGCGCTGGCAAAAAAAAAAAAAAATAGAGCAACAAAAATATCAAAAACCAGAGTCATGTCGACCCAAACCACCCGGGGTATCCAGCCGTAATCCCTTCATGACAATCAGTTGTTTGTTCCATAAATCGTGTAGGTGACTCTGCCATATTGTGCGTATCCACAATTGCTCGGTATGGTGAGTGTGCATATTACAAGTTGTTGCTTAACAGTAATGCCGAAGAATGGTAAAGAGCCGTGAGGCTCGAGTTCTCTCACATAGCCAAATCATCAAACTGTGAGACAAGCTCGCGTATCGTCCACCGCCAAGCTTCGCGATCTCTGGATCCTCGGCCGATCCATTTCTCGCACTTCTTTCTCCACCGATCTTCTTCTTCTCGTTGTCGCCTGATGAATTCAGGCCCAACATCAAATTCTTCGCCAACGAGCCACTCATCCTTGATGTCGCTAACACGACCCTGGGCGCCATCATCGTCAGCAGTGTTATCTTCCAAGTCAGGAATATCCTTGAAAACATCTTCGTCGTCCAGCGCGTCAAAACCATCCATAGTGTCGCTGGTCTCAGAGGTGGGCTTAGCAGGATTATCAAGTTTAAGCCAGCACATGTTCTGTGGATCAAAGACCATGCCACCAACAACTTGAACGCCCTTGGTGGCGCTAATGTTGGTAATGAGTGCAGGACGAGGTGTCGACGTTTCTTTCTCGCGGGTATTGCTTGACACAACTGCTTGTGTAGGTGTTTGTACAGGGGGTTCAAAAACATTGAGGGCGTTCTCATTGCCTTCCCATCTGTATGTGTCTGCATTGTAGAACATACCATTCACCACTGTATTTTGTTAGCGACAGTATCAACGCGAGCTCTGGTAAACTTACTCTTCGACTCTTTGCCACTATTCAAGTTTGAGATCAGGTGTGGCTTGGTCTGTTGTGGTCGCTTGTGCTTTCTCGATCGAATGTTTGACTGAGGGATGGTAGGAGTCAGATTGCCTCGCGAGGATAGGTGAGCGACACGCTGGGAGTTCAGGGGCGTCAACGGGCCACTGCTAGGGACCCGTTGAGCCAGCGCAGTCTCCCGGGCAATTCTACTTGCAGCAGTGTCACGAGCAAAGTGAGGAGTAAAGGATGGTCGAGGGGTAGGAGGGATTGATGGAGACGTGGTAGTGTTCCTGTCTGGCAGAACGTTTTGATACAGCTTGTTACGCAAAGCAACTTTTGGTCCTGAGCTAGTCGGTTGCTTCAGATACTTTGTCTCAGTTTCTTTGGATGTGGGCAAATCATCAAAGCCGTCCAGTTCGTGACCATCGCCGAAGTTCTTTTTGTTCTTTGGCTTGCTCAAACGCTCCCAAGTATCGGCAGTGACGCGGTGACGATGGTTCGGACTGGGTGATCGCATTGTCGATCGGGAAAGTGTACGGGAGTTAGGGCGTAGGTCAATAGAACTAATAGAATTGTCTGAATCATGTCGACGGAATCCGCGAGTCTGCTTTGTAGCAACGTGCTGTGACTGCGACTGAGAAGCGCCGGCAGGCAGAAATGGCAGGTGAGACTTGCGGACAGTTGCCGGGCTATCTGTCGCGCCATGTCGCTGACGTTCTGTGGGCGTCTTTGGCCTCACACCAGACGATGGTCGGTTATTCTCCGACCTTGAAGGAGGTCTCTCATGACGGTAGGAAGGCTGTTTGGCCGGTGTATTCAGTCCACGAATTGCAGGTAGGGAGCGTTTTTGCTTAAGTAGTTGGGCACTAGTGGTTGTCGGCTCAGTCCGAAGTGAATTTGTAGAGGTGCGAAGATTAACTTCCCTCCTGCGTGGAGTGGGCGGCAGTCCATGAGATGGTGAGGTTGTAGTGGGAGTTGGCAGGCTGACGATGGAGGATTGGGATGAGTGGCCCAATCTGGAATGAGAGCGACGAGTGCGCTGCGGGATAGGGCCACCGCTCTCAGACACAGGCTCCAACGATGTTGAGTGTGTTCGCTCATGGTGGTTCAACCGAGGTATCCGAGTTGAATTGAGTGGTTTGTGTGTAAATGTGAGCGACACTGCCGCTTTGGGTCGAGCAGGGCTCGCCGGTCGTGTTTCCTTGACTCTGACGTTCTTATGCAGAGTGAGCTTGCTCGAATCAAAGACATCTCCTTCGCCGAGGTCAAGACCGTCAAGAAAATCAGGCTTATCGGCTTCAGCTGCCGGGATCTTCTTTGCGGGTACAATAGGTTCTTCGGAAATGCGGTTGGGCGATCGACTCTTCCGCCTCTGTTGAAGCCTCTCAGTCCAGTTGACAGGCCCCGGAGGGAGGACAAGTCCATCAAAGGTTTCATCCTCACTTTCAGCAGTGATAGAACTCGACACACTTGGGCTAAGCGCAGAAGCCGCTGAGCTTCGGGCAGAACGCGCGTCTCGCCTGGTCCCACCATATCGAGTGCCTAAGCTTCCTTCTCCCCAGTCCAGATCCTCTGACTGGTTGGAAGGTGTCTTGGGGATCTCCTTTCTGGTGGAAAGTTTAAGTTTTCCGTCTGATGGAAGCTCAAGATCCATCTCAAAATCATCCTCCGGGTTGGAGGGTTTGGCTTCTCTCTGAGGAGTAGGCGGTGTGATAAAAGAAACAGGTTTTGGAAGTTGACGGTTCTTGGAGGCTCTAATAGTATCACCTCCGTCTCCAAAAAAGTCGTCATCGTCATCAGCGTCTTTAAATCTATCCAGATTTATGGCGGCAGAAAGACTGCTTGTGGCAGACTGAATAGACTGCATGCTTTGTATAGACTGAATTGATTGAGTAGACTCACGTCGGTTGACTTTGTCAAAGGGAGAAGTAGGAGGTGAGTTGCCCCAGCTCATAGGGCTAGTATGTGTAGATCCAAAGCTGACATGCCGCGAGGTCTCGGGAGACTTAGGTTGCTCGAGTTTCTTCATCTTCAAACCCTGTGAGGAGTCGGGGATCTCTAGGTCGTTCTCCCAATCGTCTTGGATGATCTTGCGAATTTTTCGTCCGCCAAGGCGTTTGATAGTACCTCCCATGAGAGCAGAAGATGGAACATTTGATGGTAATGGGATGCCGGCACTTTGGGCTGCGGCGATGGCATCCAGCGTTGACTTCTCGTCATCTCCCGGGATATGGACATGTTGCTCTTCTTCTCCTTCAAGTTCAGATCTAAATGAAAAGTGGGATGACCCAGAATCGCGTCGCCTTGAAGAGGATGGTCGCGAAGGATTGTTTGTGGCAGTAGATGGGCTGCGGAAGGATAAATCGTCGCCTTCTACCACGAAGTCATCGTCGTCCCAATTCTCTATGTCGGCCTCGACGGGCTGTCTGGGCTTAAGTCGCAAGGGTTCCATGGTAGTGAATGTGTTGTTGTGTGTAGTACGCAATCTATATGCTGAGGCCAAGGTTTGGCAAATAGTGTTGGTTGGCCTGGCTGTTGGGGACGCGATGTCAATTGCGTGTAGTCATTATTGTCAATGGTAATTGTTCCCCGCATACAATAGCATATCCTTCAAGCGTGACAATGTGACGTTTGAGGAGAAAGTGGCGTCAAGAAAAGTAGACAAAAAATCGACAATCGTAGGGAAAGGTTTCGCGAATGCTGCAGATGCGTTTGTAGTCGCTTTGTGCGAGTCGCTGATCAAGTATTCAAATGTGGGAGGAGAAGCGAAATGTGGTGATAATAGTAACAAAGAAAACCGTCGCCAAGTCGCCGTGTACTGCGAGCTGATGGACAAACAAAAACCAAGATCGACACAGGAAAAGCTCGTTCGAAGAGGGGAACCGAATTTGATATCTGTAGGTGAGGATTTTTTTGATGGTCGAGAGGGTGACGTGCGAGACAGGATGCAAAGGTCAGGAATGCGGTCGGCTGTGGATGAGGTGGATTGGTTTGTTTAGTTTGGCTCTAGGTTTGGTGGGTGACTGAGGTGAGGTGCTCTGTGAATCACAACGCACTCCACTCCACTCCAGCTTGGTAGAGAAATGGAAGGCTGGGGGGTAACTCTGAGCGTGGCTGGAGGTGGCCCCCGCTAACTGTTAAGGGACGTGCCCACTGTAGCCATCAGTTGCTGGGCACTGCTATCGCTAGAGGTGGCTCCACAGACAAGTGGTCAGCTCTTGGCTGCTGCGCTATTTAAGCACTACGCCCGAATGCTTACAGACGCTACACCTGAAAAGGTCTCTCCTGGACGGACCAGAATGTGACCAGACCTTTGAAGGAAAAATCGGAGGCAGGTTTGAGAACTGAGGTGGCTTCACGTGACTACCGTTGCACAAACAAAGTTTAGCTGCGAAAACAATGAGATTCTTGCCTGCGGAAGCAGAACCGTTTGTAGTGAGGGGAACCGCCCAATTGGCCAAACCTTCACGCGTCATAGTCGCGACAAGTCGAAGTTTTCTTCATGGGACGTCACCAGTTTGCGTTTGGTGGCTGGTTGCTCAAGACCCAGCTCCGTCAGCTTAATTCAGCTTGTTTTCCAAGCTTTTCGCCTCCATATCTTGTGCCTGGCGTGCCTGGACGATCTTGGGTGATCTCACAAAGCTAAAAACCTGAACAGACAAATAGACACAGGTACATAGCATACCCTGGCTCTTATGATGATGATAATTTCGTCGTCCCCATGCCACTGTCCCGCATAGATTAACCTCCCTCCAACATGTCTCGTCGAAAATATCAGTATACGATTATATACCGGCTTCTTACCCCACCAGCCAGTTCTAGGCACGATCTCATGCCCGAGATTTCTGAAGTTAAAGCTCGTCAAGGGAAGGCCGCTAGTAAATGTTCCAGTTGTAAGATGCGTCTTGCAAGACACAAATATCTACAGGCTCTTTTACGAGATTGATACATCCAGACTCAGACTTATGGAATGGGTCACGTTTACGAAGAACGCCAACATATTGTTTTTCGTATTTCACCGATATTGAGTTTTACAATGGCATGCTGTTGATAGACTGAGATAAAGAATCATCAAAGCATCAACACTTCGTAAACTAACCGGACAAAGGCCAAAATTATAGGTCCCAACTGATACTGGCGGAGGTTGATTAGCGGCACCTCAGGTTCCTGAAGCGGATGGCCATGTGGCCCTAGAGGCTAGAGCTGCCCTGAACAGGCCTCGCCTAAAATGGGTTGCAGCCTGCAGCCAACCGCTTCATTGTACATGAATGCATTCCGCGAATGGCTCCAAGTGGAACGGCTGCCTACACCTAAATCAACTTATTAAATAACATGGAGAAACGTAAACTCTAACAACACCAAAATATTCCTCCTTCTCTTACCATTTCCTGGCTGTGGGACGATCTTTTGAGCTACGCCCAAGCCCCCTTTCTATATACGTAAAAAAATAAGCAGAGCTTCACAGATCGCTCAAAGAAATGGTACAAGCAAACCATCTTCCACAACAAAGAATCTGACGAAGTAAAACCGAAGCCCACTTCGAGGATCTCTATATAATACTCTCGTCAATATCATCGTTCTTTTTTCATTCTTAACTCTTCTCTAATCAGACATTCCCTCGACGCTCGAACCTCGCCAAGACTGCTTATATAGCTCCAAATGGATACGTGCTTTGATACTTGATTCAAAGCCCCCATTCCTCAAACAAGCCAGCTTTCAGACGCTGATCTCCTCGGCCCGTATACCGTGTCTCACTCGCTTCTTTGACAAGGGAGTTCAAACGCTCCATCAAAGATTCTTCCCGAGGCGCCCCGTCATCTGGCATCGTTCCACTGGGCTCAATCTGAACCCCAAGTCTTGACAACCGCACGAGTCTCGCTGGACCCTGTCTACCGGTACCTAGGTACCTTACCCAATGGCTTCTCAAGCTCGAGTCCTCAAGTTCCCCCGGAGTGACGACAAATCTTCCTTTGTCCTTTTGCAAGCCACACCCGAGGGTTCAAAGCAACTTGATTTGAAGCTGGTGGGTACTGAAGGAGAGGAACCTTATGTCGCATCTTGTAAGTCATTCCATTACCCTCCCTCCAACATCGCAATCTGGGAGACCCTTGTCTGCAATCTCCAGCACTGGCGCGAATGTGATCACCTTTTCGATCCCTGAATCTGACTTTGTTGATAGTGAAACATGATAGGGTCGTGTCTCTCCGTGTGAAGAATTGTCCTGCTTCAGAGAGCGAATGGCAGCGGATTCTTGAAGACTTGTTTCAGCAGGAACCCCTTCCAGATATTCAAGCCACAGCCACGGTCCAGAGCGAAAAGTCTATTTCAATCACCATTCGAAAGGACATACAGGGTATCACTGTAAGACCATGATGCCATTCTAAAACATGGTCTTTTTACTAACCGTTTTAGCAACGTCTGGGCTCAATCACCCTCAATCATGATCCAGATGAGGCCATTGAGTTATTCGATTGGTGTGGTGCAGCGGTCGAGTCCTCTGCCTCAAGTAAACAAACTGCGGCAAACCTGTCGGCAAAATCCTCCGAGTCGGAGGCTCTTGTGGCCCAGCTTCAGTTACAGCTGGAAGAGTTAATCAAGGCGAAAGATGAGGATGAAACAGCGTTGCTAAGGAAGTTTAGGGACCTCCTAAACGAGAAGAAGCTCAAAATTCGTGAGCAGCAGCAAGTATTAGCAACACTATCAACAAATCCCAGCATGGCGGGCCAATCTCAGCATTCCCAGACTGTTGAAGCCTCGGTTCAGCAACCGAAACCAAGGAAGCCTACTCGTCAAGCTGGCAAGTCAAGGGCGTCGAAAAGAAAGGCTCCCGCATCAAGAAGACTTGAAGAGTCAGAAGACGATGACGCTGTTGACACGATGAGCGTCGACCTTAAGCAGGAGGCCGTGGATACGGATCCCGGAAACACCACAGAAGCGACAGCATCCGTTGATAGCGACGACGAAGATGGCGATGGACTTGACTCAGGTCCCCCTCAGCAGAACAAGGCACCAGACGCTGTTTCACGGGGAAAGACTCCTTCCAAAGAGAGCGAAAGACCGCCGCCACCGCGAGCTCTCCCGTTCGCGACAAAGAAATCAACAAAAGCTACACCTGCACCCGCTCCTGCAGGGAGTGACACTGAATCTGACGATGAGCTGTGAATGACGATTGATGACAGTTCGCCGGTATAGCGTTGTGCATTTTGTTCTCCAAAGTTTATGTATATATATTTCATTTGTTAGTTGTTGCGCGGCCGGTATCGGCAAGCCACTCTTATATACGTGCAGTTTACCCTCATAACATACCAGGTTGCAAGACGGACCATGAACAAATGAGGTCACGCCTTTCGTACAAATTCAGTCGTCATTGATGTAACGAATTGCCGCCGTCTTTTCCTTATTGAGCATACGCAGCATTACAGTGACATAAATTAGCCTAGCGCAACTCAAAAGCAAAGCGTAGTCGCCCAAGGTGGGCAGGGTAAAGAATACAAACCAGCAATAAGCATCTAATAACTTATAAGTGTTTTGAGGTTGGAGCATTATTGACATATGAAATATGTTTCTCAAGAACATTTCGGAACAAGGTTCGAATGTTATATAATCTATTATCGAGTGTGCCCGGCCAAATCTAGAGCAACCTCTTAGACATCTGGTCTCGCTACTGGTAGTTACAATTGCGTAGATTCTACAACCCACTTTCATATTAATAATACGGCAATACTTACTACGTAGTAACTTACCTCCTCTTTACCCCATCCTCATACATATCGTTATGAATCACGGAATTGTGCCGCCGCAAATCGCCATATCAAACCCGAGGGTGGGGGAGGAGATCAAGTATCCGTACAAGGAAGGGGGGACCACCTATTTAAACCGATGCGGCGATGTACATGCTGTCCGCGGCAATCACTCTTCTTCATACCAAGTTTCTCGCTCTGGGCTCTGAATATTTAATTAGTTCATACTTGAAACACATTCCTCACTCACTAAAATTGAGAAATACCGCCAAGATGGGCAGTGTCGCTACAAAAGATGTCCCCACCTACAAACTCAATGACGGCAATGAGATTCCGGTTGTAAGTTTATCCTCTTTCATTCCGAAAGAACCATGAACAGACCGAATCATCCTCGACACGGAACATCACTCACAATCATTAGCTAGCTTTCGGTCTGGGAACAGCTCAGTACAAGAAAGATCCCGAGAGTGGACTTGACCAGCATGTAGTCGATATCACTACCAAGGCTATCAAGACTGGATATCGTCATCTGGACGGTGCCGAAGGTGAGCAGGTTAAAGTATCAAGCCATGACCACAACTGACAAATCTACAGTCTATGGCAACGAAGAGGAGCTCGGGCAAGCCATCAAGGCTGGTGGTGTTCCTCGAGAACAGCTCTATGTCACCACCAAGATCCCTGCTGAGAAGAAGGGTTCTGCTATTGACTCTTTCAATGTTTCTCTTCAGAAGCTGGGTCTGGAGTATGTGGACCTCTACCTGATTCACGGCCCTTGGTTTGCCGAAACCGATGAGGACCTGCAACAGCGTTGGGCCGAGCTGGAGCAGATCAAGGAATCTGGCAAGGCCAAGTCTATTGGTGTTTCCAACTTCCTCCAGTCGCACCTTGAGGCTGTTCTCAAGACCGCCAAGATCAAGCCTGCTATCAACCAGATTGAGTACCACCCGTATCTCCAGCACGGCGATCTTGTTGACTTTCACAAGAAGCACAACATTGCTGTTTCTGCTTACGGCCCCCTTACTCCTATTGTCACTGCTAAGGGCGGACCTGTCGACCCTTTCTACACAAAGTTGGCTGAGAAGTACGGCGTGACAGAAAGTGAAGTCGGTCTTCGATGGGTCATCGACCAAGACATCATTGCGCTTACAACAAGCAACAAGGTTGAGCGACTTGAGGGATACTTGGCTAAGCTACCTAAATTCAAGTTGACACAGGATGAGATTGCTGAGATCTCTCGACTTGGTGCCAAGAAGCATTTCCGTGGGTTCTGGAGGAACAAGTTTGATGAGAACGATAGGTCCTAGTAGAAGACGGGGTGGTCTGTTTGTCGTTTCGTGTCAGATACACATGGTCGCTTGTTTCAGCTGGGCGAGTTACAGTCAACATGATGACCAAAATCTCTCTCAATAAACTCCTAAGTTTAGGGCTTCACTTTGACGTAAGGTTCCGAAACCTGAAGTACGTGTCAGTTGTTTTAAGTTTTTCGATGGGTTATCTATAAAAAGGAGGACTTGGTCTCTCGCAACATCTCCTTCACGCCCTTTGAAAAGTTCGATCTGGGGGAGCAGGAGTTCGATAGATATGCGTTTCTGTGCGGATGACATGAGCTCCTCAGGGAAGCTGTGCCAATGATGAAACAAGGTCTATTCGCTCGTAGAATCAAAGCCCACCGGGACGGATTACGAGTGGCAGCCACCGACTGAGACGCCTTTCAGCTTGTATTTCGATTATTATACGTTATGAACACCAGAGCCATGTTCATGTCGTTGTACTACTGCATCGTGTTAAGCAACTGGCAGGAGATACAGGGTAGCTCGCCAACGTCATAGACCGATCAAGTGATCGGCCAATGCAAGGCTCTTAAACTCCATTGATTTATCGTAATCATTTTGATTCCACATACTCTTTTACGTCGTGTAAATGAAGTTGAATGGCGGCCCGGTTCCGTCTTACATGCGTCCGAATAACCGGGGCGTGGTTTACCGAAGAGTCAGTCCTGTCAGATCTGGATCGTGGGGCGGCACCGAAGCTCCGGGGCGGAAACTAGAGGTGATGTCAAGATAGACGATGATAACCGTCAGTAATTGCCACTTTTGTCAGCCAAACACCGTCACATCGCCATGAACCATTGAAATGTCGCCTTCGTTAATGTCTGCATAAATGATTCCAAATCCTTACACACTCCTTATAAACCTATCTCGTCCCCAAACATAACGTTCCGCCGTTGATGCTCTGTCGCAACGCCCTACGCAGAGCTGTCCCGCGCTCACCACCAGCATCACATCTACCAAGACTCAAGCAGATGGCTGCCCATATTTCTAATGGTAACGGCGCATTATCGCCAGCGTCCAGCTACGAAGGCGCGACACTTGCGGATCTTCCCAAGTCATGGCATTTTACCGAATCTCTTCCCGCCGATTCCATCTTCCCAACGCCTGCCGACTCCCACAAAACTCCCCGAGATCAGATTACACCTCGGCAAGTTCGCAATGCCGCATACACCTGGGTCCGGCCTGCCGAGCAGAAGGATCCGGAGCTACTGGCCATCAGCCCAGCTGCGTTGCGCGATTTGGGAATCAAGTCTGGTGAAGAGTCCACCGATGACTTTAGACAGCTAGTAGCTGGGAACAAGTTATATGGCTGGGATGAAGAGAAGCTCGAGGGCGGATATCCCTGGGCTCAATGCTACGGAGGCTTCCAATTCGGACAATGGGCTGGCCAACTAGGCGATGGCAGAGCTATTTCTCTCTTTGAAACCACCAACCCTGCCTCTGGCGAGCGCTATGAGCTTCAACTCAAGGGTGCTGGCATGACACCTTACTCCCGGTTCGCTGATGGAAAGGCTGTCTTACGATCCAGTATCCGAGAGTTCATTGTCTCAGAAGCACTCAATGCCCTCAAGATCCCCACTACCAGAGCTCTATCACTTACGCTTCTGCCAGATTCAAAGGTTCGTCGAGAGACGATCGAGCCGGGCGCCATCGTTCTACGTTTTGCACAGTCGTGGTTGCGTCTTGGTAACTTTGATATCCTTCGAGCTAGAGGAGACCGTAAGCTCATTAGACAACTGGCCACATACATCGCCGAGGACGTATTTGGTGGCTGGGATAAGCTGCCAGGTCGACTTGAAGACCCTGACGAGCCTGTTAAATCATTGGACCCCAAGCGTGGAGTTTCTTCTGAGACTATTGAAGGAGATAATGGTTCTGAAGAGAACAGATTTACGAGATTCTATCGTGAAGTTGTACGGCGCAATGCCAAAGTGGTGGCCAACTGGCAAGCTTATGGGTTTATGAATGGTGTTTTGGTAAGTTGTTCATAACTCCGAAATAGAAACCCTGCTGACCCATAATAGAACACGGACAACACCTCGATCTACGGGCTATCAATAGATTTTGGTCCATTTGCTTTCATGGACAATTTTGATCCTGCATATACACCCAACCATGATGATTACACCCTTCGTTATAGTTACAGAAACCAACCCACCATAATCTGGTGGAACCTCGTTCGTTTTGGTGAGGCAATCGGTGAACTGATGGGGGCAGGCGCCAATGTTGACGATTCAACTTTTGTCAACGAAGGTGTTACCAAAGAGCAAGAGGCTGAAGTAGTGGCAAGGGCCGAGAAGCTTATTACACAGGCTGGAGAAGAGTACAAGGCAGTGTTCCTCGCAGAGTACAAACGACTCATGACTGCTCGTCTGGGTCTGAAGACACACAAGGACTCTGACTTTGATATCCTTTTCAGCGAGGCTCTCGACACTTTGGAGGCCCTAGAACTTGACTTTCACCACTTCTTTCGTCGTCTCAGCAAGATCAAGTTGCAGGATATTGCCACGGGAGAAGCACGTAACGAGAAGGCGTCTGTGTTCTTCCACAAAGAAGGCCCCCCAACAACTATTTCCGAAGAGGATGCCAGAGCGCGTCTTGCGATCTGGCTTGAAAGCTGGCGCGAGCGTATCATCGAAGATTGGAAGGACGAGGGAGAGGACGTCTCAGAATCCACAGACAGTGACAGAATCGAGGCGATGAAGCGAATGAACCCCAACTTCGTTCCTCGCGGTTGGATACTTGATGAGCTCATCCAACGGGTTGAGAAGGACGGTGAGCGAGATGTGCTGAACCGCGTCATGCATATGTCTCTCAATCCATTTGAAGATCGCTGGGATGGCGAGACATTCGATGGAAAGACGTATAATGGCGATAAGGATGAGGAGCTCCGATGGACAGATGATCCCCCAAAGACCGAGCGAGCTATGCAATGCAGCTGCAGTTCATAGATAACTACATAGACCCAAAATGGAGACACGTACACTTTTCGGTTCATGCAAAATTTACAACTACTCTAAGTATTTGGTTGGTGATATGTAACGACCGGCGGTAAGAGGCAGCGGTCATGGAGATTGGTTACTCTTCCATGCTTCCATAAACGGCGTGAATATTGATCTTGAGCACAAGATAGAGGAAGACTCGACTGAAGCAACAGCTCTACCGAAGCAGATCTGTTGCGCAAGCTCACCTACAATAAAGTGTGCCCGTGTACAATTAATTTGGTAGAAGGAGAAAAATTCAAAAAGCTCCAGCAGCGAAATGCAAAATATGAGGTAGGATCCAGTGCTGTGGCCTGAGGCAAAAATAAAACGACACTGACCAATGAGCATTAACGTAAATTAATCGCGGACTAGCGCCACTAAATCCATCACCCGAACAGCAGGTTCCCTTTCAAGACGTCAACGACTGAGCATATATTCGCCGCCAGCGACCCTGCAACCCTTTTCATCTTCCCTCCGTCAAGGCGACACGATGCTCCGAAATACTCTAGCACGTTCGGCTTGGCGGACGAGCCGGCGGGCGGTCAATGTCTCGCGAACCTTCGCGACGACAAGCCAGCGCCCGGCCGAGGTGGAGCTGACAATTGGTGAGCATCTTTGTGCATAGAGCCATTGACAACGAAATAGAGGCTAACCTTGATACTAGATGGAAAGAAGGTTTCGATTGAAGGTATGATGGGTTGTTTGGCTGTATTCATGGGCGCCTATTGACGGAATTGTAGCTGGTTCTGCTCTTATTCAAGCCTGCGAGAAGGCGGGCTCAACAGTCCCTCGGTATGTCAAGATGGTTCGTGCCAAGTTTGAATAGCCTAGCTAACTATCTCTAGATACTGCTACCACGAGTACGATACCCTCGAATCCTCCCACGATCGATTCATCGCTGACAATGCTTCAGGAAGCTTATGATTGCCGGTAACTGCCGAATGTGTCTGGTGGAGGTTGAGAGGGCACCGAAGCCCGTTGCCTCTTGTGCTTGGCCTGTACAGCCCGGAATGGTTGTCAAGACCAACTCTCCTCTGACCCATAAGGCCCGCGAGGGTGTCATGGAGTTTTTGCTGGCCAACCATCCCCTCGACTGTCCTGTTTGTGATCAAGGTGGTGAGTGTGATCTTCAAGACCAGTCTATGCGTTACGGAGCCGACCGAGGCCGATTCCACGAGATTGGCGGCAAGCGAGCCGTCGAGGACAAGAACATTGGCCCTCTGATCAAGACTTCGATGAACCGATGTATCCACTGCACCCGATGTATTCGTTTCTCCAACGATATTGCCGGAGCTCCGGAGATGGGTTCCACTGGCCGTGGTAACGATATTCAGATTGGCACCTACCTCGAGAAGAACCTGGACTCCGAGATGTCTGGTAACGTTATCGACCTCTGCCCCGTTGGTGCTCTCACGTCGAAGCCCTACGCTTTCCGAGCTCGTCCTTGGGAGTTGAAGCACACCGAGTCTATCGACGTTCTCGATGGTCTTGGTTCCAACATCCGTGTCGACTCCCGCGGTCTCGAGGTCATGCGAATTCTGCCCCGACTTAATGACGACGTGAATGAGGAGTGGATTAATGACAAGACCCGATTTGCCTGTGACGGCCTCAAGACTCAGCGACTGACAATGCCCCTGGTCCGCCGTGAGGGCCGCTTCGAGCCTGCTGATTGGGAGGAGGCTCTCACTGAGATTGGTCGTGCTTATCAGATTAAGAACCCTCAGGGTAACGAATTCAAGGTCATTGCTGGTGCTCTTACTGAGGTTGAGTCTCTGGTTGTCGCCAAGGACATGGCTAACAAGCTTGGCTCCGAGAACCTGGCTCTCGATACCCCTACAGGCAGCCAGCCCATCGCCCACGGTGTTGATGTCCGATCCAACTTCCTTTTCAATTCTCAGATCTGGGGTATTGAGGAGGCTGATGCAATCCTGATTGTTGGCAGCAACCCTCGACATGAGGCTGCTGTTCTCAATGCCCGTATCCGAAAGCAGTGGCTCCGATCCGACCTTGAGATCGGTGTTGTTGGTGAGACATGGGACTCTACATTCGAGTTCGAGCACTTTGGTACCGACCACGCTGCTCTCAAGTCCGCTCTCTCTGGTCCCTTTGGAGAGACTCTCAAGAACGCCAAGCGACCTATGATTATTGTTGGCTCCGGTGTTACTGACCACGCGGATGCCAAGGCATACTACGAGACCATTGGTGCTTTCGTTGATAAGCACGCTTCTAACTTCCGAACTGAGGAGTGGCAGGGTTACAACGTCCTCCAGCGTGAGGCTTCTCGTGCTGGTGCTTTTGAGGTTGGCTTCACTACTCCCTCTGCTGAGGTTGCCCAGACCAAGCCCAAGTTCGTCTGGCTCCTTGGTGCTGATGAGGTGAACGAGGCGGATATCCCTAAGGACGCTTTTGTTGTCTACCAGGGTCACCACGGTGACAAGGGTGCTCAGATTGCTGACATTGTTCTTCCTGGTGCTGCCTATACCGAGAAGGCTGGTACCTACATCAACACTGAGGGCCGTGTCCAGATGACACGAGCTGCTACCTCCCTCCCCGGTGCCTCTCGAACTGACTGGAAGATTCTCCGAGCTGCCAGTGAGTTCCTCGGCGCTCCTCTCCCTTATGACGATGTCGCCATGGTCCGAGACCGTATGGTTGAAATCAGCCCTGCTCTGGCTGCTTATGACGTTGTTGAGCCCGTTGCTCTCCCTGCTCTGAGCAAGGTCCAGCTCGTCGACCAGAATAAGGGTGCCCAGGTCACTGGAACACCTCTCAAGAAGGTTATCGACAACTTTTACTTCACCGATGTCATCTCACGAAGGTATGTGGAATTGATTCGTAATTCATTGAATTTCCCTATTAACATTATGCCTAGCTCTCCCACAATGGCTCGCTGCTCAGCGGCTAAGGCTACGGGTGACCCTAGGACAAACTTTATGGCTCCTGGCATGGAGGAGGATAAGCCCATGGGCCAGGTCGAGTACGGCGTATGAGGTGGTGGCTGCAAAAGAATAGAAATATTTGCTTTGTTTTTATGCGTCTGGGAAGTTCGAAGCATCTGTACATATAGGACGTCGGACGGAGGCTGAAGGTAGATGAGTTGAATACCTAATTCCTTCACTACGACGTGCACCTCGTCAAATGATTCATCATGGCAACTTTCGCTTGCGATTCGGGTTCGTGAGGAACATGAACATCTCCTTATCGTGGTTGACTTCTGACGCCCCGTTGACATACTTGATGCTATGAGGTATGGCATGCTGTTGTCCAGGTGAACGAGCCGAATTCTAGTTGGCTCGACGCTCCTGGTCTTGACTTAGCTGCTCCTTTTTGATATCCGCCTCGAGAAGCTCGCGGCGATGGTTGATCTCAGCCTCACGATTCGCGGCTATCTGCGAGAAATTTAATACATTACGCATCTGCTCGTAAGCTTGGCGCTCGCGCAATGATCGAGCATTGGAAGAGTCAAGAGTTGGTCTAGGGATATTCTCCGTGTTTGGGATACCTGACTTTGCTGGAGCTTCCATGTTTGCGACCATGAGGCCGAGTTCCTGGGATATAAGGCCGAGTGGCACATCTGCTTTGACCTGACCGCCGTGCAGCTCTTCAAGGGCTTGAAAGCGGCGCCCTTCCTGGAAAATGCGTTCACGTTCGCGAACAATGAGGGCGAGGAAAGTCTCTCGATCTCTGACTGCGTGAGTATTTAGAGTATCGAGCTCTTTCTGCAGGCGGTCAAGCTTCGTGAACGAGGAAGAGCTGAGAGAGTCCTTGAGTTTGTCGTTCTCGCCGATAAGGCAGAAAATGGCCGGTGCGCATGACATCAGCCTTGGGATGATGGGATGACCTTCAGGGTCTAGAACCCCCATCAGAGGGTCAACGGTCGCGGCAGGTCGAGGAGGTTGCGCCATGGCTTTTTTTTTTAAGCGTTTTGGTGGACTGTAGTATGAGACATGGCAAACTTTGTGGCTGTTTGTGCAGTTGGTGTTGCACTGAGGCTGATGATGTCGGAGGTGAGTGAGTTGGTGGAGGGCGAATATTGGAGGGTTGTTGTAATGTGAATGGTTGGGCGACTGTGGTTGTACCTGCATATAACGGTAGGTAGGCAGCCTTAACGGAAGTGAAGGTGAAAATGAGGTACAAAAACTGTCAGTCCATCTGAACCTTCTTTTTTGGGGGGCTAAGGCTTAAACAATATTCAGTCGTCATGAAACAAAGTCTCAACTCGTCGCGATAAATGGCTTGGGAATTTCTACAACAAGTGCCATGTGTGCCAATATCTACCTGATACATACTCCAAAATACAAAATAACCACGCTTCTCTTGTTACAAATACAATGATAAACCCCAAACTCCATAAAGCGCCTGATATTTATGATGGTACACCGAGAGCAATAATCGTTTAGTTGCCCGACAGAAAGTCTAATGGAGGCCTTTAGTCATTCCCCAGCTTGAGTTATTTGCCCTCTGTGGCCCAACGTATGCCAAATTAGCATGACAGTTCGACAGAGCCATGGCAACCATCCAATATGGTGAGAGGCAGTGTTGTGCCTTGGTGATATAAGCCTGATCATCGTTACCATGCTGGGTGACCTCGAGGAGTGCTGTCGTCGGATCGTACACTGCCAAACCATCACCCTCGAGAAGGCAACACATTTCGAACATATTCCCTCACAAGTTTGACAGCTGCCCTCACCAGATCTTCTAGGCGACGGTCCTTGCGCTTTCTTAGCCATAATAACACGACAGTCAGAATGACAAAGTCGGCGAACAAATGCTTCACAACCACCCAGGCAAACCACTTCACTAAAGCTGGTAAGCTGCGCTCCTTCTTTGCCCGCCACTCTCGACCTGTTGTAATTTGTTCTCGTAACGCAGCTACCTCGGCAGACATGGTTGTCAGGGCACGCTCGACCTTTCGCTGCCACCGGCCACTAACTCGATCGTGATTTTGCGATCCATCGATATCATCGTCCTCGAGTTCTAATTGCTTCTGGGACCGGAGTTCCGCTTCGTCGTACTCGCTCATCGGTCTGATCTCTTTCATAGGGCCTTCGGCATCGCTTGCTTGCGCAGCGTCTTCGTATGGTTGGGATGCACCGGCCGATCGGTTCGCTCGCGGCGACGATAATGATGAGCTTGGGCTGTTGTTCTTGATCTGATTCCAGACAAATTCGAGTTCCGACACAAGTTCTTCGGCATCCCTGGGAGACTGTGTTAGTGTAACCCGATCGTACCGTGACCTAGGCTGGGCTTCAGGAGAGCGCTTACGGCGTGGTCGCATATCGATGCATCGTATCTATCAGCGCCTCGATATACCTTCTCTTGGATTCTGTTCGGCTTAGTCCTTTTTGCAGATTCCATGCGTCCCATTTGTCCTTTTCGCGCTGTAGGTCGTCGGAAGCCATTCCGGAGGCGGCTGTTGGACGTTCCATTACACCGTCGACATCACCCTCCATAGCCTGCTTATAAAGTCCATATAGTCGGAGTCGATCGGTTGGAGGTGGTCTCGATGCGCCAGTCTTGGGTATCTTTTTGACGGTATTGAGAGCGTGTACAAACACGCGATCTGTATCATCACGTCAGCCACCGTGGTACAGTATATTAGGCGCAAATTGAAAAACGCAGCATACCTACTGAGTCCGCCATATTGCCGGTTATGTTTTATGAAAAAAGATGGCTCGCGACTCGCAAATTGCGGCCGACAGAGGTGGTGGCGATTGCGTCGAGCTCAAGCTCAACCTTCGAACTGGGGTCCTTTATCGGACCTGGAGCCGTCCGTACCGCGGCTTGTTGGCCGAGATAACGGAACCCCACAGAGAGAAGGTCCCGAATAGAAAGGAGAATAACAAGCTCGCAATTGATTGTGAAGTGACGGGCGTATTGAAAGAAATAAAGTGATAAATAATTAGTTTACACGTAGAAGGCAATCAAAAACGTCTAGTCGCCGTGTATTATGACTCCATTAGGATAGAAAATAAGAGGGTCATTCGAACTAAGATAAGTTAATGCGATCAGAAGCAATTGGATGATGATGAAGATAGATCTGCTCCTGGAGCATGCGGAGGCCCGTTTATCGGCAAATGTTTGACCTCGGCGCACTTCACGGCACGCCAACACGGGCACGGGGGATGTGCTTTCAGGGCCGGTTCCACTAGAAAAGGGTTCCCCAGGGGTAACTTAGTAGCTTCCCCTCAATACCCACCTGTATCTGGGCCTAGAGTCATTTCACATGGGAAAGTGTCTTGACCAGGAGCTCGGCCTGATTTCATGATCACAACAGCATAAAATAACTACTAGTTAGAGTTGAGCGCCAACTGATCAGAGGGTAGACATTTTCAGGCTTAAATACCTTCTTGTTTTATTATTATATATATATATTTATAGAGTTATTCATTATTGGACTTTTTAATTAGCTTGTTATAAAATGGTATTTACTTTATGATTTTTGAGGAACTATGCGATGTATTCATAATCTCATCGTGACCCGGGTTTCATGTTCCCAGAATTCTCTCATCCAGCATTATGCCTGAGCAGCTGGCTCCTTTTCGCGTGCTTCCTTCATCCAAGCCTCTTTCTTAGCTTCATATACCTTCAATTGCTTCTTATTCTCCAAGACAGACTTCGCTGCTCTCTCACCAGCTTCTTTCTTTCCGAGAGCCGTCCCGAAACCCAGCAGCTTCCCGGCCTCTCCCCACCCATCCAGATAGATGCCAACAGTAAACAAGGGGAGTTTGAGGTTCTTATCCTTCTTGTTGCAAGGCATATCTTCGTAACGAAGTTTGATGCCCCTGACGACGATTGCTCGAGAAAGGCGATCCTTGTTGGTCGATGGCGCCTTGGGCTTCGCGGTTGGTATGGCTTGTGTAGTGACTGTCTGTTCCGTGGGTGGTGTAGTCGCAGAGGATCGAGCCAGAAATCGCTGACCTTTCAGGTCGTTTTTACGATGCTGCTCTGCTTGCCTGATTTGGTCCTTGATTGTCCGAGCCCAGAGCGCTTTGAGCCAAGCGACGGCGTTCGCGGCCCCGTGCTGGGGATCTGATTTGACGACTGCTCCAACGTATGCCTCGAAAACGTCGCCTTGAATCTTGATCGTCTCCTTGTCTCTCCCGCTTCGACGTATCATATCCACCATTGAGCCCATATCCGCGGGAATCTTTGTTTTATGCTGCATGCCGTATTGTCGATAATAATCTGAGAGTGTGAGGTTACGGACCAGTTGTTCACGAAGTTGACTACTTCGTCCGGTGGGGAGGTATTCGAAAGTTTCAAAGACCAGCTCCGTGGATATCATTTCGAGGGCCGCATCACCATACCACTCCAATCTTTCATAGTTAGGCTCTCCCAGCCCGGGATGTCTGAAAACTTGCTCCTCTAGTTCTGGGCTTATCCGTGGCAGAGGTGGTAGGCTTGGAGGGATGTCTGCCACGGTCCAGCGCGACACCCCAGGAGCGACAGTGGCAATAACCCCAGACAGAGGAGCTTTTTCTGAATTAAGTTGCACGCGCTTGCGTGGCTCATCCTCTTCGCTGTGAGCATCTTGATTCGGCCTTTTAGACATTGTTGATTCTTGTTATGACGGGACGCGAATAAAAAAGATAAGTCTCGTGTTTTTCGATGTTTCATCCAATCTTAGGGACAAGACCCACAATTCAGCTATGAAATTCAGCTATGAAAGTTCTCAGCTGGCAGAAAACTTGATATTGGAACCATGAGTGACAAAAATTCTTGGACAACTTTAAGATACCGTATTTGAGATGAGTTTCATTTGGATCTTTTTTAAGTACTAGCTTCGTAAGGCATATAGGTAGTCGATGTACTTTCCGCACCCTAATTCAAGGTCGTCAAGTCTTCTGACACTCGTACCATGACAACATTTAGCCTCTGTGGCCTGCATGAGTAAGGTACTGTAGATAATTTGGGAATTTGAGCTAAGGGACTGTATGGAAGCTTGATTTTGATTTCTAAATTTATATATTTTCTTTCTTATATTGTTTCTATCTAGGCTATTAAAACTACTCAAGGTACCTACCTTAAGCTAGGAAGTAGAAGAATGGCTCAAGTTTTATGAAACATTTTATGAGTATTTAAAATAGAATTATAATCGCAACAGCGGATTCTGTAGACAACTCCCCAAGTACTCGTCTTATGTAATTTTTGATCGATTTCCAACTTGTAAATCTAGTCGCGGGCTCCCAATATCTTCAATGGAGTGGAGGCATCGGAGTTTTGGTTGGTCTCAAGGCACTCCTCAGAGTGATCCACTAGATGCTCGCCCTGGCCAATCAAATGTTTTGCTCAACTTCGCATCAGACGTCAAGTCAAGCTTCAAAAAAGTTAACAAGAGCAACAATTGATGCCAAAGACGCCACAATGAGTGTCCCACGAGCGCGTATATTGGACTTGGTAAAGGTGAGGCTGTCCATGCTATGACTTGGGTCCATCTAATGACATTCTGCAGGCGCAATGCCAGGTCTTCGCGACCTCATACAACCCCGAAGGCGTACGCATGGGCAATAAGGTCCTGCGACAGCGATTAAGAGGACCGGCCATGGCGGCGTACTATCCTCGAAAGACAGCGACGATCAAGGATCTAAAGCGCGAGTTCGGACCGACACTGGCTACCTGGGATGAGGGCGAGGAGGATCGCTTCGAGTACATTGAGGAGTAAGCTAGATATCGGGAACCTCGAGGATATGCATAAGTGCTGACGGCGTGATCTCTAGGCTCAAGCTCCGTGGAAAGAGTGCACCCAAGAAGAAGAAGGGACCTCCAGGTATGTCGATTGTACCATGCCGGGAAAAGCTACTAACACCCGACAGCTCCCACTGGCAAGAAGCGATAAATCAAACAATAATGACAACGATATTTCCAATGTTGGCCCTGGCGGCAAAGAGACATCTTACCATGGATCATGAGTGTTGAACGATGTGCCAATCCATACGCCAATTGTACGACTCATAAAGCTTGATCGAGGCATAAAGGTGGCTGTAAGAGCCAATAGACCTCCAAGTGGCCTTCTATCGCCGTATGTATAATCATTTGTATCTGTATCACTACTCATTGCATGAATCATATTTCGAAATTTCTACTCTTTGTGCTGTCCCTCTCGATGTTCAATCTAGTGGGCTGTTCGACTATAGATATACTCCAACAACTCGGAGGCTTTTCGCATGACTCCTGAACAACCTAACATTGACGCCTCGGCCAAAGAAACATGATCTGTGCTAAGGTAACAAATGCATTTGCAAACACACACCAACTCCGCTCAATCAAAATTGTGTCAAAGGTTTCCAGTGAACTCTTTGATATCACAGCTGCCTGATCACAAGCCTTTTCTCTAACATTGTGTCGCGTGGAGTCAAGGACTGACATCTGGTTTATTCCTTTCGCTCTTACATCAGCTCCTATGGACATTGAATCCTAACTGAAGCAAAAACTTTCAGCTAGAATACCGAGAATCTTCGATACAAGTCCAAGGTTAGGAGCTTAGATTGGCATGTGCGCCATGTGTTGCGGAGCCTGTCCTGCATATATCGATGTGTCTTATGAGACTGAATCATACACGATTCGGAACACTGACTTTCTTGTATGCCCGAACGAATTCGAGAATTCAGGGTGCCATGTCGCTGTAAAACCGCATGGTCTTCCATAATATGCCCCTATTTGATTCCACTGCCAGTCGGGTGCCTGCTGGGACTGACGCTTGCAATAAAGGTGGAAGGAACACTGGTGGTTGGGCTGTTACTGTCGGCTGCTGGCACCTGCCGCTTCTATGCTTCTTTCATCCGCACTTCCCTCCTGCTTGGCCCTGCGGAAAAGTTTGCGTCAGTGAATAACCTCCCCTTCCTTCACCACCATCCTCTCTCCCTTTTCTTCCTTTTCTTCACTCTCTCCCCTCTACACTCTCTTCCTTTCACAATCAACTCCTTCTTGGACCACAAACTTGACACATCTACACTCGTTCACTATCTCATCGTGTGTTCCCTAGAGCTCACTCTGTCATCTACGATTCTTATTTGATTGTTACATCACCAAAACCACTTCGTCGAGGCTCGGATCAATTGTTGCGACATCATGTCCTCAGCTGGGTCTACTGGGGTATCTCCTGAACGGACTGTCCCCATCTTCGCTGCCAGTGTGCAGGCCGAAAACTCAAATCCCTTGCCACTTGCCCCGGGCTCGGTAAGTAGACTTTTTCCACATCAACATTCTTTGATAAAGTTCATCCTTGATGGAATCTCTTCTTGCCAACGTTTAAGAACCACTTACTAACCCCGGACGCAGAAGGAAGCTGGCAAGAGCATCCCTGCAAAGAAGAACATCGCCGCTCTATCCACTTCGAAGTTGGCGAATCAAGGCCTTCCAAAGGTGAAACCAAGCGTCTGTCCAAGCTGTCTAGTTTGCAAGTTGCTGACCGTGTTAGAAGATGAAACTCAGCTATGATAGCTCGACCACCGATCAGGTGTACCCTGTGGATAAATTCCTTGCGAAGCTCTCCGAGCAGCAATCTGCCCTGAATCAGCAAAACGATGCCAACAAGCTCAGGGACGAAACCAACCAGTATGCGAGAGCATTTGATCATGCATCTTCGAGCAACTCTCTTCCCGTCACTCCTGTTACTGATGCTTTCCCGAGCACAGCTCCTACCACGCGCCCTGCAAGTGCCACCTTGGATGAAGCTCGTAGCGAGAGCGAAGAGGTAATGCGTTTGAAGTTACAGCTCGCTCAGGCACAGAACGAAATCTCGAAGCTTGATCAAGAACTAGCCGAGACACGCGTTGTGAAGACTACAGCCGATGTGCCCCCTTTCGGAACCCGCGGTCCAGTTTACCCCCCTCGCGAGAATGCCTGGGGCCCTCCCGATGACAGTCATTCTGACACCAGTGACGCTATGTCCGCTTCCACATTCAATCGTACCCGAGAGATCTGGGGCAATCAGCCAATTTTTGCCAACACAGTCCAGACACCAGTCATTGAACCAACCCCAGGAAAATGGCTCGGAGGGCGTCTCTTCAGCCAACCGTGTTCTGAACCTACCGGAACGCCCTTTCCCGTGATGGAAGGATATCGAAGTGAACGCCTGACCCCAGATACGGAGATGATGCGATCGAACTACGGGCGTCGAGGAAACCGCTTCGAGGGCCGTTTCAACTCACCTCAACCATTCGGACCTGGCTGCAGAGGAGGATTTAATAGTCCCATGAATCAGTCCGACTACATGGGAAGTCCTGCACCTGGAGCACCGTCGAATGCTCCCCAAGGATTGGGTCCTATGGGTGTGTACCCACCATATCCCAACCCCGCTGGAACACCTCTCTCGCCTCACGCTTCCGAGTTCACCACTGGTTCTGGGTGGAAGAATGAGGTTGGTTTGCCTGCGTTGTACTCACACAGGACGCTAAACCCGAGACAGGTGTTGGCCCCCGATGACCAGACCTACCTCGCTCCGACAGAGCCGCTGAATTATCGCCGACTTTTGGATCGCAATGTGAACTGCAACTGGAAGTACATTGTCGACAAAATCGTCTGCAACAACGACCAACAAGCTTCCATCTTTCTGCAGCAGAAGCTCAAGGTTGGAACCGCTGACCAGAAGTTCGAAATTGTCGACGCGATCGTCGCCCAGGCCTATCCATTGATGATCAACCGCTTTGGCAACTTTTTGGTGCAGCGATGCTTTGAGCATGGGACACCTGACCAAGTCATCAACATCGCGGAAGCCATTCGGGGCAACACGCTGAATCTCTCTATGGATCCCTTCGGATGTCATGTCGTTCAAAAGGCATTTGACTCTGTTCCTGAAAACTTCAAGGCTATCATGGTCCACGAGCTTCTTCGTCGAATCCCGGAGACGGTCATTCACCGTTATGCCTGCCACGTCTGGCAGAAGCTTTTTGAGCTGCGTTGGACAGAGTCACCCCCACAAATCATGAAATTTGTCAATGACGCTCTGAGGGGCATGTGGCACGAGGTTGCCCTGGGAGAGACCGGTAGTCTTGTCGTGCAGAACATTTTTGAAAACTGCCTCGAGGAGGATAAGGTAAGTTGTCCCATTGATCGTCAAAATCATAAGCTAACTCGTACCAACAGCGCCCTTGTATCGAAGAAGTCCTTGCCAACATTGACATCGTCGCCCATGGGCAATTTGGCAACTGGTGTATCCAGCATATTTGTGAACACGGTGCTCCCCCGGATCGCAGTCGAGCTATTGACCATGTTATTCGTTACGCCGCTGAGTACAGTACCGACCAGTTCGCTTCAAAGGTCGTCGAGAAGTGTCTCAAAATTGGAGGTGCAGAATTCCTTGGTCGTTACCTAGACCGAGTCTGTGAAGGTCGTCGTGACCGTACTCGCATCCCACTGATTGACATTGCAAGTGACCAATACGGCAACTATCTCATTCAGTGGATTCTTAACAATGCCTCTCCCCAGCATCGCGAAATCGTTGCTGCCCACATCCGAAAGCACATGGTTTCACTGCGAGGGTCCAAGTTCGGCTCCCGAGTTGGTATGCTTTGTACCAACCACGCGGTCGCAACTCGTCCTGGTCCTGGTGCTGGCCCTGGGATGGGCGGACGCATGGGACCTGGGCCGCGCTACAACAATGGTTACCGCTAAAGTCTTTCTACCTTGCCCATCGATCTTTGACATCGACGAGGACATCTGCCTGCTGGAAATTCAGAGCCTCCCCCACTCTACCCTTGTTTTCTTTTCATTCTTTTTTTCATCCGTGTCAAGGAACCCTATCTGACTCACCAATCATCCCACTCGTCAAGATCACGCAACAAACCAGAATATGTCGACCTTTCTTAAGAAACATCTTCCAACGCAAGTAATTTACAGATCACACGTCATCCTACGCCTAGCTGGCTACAGCCTGCTCGGGTGCCTTGGACACATTATGGTTATCGATTTTGCAATATGGAGGAGATGGCAGATGCTAATCACCACAGCAGCCCTCGCAGGACTGGCCCTCTTATCCCACCACTCATAGGCTGCTACTCGAAGGGTGAGCGGGAACGCGCCTAATGGGATACTAGAGCCACACTTCTTCAGTCAATCAGCTAGTATGAGTGATGGTGATCCGAAAGGATGCCCTTAGAGGTCGGGGAGAGTTCACGAGTTTGAATGTTGTTTTTCTATGCGGATGCTGGGTTTCGGCGTCTCCCTATAGCACTCGGATTGTTACGGTAGTTATTAAGCACCTTTTAATAAACGATTGATGCTTTTATTATCCTATATGCCTCTCCTGTATACTGTGATAGTACGTCGCCATATTTATAGTACCTCAGTGATTTTGTTCCGCCCAACGTCAGAATCAAGTGTATTTTTGCCAGCGATCGCTACTCCCAACGCCATTGATGCTATATGATATTGAGAAATGGCGTTCTGGAATCTAAGAAGCCCCAGCTGCCGAAGAAACAGGCCCATCGTCTTGTACTGGGGGAAATTCTGTATCGAGTGCTTTTGGTAGGTCGGGGAGAACAGGCATGTCAACTGTGGTATCTTTTTCCCACGGCTTTCTGGGAACAGCTCTCGCTCCAACTGGCTTCACAGCCTGTATCAAAATTAGCATAGTAGAAGCGTAGGCGCGCTGTCGCCGCTCAGATTTGGACCTACAGGATCTCTGACAACAGTGTTTGGGATCTGGCGGATACCAGGCACAGGCTTGCCTTCTTGGATAAGTTTGATCATTTCGGCAAATCCCATTGGGTAACTTGGTTGATCTTGTGAGCCAGACTGAGCAGCAGCGGTTTTCCGATCAACGTAGAGATCTGTTTTTGGTGCAGCTTTCTGCCAGTCTAGGACCGGCGCTGGAGAAGCATTGGCTTCGTCTCGCTGACGATATTCCTCAGGCAAAACATCCGGGGGTTGATGGTCAGAATTGCTGGCAAGCCACGCCTTGTAGGCGCTGAATTCAATACTGACACCAATGCGCTGAGCATAGTAGAAAATTCGAGCGTGGATAGCCATATCTGCGAGAGATGCTTGAGGGTTTTGCTGGCCTGGTTCACCAAGAATAGCGTAGAGACCAGACTGGAATTAATGTCAGTGTCCGAGTTATAAGTCATATAATATTATGTGATATAAAATTACCATAAAGTTCTTATCTTTTGTCCACGGGTATGTGTCAAATGCAGTGAAGATTGCAGTTTCATCTTTCAGAGCTCTGATGCGGTCAGCTCCCGTGAGTGACCTTGGGGCTGATGAAGCCTCCTGGTGTTGATCCATCGGAGGAGGTCTCGATTGGGTGAGTCTTGATATCTGCAGGCACTCAATGAGTTATGAACACAGATGTTGACACATGAGGTTTCAATGTCATCAAGAGAGTGTAACTAGTGACAATGTGCAAGGGTTCTCACTAACATGTGAGAAAACAATCCGGGGTTGGTAAAGCTCACAGGACTACTACCTTGGTCAAGGCTTGACTTATTCAGGACTTAGGGTCACCCAGCGCAGAGCCTCTGAAACAGCAGTGAAGAGCGAGAGCCTCGGTAGACGTCGGTTTATACACTGGTGTGAGTTAAGCTCAGGTCGGCTGCTATTCCGCTGGCTCACGTGGGGCTGACCGACTAAGACGTGAGACGTGACTATGAGAATGTGAGAGAGCTCGGGATAAATCGCAGTGTAAGGTCTAGGTAGGTGTTTTGTATGAATGTGCAAAGAAGAGGCAAACAAATCAGATCATGCAAATATTAAATATTCATTCAAAACATCAAGCTCCGATCTTCGCAGTCACTCAAGACCAAGCTTCACCTCAGGCTATAATTACCATCTCAGAGGGGAATGGCCGAGATAAGATAGCGCGCAGACCCACCTACACCACTAGCTTTCATTCACCTTCATCATATATCACTATCACCGTCCTTCTGTTTTCCCTTGACTTTGTCTACTTTGTCATCGGTTATTTTATTTGTTTTTTTATATCAAGAGTTCAAAAACTTCTGCCTTTTCTTCATAACCATAGGTTAATTCTTCAATCTTCTGCCAGGCTGGCCCTAAGCTCCCCCGCCGTCGTCCAGATGAATCGAGCCGCAGTGAGAGCCTTAAGGACGACCTCACTTTCGACCGTCCGCACCCTCCCCCGCACTCCTCGTCGTGGTTTCGCCGTCTCGTCCTTCACTCTCGCCCAGGCACGATCCAAGGCTAGTGCACACGCTCGAAGCGCTCGCCGCAACCCTGCAGGTGCCATTCCCCTAAGATCCTCTATGTACTTTCGTCGCCTGCCAGTTGCGCTGGTATCCAGTATCGTCGTCGGATACGGCGCCTGGTACTCTCTCAACAGCTCTGACATCCCCCCCGGCTCGGGTGTAGGCTCTAGGACTAGCCTCGCGTCAACTCAGACAGCGGATGTATTACCTACTCGGACTGTTCTCGTAGTGGGAGCCGACGAACTTAGACAAGGCACCATTGTTGGCGAGGGGCCTATCTCCAAGGCAACTAGTGACGACGGGCGTCGCATCGTCGAAATGTTGACACCCGATCAAGCAACACAGAAGCTTCGTCGCCTCGAACAGTCTTTTTCCGTCAGCCGAGGACAGGGTGTTACACGTTACGACCTGGTACAGCTGCCCAGTAATGACCCTATCGAGGATGATCACGCCGAAAAGATTGTTCAAGTCCCCAGCAGATCTTCCGTCGAGACAGATAACAGCGATTGGATGTTTTGGGGTGTTTTTGACGGCCATTCGTAAGTGTTCATCTTGTGATAGAGCTTGTGTCACAGCTTGAAAAGAAGGTGTTGACTCACACGACATAGGGGATGGACTACTTCTGCAACGTTGAGGGAAAGCCTGATTAACTACGTCGCCCGCGAATTGAACGAAACCTACAAGAAGGCTTCCGGCGATCTTCCTTCTGAGGATGCAGTAAACCTGGCCATCAAGACTGGGTTCAACAACCTGGATAACGAGATCGTTCACAAGAGCGTGGAGAAGGTGTTCAAGGGCGGTTCCAAGACTGTTGCAGCCGAGCTTCTACAGCCCGCTCTATCTGGATCGTGCGCCCTGCTATCATTCTACGACAGCCGCAGCAACCTCCTGCGGGTTGCATGCACTGGTGACTCTCGCGCAGTCCTTGGCCGCAGGGCAGGGAACGGAAAGTGGACAGCCACTGCTCTATCAGAGGATCAGACGGGTAGCAACCCTCAAGAGGTTGAGCGCATGCGCAAGGAGCATCCTGGGGAGGACAACGTCATCCGAAATGGCCGTGTTCTTGGTGGATTAGAGCCTAGTCGTGCCTTTGGAGACGCCGTCTACAAGTGGAGCAGAGATGTTGCCTGGAAGTTACGCGAGAACTTCTTCGGTCGCAGCCCTTCACCTCTCTTAAAGACTCCTCCCTATGTCACCGCCGAGCCTATCGTTACAACGACCAAGGTCCACCCCGAAAATGGCGATTTCCTTGTCCTGGCAACCGATGGCCTCTGGGAGATGCTTACGAATGAAGAAGTTGTTGGCCTTGTAGGCAAGTGGATTGAGACTCAGGGACAGTCTGGAACCAACTCGCAGTTTGATGCTGCATGGAACAAGATCTTTGGCTCATCCAAAACACCTTTACCCGTTGAGGAGAGCAAGACCGCCGGACCTGGTGGTAACAAGACCCCTATCCGCGTTCAACAATGGGGCATTGACCCGGATGCTAAGGATCGGTTCACCGTGAAGGATAAGAATGTTGCTACACACCTTGTCCGAAACGCCCTTGGTGGCAACAACGACGAGCAGGTCTGCGCTTTGCTCACGCTGCCTTCGCCTTTCTCGCGACGATACCGGTAAGTTATGACATTGGTGTTAAGCAGCCTATTACTAATAATTCTTAGTGATGATTTGACTGTTCAAGTCATCTTCTTCGGCCACGGGGAGAAGACAGGCGAGGTAACCGTCAATCTCGAGGCTACAGCTGGAGAAGGTGTCAAGGCGAGGTTATAAAGTAACCATGCTTCTCACTTATTGTTATTTATCTTGGAGACCGCAGGAGAGGTTGTATGTACTAGTACGGAGGTATTGCTAATGGAGTTTGGCGGCGTTTGCAGATTCCGATGAGCGAATCAAGATATCTTGACTTGGATCATTCTATTGTTGTTGTTGTTGTTGTTGTTTTCATGAGAAGCGCGCAATGACGAAGACCTGTTTTATGAACGGCATTGTGGATGATTTTGGAGTTCCTGTCAGGGAAATAAATGGCATTTTCCTTGCGTTGACTTGGTCATGCCACTGGATGTTTGTATCAAGGAGTTTCCTTTAAGACGAATTGCAGTAGCGAGATCCGAAAGTTAAATAAATAGTTTGAGACGACTGCCCTTATGCTAAGGATACCTGACGCCGGTTTATGCTGACCTGGATACCTCGGATATGCTAGACCTGCTGAAATCTTGATCAATAAGACTGTTATGATGAGACGAAAGGAAATGGCATAAAAACGGTGCCATGCTGCAATCAATCTGATACGCTCTATTTTCCATCCTTGGGCCACAGAAGTTTTCTCGATTTCAGACTCCAACACATTCGGATAAAGATGAGAGCCCAGACGATGATGATTGCAGCGGTCATGACAGAGGCAAATATATGCAGGCCATCGCTATCAAATATTTTACCCATGACACTGGTAGCAGTAACCTAGAGGAAACCCATTGAGCATACAGTGAGAAGTGCTGCGGTGAAAAGGGTTACATACAAGAGCCGTATTGGGGAAAACGAAAGACCACCACGTCATCTGGAACGGCAAATGATGGCCTGAAAGAGAGTATTTCCATAATGCGCCGACACAAACAATGAAGAACCACATGGCAAGGCCCCAGAGCCAGAGGCTGACGAGAATGCTGATGACTTTAATGATAGCGGCAAACTGAGGGTTGTCAAGAAAGTTTGGAGGTATTACCAAGTCTGCTTGGCTGCCGAGTTGAGCTGATGTTGTCAGACATGATACGTATGTTGCAAGGCATTCGAAACGTACCTATGCCAGCAGCGGTAAAGCCATAGGGACCGATAGACATGAACTAGTAAGGGTCAGCAAGGTTAAAGAAAGGAGAGAGTGCGTGCGTACGATACCGGGTCTCTGCATATCCCGCGGAAGCTTCTGCGTCATGAGGCGGTATATGAAGGCCGACGAAATCATGAAAGCGATCAGACAACCGGTTCCTTGAATAGCAGTGGCCCCGAGTGCCATTGCAACAGTGTTGGTTGATAGTTTGTGACCAGCTGAATCTGCAGCCGCGATGAGGTTTGCTGCAAAGGGGGCATTGAGTAACAGAGGGTACGCTGGGAAGACCCAGGTTGGCGTCATGGTATGGACGGGGAAGATTCTGGTCATGACAGTCAGCCGGCCAGGTCAGAAGAGCATATAAACTTGAGCGTACAGAGTGGACCATAATATAAGATATAGAAATGCGCTGAGAGAGACGCTCAGGGCAGCGTAAACCCAGAAGACACACTCCATAGTGTGGACTAGCCATACGCCGGTGTACGGAATACCATATTGGCAGGTGTTGATTAATATTACAGCAATACTGAGTTTGTCAGAATATGTTTGAACCCCGATAATAGTTATTTGTTGCTTACGAGACCAACTGGTTGTTGTTAGTTTTAATAGCATGCCATAAGAGGAGGGGGTCCTACCGAAGCTGATATGAAGAGCGATTCAACTTGGTCAGTAAAGGAGTTTACGAAACTCCCAGGCCTCAGATGGAATCTTGTACATATAAGAATACAGTTCATTGCAAAAAGGACAATGTTGAGAAAAAAGAAGAAGAGGCCAATGCCACGCAGCCAAGGTGCTTCCCACTTCACTAGCAAGAGTTAGCTATTTTCTTCCGGGGCGTAGCATCAGCGACGGTGTATTTACAAGAGTAAATAATATTTGCAACGCCTCCAGTCGACATGGTCTATTACAGAGTTAGCGAGGTCTGCGACAACGGAAAGCTAGACGTTGATATACCATAGTGAAATATGTCCATTGATAGCAGGCGATGCGATCTCGAATGCTAACCTTTTGGTTTCCGGGGCCCTTCTCGGCTGTTGCGATGACATGGTTCAAGCTGTTTGATGTGAGAGTAGACTCATTGTTGAGCAATCGACCTGGACGGGCATGACCATTAGTATGCTCAGGAGCTATAGCAGTGATATATGATGGCCGTTGAGATAGGGCCGGCCGCGGCATGACATGATGTCTTGAATGCGCCGTCCCTGGAGCAGCTGGAGCCGAGGCCACAACCGAGAAGAAGGGTGGGTTCTCTTCAGACGGAGACTCATAGCCCGTAGCCAGGGCCGAAGTCGACCCCGATGGCGGGACCGGAGACGGAGACGGAGGCTGCAGCTCGGCTCCGGCTACCATTGGATCACTGGCGGGGGCCATTCTGGAGGAGGGCCGTCAATGTCGTCGGCGCGACGGGCGAGTAGCTTGGAGACGCAATAGAGAGCCACGAGGGCACTAGGTTCCATATGCGAAAAAGCAATATGGAAATAAACCAAATGCGCGACGAAGACGAGATGGTGGAGAACTAGGGTGCCAAAGTTGGCGAGTGGCATAGTGAATGTCAGGGAGTGGTAGTGACGGGATAGTGGAGGGCGTGATCGGGATTAATGCCCTGTTTTTTCGGGCTTCGGTGAGGAGGAGCGGGAGATCGGGAGAGGGAGCGATAAAGTCTTGGGCCCAAGACACATCGGCACGAGTTTCGATGTTTGTGTCGACAAGATAGAGTCTTTATTCCTATCCGCGTGAGCCGCTGGTGGAGGGTGCGTTTTTCGGTGTAAGGGTGAGGTGAGGTTGATCAAGGATGAAGATGAATGAGTACAGCCGGTTTTACAAGCTCCTCTAAAGAGAGCCCAGACGGGGCTTCTTTACGAATAAATTGAACATCATTCAAACAAGCGTAGATGAATCAATTTCATCCCATATCTTAAAATTCGGAATACCATTATTTGATCAGGGATTGATACTAGAAAGGAACGGATTAATCGTCCCTGGCATCCTATTGATGACGATTTCTTGGCAGATTCCTGCTTGTGTACCCAACGCCAAACGTGCTTGTAATAAAGGCTAAGTAACCAGCATGAGAGCTAGTACAGTCATATCGTTATAGTCACGCTCCTTGACATCGCGTCCCGTTAGCGCCCAGAACATCTTACTCAACACAGACAATGCTTTCCATCGTGAAGAGGTGATCGGCCCTGAGAGATCACTATCAAGATACAGGGTAGCGTACCTATGTTTTGAACCATCACGTGAGCATTGGGGAGGCACCGCCGGCATCGCCCTCCAAATCCGCCTTGATCGAATACTATTTGACGATAACGGGCAGCAATTGATCATTCGGAACGATCTCAACTGAATACAAAACATCCAATTTGCTATTTTGTCTATCATGGCTATTGACAAGGCTTCCACTGGAGACATGCTGTGGGGTGGTCGTTTCACTGTTTTGTCTTTCACGACACCTCCATTGACAGTGCTCCAGGTACTGACCTTACACTTGAGCAACTGAAGGCTGTTGACAGCCGATTTCCTGCTACGCCATGGGCGCATTCACTTAAGACAGGCGTTGAAGCGAAGTGAGAAAAGGGTGGTACGAGCGGATCAAGTATTCTGGAGCAGATGGAAGTCTTCACGACGATAGTAGGTCAGAGGCTCTCACTCTATGCTACAATGGATAAATTTGGGCACCAACAGTAGTGCATACAACTCATATTACGGACTTTATCAACATCTTTTATGTCAGGAATAGTCGGAGGAAACCCGTAAACATCAATCGGGCAAAATATGCACTACCTACCTAGCCATGCTGTGGGGGTTGTTGCAGCTCAGAGGGTTCAATCAGACTTGTATAACTCTAACAAAAAAGAAAGATGTACAGCAGCGAGATTTTACTACTGAATGACCGGTCCAAGAGTGGGTATCTATGCTCTACCTTTGCCTGCTGATTCTATAGAGTGTTAAGCCTTGTGCAGCGCTGGATTTTTCAAGGAACCTATCCGATCTTGTTTGAAGGTACGATCGAGGTGAGAGTTGAAGTTTCGATAAGAAACCAGGATTCGAGGATCCAAGTGCGTTAAAGATGATTTGGTGCTCAATTGCTGTTCCCTCACCAACCCTGCTGTTGTAGATCAGCCTTTAAAGTTGAAAACCGTATATCCAATTGCTTTCATCTATGATCTGTTATTGGATGAGAAAGCGATGTCAAAACGACGTCAGCGGGTTATTCAACGGCAATGCGGGGCGATCCATAATTACCCGAAGCTGCACGTGATAGTTAATGCCACCTTGCGGATAGGTAGCTCTTAGAGCTGCATCTATAGCTTCACTCTTGTTAAAACACTAGCTATTTTTAAGGCCAAGGTTCAACATCAATTGCAATCAATCAAATCTCAACTGCATCCGATAGAAACTCCTCGCCTTCCCACGGGAGATAGAGTCGGCTTATTCCTATAGTATGTCACGTTGAATCTCGACACAACCCCTCGCCATTATGTCTTTCACCAATACACCTGTCACTCGGCTCGGTGTGGTCGGCTTGGTAGCTGGCTCTATCATTGCGAGTGTTCTTGACGTCAAGCACTACTTCTACATTCTTATCGATACCCACATATGGAGATACCGGCAGTTCTGGAGAATCTTGGCCTATCAGCTATGCTATGTCAACTCAACAGAGGTACTTTTTGCTGCCATGTCGTTATATAACCTTCGCATCGTTGAGCGAATGTGGGGTTCTCGCAAGTTCGCTGTAAGTGACTTTCATGAAACGTTCTTTTTTTGCACTGCTGATAGCATTGTGTGCAGTCCTTCTTGACTGTCACTTTCTTCATCACCTCCATCATACCGCCTGTTGTCTCGATGGTACTGCGGCCTCTCGCTGCTGGATGGTTCAACTACATCCCGGCTGGACCAACTCCTATAATCTTTGCTATCCTGGCTCAGTATCATGCCATGGTTCCGCACATGTACAAGTATCGAGTGGCCACGTCTGAGGCACCTCCCACAGACCGACCATTCGTTGGTCTCACGTTCTCGGATAAGTCCTACAAGTACGCCATTGCGTTGCATCTCGCATTGTTACAATGGCCAGGCTCGGTCCTGGGTGCAGTCACTGGATGGATTGTGGGATACTCGTGGCGGGAAGGGCTTCTTCCGGCTGCCCTCGTGCGCTGGCGAGTGCCGGGCTGGGTTGTAGGGCTAAGCTCTCATAGACGAAGTGCCGAGTTTGAAGGCCTTCGACGTCGACTCGAGGACGAAAACTCCACAGCTTCTGTTGCAACCGGAGCTCAGGCTTCAACGGAGGGTCAGGCAGAGCGCCGGAGAACGATGGGGCAACAAATCATGGATCAAGTCAGAGAAGTGCTTTAGTGGTCGGTACGGTAGCAATATTCACCATTATGTTTTGTTACGATTGGGCAATAACCAATGGCTTCCGAAAAATTGCGGGACAGGAGACCACAGTATTGAAGAGCATACCTTAGCTCCTGGGGAATGTTTCAGCCCAGTGAGCATATGACATCCCTTGAATGTCTAGGGGATCTTCAGAGCAGGGATATCCTTTTCTGTAAATAGAATGCATCTCTGAGTTGTCGAAACTAACGGATTCCCGTGCGTCGAAGGAGAATGCTAACAGAAACTTTATCCATGGCGTTGTCAGCCACGATCCTACCATCGACCGTCAGCATATCTGCGTGGATCATTGGGCACAGCCATTAATGCCACGCAACGTGACGGTATGCCACGGTCAAAAGGGAGCATTGGGGTCTAAATAAAGGATTCGAAACACGTCAGCTCAGCCTCTACAGAATCATCATGTTTCCTCATGCACGGATCAATTGTATAAACAGAACAAAACTTTTAATCTATTTTTCTCTTTAATAGACAATCCCTCGAAACAAAGGCTCATTCCTACTGGTGCATCGTTAAAGAGTTGCGGACTCGAAGAAGCCTAGCGCTGCCAAACCCATGCCCAAGCAATGCGGGTGCGCCCCTCCTGTGCCTTGCCCCAGCGTGTCCAGCCGCCGCGAAACCCCTGAAAACTGAAGTCCATTGGCACGTGTGGAAGGGATCTACGCAGGTACGGTACGTACCTTCCTACCTGATTCGGCTAGACCACTAGCTCAACTGCTGTAATTCAACTTTCAGTGGAGGTCTTCACAAGGGTCCCACTCGATAACTTAAGTTAAGTTACCTTACTCTTTGGGTTCTCGATGGGCCTCCTTTTCTTCATGGTCAGTCCCGACCTCTCCTTTTCTGTCCCCAGCATCTGCATCATTTCTCACAACTTTTGTACTCTTTCTTTGAGGTTATAACCCGGGACTTTTTATTGAATTGCTGTCGATTTTCTGCGAGTTTCCCGCCTCAGCGGCTTTTGGGCGCAAAGCCCCTTTGTTACATCCAATCTAATCACGAGCTCAGCGCAGCTTCACCTAGCGGCACGACGCGGCTCCCGGTCAACCACTTTTTGTCCAAACTTTGGATACTGGCCAGCCTTTTCACTGTTCTCTATGGAGGTGCTTTGATATCTTTATGCACTGCTTCAGTCCGACTTTCACCCCATGTCCTCATAACTTATACAACACGATCCTAAGCCCGTCGAAACCATGAGTGCATACGCGCGAGAGGGCAGCCCGTATGGGTATGGCTCTAATAGGATGTCACCCCCAGCACCGAGCCCACGCGGGAAGATCTTCGTTGAGGGTTACCGCAGCGATATAATAAACGGCTTTGAAAAGGATAATCAATTGTATAATCCGGTACGCTTGTTGTCCACCGTTGTGGAGGTTAATGGACCTGCGGCTTCTAACCTTCATTGTGTACAGATGAACCCTGATCGACCGCAAAGTTCAGCGCTTGTCGACCTCCGTGACCCGATTCAGGTACATCTCTTAACCGAAACAGCCCTCTCTGATAGCAAAGAGTATACGATTCTGTCACAAGAAGAGGTGGACGACCTCAAAAAGCAAAGCCAGTCCTTGTCACAGCGTGTCGAGTCAACCCGGCAAAACCTGACCATTCAGTCCAAATACCGAGATGCTGCAATCTCGATGGCGCGACTATATAATCCCGGAAAACCGGATGGGAAGCGAAGGAGCCTACTGGGTCGCAACAGCGGTGATCATGCCCGCGCAAAGGAAGCCGAGGCGGAAAGACAGGCGAGCGAGCGGAAATGCGAAGAATTGGCGGCGGAGCTCTTCAACCTTGAGAAGCGACTTATGGAGCCCCAAAGACGCCTACTGGAACATACTGCTGGTATTCTTCAACTCACTCACAAGGCCTCGAATAAGAAGAAGGATCTTACTCCTCCACTTCAACCACTTAATGGCATGCCTGGCAGCCCGGAGAGCCTATATACTTATACACGCAACAGTATGGATCGCGCCGGAGACGAGCACTACTTCAACGATAATGACTATTACGACCAAGCCAATGGAGTCTCAACGAGAGGGCAACCCCGTCAGCAACCCATAGAGATACCCCTTAAATCGCCGATTCGGGAACACAATCAGCTAAGAGATGAGATGGAGAAGATGAAGGATGAGAATCTACACCTACAAGGCCAAGCCAATTCTTTGGTCAAGTCGATAACGGAAATGGAGGTTCGACTTGAGAATTTGAACGGCTCTTTGCGAGATGCGATTGTTCGCTTCAATCCTTCCAAGAACGAAGACTATTATGACCCCCCCTTTGGAGTTTCAGGAATGAAGCCAGGAGAGCTCCTCAACAATCAGTTGGATTATCTTGAAATGGGTCTCAATGCCATCGAGGTCGAACAAGAAGAGTCTTCTGGTGAAACTATCAAGACTGACGGCGCTTTCGAGAAACGCATCGAATCCCTAAACCAGCAAGTTCGAGATCTACTCCTGACAGTGGATCCGAGTTACCCGGCCGTACCTCATTCACCACAAGACAATTTTGAGACGAAACTTGACTATCTTGAAGATGCATTACGCGCTGCCGACTCGGAGCTAGAACGCGCCGTTCAGGCAGCTCAGGCCGGGCCACCAGAGAAGCAGGACAGTGATCAGGTTGAGAGAATCTTGATGAACTTGTGGAACATGATGCAGACAGGCTTCGCCAAGATTAAGAAGGAGAAAGAGGAGCGTCGAAGGGCTCGCATGGAGAGAGGCTACGAGGATGAAGAAGTTTCTGATGATGAATTCGATATCGAGGAGGCTTTCAGTCTTCCCGGATTCTCCAACCGTGTTCAGTGGCTGTACTCTCAGGCCACTACACTCAAGGATCAGAAGTCTGTGCTCAAGCGACAGATCAAGCAGCAGCGCGAGCTCAATAACAAATCAGACGCCGAGAAGGATGAAGAGCTAGCAAGGAAACAAGAGGAGCTGGATGAGACACAAGTGCTACTGGCTCGCGCTGAGAGAGATGCGATGACTGCCCAGACAATGCTCTCAGAGACCCTTGAAGAACTCGAAAGTGCCCGTAGTGTTGCGCACAACGTTGGCCCCTCAAAGGCTGAAGCCGAGGGTAGCAGCAGGAAGGCTGCCGAGCTGGAAGCAGACGTGAAACGTCTTCAGGCTGACTTAGCTGGCGCTGCCGGTGCGGCGGGTGCAGCTCACGCTCAACTCGAGGAACGGGATGAGAAGATCGTCAAGCTAGAGAGGGATCTCGACCAGCTCAAGTCCGACCTTGCTAGCGCGGCAGCTTCGGCAGCTGCCGCGCAGTCTCAAATTGAGGACCGTGAAAGCAAGATCACTGCCCTTGAGGCAGAGTTGGACTACCTGGAGACGGCCCAGAGTGAAATCGAGGAACGGAACAAAAGGATTGCAGCCCTCCAATCCGAGCTTGAGCAGGCCAATGCTGCTCATGTACAGATCGAAGAGCGGGACGCGAAGATTGCTACTCTTCACACCGAGGTTCAAGAAGCCAATACCCTACGAGACCAGGTTGAGGTGCACAGTGCGACGATTGCTACCCTGAAGGCCGAGCTAGAGAAGACAAATGACCTTGAAGCCCGCCTTGAAGAACGAAATGCAAGGGTCACTCATCTCGAGTCTGACATGGAACTTCTTCAAGCAGACTTGGCGGGAGCTGCGGGAGCTGCAGGGGCCGCTCAAGCTCAGCTTGAGGAGCGAAACAGCAAGATCGCAGCTCTTGAGTCCGACATCAAACAACTCGAAGAGAGGCTGTCCGCTGCCGAGTCTTCAAGCAACAATACTCGCAATCAGTTGACTGGTGTCGATTCAGTAATCGATGCTCTTAACGCGCAGCTTGATGAAGTGAACCGATCAAAGCAAATGGCAGAAGACAATGCCAGGTCCTTGCAGCAACGAGTGGATAGCCAAAAGGAAGAGCTGGCAACCAAAAAGAAGATGCTGAAAGATAAGGAGGATGAACTTGAGCTTCTTAACATGAACCTCGTAGAGATGAAGACGGAGCTCACGATTGCCCAAGCGGAACTGGACGGAGCCTATGGATCCCGTGCAGAGAGGGCCGCTGATGTTGCAGCTATCAAGACTAGTGGCGAGGTGATGAAGCTCCAGAACCAGCTCACAAGGCTAAAGAATGAGTTAGCTGGAACTGTTCAAGAGCTGGAGGAGGTCACAAGGGAGACACTCAGTGCCGAACGAGAAAAGATAGAGCTTGAGAACAAGCTTCAGGATGTCCAATCGGCAAAGAAGACTCTTGAAGGAGAGGTTATGACACTGCGCCAGCGCCTCGAGGCAGATATGGAGAAGGCCCGTGAGCATATCGCCAAGCTACAAGAGGATCTTGATGGCGAACGACTTCGGGCAATCCCACCAAATGGTGGTGTTGGCAGAGGAGCCTCGATGCTGAGTGAGCAATTCAGGGCCACGATGCGTGAAGAGAGGAAGAAGTTCCAAGAGAGCCTCAAGGTATGTTTCATATTTCGGGTTGTCTTGTGCATGGAGCAATGGCTGACTAGTATCAATAGGAGGAACGTGCTAGAGCACGCCAGCTGGAGGAAGAGCTTGCTAAGTTCAAGCGGGATCAGGGGTCTGCCAGAGCTTCCCTGAACCCTCAATGAGTTGGCCCCTGAGATGTCGGGGTTATATATTAAGCTCCGCCGCTATGGAAGCTGTGGCCAATCTTGACTGCCGGGGTTTCTTTTTTGCAGTTGATACTTTCAACGGCAACAAGTTAGATTTGGTGATTTTAGATACCAGTTCATGTTTTTTTAGGCTGGGAGCAAAATATGCAAGTTGCTCTTGCAGGGGGGTTCCAAGAGCTAATGTGAATTGGATGAATCCATGATTCTTAAAAGTCGGGAGCAAAAAGGGGAACTTGTTGATAGAATATTGGAGCTGGACATTGACCGGGAAACTTTGAGTGAGAGACGGCAGTCTTGACCTGATTAACCATTCGATGCTTACGATTTTGCTGCCTGTTATGAAGCTTTCCGTGAACATGGCATGAAATGTCGAGACTTTGGCGTCCCGTTGTCATGTTGACGCGCCATGGATGAATAAGCTCTAACCATCTCCCGTGAAGCCGACCCCACTGCACCATGCGATAGTGCGTCTTCCATGTGTTTATTACTTATTAAACGGGCTTAACAAAAAGAGCTGGACATAGATGGAACTGTCTCATTGTACAAGCAGACTCCAAATGGGAATCCCGTATTTCCTTTGAACTTAACTCGCGTAATACCCCAAAAAGAAGAAGAAGAAGGGGGGGGGAAGAAAGAAGACAAAAAAAGAGATAAGCTGACTTCCTTCAATTTCTATAATTACCCTTTCGCATGAATCCGCCTCAGGTAAAGAAGAGAATACAGGAGGTGATACCAGTCAATAAGCCGAACTATGGGTAAGATTGGAAGGAAAGGACATTTTGAATACATACAAAGGCCAACTTCCCATTCCTGGCAGTCGACATATTGAACTGCGGGCTATTCATTTATACTGTGAGCAAGTCACATGTGGTGGTAGTCACACGGCAAGCATCATGTGGAATCAGTCTCACACTCTGTATGTTGCTGCATTTATGACCTTACGTTATCCCTCGCAAGGAAAGTCAAGTCTGACAAAAACTGTTTGGAAGTCAAAGGAATAAGTCTTGTCGAACAATTAAATTGACTTACACAACACCTCGTTAGTGTAACCTACCACCAAGGTCTGACTGATAAGAACAGATGCAGGCAGTCCCAGCAAACAGTCATAGATGGGGATCAATCGTTGCAGAACATGTAAAATTTCTTCTAGTCTTTCTCTGTCTAGTCTAATTGCCATATAAGCGCGCCATGTATGTTCAAGAAACAAAGCTCCAGTATGAGTAAGTCAGATATGTGCGCCTGATCTAAATGCGAATAAGCTGTGCACATGTTTGTACAGCCTGAAGCCGAAGAGGTCATGTGCTTGCCCGTACGACGTCAGTGTCACCACAACTCGATAATTCCAATGCACAACACCAAAAGCGCCATTAGATCAAATACAAAAAAAAAAGGGGGGGAGGGGGGGTTTCACTGATCCCCTAATAAAACAGAGACTATCCACCATGCAACGCCACAGTAGCAAACGCAGACTGGGTAAAAGAACAAGCATATCTTATGAAAAGTGCAGAACATGCAGTGATAACTGAGTAAATGCAGAGAGCCGCCGACCAGTGTATGTTTTTGGGTAGGTACCCGAATATTGACTCGAAAAATCTGCACTCCCTTGGCAGATAGAGCAGATGGCTCCAGGCCAGGAAGTGCATAGTGCGTGTGCGTTGTGTGCCAGTGCGTGTAATGCGGTCCAGCCGATATTGCGTAGTTGATCATGTATCGACATTAAAAAGTAGGTAAATGTGGGTATAACGAATTGGTGACACAAAGGGATACATGATGTTGTTCCGCCGCGGGCTGATTAGTCCATAGACATGTCGTCGTCGTCGACATATGCCATGCGTGCCCATATCCTCCAGTGGACGACGCCCACATGAGCGATACGAGTCGCAATATCTTCGATGCCACCCTCTTGCTGACCCATGCGGATGGCTGCATCCAGGTCTCGGTCTCGTCCTGCATCCAGGCTGCGGCTGCTTGTTGGGACACGATTACCAGTGGCAATCGAGAACAAGCATACACCTGAAAGAGCCTTGAAGTAGCGGACGCGCATGGCGAGCTCGTTAAGCAGGCGAATGCGGTACGCCTCCTCCATCTCCTTGTAGATAGGGGAGGAGATGCGGCAAACGTTCTCCAGAAGCTTCTCTTCGAATGGGACAAGCATGTCCATGGGGGCGTTGGTGAATCGGAAGATCTGCAGAGCCATAGAGGGAGCCATTGAACGCCACTTCTCGTGATAATGTTGGTCGTGTGGTGCCTGCTGAAGCAGAGCAACCAGACTGTCGCGGAGATTTCGGGCTCTTGTTTTGGCTTCGTTGGTTTCTGAGTTGAGATACAGGGGAAGGACCATGGATGAGCGTGGCGATGACGAAGCTGAACCTGCAGAGCTCAGTGTAACACTGGAAGGTCTTGAGCTCGAAGGAGGAGTGTTGAAGTTGAACTCGTGGTCATCTGACATAGCGCTTGCAAAAGCGGGAGGCGAGTTGAGTTTCGCGATCCGCTCAAGATCCTCGTACATGCGCATGCAGACGTCTAGGTTGATGGCATCCAGAATATCCGATCGAACGCGTCCAAGTCGGTCCTCGTCAAAGAAGAAAGTACCAGGTAGAGGCTTCTCACCGGCGGAGGGGAGCATGGCCCGCGAAATTCCTTCGAAGAAAACCCCCATATCTCCAAAGCAAGAGTACATCTTCCCGGCACCGCTAGGATAAGTTCGAGCAGCCTCTTGATACCACGGTTTGGCATCGCCTATATCCATTTTGCGATTTCGCAGCTTCTTCATCAGAAACTTTTGTTCAAAAGCTGTTGTTTCTTCAATGAGAGCTGGTCGAAGACAGCGTATTTGATGATTTGCAACGTCGAGTTTCATTGCCTCCAAGACACTGAGCAAACTTCGCATGCCGTTGACAAGCTCTTCAACATCGTTGTTGCTGTTACCGTTGCTGAGCTGCTTGTACATCGAATCAACCCATTCGTCCCGCATTGGTGCGCAGTGAGATTTGAGGACTCGTGAGAGCCACGAAGCAAGCTTCTCCAAATCGGCAATGCCTCGGTGAAACTGTTGCATGAGAAGTTCCACGTTTAGACCCTCATCGAGAAACTGTCGGTCGCGCTGGGGCACAAGGGTTTGGATGATCTCCTTCACAGATTTGAGAAGCTTTGGCAAGCACCAGTCGTCTCCTGTGCCGTGCTTGGCGTAAAAACTGTCTCGGTCCACGATGAACTCGACCAATTCCTCTTTGAGTGTTGTCCAGAAAATGCTAGCACGATCGTGCTTTTTTCGGCCCTTATCTCCCTCCACATTAGGTCTGAAATGAAGCTCAGGGTCAAAGTTGATATCGTGCCTCAATTTGGGGTTGTTGATGATCTTAGAAACTTCGAGCTCTCCTAGACTTGATTTCGTTACAGGAGGTTCCAGAGGCTGTGATGGGGCAGGAGATCTCCGACTTTCAGGTCCTGGACTAGATGTCGTTGACATTTCGGAAGGATTTCGTGATAGTGGTGCAGCTACTGGGGCTGGTGTATCAGAAGGGCTATCGTATCGGCGAGGCAAGACTTGGGAGGTAGTTATAGCATCGTCCTTCTCGTCTGTGGATGGTTTTCTGGCTGTCTCCTTTTCAGGTCTCGTCTCTCCTTCGCCATTAGGTCCGGGTCCCGAGGTAGACAAACTCCGCCTCGATCGCTCGACCGGGCCTCCGAACCCTTGATCCGCCGTCATGTTGTTTATGATAATTTACTGATTTGGTCCTCCGAGTGTTTCAGTGATTGAGTCGAATGTCTGTTAACGGATTCTAGTTTTCCAATTGAACTAAGGCGGTACGTGTTAGCTACAATAAGAACTCTAACAAAGGCATGACATGGGCTTCAGGATGAAACCAAGCAGTCACGACTATGCGGTCAGTTGCAGATGCACTCGGCTAAGAACTATTCATCGGCCAGATGTTGTGCTTTGAGTGACAAGCAGTAGGCGGAACAGTGGTCGAGCGAGTCGCAGACTGGTAGTGTTGAGATTATGTGGTCGACTTACAAGGATCCAGTGAACTCGCAGCGGACAGCGTCGGTTTGTGCGCACCCAATTGCGGCTGTGTGACCGTACAGATGATATCCCTTCTTCCTTCGTTGCGGATGTTCTCTCGGTGCGTCACTTCGCAGTTCGTTTCGGTTGTATGCAATGCTGTCCTGGTTTGTCTGTATTCTCTTCTTCTCGCGGATAGTTGCTTTTCGACCAAGTGAATGTGTCTAGTGGCGAGTGCAATAGGCAACAATCTATATTGCGGTGCAAAACAAAGTATGGGTAATATTCAAAGTCGTCTTGTTGTATATATTCAAGACACGGATGTTTGGAAAAAACAGAAATAGGAAAAGAAACATCAAGAACGGGAAGAAAGAGAGAAAAGGGGACGATAGTGACGGGAGACGGGGATATTTGATATATGGGTTACATCCTGGTTTGGGGTGCGAGCAGGGGAGCCACTTAGACGGAGCTGGCTAGACTGAGCTGGACTACGAGACACAGAAGTATCCATCAAAACCATGATCCGAGTCAATAGTAATACTATGCCACAGCCTTCCTTAGGCTAGAATTTTTTTAAGGGAGGCCAAGCGCGGATTCATCTTAATCGCGTGGCATGGCTTAAGTTTGGAGGGAGCGGTGGGCCTAGACGCAGAGGCAAAATCAGGTAACTAATGGCAAAAGTATCTTTGGGTAGTCAGAATGACCCCTACAGGGTGTAGGGAGTAACCTAATAGCATCTGCGTGGAGGTCCCTGTGAGAAGGAGGGGCGTGTGGCTGCAATAAGATCCACAAGGACACCTGGGCCAGGCAAGCGGTACAGCAGGCAATTATCGACGGAGTTGCACTGGATGCAACTAAAACAGCGAATGGTTTGGGGCTGTCGCCCCTGGAATCCAGTGGAAAACGCAGTGGCTTCTGTAGATGCCCTCTCGCCCAAATGGCGGCATTAACACTCAGCTGAAGCGATCGATGCTTAGACGAGCTAGTGAGTCAAACTGTCGGTAGCCACCACTCAAAGTACCGCCACTGAGACGGAATTCGAGTCTGAGTCGATAACTGGCAATACCAAGCTGAGAAATTCAGATTGATTCCTGGTACCCAACCTAGGGCAAGCCTGTAAGTGTGGGAGTTGGAGTGCAATTTTAATACTGCAGCGACAACGTGACCCTCCAATATTCGGATCTGAGCCATGTTGCTGCTATAGTCTCGGTTTCCCGTCTCTGTTAGATGAGTAGGGAATCAAAGGTCAGACGCTACTTGACTCAGTCTAGGGGGGGTATCACGAGGGCTCGCCATGTCCTGTTTTTTCTTTCTTTGTTTGAACGAGTCTTCATTTTCTGCAAGTGACAGATGCACTACTGTAGGAGAAATCTGCTCTGTTGTGTACAGTGTGTACAATGCTTGTCGCTCCCAATGCAAGATATGAAAGTCTTTGCCGATATAGTCCATCGCCATGACGAGAAGCGCTGCAAATCCACGGTAATCACTGTATAACGTAGCGTAGCGACGTATGATGGCCCCACAGACTACAGACTCATCTAAGAGGTGAAGATACGCTTTTGGGCACAGTGCGTGATCCTTTCCATCAGATGGAGTAAGTGGACTCGCCATGGATGTCATTCATGGGATCCGCGGGAGGAGATGGAGATGAAGATGGAGATAGCATGCGATGGGTAGGGATGGATGACCGATAGTGGAAGTTTGGCTGATGAGGTGTGTGTGGCAGGTTTGGAGGGATAACGGCTCCTTCCACTTGCAGGGCGACATGTAAGTTTGGAAGGTAAGGTAAGTACCTACACCCAAGCCTCAAACAGGGAGGCCCCTTCGATATGCGGATACTTTCCGCCTTTCATACCACTTGACGCAAGGCAATTCACATTCTCAATACCGCCATCATACTTACAATAAAAGCCCATGTGTATAATATCAAAGACGCAGGGAAACCCAACATCAACAAAAATAAACAAAGCAGGGTCAGACTTCCACTTGCCGAAGACGGATCGAGTCCCAGGAACATTCGACCCAAACAGGTCAGGGATAGCCAAACTTGGCCCGCCGATTCGTCCATCGATTCCAGGGGAGAATGGTCATTCGGGACCAATGGATTGCCTTGCCTACAGTAGCACTCAACATGCCACACTGCTCACGCCTGGAACAACTCCAAAAAGGGACGGCACAAGGGCTCACGGGCTCCACGCCAGGGACCATCCGTCATCGTCATCGCACTAGCACGCTCTTGGGCGGGCCACATAAAGATCCATCCACCGCCGCCGCTGATCTAGAAACGGACCAGAAGCGTGCATATTGCAGCGGAGTTGGAGTCGGGCACGACTAATGAGCTGCCCCAGCTTCGGCCGCTACGAATCAATCTGCAACTCATGCTGGCCCAGATGGCCCATTGACTGCGATGTGAGCCAACAAAGCAATCCGAATGCTGACTGATGAGAGTGTAAAATCATGGAACTTGTGGCAGTGTTTGGATTTGTGACGGCAATCCATCCTCAACCTCGGCCAGAAAGAATCTTTTCACGCAGACGGTATGCGCTTATGCCGCCAACCGCCGCCACCACGAATGCCGTGTCTTCTGGTTCTCTGTCAGGATCATTCTGGCTTCACTGCATGATTGCGCCTCGCCACGGGCAGGACGACGTCGCTGCAGTATTGTTACGAGAAGAGTGAAGCATAGCACATGTTCTGTTCTATCATGATGACGGGCATAAGAGGGTCCGGGCGGTGAGTTGGGTCGACACAGACCGCTGTGAAATTGCAACGCAAGTCAGGTAGTCTCACATAACAGATAAAAACGCAAAGTTCGCCGAGGCGCTCAGTATGAGGTTGTACGACCACAGCCTTCCTCGGTGCGAAAAGTGGCCAGCTTCATGGCGAAGGCATTTCACCAATCTCGGTCTCGCCAATTGGCCAGTATTATCTCTAGTGCATCCCAGCCTGGTGGTACTGTCCTTCTAGTACGGTACTAATCTGATCTATCCCTTCGATGTACAGACATGTTCCATGTGCGAACCCTCGTAATATGAACGGTGCACAGCAGCCTCGGCAGCACTGAATAATCCGCTTCATTGACCTGGATTGGTGGATGTTTACAATCATATTGTTGGGACCTTGGGTAATAGCGAACCGAATGGTGAACAATGTCCAGGGCGGACAGGTTGTCAGGGTTAACCCACGCTTCGATCATCTAGTCAAGTCCCAGCGCCTATCAAGCTCTCCACGCGTACAGCCCTGGAAGTCCAGGAGCGTCGGATGGTTATGGTGTCGTTGTGGTGTGTTTGGTAGGAGGATCTTGAGGACGGGCCCTCGTCGAGTCCTGGTCTGACAAGGGTGACCACGAAGCGTGCATCAGCTCAGACTTGCACATCGGTTCATTTCTCATCAGAATTGTGTGCAAGCCCTGATTATTGTTCAACGCCATAGTCTTTCGCAAACTGAGGCCCAGAGTCTTGGGCTTGGGCTCCTGTTTGCCCACACTACCAGGGTATTGAAATTTCTCTATGAGTCAGGATTGACAACAAGCAGAAAAGGCTCCATCATTTACAGCAAGAGCAACAACCAAAACATCATCGGTGTGGAACCACATCACCATCCGCCAGGACACGAAGTGGCCAACGCATCAATGCACCTATGTTTGAAGTACAGCCCAAAACTTGGCTGCAATGCTGCTCTGCCCAAGGTTACTGCAAAGCCATGAAAATGGATGGGATTCTTTCACCGCCGTAGCGATAGGTGCAGTGACATTCAGACTCTGGTGTAACAATTCGTGGCTGACTTGATCGCAACTTTCATTTTCCGCATACCACATATTGCCCACCCGACGGCAGGTTCATCAATGAGGTTTTCCGAATCAGCCGACTGAAAGAGTTCGAGGCCTGCATCACCAGCTGCACCACCAATGTTACAGCAATGTTCTATTCATTTCCACATCGCTAATCTGAAATCTAAAGCATGGCATTCGACGCCAAACTTGAATCGGAGATGCCGTCTCTTATTGGAATGCTCTTCGTGTGCGCAACTCTATTTATTCCATGGAGTAGATACAGTATTCAAATTTCTGACTAAGGCCCATCAGCTGCTTCGCCTCAATCCCTTGTTCAGCTCATTTTGTCCATGCGGCGGCATCCTGGTGTCCTATTCCGTCAGCCCAGCCCAGGTCGGAAACCACCATATCGGACATGGCGGGGATGCAATCAGCATAACCCCAACATAAGTTACATCAGAATATTCTCGAGACCATGGAAGGTTTCCTCCCGCCTGGGCATTAACGAATTACAATATATTTGATATACCTTATTCGATGGAAGTGGAAGAGATTGAGACGGCTTTCCAAGTAGTTGGGGTTGATGGTCGCGGGGAGGGAAAAATGACCATACACTACAAATATACTTCATAAAAGGTTGTTTGTTTGTTTCTTTTTTTCCTCATTGTTACGGGTCTAGCGAAACCCAAAATTGTTGGCCACCTACGTACTGAGAACCAGACCTGGCGGAGCGGGATAGGCAATAGTGCTATGCAAGGCAAAGAACTCTCCGTCTACTAACTCTCAAACCAGCGACTCATTGATCCTTGGCTGGGTGTGTTCGTACTCTCAAACCAGCAGGTATGCTGGCTAACGTCGGTTCCCTAGCCCACGATGATCAAGAGAGACAGTCAGGCAGTGAGGGATGCAGGGCGATGAGACCAAAAACGATGGGATGGGTTTAAGTCAGGGACATGTTGCCACCTTGTCCCAGCACCTGCCCCTGCTTGAAGAGAAGAAGAATCCCTCCCTCCCAGTAAATGTCTTATCACCGTCTCGAATCACCTAACTTCGCCTTGCATACGCTGTGTCCGCGTCCATCCAAATGGTTAATTGTATACACCAACCACATCAAGCGTCCTTTCCGTTGACTCTTTCCTTGCCCCCGTCGACTCGCTTCGTATATGTGTGCCATGTCCCCCTTTTTCTGTAGTTGGGGGTCTCCTAGGCCTACACTTGAAGGCGCTTAGCTTTCAAGACTGGAGTTTCATTGCGAAGACAATGTGCTGGTTTCACCTCGCAACCGAATTGCAGCTCATTTTACGAATTGAGTAGGTGGTGTTGCAGCGAGTCAGACTGGGGGGACACCTCAAGCTTCAGGCCGAGTTCGGGGCTAGAAGCTCGGGGCCGGAGCAGATCCACGGCACGGCAATAGTGGTGGTATTATTAACCCTAGGGCCAAGCCTCGCGGACAAGGAGCGGCGGAAGGCCGCATTTCGGCATGGCATGGTTTTTGTATGGGAGGTTTTGATACTCGGTCGGTCAGCACACCACTTATTGATTCCCTTTGTTATGCGGGATGTCTAGGTCGTGTATGGATGTGTACGACCGTGCTCGGTGTGCAATCGTATTCATGCAAGAGTTACGCCTCTGTCGCACGCATATGACGGCGTTGGGCGTTGCTAATGACTGACTACGGGCAGTACTATCTTGATCATTGATGGCGATCAACTTTGCAAGCTGCAAGTGTGTGTGTGTCATGGCGGCGTAGGATGGCAGGATGGTAACATCTCATTACCTGTGTCTTAGGACTGTGCATCTGGCTTGGATCATTGTTGTTATTTCAGCATGCCATACCAGTCCAATGCGCAGTGATCTGATTGCTCCTCACTCTGAGAACAACAATTCCAACATGTCTGAAGGAATCCCAACAAATTGGCCCTTGGCCTAACATTGCAGTACCTCAATCTGACACTGAAAGCTTACCCTTATCCAACCCCGGATTCACATCGTTACCTCTCTTTTCTTTTTCTACGCCAATCACATACATGTTTGCTTTTGATTGAATGGTCTAGAGTAATGGTCGACGAGCAACACTGGGCCAGATACGAAAACAGCGGCTCAGTGGTATGCATGTTGCAACTCTCGTTACTGCCGATGTGACATCCTTAATCAACATGCAGATGGAATGAACAGCGTGTGGCTTCTTTTCGTTCTCCTTTTTGTACCATTGCGCTGGTACATGGGCTTGGTTTCTTTTTGTCGTTATTTTTGTGTAACAGTGTAAGACCAACCACTTGAGTTCCTAGTACGAGCCACCACAGCCCATCAAGCCACAAAGACAGATTGGTCTGTTTTCTTTGATACCAATACCGTCCGTGTCCTCTAATATGACCAGATTGCCATGCCTATGGTAATAGCGTTTGTGATATCTGAGATTTAAGCCGTTGGCAAACAATTTGGGCCGCGCATAATTCGAGAGTGGAGGTTATGTGGCATCAAAGGTACCTCAAGTGGCGAGCCTGTCGAGTTGCAACCCTTTCCAGATATCATCACATTTCGTGTCACTTTTGTGGTACTTCCTGCAATACTCTCCTAAGGAGGCCTGGCCAAACACATCAGGGACTTGAATCAAAGTTTCCTCCCGTGTTTCACAGATTAGCTGTCTGTGTGACAAGCCTTGGGCGTGTGGTGTGACGCAAGCATATACCGGGACGGGATTACTCAGAGACTCTCTCAGGGTATGTTTTGCGAAAGAGAAAGGGGGAAATTATTTCATCATCTTGATATGAAGTTTAGTACACTTGGTAAACGGCGCCAACACTCCCACCCGGCTGTCACCTCTTCCGACCCAACTCCTGACCAGTCGTGATATCTTCAAAAACAAAAACGTGACATTAACGGTAGTGTGCTTAGTTGAGGAGGATGGAAACCTGAACATGGTCAGCTCTTTCAAAATCATCTGGAGCAGTATAACGTACAGCCATGAGGACACAGCATATACTTATGTATGGACTCAGTCTTTCGCCTATCCTCGCGCATTTCCAGAAGATGCCCATGAATCTAGTGTTATTAGCCCCGTCTCCACGATAACGGCGTGAGTCGCATTTCGTACCCGTTCTTATTTCGATCCATGATGCCTGGTGTAAAGTGGTGAACGTATGCGCTCGTGCATATAAGCAGCAGGAGGACGAGTAGGAGAGATTGGAAGTTGAAGAGGGCGGACTAGAGTGACAGTTAGTGCGTTGATTCACCGTTGAAGAGCACAGCGCATACCATTTTGACGCCTCGATAAACTATTCCTATGATGGAGAGGTATTGAGATCGTATATCTCGTTCGTAGACTTCGATGTCAAGCTCAACGCTGCCTTCTCACATGCGACAAGCTGTGCTTAGGGGTAAAGATTCGCCGGAGCCGCGACGTGTTTCCAACGGATTCAACCTCAAGGGGTGACGTACCTGGAAATAACCCCCCACAGAGCTGCGGACCCCACTAAACACCCCCCAGATTGAGCCTCCAGCTGTCGCAAGGCTGCGCTGAGCTGAGCGCATGAATCTTTCTGGTATTTTCAACTACATGTCTATCGCGAGACTGCGAAACCTCGATTGTCAGAAGCGATCTTATTGAAACTTTTATCTCTCGACCCAGATCTCTATTCGTTTTTGTTCATTACATGCTTCAAGCGCGTAGGCGCAAGTAACCACATTCATCATGGAGCCTCGAGCGCGTGCCGGCAAGAATGTCGGCAAGATGAACTTCAGCCATGCAGAGTGTACGTCTTCTCCCGTTCGCTCTCAAGGTCTTCGTTTGCTGATCCTATACCAGTGGCACAGCTACTCTACGCACACGGCGATGTTCAGAACCCACTCCCAGAAACCGTGCGGGTACTCGACGAAATCCTCACAGATTTCATGCAATCCATCGCCTTCGAGGCGACACGAGCAGCTAATTACTCAGGCCGCCAAAAGATCAAATACGAAGACTTTGAGTTCGCGTTCCGTAAGAATCCCGCGTTCCTGGGCAAAGTTCAAGAAGTATTCGAGAAGCAAAAAGAGATCAAGAAGGCTCGTGAGATTTTGCGCGATGGCGAGGATGAGATCATGAAGGATGCTGCGGATGAAGAGAAGAAGCGAGAAAAATCCGATACGAGGACGGGAGGAGCAGTAGGAGCCGCGACGTCAAGGGTCGAGGAGGAGTTGGGTGAAGCTGACGATGATGCTGAAGCGGAGCTCGATGCGTTGGGTAAGAAGCGTTGAAAGAAATTGAGTAGAGCCGGGCTCTTACGATTGGCCTCCCACCACTTGATTCTATTTCGGCGTTCTACAGAGATATTGGTATGGGTTGGGAAGGCGTTTAGAGCATGCTATTGTGGATTGGGTTGGAGTTACAGCCAGGGACCAAGCAAAGGCACATCCTAATAAATCAAAGGAATCCCATGCTGTCGGATGCATTGCATTGTAACAATCGAAACCCTATGGCATATTCATGTCTCAGAGTCTATAGGCACTGAATATTGAGGTTTTGATCATCGACGTTACATCCAAGCCTCGGACAAGTAGCTGCCGTACCAAGTCGAAGTCCTGGTCCATTGTGATATAAATTGTCATACGTATAAGCGAATGACTGGATCTGAAGTACAATTTAGGGAGATTGTATTCCCGAGGGATGTATATGAACCTTCTTACCATGCAGCGCTGATGCTAGCAATCGGCGGTCATGCGGGAGAATCACATCTTTGACGGGGCCACAGTAGCCCGCAAGAACCATTATATGAGTACCAGTTGTGGCGTCGTATATATATACATTAGTAATCTGGGAGATAATACTTATATCTGGCGAGAATGAAACAGTGGTTGATGTATGGGCCTGCAAGGGAGCCGGTTCAGTGCCCGCTTCAAAGATCGATATCAGTGGCATCCTTCTCGAAATCAACAATTTCCGGGGCTTGGTTGGAGAGGTGTCGTGATTGCGAGTCTGAAGTGTGATGCTGTTTGGGACCACTCACGAAGATTCAACGTACGAACCAGAATCTCGAATGCAATGACTGCGGGCAAGAGTTGTTTGAGAAGGAAAGGGCCCCGCCCTGATGAGAAATCGACGGGAAAGAGAGGTATAAATACTATGGAAAGGCGACTGCCGACTGGCTTGTAAGTGCTGCATCCAATAGAACACACATACTAAAGGTCTACAGGTATTCAGCGATCCATGGCCTCACGGTTGACCTCAGTATGGGCTATATTAGGCTTCTTAATCTCACAGATATCCTACCTCGACTTGAATGCTATATGTGCAACGCACCCACCTACAACATAGTGTGCTGGTTCTGCATAATCCACTTATGCTTAGGTAGTCTTTCTCTCCCCAAGCCAAAAGTCGCACATTGGCTCATGAGGCAGTGATATCATTTATGGGACTACATGATAATGTCCTTACGGAATATAACTCTGGAGGTCACCAGCTAAAGTCATCGATGAAATCAAGAAGGGAGGGGAGTGACGGCGATAATGGCGGTATAGCGAGATGAGTTGGAGCACCCGAAAAATGCAGTTGCTGATTGAACTCTTGATTCACTTGGCCCAGGAGAATTGCCAAGAATATGGTAGTATGTCTGATGAAGCTGGAACTCATTGCCTTCATATTTTTCCAAGTCAGCTGCAGTGTTGTTCGTCGAAAACAAGGCTGCGGCTCAGAGCCTGTAGCCGAATCAACAAGTCGGCCAAAGACCTCAAGAGCAGGAGAACGCTCTTCTTGAACTTTGCGTCCTGATTTGATATTCGGAAGTATCATGAGAACTCACCATCCTGTATCTCCTCTCATGATGACACTCGATGACTCCACTCTTGATTCCAGTGGATTAACTAGTAGCAATGTGTCCACGCCGAGTGCTTCATGGCGATGATGGGACTGCCTTAGATGTCAAACAGTTGGCTAAGCTGAATCGATTTGAAGATCGGCAGCATATCTTTTGTAACTGTAACTGCCGTAGTCGTCCCATCAATTCCGGACATGGCTCATTTTGTACACACTAAAGAGTCTCAAAGCTGATACTTGGGCGCTGCACCTGTTGAATTGTCTACCATTTGTATATTCTTGTTGAGGGTGACTGGGATCTTGGGAGGATTGGGTGGTTAGTAACCAAGGTGGATTGACATGTTGTCCACGATCGAGGCAGAGTTTACCTATCCTTTTAACGATTAACGAGTAGTTAGAACGGAAATGAATACGATATGGGAGATTATTCCCGGACCTATCATCGCTTCCACCCGTTGAGCCCATTTCACTGGACCCCAACATCTTCATCCTCGGCCGACTTAACCGATACCGAAATCGGGGCAAGATAGGGCGCAATTTTTCTAGTTGCAGAGCCAAGACGACGCAAGTGGTGGCCAAGTCACATCAGCATCTTCTAAGCGCCCACCCGCTGACTTTTGAGGCCCTCGCCACTCAAGACTCTTCTCTTTTTGCTCGCGTGCCTCAGCAATTCTACCGGTTTTGCTCTTTCTAACTGATGATGCACAAAACGAAAGAGTTCCCAATAATATTGAGAACTAACGGGTGCCTGAAAACGACTGATACTCACTCAGCTTAGACCGTCCAAACAAGAGGCTCCCTTTCGTCATCGAGGGTCTTGAAGAGTTGCCTACCGGGGTCTAGTAGTAAACTCCACCCCCACTGCGAGAGACTTCCTCTTGTTGGCTCATCGGTTGGTTAATGTGAGAGAAGAGAGCAATAGAGGATCCATGATCGGTGGGTTTCGGCTGCGGGGTGGTTGGTTATCAATGGCTGACGCTCAAAGAGTCGTCGATCCGGAGCTTTTTCCCTACCTACCTATTTGTAACAAAACATTTCTATTCGCTTCTCAACTGTGACTTTGCTCTTTCTTCTTACTGTGCCGTATCTCGTCATTGACTGATCGTGACAACCTCATGGACTAGAAGTAGCTTTATTATCTTACACAATGAATCCAACTCCTCCGCCGTATGAGGAGGTTCCTCAGAGCAAATTGTTGCCCGGGGATACCCATGAATCACATCAGCATTTGTTACCACCTTCGCCATCACCAAACCTCTTGTCTTCAAAGGTTGATAGTTCGAGTTTTGATGACTTCCACCGAATGTCATCGAGTCCATCTCCTTGCCCCTCGCCAATACCTCTAAGACATTTCTCGCAGCAAGGATTCGATTTACCAGCCGAAACTCCACCGTCGAAATGGAGGCAGTTCTGGATAAAGAATAAGCCCGCTGCCTACGTTGCTCTATCGCAATTCTTCGGGGCACTGATGAATCTCAGTGCTCGTCTAGTCGAACTCGAAGGCGACGGCATGCATCCCGTTCAGGCCCTACTTATGAGACACTCCATCACAGCACTATTCTGTTCGGCTTATATGTGGTGGAATAAAACCCCCGACTTTCCCTTTGGAAAGAAGGAGATTCGATGGCTGTTGTGGCTGCGAGGAGCAAGTGGTTTCTGGGGTATTTTTGGCGTTTGGTATTCGATGATGTATATCTCACTCGCTGATGCTACTGTTATCACATTCTTGGCTCCCGGTGTTGCAGGCTTTATCTGCTGGTTTGCTCTTCGTGAGCCTTTCACTAGAATCGAGCAACTGGCCACGTTGGTTGCTCTTGTAGGTGTTGTACTAATTGCTCGACCTGCCTCACTATTCTCGGGCTCTGACGATGACAACTCGACTACCGAGCCGCCCGAATCTAGTGGTATACCAGGTATTGACCATGAAGCCACCCCTGAAGAACGCTTGATAGCTGTTGGTATAGCCCTTCTGGGTGTTCTAGGAGCAGCTGGCGCCTTCACGACCCTCCGAACCATCGGGAAACGAGCACATCCTCTCATCTCAGTCAACTATTTTGGTATCATCTCGACTTTCATCGCTCTATCCATGCTCATCTTTGCCCCTATCCTCGATATTCAGCAACCAGGTTTACGATGGGTTACCCCGACCACAGTCAAGCAATGGGTACTCCTGCTTCCCCTGGGTGTTCTGGGTTTCATCATGCAGTATCTTCTCACGGCAGGCCTCGGGGCCGACAAGTCAAACCGTGCTAATTCCATGGTTTACACACACATGCTTTTCGCCGCAAGCTTCGATCGATGGGTCTTTGGACACAGAATGGACTTCATTAGTGGCGCAGGATGTACTCTTATTCTAGGAAGTGCTATTGGTGTCGTCATGCTGAAGAAACCACCAGCTGCAAAACAGCCTTTGGATGATGTTGAGAGACATGGAAATTTGGAGGATGAAATGGAGGGCTCCCCCATGCTTGTGCCCGATTCAGGGGCGTCCGAGGAACTGAGGCTTTCGAGATAAAAGTTAAAAAACCGTTTGAATATTTGTATACATCGCTTAGACTGTCCGAAATGTTTACGTTGGACCGTTACACCTCAACAAGAAGCGCCACACTCTATTTTGACTTTGGAAATGAGTCTGCTCAACTCTATTGTAGGACTTTCTTGATTAGCGAGACAAGGATGAATCAGGTGCGATTGCGGGACTGGCTCCTATGCTCGGTTTATGCCGAACCCATCTGGGTTGGCGTTGTATTTATAGTCTCCAGAATGGATGAACGTGACTTTCTATTAACTCATTATTTGTCCGAACCCTTATTTTCTTTCACTGAGGGAATGCGAAACTGGGCTCCTCCAGCAACTCCATCATTTGCTGACTACTATTGAACCATTCACCAAGTTGCGCCGTGTTACCCATCCACATCATCGTGTTTGCTCCTCTCTGGCCATCGGCACCATCAAGCATACTCATATCCCCGAGAGGTTGTGAGAATGCATCGGCCTGACTAGGGTCCATGTGCGTTGATTGTTGAACCCCGTTGTTCAGACCTGCTGGTGGAAATCCGAGAGCGGCGAGATAGCTGTTAAGTTCAGCGCTGGCCTGTGTTTGGTCGGCTGGAGGAGTACTTGTCCGGAACTCTATGTATCGGAGTGCTACCGTATAGAGGACCTGGAACAGACGATATGTCTTCGCCGCTGCATCTGATAATTGAATGGTCGTCTCAAGAGATGTGCAGAAGCTATGCAGACGAGCGAGGTCCGTCTGGTCCTGGGTCTCAATGACTTGACAGAACACAACGATGAAAGGAATGAAAGGGGCAAATAGCAGTGTCCTAATCATGTCAGCATTATCTCAAGATACCATGTAAGTATGTGTGCTCACCAATGGACGTAAGAAGGAAAATAGACAGTATTATCCCGCCCCAAGAGATCCATGCAATCTTGATGGCGATGCAGTGTTGCACGTGCAGCCTCAATACACTCTGGAATAAATGTCACTTTGGAGTTGGGCGGCGCAGGCGTAGCTCGATAGATCAGAGTCAGAAGTGAAAGTCGAAGAACATCATCAGAGATGAGAACAAAATCGAAGAAGTACTCCCCAAGATTCGTCTTGACTTCCTTTTCGCGGGATTTCTGCAGAGCACACGTTAGAGGCTGAAATATCGAACATTCACGGTTCGGGCTCTCACACTCAGCTCCTTGCTCCTCCTCGAGATATCCTTCAGATCGTTCACGAGCTTTTGAGCACGGAATCTCCTCACATCATCTGACTGTGTCATAGAGTCTGGGCTGTATAGTAGCTCATATATGTGTCCTTGACACCGAGCTGTAGCGACCCAGAGGCAAATGAAGGCTGATAGGGGCGTAGCATTGGGAGGGTTCGAGGTAAGAAGGGGTACGGTGACATCCCAGTCTTGAATAGTAGAAGCCCTGCCGAGCCTGAGGGAGAGACTCTTGTCTATAAAGTATGTGTTCCAAAATAGAAACTGTTTGCGCTGAGCCTCGCGCGGCTTGTCATTCTTCATGGTTGATATTCGGTGATAACCTAGAGTCTGACATAGTTCGGAGGCTTTACATGATAAAGTCCATGAGAGTGATGGTTTTGAGATCTCGATAGCATAAAATGCCTAAAAGTCTGTGAGTATATGGTACCAAAAGAAATATCAAGGATGGCATACTCCAAGAAGAAGGGCAGAAATCATGTTTGAGGTTGCAGGCAGATGAAAAGGCAAGTTTGCCAACGCCGTTTCGGTGTTTTCGCGAAGTGTTTTCATGTAGCCCTCACACTCCCCTTGCTCTTTTGCGTCTGTCGTACGCTGCTGGCGATCCATGAACATGTACATCAGGCCAACATTCACAAGGATGAAATCAGCCTCTGAGACATCTTCTGAGAAGTACACATGAAGACACATGCCCGAGAAGCTTTCCATAGAAAAGAACTCCCTTATCCAGGCAGACACTTCTGAGTTCTCAGCTGAAGTTGGTTAGTTCAAGATGGCGAAAGAGGGGACCCAGATCACTGACTCTCACATTCTCGTATCAAGGCAACGGCTGTTTGAATTGGAGGTAGCTCGTTGTTCTTTAGACTTGGACGTGGTAGTTGCCTAGCATGGGGATACGACATCTCCGTGGCAGCCGTCTGTTGTTTCAGAGAGCTGACGATGTGATGTAGTGAATCCAAGGTCTCACGTAGCTCAAGACTAGCACCCTGTAAAGACTCTGTACCAACAGCATTTTTTAGGAATTCGTTTGCAAATTCACCATGAGCAGCCAAGGAAGATTCTCCTTCGATAACCGGGCTGTCTGCGGTTTGCTGAGCGAGGTGCCCATAGGGTGTTGAGCTCGAGGCCTGAGCTGGTGATTGGCGGGGAACATCAGAGCTGGGCATGTGGTTCTGATTGGGTTGGGTGCTTGTAGATGACATGTTCATCTTCATATCACGCATGAGCTCGGTGAGGGCCTCAAGACGACGGTCAATGATGTCGATCTTTCTCTCACTACATGGTTGTTTGGCCGTCAGTACGGTTTCCTTTTTGGTGCAAACCAAAGCAGCGAGTGGTCGGATAGTATCAAAAGCAATAGATCCGGGGCAACTTACTATTGGGCTGAGAGAAGGATCCTGGTTCTCTTCTCCTTTGGACGAGTATCATGGTGTGTACACGGAATCTTGGCATGAATGCAATGAGAGCAGGGCGAGTTTCTATCGCAGCGGATCTACATAGATTGATGTTACTATTTAGATATAGTTGTTGGGCTGAGTGAAATAATCTCAAGTGAGAGCTAGGACCATGTTGAGGATGGCTTCCACTCTTCACCCCAGCCTCTGTGGCTAGTGGCCTTTAATGACTGGAGCATCGATGGAGTGATATACATAAGAGATTGATTAGATTGATATGTACATACCTTGCGAGTCCGGCATGCATCGCACTAAGATTAAGCAGTGTTAGTGACGAGGACGTGGGGATAGAGACAGGATAGGACAAGGCTTCAGGGTCTGTGTACTGACTGCTCGTCGAATGGTCAGATTAGAAGGGTTCTGGGGCCCATCAGATCCTTCATCAGGACCATCGTCCAACTGGGCCCGAGAATCTTCAGCCATGAGGTTAAATACGGGGATCACGGGCACAGCTTGTTTGTGTGGATGACAGGTTCCAGACAGGGAATACACAGCTGAGTGAGGGGTCAGATACAGACAAGATGCAATGAAACAATGCCACAGAGGAAAATGTTTATGGTAAAAGTCACGCACTACAAGCGACCTAACTCACATGGCGTTTTGAGCGAGACTGACACGACTCACACCGAAGTCTCGAGAGGTTCAACGGAACGCGCGGGGTCCGGAAGAATAGAGACCGTTGAAGATGGGATCCGGATGTGGAGACTCGAGTTTGCGGCTCCCGAGAACACCGTAGATCCGAAAGAGCCAATAGGAGGAGAGAATGTCTCGGGGCAAGGATCTCCATTCAGATGGAAGCTATGATCATGGTCTCATCTAATCTCTGAGTTGATAAAGTTTAAGTTGCCATCTCAAGGTACGCGAAGACATTGGCGTAATTTGATGATGCAGTCTCACTTGGGAAATAATGCTGTGAAATATCAAGATCTATAGTCAAGCGTTTATGATGAGTTGAACCCTTTTGATATTAAGCCAAGACTTCAGCCATGAGATGAGGCATGTGTCCGGCATGATTTCCGAAAAGACCCTGGTTCAAATGAATGCATGGCATGCATGTTACCTCAATGGATGAATGGACTGCCTCCAGAGAAGCGAGATGGTGGAAAATTAACTTCCATATGAGAAGAAAATAAGGAACTACCTGCCAATGGCCTCTTATTCAACAACAGTATCAAATACAGACAACTCAGCAAATACATAAACTATTCCCTCAACCTCCGTGATCGCATCGATAATTTTCGTCTAGATATCCATTATCAATCAGTGACCCACTTGGACCACTTTACATGCGGATCTGATAAAAAAACACAAGCTAAAATGCCAAGGATCACCATTCGTTGCCGTCTAAATCTGGTCTACCCTCACTCCACCCCCCCGGGTTCATCTCTCAAAAGTTCTCGGGTGGTATTTTCTTCAAAAGCACGCTATCCCCTTGGTAAAAGTCATGGTCTCTTCCCTCTCCTTTCTGGTTCCGTCAATCTATTTCTTTCTTTAAGCAGGGCTTATAGCCTGAATATACTGGCCTGATTCTTTGACTTTATATCAAAGCGCCAGATCACACGAGTTCACTTCTTTTAGGCGTCAGGATCGCCTGGTGTAATTTGTGCGGCAGACCACCATGGCTCCCAGCATTAACGAAAAGGAAAATGAAAAGGTCGTAGGTGGCAGCGATGCGACCTCAACTCCTGAGGATGCTGTTGTCAACGCCGAGGGCGGCGATGCTCCCAGTGCTGGGGGAGAAGGAGAAATTGAGGGTTCTTGGGGTGACTACAAGGTGATAAACAGCAATACAAACCCGTGGAAAATACCATACTAACACTCTAAAGCGTATCCTCACATATGCAGGTCCCACAGAGTATTTAATGCAAGGCATTGCTCTCGTCGCTGCCATAGGTTCAGGTGCCGGTATCGCTCTCCAGAACCTCATCTTTGGACAGTTCATCACCACAATTACCGACTTTACTTCTGGAGATTCTCAGCCTAGCAAGTTCCGAAAAGAAGTTGCTGACCTAGCGTGAGTCCTTCAGAGCCATATCCCATACAATTCTCTCCTAACGTTCATGCAAGACTCTACTTTGTGTACCTTGGCATTGGTCGATTCGTTCTCTCCTACATCTGGAACGTCTTCCTCACCTACTCCTCTTACCGTATTGTACGCAACATTCGAAAGGAGTACCTTCGCGCGGCTCTTCGACAAGAGGTTGCCTACTATGACTTCGGAAGCGGCGGTTCCATCGCTACGCAGGCTACCTCCAACGGCCGCTTGATTCAGACCGGCATCGCTGAGAAACTTGGTCTTTTCTTTCAGGGCATCGCTGCCTTCCTCACTGCCTTCATTGTCGCTTTCGTCGTGCAGTGGAAGCTTACTCTCATCTGCTTATGTATTGCTCCGGCAACCATCATCGTCATGACTGTTGTTGCTACGATGGAAGCTGTTCACGAAGTCAAGATCCTCGAGATTCACGGCCAAGCCAACTCGCTCGCTGAGGGTATCCTCGCCAGCGTGCGCACTGTTCACGCCTTTGAGATGCGAGCTAGACTCGTCGACAAGTTTGATAAACACCTCGAGGAAGCTCACACCGTTGGAAAGAAGATCTCCATTCTCTTTGGTCTCATGTTCTCTGCCGATTACACCATCATCTACCTCGGTTTCGGACTCGCTTTCTGGCAGGGTGTGCGTATGCTCTCAACTGGTGAAATCAAAAGCTCGGGTGTCATCTTCACGGTTCTCCTCTCCGTTGTCATTGCGGCTGTTCAGTTGACCCAGCTCACCCCGTACACTATCGACTTCAGCCGTGCCATGTCTGGTGCAGCACAGCTTTTCACTCTCATCGACCGAGCATCAGCTATCGATCCCCTTTCCAAGGATGGCGAGACACCATCCGAGACAGTTGGACATGTCGAGCTTGAGAATGTTTCGTTTGCCTATCCCACCAGACCTGGTGTCACTGTGCTAGAAGACTTCTCTCTTAACGTCCCTGCTGGTAAAGTCACGGCACTAGTAGGTCAATCAGGATCAGGCAAGAGCACTATTGTTGGTCTGATTGAGCGGTGGTACAACCCCAAATCTGGTACTATCAAACTGGACGGCCGTCCCATTGATAAGCTTAACCTCAACTGGCTCCGCCGAAACGTCCGTCTCGTCCAGCAAGAGCCTGTTCTCTTTGAGGGTTCTGTTTTCGACAACATTAAGCACGGTTTAGTTGGTACTGAGTGGGAGAATTCACCTGCTGAACAACAGATGGAACGAATCCAGGAGGCTGCCAAGATGGCTTTTGCTCACAGTTTCATCATGGAACTTCCAGAAGGTTACAACACACAAATCGGGCAACGAGGTGGACTTCTCTCTGGCGGTCAGAAGCAGCGTGTTGCCATTGCTCGCAGTGTCGTATCGCAGCCCAAGGTTCTTCTTCTTGACGAGGCTACAAGCGCTCTTGATCCTCACGCCGAGAGTGTCGTTCAGCAAGCACTCGACAAAGCATCTGAAGGCCGCACTACCATCGTTATCGCTCACAAGCTCGCCACCATTCGCAAAGCTGATAACATCGTCGTCATGTCCAAGGGTTCTATCATCGAACAGGGCTCTCACGAGTCCCTAATCGCTCAAGATGGTGCTTACGCTAAACTCGTCAAGATTCAGAACCTTGCAGTTGAGAATGACCCCAATAATGTTTCGACTGACGAAGAAGAGGAAGTTGCCCCTGAAGGAGACAAGGAAGAGCTCAGTCTTAGCAAGACGGTTACCCAATACGAAACCCACGTCCAGGAGCGTCTCGAAGCTGGCAAGGAGCTTGGCAACTATGACAACCACAAACAAATGGGCATCTTTTATGTCGTTTATCGTCTGATTCGTGAGAGCCCAGAGGTTGCTTGGTCGTATTTCTTTGTTCTTGCGGGATGTTTAGGAGCTGTTGCAGCGTTCCCCGGTCAGGCCATTCTGCTTGCGCACGTTGTCGAGGTCTTCACCCTCACTGGTGACAGGATGAGAGACCGCGGCGATTTTTACGCAAGCATGTTCATCGTTCTCGCAGCCGGTTTGTTGGTGTCGTACTTTGCTCTGGGCTATGCTACCAACACCATCGCTCAGTTCCTCAGCCACAAACTTCGCAAGCAGAGTCTCCGGGATATGCTTCGTCAAGACCTCCAGTTCTTTGACCGCAAGGAAAACAGCACTGGTGCTCTGGCCAGTCGCGTTGACTCCAATCCTCAATCGATCCTCGAGCTGATGGGCTTTAACGTGGCACTCATCCTCATTGCTATTCTCAACCTGGCTGCCTGCAGTCTCTTGGCTATAATTCACAGCTGGAAGTTGGGTCTGGTGGTCGTTTGCGCTGGCCTTCCTCCTTTGGTCAGCTCCGGTTACTTCAAGATTCGCCTCGACGCCAAACTGGACCGGGATACCTCGAAACGATACTCTACTAGCGCTTCAATTGCTTCCGAGGCTATCACTGCCATTCGAACCGTTTCTTCTCTGGCCATTGAGGAGTCAGTCTTGGACAAGTATGTTGATGAGCTGAACCAAGCCGTTAGTGGATCAAAGAACGACCTTTTCCGTATCATGATCTTCTTTGCTCTGACTCAATCAATTGAGTATTGGTTTCAAGCTCTTGGTTTCTGGTATGGCTGCCGTCTTCTTTCATATGGCGACATCTCCATGTACAATTTCTTTGTCGCTTTCTTGGGAGTCTTCTACTCTGGTCAGGCTTCTGCTCAGCTCTTCCAATTCTCAACCAGTATCACCAAGGGAGTCAACGCTGCCAACTACATATTCTGGCTCAATCAGCTCCAGCCCAACGTCCAAGAAACACCTGAGAATCGAGATAACGGTCCCAAGTCTGGAGGCCCGGTTGTTTTGGATGATGTCCGATTCTCGTACCCTCTTCGACCTCACGCCCCCGTTCTCCGCGGCATCGACTTAGATGTCAAGCCTGGACAATTTGTCGCGCTTGTTGGCGCGTCAGGCTGTGGAAAGTCAACTATGATAGCTATGCTTGAACGTTTCTATGATCCGTCAAGCGGCACAATCAGCATTGCTAACTCAGCACTTCCCACTCTCAACCCTCGCCTCTACCGTCGCATCATTGGTCTGGTTCAACAAGAGCCAACTCTTTTCCAGGGCACGATACGAGAGAATATTGCTCTTGGTATCGATGATCCAGAGACCGAGGGTAAGGACCCTGACACTTCGGTTCCTGACAAGCGGATTGAGGCAGCCCTCCGCGCAGCCAATGCATGGGACTTCGTCTCGTCTTTACCCGAAGGTCTCGATACACAGGCTGGCTCAAACGGCGCGCAACTGTCTGGAGGACAGAGACAGCGAATCGCCATTGCCCGAGCCCTTATCCGTAATCCCAAGGTCCTTCTCCTTGATGAAGCTACTAGTGCTCTTGACACTGAGAGCGAGAAAATTGTACAAGGCGCGTTGGCAGAAGCAGCGAAGGAAGGAGACCGCATTACCATTGCCGTTGCTCATCGCTTGAGCACAATCAAGGACGCTGACAAGATTTGTGTTTTCTTGGGTGGCAAGATCACAGAGGCGGGAACTCATCAAGAGCTGCTTGCTCAGGGTGGATTGTATCGAAAGATGTGTGAGGTACAGGCTCTGGACAGT